GCCAGCCTGTCGATTATGCTATTAATTTGGCATTTAAATCAACAACAAAAAAACGATTTTATTCACCCTTGTTCTAATCTGTGCTTCATTTTAAAGACACTTTATGGACATACACATTTCACGAAAAATATCTTCATTCCATGGCCGAATTTCTCCACATTTGTCCATAAAACTATACTTGTTCTGTTCTGAACTAGGAAAACGTATAAGATGTAACGAGTTTACTTCTTACCTGATGTCCTGTCTAGGGGGTAACTTAGGTAAGCTTCTTCAATTAATATTGTAGAACTTAATGTTAGTGAGTGATATCATTAAACACTTAGTTTAGATTAGTTTTAATGGAGTTTCAGGAACCACAGAAGTCTGATTGAAAATATGAATGGTGCAAATTGATGCTTCTCAATACACATACAGATTTTTTACAATCCCTTTAACTTATTTAAGATGCCATACTTATTAAGCAAACTGCATAAAACTGTCGATTAGAGTTGTATAAGTATATACAATAAAAGTGATGCTAAGCTTTCAGACCGCCCGGTCTCTGGAACCATGTTCTATCCTGACTACTGTGGCTTTACGCACGCAGCACCATGACCTTAGCTATAACATTACAGCAGATTTCAGTTCAGATTGATTATATTATTACTGTAGTGTTTGTCTTCAGTAACTCAATGAGTATCACTAGTCCATTAAAGCTAGTTGATAAGGTATCAGGGACAATGTGCCAATGATCTTTTATTGTATTCAAGTCAAATGAATGACTGCTATTCACAGATCGGTGGCTAGGTTTACTTTATGAACAATAAGTCAACTATGTGCAGTAGTAATGATAGTGCTGACACCATCGGGACCGATTAAATAATAGCAAATTAATCTCGTCATAATTAGCTCTGAAAATATCCCCTTTCACACGTCCATTATCATTGCTACTCTCTGAGCAATGAATCATAATTCCTATTTTCTATACATGTAGTTGACGACTGGGTGCAAAGGGTTCGAACCCCTAAGAATTCATTTTTACTATCACCAACTTTGTAGAAAGAAATCGAAATCTTGGCACCCTTTTACCGATTCCCCACACATGGAAACAACCAATCTATATTTTTTATCAATGGATTGTTACATTAATGAAACCAACTTTTCACTTACGCCAATTATTTGTGTATCTCCCAATTCATAAAGTTTATCAATATTGTTTTTCTTATCAACATTCAATTTATTATTTAGATTTTATTATCAACATGTATACATGCAGAATAAAACACATGTTAAATTGAGGAAGGACATCTCTTGACATCGTTAGAGCTTATCCGAAACTTCTAATAGAAGCTGCTTGCTTTCCCTTACGTTTCCTCTGAAAGCTATTGGCAGTAAAAGTTGTCCTTTAGCTAGAAACTCACTGGCTCCTTAGCTTCTGATAGCTATTGTTGACAGATATCGACTAGCTGGAAACTAGCTGATTCTAACGTAGACTTTATCGTAGAAGTTGTTGACTAGCAAGAAACTTACCTGGTCTCTGATAGCTATGGTTGACAGTTGTAGTTGACTACAGAAACTTGTTAACTCACACCAAGTCGCTATTAGCTAGAAACTTATTGACTCTGACTTAATCTCTAGTAGCTGTAGTTGACGGTGCCTCTAGCTAGAAACTTGTTGACTCTAACCTAGCCTCTGATAGCTGTAGTTGACATGGCCTCTATCTAGGAACTTGTTGACTCTAACCTAACCTAACATCTGGTAGCTGTAGTTGACGGTGCCTCTAGCTAGAAACTTCTAGACTCTTACCTAGCCTCTATAGCTATAATAGACAGGGATCTATTCACTTGTAGATTTCTATCTATCGAACAGTTTCGGACTAAATGATCAAGCCATTATAGGAAACAAGTGTGTATGAACCTTGAACCTAACTAAGTGTACTATCATTTTTTTTATCAGTTTTATTAATGAAATAGGTGGTTTGCGAGTTAAAATGACCCAGAGTTGGAAGTCATTGAGAAGAGGTCTTCTTCAATAGGGCAATCCATTATCTGCAGCTATCAATGGCCTTAAAGGGACATTCCGCTTTACATAGGTCAAATTTTTTGTTGCTCAAATTTGTGAAAATCATACACCAAAATCCAAGAGATACGTGTCCCTTAAAGGAAACGCTTCCGTAGGTTCTATATAAGTTATTATTGACAGAGGCGTTGAGGGGGTCGACAGAGAAGAGATAGGAGGACTTGAAGTAAAGTAAGGTAGGAAAAAGAGAGTGCAGTGGATGAGAAACAGAAGTAGATTTATGAGAGATAGGAAGCGTAAGTGAGACTCTCTCTTTGGGTATAGCTAGCGGCGGGTGGATAGACAGAAGGGGGAAAAAGACAGGAATGATACTATTCTAAGGGTCTATGGGGATATTCTCTTACATTGAGAGGCAGTTATTGTACCTCCGTGCAACGCTTCGAATTACAGTACTCCGAAGACTTATATTGGGTCGACGTTACTTTTCTACCTAGCCGTATAGATACTGTCGTAACTGCAGGACAAAATTGGTTTTAAAGAAAATTCATAAGTAGCCTCAGTGGTCAAAGAGAATTCTCTCCCTTAGAACAAACGTATATAAAACGTTGCTGTTTTAAAGAAAAATTCCTCGAATTTCATAAAAATTAGGTAGAAATTCAAAATATTCTGGTTGTAGACTCCAAATCGATCTTATGAAATACGTGTGAAATAATAAAATTAATTATATTGAATAATAAAATACAATGAAACCAGTTATTTCTATATATTTTTATAGCTCCTCAAGGTAAGCAGACTGTCGGCGGTCGATCGTTTCCTAAAATTACCAGATTTGACGACAATTCTGATGAAAAAATATAAAAGACAATTTCATTTTATTTGCATATGCGATATGGTTTAAATTGAATACTGCTATATTTGTTTCTGTATACCTGGGCTCTGGTAGTTATTATTGACGGATCTGCATCTTGCTGATCTAGTCTCTTGAGTTATTATTGATGGAGATCAGTCTGAGACGTACAGATTCAATATCTAGTCTCTACAAGTTGTTATTGATGGAGGTCAGTCTGAAACGTGCTGATTCTATATCTAGACTCTAAAAGTTATTATTAATGAAGGTCAGTCTGAAACTAAACTGAAAGTTATTATGAAGACCATGCAATGAACGCCAAAAAATAATTTCAACACAATTGCGAGAGGAACTCGTCTCATTTTGATTTTAAAATAGTAACTTTCGTGTGTAAAGGGAAATAACTGTTATTAACAGATAAATTAGCCCACAAATATAATGATCTTCCTTTGGCAAATCTAATACTTCTTTCGCTTTGTATAAATGCTGTTATTCTTACAAATTATTAGAAATTATACACAACTTGAAGACTCAATGCTAAAGAGTCGACCGAAAGCGTTCAACAGAGTTTCTTCTAGAAAATTATTCAGATCTAACAAACAGACCAATGGTTCGAAAGGACTTGTTTAATGAAATATTTCAAATCAAATTGGGACGATAAATAATAATAAAAAAATATCCAAAATAGTTTGTTTTATTTTCAATTTGATTATCAGCTGTTTTAACTTACTGTGGTTTGATATATAGATAATATGTATGATAGATATGTTAGATTTTAATTTAACCTATGGTTTTTTTAATGTGATTTTATTATGTATTGAATAAATATCAAATATTAAATCTTATTCTATGTTTTGAATTATTACGTGCCATATAGGTCAGTACCGGCCGGAAATTTAAGTATTTCGCTTGACGTTTTTTTTATTGTAATAGTTAAAAAAAATGATTATTATAATTATATGACATGTGATTGAATTGAATTGAATGGAGTTTTACGTCCTACTTTTCTGCACTTTTCTGGGCTAATGAAGACAGACAACGCCATGCAGGGTGCAATGAGTTTTGCCAGGACAGCGGCATTAGCCTGCTCTTTTTTCGATTTCCAACAGTCGAGGTATCACACGAGGCCTCGATTAATTGTCATATCCGAACGACTAGACGCCTTTTTCATGTCAGCCCTTCTTACTAGGTGCAACTATGTAGGTAACAGACGGTTACAGAAGTTATTATAATAATCAACCTAGAAATATCAAATACATAACTTATTAGACAGGATTGTTTTAAAATAAATGAAGATAGAATCAGAGCAGATACAATGTTCGTCGGGTTTTGATCAATGTAATTATGCAGGTCCTATTGTATTCTACTTGTTAATTGAAAGCTGAAATCATCAGCTATTATTACGGTCTACTAGTCATAGACTCATAGTAGAAAAACAGACATTTTTATTCATAATAAACTGACTTGGAATCTACAGCTTATATCCAACATACAGCTAGGGTTCATACAGTCAAACCTGTATTAAGCGAGCGTTGAAGGAAATGCTTAAAACTTGCTGATTACTGAAGGTATCGTTGAATAAAACCAAAATAGTTTACACTATGTTATAAGTTATTTCAATAAATCAATGAATAGTAAAAAAAGACAATTAAAGATGACCACTTGTATATTCATATGATGAAAATAAGCAATATTTAAGGGATTGTAAAAAATTTTTCTAAATCTGTCTGCGGTTGCTACAATTCCACACAAACTGCAGGCGTTTGATTGAATTGTGCAAATTAATGCTATCAGTGTCCCGATACACATAAATAATTTAGAAAACCTCTTTACAATTCCTTTAAAGCAAAACATAATGACGTGTCTCCAATTTGTTATTTGAGAAATTAACTAGTATATAGTGTTATTTCCACACTAGCATTTTCCATTTACTAATAATGCACGTTTCATTCCCATAAAACTTATTTCCCGTTTGATATACTTCCTTAAGTTCCTTGAGATATTTATTTAAAGGTATTTTTTTAAGAAAGGGGTCAACCCAAGATAATTCCAACAGAAAGTCTCAACTTTTTTATACCCTTAAGTATCCTCTCTATGATGTTCAAAACTCTTACGGATTCCTGGTTTAAGAAATTTCCATGGTTTGGACTATTTGTTAGAATTCCGATTCCATTGTTGGTTCTACGTAATCTTTAACCGGCCCCCATTTAGAGTTGGGCCTAAAACTTGACTTGATTCTCTGAAGAAAAATAGGATTTGAAGGTTATATTGGAGAATGAATGAATGGTAATCAAAATATGGCAACGATGAATGACAATGATGATGATGATGATTATGGTGAGCCGTTGTCAACAAAATAATTTTAAAACCAAAATTACGATACCTCCATTAACGTTCCTTCCCGACTATAAATTTCTTTAATCATCCATATAGGTATAGGTAGTGCTGTAGATAGAGCTATAATCCAACCAAATACACTGGCAACAGGGGGATACTTATAATATCCTAGCGTTGGTAACTGATACTGAGTAAGGGTCATTATCAGCACTGACTGAAACAGATAAAGTCAGATATCTTAAGTACATCAATCTATCTACAATTAAGCTATCAACCTATCTACAATTCATGTATTAATCTATCTACAATACAGATATCAATCTATCTGCAATTCAGATATCAATCCATCTGCAATACAGATATCAATCTATCTACAATTCAGATATCAATCTATCTGCAATACAGATATCAATCTATCTACAATTCAGATATCAATCTATCTACAATACAGATATCAATCTATCTACAATTCAGATATCAATCTATCTACAATTCAGATATTAATCTATCTACAATTAAGCTATCAATCTATCTACAATTCATATATTAATCTATCTGCAATTAAGCTATCAATCTATCTACAATTAATATATTAATCTATCTGCAATTCAGATATCAATCTATCTGAAATTCAGATATCAATCTATCTACAATACAGATATCAATGTATTTACAATTCAGATATCAATCTATCTACAATTAAGATATCAATCTATCTACAATTAAGATATCAATCTATCTACAATTCATATATTAATCTATCTGCAATTCATATATCAATCTATCTACAATTCAGATATCAATCTATCTACAATTCAGATATCAATATATCTACAATTCAGATATCAATCTATCTACAATTCAGATATTAATTTATCTACAATTCATATATTAATCTATCTGCAATTCAGATATTAATCTATCTGCAATAAAAAAGATAGCTTGCGTTGCAAGATAACATACGCCCACTGGCAGCTGTCAGAAAAAATAAAACAGTCTTTAGTGACAGAAGTGCGAATTTTCTCATATTGAAGAAATTATTCGCTTCTGCCACAAATTTTTTAAAATCAATATCAATAACCCAAATACAACAAACAATTAAATCACACAGCTCTAATCAAGGGCAAAAAACAACTTTTGACGCGTGTTTACAAAGTCAAGGGCAATAACTCAAAAAAATCTTCATCAAAAATATCTCTTGTTAGAACTTGTCCCAAATCTTATCAATTCCAATGATCACACCAAGTTTCATCAGAATCGGTTGAAAACTGTAGCGTCAATCCTGATCACAAACTATTTTTAACAAATTTCAACACTTTTTAACTATGTCAAGGGCATTAACTCAAAAACCGTTCATCGGAAATGCGTCAAGTTAGAACTTGTCCGAGATCTTATCAATTCCAATGATCACACCAAGTTTCATCAGAATCGGTTGAAAACTGTAGCTTTAATCCTGCTCACAAACTATTTTTAACAAATTTTAACCTGTTTTTACAAAGTCAAGGGCAATAACTCAAAACCCCTTCATCGAAAATGTGTCAAGTTAGAACTTGTCCGAGATCTTATCAATTCCAATGATCACACCAAGTTTCATCAGAATCGGTTGAAAACTGAAGCTTCAATCCTGCTCACGAACTATTTTTAACAAATTTCGACGCGTTTTAACAAAGTCAAGGGCAATAACTCAAAAACCGTTCATCGAAAATGCGTCATGTTAGAACTTGTCCGAGATCTTATCAATTCCAATGATCACACCAAGTTTCATCAGAATCGGTTGAAAACTGTAGCTTCAATCCTGCTCACGAACTATTTTTAACAAATTTCGACGCGTTTTAACAATGTCAAGGGCAATAACTCAAAAAACGTTCATCGGAAATGCGTCAAGTTAGAACTTGTCCGAGATCTTATCAATTCCAATGATCACACCAAGTTCCACCAGAATCGGTTGAAAACTGTAGCTTCAATCCTGCTCACGAACTATTTTTAACAAATTTTGACGCGTTTTAACAAAGTCAAGGTCAATAACTCAAAAACTGTTCATCGAAAATGCGTCATGTTAGAACTTGTCCGAGATCTTATCAATTCCAATGATCACACCATCAGTTTCATCAGAATCGGATGAAAACTGTAGCTTCAATCCTGCTCACAAACAATTTTTAACAAATTTCAAGGCGTTCTAAGTCAAGGGCAATATCTCAAAAAACCGTTCATCGAAAATATGTCAAATTCGAACTTAACCGAGATCTTATCAATCTAAAGCATCACACCAAGTTTCATCAAAATCAGATAAAAACTGTAGTCTCTATAGTGCTCACAAGAAATGTTGACGGACGGACCGACGGACCGACGGACAGGGGCGACGACAATATACGACCACATATTCATGTGGGCGTATAAAAATCAATCTATCCATAATCCAGATATCAATCTACATACAATTAAGCTATCAATCTATCTACAATTCAGATATTAATCTATCTGTAATTCAGATATCAATATATCCACAATTCAGATATCAATCTATCTACAATTAAGCTATCAATCTATCTACAATTCATGTATTACTCTATCTGCAATTCAGATATCAATCTATATACAATACAGATATCAATCTATATACAATACAGATATCAATCTATCTACGATTCAGATTGCAATTCAGTAATCAATCTACTACAATTTAGATATCAATCTATCTACAATTTATTAGTTGTACACTCTGAATTCATTTTCAAAGCCTTTATTGAATATTATTCCAGAGACGTAAAATCTGCCTTTTCATAGATTCTCATAAATCTTAGTAATCTAAAAACTTACAAAGATAATTGTGGGAGTGACGAACTTCCATAATATCTTAAAGATAATAGGTGGACGTCTGCCTAACATCTGTTCAATATCATTGTAATATCTTTCAGCTCCTAAAAAAATATACGTAAAACTTCATTCCCTATCATTTCATTTCAGAGAAAATCAATTTCCGTTCATTTTGAAAACATAACGTATATATTACACTTGGGAATATGAAAGATTGAAAAGGTGAATCTGGAAATTCTATATATATTTACAAATATATTACAGTCATAAAGAAGGGTCTAGTTGAATTCTAACAAGAAACAAAAACGACTACAGGAAAAAGATGTATAGAGATCCAAAACAAGAAATGACTTAAGTCAGCATCCAGGTTCGGTCCGTTCTTTATGTGAAAATCACCCTTACTAGAAATATATTGTTCAGAATGCAACTGAAATGATGCGTATTCTATTTAAGGGGATATAGTCTTTTAAGTATGGATTGAACTAGCTGATAGAGCTCAGTTTACGATACATGTATCCCTTATCAAAATACATATTAGACGTAATATCGTTTGCATCAAAGAATTAGCATAAAATGATCCCGTCAATCTGTTCGTCATGTCATGTTCTAGTCTTCCAGTTCTATCAAAAAGCAATTAAACGACCATATCCCTTTAACTTCATGTTCTCCAAAGCTTAGAAATATGTGATTCTTTGATTCATAAAGTTTTAAGCGACTATATCACTCTACTATCAAGGGCTACCTGCTGACGAAGCGGCCAATGAGCTGTGCTCCCAACGAATTAAACAGGCAGTAAAAGGCTACTGAAAAATGATCAAAACATATATTAGGATATAAGTGGCGCAATCGGGTTAGAATGCAAATTCAGAATTTCGTTCCGTTTCCGTGTAACTTTTATTTTAACGGACTGCATTCCGTTTAGCGAAGTAACCAAACGAAAATACAAAGCGAACTATTTTGGTTGTACTTGAATCAGATTGAGAGATATGATCACAGAATTTCGTGTGGGAAAATAGGCGAATTACTGACAAAGCAGATAAATGAATTTTTGAACAATAGTATGTTGTGTTGATGAAATATTGATCAATTCAATTGTCACAGTGTTGCTCATGTCTCTCGATCTCCTGGTTGAGAGAAAAAAATGAAATTGATTTTCATAGGTAAAAAAAATAAAAATTCTTACACTAAAAACAGTTTCAGCTCAAAATATGATACCTGTTTATTGGCGTGATGAATTTTGGTTGCCGGGAAGAAAAGTTTGAAGAATCAAAATTAGATACAAGAAAGGTCAAACAATGACAGGATTTCGTGAAGTTGTTTTTTTGAGCTCCACAAAAATACACACCTTGGAGGTTGTGGCTACCGTGAAAGAAAATGCCCCCTTGAGACTGCGTTTGTCAAACTTGAATTCCTTGCGGTGAAACTATAACAATGTATGCTTACCATAAATCCATCCAATAACCAAGCACTCTAAAACAGTTATTATATACATTGTTACTGAGGACATGTACCAATCGACCAGTTGAAACACGTATATTCCACCCTTAAAGATAGTTGTGTATTTGGGTTAATCGGGTTAAACTGTATATCCTTCTCAGCAACAAACAACGTTGGAATATAGCTGACATAATACATAATATTATATTCCAACGGTTTCTCTTCAGGTAATCACAAGCTAAACAAAACTATTGTCTTTTAAGATTTATTATTGATTAAAGTGTCAGCAACTTAGGTATTGCATGCAAAATGTCTGTTGGGTAAAAGAAATTTTCACTTGAAACATTTGTCATTTACAGTTGACTTAGACAAATGTGCATTGCATTTATTTTTGACTGTTTTTCCGTTCTATACTGGATATATGTATATGGATTTCTTATAAACTTGGCACATGATCATGATTGCCTGAATCTTACTTCTTAAGACAATCATGTCGATAAACACAATCACGACTGAGCATGCCATATACTGCTAAACTTGGATGTACTTACATTTGTTGCATAAATAAGAGATACAAGGAACATAATAGCACACATTACAGCTGTGAGAACAGAGCGTTTTTTCCAGGAAGTTATGTTAAACATGTCGGTAAACGTCGTTGCACAAACTTCTACAGTCACAAACTGAAACAAACAGTATAATTCTGTTTTAACTAACAATTTGAGTCCATATTAGTTGGTAAGATAAGGTCCAATTATTAAATGCATTTTATATTTTACCGGTAGCCGACCACTGATAACTACTGATCTTTAGTACTTGGTTTATTTACATGTACATGTACATTGCTTCTACTATTTTGAACAGGTCAAACCAGTAATAAATGCTTTACATGTATATGTACCCAATTGATCTACTGTTTTTACCAGGAACAACCAAATGTGGCCCAACTGTTTAATTGGAATATTCTGCAGATTATTGAACTATTTCCAGACAAAGGAGCTATTAGACTTGGGATATTGTATATTAAAAAATCACGTTTATATTGGCTTGGATCCATTAGCTTGGATTACCTATAGTTCATTATCATCGGGCTTGGCTTTGTGGACTTTGACAACCGATCACGATAGTGAGAAATACCCCGGGACAGATTTTTAGACAAAACAATGTTTAGATGTACATACCATAGAATCGACGGCGACCATTAGAACCATTAGAAGGAATAATACAGCCCATAGTTGAGGAATAGGTAAACTAGCCAGAGCTTCCGGGTAAGTAATGAATATTAAACCAGGACCTGTAACAAATATAACGGAGTTTTACGTCTTCTTGAATTGTATTCCTCTACCTATTCTCTCATCAACCCAATATGTGATTACTCGATATATATTAGAGACTTCCACTGGACTATCCAGCGTGAATACTTACAAACAAGATAAAAAAAACATAGCTATATTAAATGTCATACTTACCAGACCGAACCAAATCGGCTACTTCTAAACCAGTCAGATGTGACATATACCCTAAAATAGCGAAAACTGCAAACCCGGCATAAACACTCGTCCCTTCCCCAACAAAACAATAGATTATTGTGTCTCTGAAAAGGAAATAAAAAATAAATGTCCTTTTTATTATATAAAATTAATTACATTATTGAAAGCAACAAATTTCTACTTCTCCAGTTCCCGACTCAATAATAACGAAGGCGTTCACTAATATTAGGCAAAACAGACTAAACGGATCTTGTTTAAGAGGGCCACTGGGGATACTATATTTTCCTCCTATCTCTTATCCAGCATGCGATAGTATCTTGGGTTTTTGTTTCAGTAACCGAATACCTAAAAATTCCCACATACCTTAACAGATTATTATCAAATTTATTATAACTAGCCATGGTCATAAACGACCCCCAACCAATACCCATTGAATAAAACAACTGCATTCCTGCTTGTAACCAAACCTAGCAGATATAAAAAAACGAAAGAATAAAACCAACGTTTTAAACCGGGATTTACCTCAAATCTCCAGACGTTATTCGAATATCAGAAACTATTCTCAGAATAATTCAGTTGGGTAAAATTGAAGATTGTAGTCCAGACTTAATGGAATCAGTGGCCATTGTAGCTGTTGAACAAATGACAAAGTGTAAAAAGAAGGCCAAGTGTCAAGGGCAGTACCTGCGCCTGGTACTTAACTATAAATAGAACCACCAGATCCGAAACAAACCACTTTTGTTGGATTGCCAGGTTTTGCAAGGGGAGACTCGCTTGCAATCATTTGTAAACATTAAAGCGTGTCTTACCAGGCCAGTATCTGGCTTTTCAAAATTTATAACCTTCTTAAAGAGGTAAAGGTTTTAAATTTTATGGTTTTTAATAAAAAAAAATATTAATGAATATTAAGAATTTCTCAGGCTGAATGGAAAAAGCTGTACGTAAATTGTTGAGTAAATCCATGTGAAATGTAATCTAATATGAGGATAATGAATCAATTGATACCTGAAGTTCTCCAAGTTTGCTGAAATCCGGAATCAGGTAGAATTTCAAACCATTAATGGAACCAGGAAGAGTAGCAGCTTTTATCAAAATGATGGTTATTAAAATAAATGGTAACGTCGCTGTTACATACACAACCTATCGACAGAAATAAAAATGGTCACCAGCAATAATTTCAAATTAAACCGCCTGTCGTGCGATGGCAGTGATTAATGCCGGCGATAGAAGATGGTTCTGTCCGATATCCCTATGGTCAGTTGGAACACACCGATACCTGAACCTAGCAGTCTGAATAATGTTACTGTTAACCTACCCTGCCTACTGATTCTACACCTTTAAACAGACACAGATATATAATAAACCATGCTACAGCCAGAGCGACCACCAGATGCCACTGTATAGATCCCAGTTCATCTATTCCACCTGACATTCTTAGTACATTATGACTGAAAATACATTGGTAAAAAAACATAATAATTGGGCTAAAAATACATTGTATCTGAATTTACATTCTGATGGAAAAAGATAGTGTGACAGTAAATAGATTGTGAGTGAAATACACTGTCGATGAATACATTGAGAATGAAAATATATTGTGACTGAAATTATATTATGACTGGAAATATATTGTGAGTGAAAATAAATTCTGACTGGAAATATATTGTGACTTAAAATAAATTCTGACTGAAAATATATAGTGACTGAAATTATATATTGTGACTGAAAGTGTATTGTGAGGTGAAAATATATATTGTGACTGAAAATGTATTGTGAATACATCAAAATATACCATGAATTGAAATAAATTGTGAATGGAAATAAATTGAGAAAGAAAAACTTTAAGACTGGTAATAGATAAAAAAAGAAAAGAAAAAAATATGACCGAATATAAATTGTGGTTGAAAATACACTGTATCTGAATAGTTGTGACGGAAAATACAACCTGAAAATGTATTGTGAGTGAAAGTATATTATGACTAAAGATATATTGTGACTGAAAATATATGTTGATCAAAAATATATGTTGACTAAAAATATATGTTGTCGGAAAATACAATGTGACGGAAAATACAATGTGACGGAAAATACAACGTGACGGAATACACATTTTTAGTGAAAATACATTATGACCAAATATACATTGTTACATAAAAATGCAATGTGAATTAATTGTGACAGAAATGACACTATATCTGAACATACAATATGGCTGAAAATACATAGTTAGTAAAATACTATGAGACTATATCAGTGGTATTTTGATCTATCATCTTTTCAAGATATATCTTTCTAAATCAATAGTTTCTGGAGATTCTGCCTTTTTATGCATCATCATTGAATACACTGCATTAGATGTCATATTTTCAGATGATACCCTTGTTGAATTCCTCAAAACCATTCGTTAACTCATTGGACATTAATCTTATAGTCGTAGAGGATGACTTAATAGGGTTACTCGCATTGTGTTTTCCGCTTCACCTAAGATGCTGTATATCAAAATAAAACATCATTTCTATCTCCACTTGTGGTATTCACTATTCCCTAACTGTGAAATTTTTACTGTTAATACTATTTTACGTGATAATTTCATAGTAGGCCATTTCACTGAAACACGATTATATTAAACTGACTTATTTGGGGTAACTGATAAAAAAACAAATTCTTTATTTTACATGGTCCATTACACCAAAATAACATGACAAAAAGAAAATACTTTATCGCAAAATTTCAATGAACAACTTGTCAAAAATAAATACAACAGAACGCGGGTTGTATTAACTAATGAAACAGACCTACTGTACCTTTTGTATAAATTAATGAAATAGAACAGGGGTTTGTATGTCCTACTGCGCCTTATGTATAAACTATTGAACGGAACGGGGATTTCATGTCCTATTGCACCGTTTGTATAATCTAATGAAGCTTAACGGGGTTTTCTGTCCTACTGTACCTTTTGTATAAACTAAAGAAACATAACGGGACTTTCATGTCCTACTGTACCCTTTGTCTAAACTAATGAAACAAAACGTTTTTTTTGTCCTCTTATACCGTTTGTATAATCTAATGAAACGGGGTTTTATGACCTTCTGCACCATTGTATAAACTAATGAAATGGTACGGGTGTTTCTGCACTGTTTGTGTAAACTAATGAAACAGAATTGGGTTTTATGTCTTTTTGCATAATCAGAATGTACCAATGTTTAGCAAAATCTGTTCATAGAATGATGATGGAATATTATACCTTTCCATATTTATTGCAAAATGTTTTCAGACTATAAATTGTATATGTAGACACTTACTTCCAGAATTCTTCTATTGCTGTATAAGCTTTAGACGTATTAGTATGATCCTGGTCTATGGACATATTATTGGCCAGTGATTTTAAAAAATACGCTGCTCCGTTGATGTTCCTTAGAAATTCTGATGTCGTATTGGTTCCATTGCTAAATATATCTTTAATGTAACATGACTCGGTATTCCACCAGTTATTACAAGTGGTCCAGGGTAGAGGAGACGTGAAGGAATTGATCATGAAGTATAGCATCCATGCCAATATCGTATTATAATATATAGAGCAAACGGCTGATAGACCAGTAGCTGATAATCCTAATCCTCTTAATGCGGGACAAATATCCCAAACATCAAAACAACTCTTTCCTGAATATTGTCCAATAGTCAGTTCCAAAAATGCAATGGGAAATCCCAATAAAACCATAAATACGGCGTATGGGATGAGGAACACGGCTGAAAATAGATTAAACGTTTTTGAAAATAAGTGTTTGTTTAATATAAGAAAAAATATATTTTTTTTTAGAGAATTTCGGTAAAAGGCATACTCACCACCACCATTTAAGGCACAAAGATACGGAAATCTCCAAATGTTTCCTAGTCCTACTCCATATCCGATCATTGACAACATAAAATCACAATTCCCTTTCCATTTCATTCGAGTTGAAACTTTAGGTGGACTTTCCATGTTACCTATTTCAGATGAAACCGAATAGGACACTAGAGTTACAGCAATTAAGTTGAACTAAATTGCACGCTCTGGTAAATTTCCAATATTATATTAGATATAAAAAAAATGGGGCATTCACAGAGTAATTTTCCATCAGATATCAACGACTCACCAATTGGCTGTTGGCTGTAGACAATTTAGGCTTCTGAAGTTTCCGGTTGTAGAAGTCTAGAGCTCTGGTTGAAATTTTACAATTTTTCGCTGTTGTGGTTATTGCAGTTAGTGGTCAACTTTAAAATGAAAACAAATTAAATGGGCAAATATTATGATTTTTTTCTTAAAAAAAAAACCTTGACCGGATTGTTACACAAATTAAAGCTAGGTCATATCCCACACCAAAATCTTCAACGGTATTTATGGTTTACATTGAATGCATGAGCTATTATCCTCATACTAGTGTCGGGTTGTCTAAAAATATTTGCTTACTTGGCTTTGTTAACAGAAATTCATTAGCATTCAAAAAATGATCTTTATACATTTTTACAAAGTGCCGAAATGAACTAAATCAATTCTATTTTTATAAATTTGATCTATGGGTAGAACCTTCTAAGATGTTCCATGGTAGAGTTGTGTCTATGCGTTTCCACATAGATGCAGCATTTTAAATCGCATGCTCGAAAGTCTGTCCCCTTTTTTTAACCCTAAACTCTGAAGTTTTAAAAACAAAAAGAACGATACAGAGTCTTTTTGTGGTCTGGAAGTTTTTATTCTTTATATCATGAGTCATGTCAACTCTTACCTTAACTCAAAGGATCGACGGAACTCACGAGGTTAATCGTTTGTGAATTGGCTTTGGCAAAGTTCTAGCTTGTTCAAAGACATGGTTTCCGCATCTGAAACGGAAGAATACTTCTTTGTGCACTTTCTCAACACAATACCATGCCGATATTATACCCTTCACGCAAATGGTTCCAAAAGGGTTAAAATGGGAACAAAGGCAATTAGGGTAAGCTATGCACAACCTTATCCATTGGTAGTAGGCGCTCTTTGTAGTCTCAAAATGATACAATAGACAGCGTTTGACTTAACAAATAAATAATCTATAAAAAGGAGTACTCGAGCACTCAACCAATAATATGCCAATAACGTGAAAAAACCACTGGGCCCCGAGACCTCGGGTTAGAGTAAGGTGTATGGTTAACGTACGGTAAAAGTTTTTGGGTTGAAGCCAACAAGGGTTAGCTCTGGAAATAATAAAAAAAAGCAAGTAGATTTAAGACGATATCATATTAACATGGGCATATATTGACAGTATTGTTGATAATCATTATTATTAATTCATAAATAAATTACGTATTGCTATTTTTAATGAAAGTGAGTGGTGAATAGAATAAAATGCGCTTTATTAAAAAGTAAAAGCATAATATATTTTAATGAACGTGTACGTTTTGTTAATGGGACAAAGTACACATTTTTGTCGTTAGGATTTTCAACTTGGAAGTTTTAATGTTTTAATGATAGATACAGATATGCCAACGATCTAAGCAAATGTGGGGCTTCAGTGGGTTTTGTATTCAGAAATATGTTCTATTTCATTTCTGAACAATTTCCAAAGTACAAAGCCTTAATGATTCTAAAATGGCAAATTTTGTGTTTACCTCATTTTGTCTTACTGAAATTGATATTTTGGTCATAGATAGATGAATGCCAATTTTCTCTTTGCATGCATATGCCACCCTGAAAGTAATTCCTTTTATCTTTGTATCATCTTCACAATGTCAAGCTATTACGAATTTACAAAATATCTCGATTGCAAAAGCCACCTTTTTTGTATTTCTGACTTTGTAATTGCATCAATTTGATTGGATTGTACGCTGTTTACAATATTACTATCAAGGGCTCTAATTGGCTGTATTTGATGGTGTACAATCCAATCAAAACGCTGCTTTTACAAACTTCAGATATACAAGAAAGGTGGCTATTGCAGTAAAGATATTAGACACAGTTGATTACAGCTTGGCATTGTGAAAAAGTCTTTGCCCCAATTGTTCAATTTGTAATATGTTTTATTGACTGTAAACCAACCAATCAAGAGATTTGAACGCGACAGAAGGAAGTAATATATATATATAGTAATTGTCATCTATATAATACTGCTATTCAAAATAGAGTTTTAAATACATGAAGACACTGCATATTTCTTGTCGTTATTTTGAAACCATAGTAAAAACTTTACTGAACGTGCAGTCAATCTAAATGTTCACGGTTTAGGCTCTCAGTAGCTACCATTATGTCGAGCTTGTATTACGTGTAGGAAATGTTTTACCTTTGGATTATATTGCATATGAAAGTTTAACCACAGTCTCCACTATTAATGTTTGTTTGCTGGCCATTTCGTACGGATATTTTTAAAGGATTATTAGCAAAAGAATAGCCATGTCACGTTGTCATATCATTTATTATTTGCGTGTTTCATATATAACTGAAAATATCTGATCTAACTTAGATTCCTGATATGCATACAAAGAAAATAGACGAATCTACCCTTGCTTATATTTTCGTGTTATGTTGAATTTATTTTGTTTCATCTATTAACAAAATGTTATTTGTATTTTCAGGATAAACTACTGGATCTTCGTTATTACTTCGCCTTTCATTAGCATAATTCACTAATTCAGTATCACCATGTTTTATGCAGTATCACCAATTTTTATTCAGAACCACCATTTTTTATTCAGTATCACCCGATGTTTTATTCAGAATCACGCCATGTTTTATTCAGTATCACCATGTTTTATTTAGTATCACTACGTCTTATTCAGTATAACTATGACTTATTCAGAGTCACTATGGCTTATTTAGAATCACTATGGCTAATTCAATATCACAATCTAACAATGCAATGAATATAGGTATAAATGTAAGTATGTGGTAAGTATTTTGACACTACATCATGTATCACTATGTATCACTATGGCTTATTCAGTATAACTATGGCTTATTTAGAATCACTATGGCTTATTCAGAATCACTATGGCTAATTCAATATAACAATCTAACAATGCAATGAATATAGGTATAAATGTAAGTATGTGGTAAGTATTTTGACACTACATCATGTAGGTGTATAACGTTAGTGATAAGTGTTTTGTGTGGACATAATATATGTATCGGCGTATAATTTTCATGGTAAGTTTATAGCATAGACATAAATTATGTCAGATAATTATTGTATCGGCGTATATTGTTTATGGTAAGTGTTTGGTGTGGACATAATATATGTTTTGACATATAATGTACATCGTGTGTGTATTGTATAATCATAATAATTATATCGACATGTTATGTACATCGTAAGTTTATGGTATGAACATAACATGTAGAATTTACATAGTAAATGTGACGTAAGTGAATGGGGCATTAAGTATTTCGTAATTGTAATGGCAAGCACATGCCTACATTTAATGTGTATAGTATGTGCATGAGAAATATATTGTAATCAGCTTAAAAAACATCGATGATTATCAAAAATGATATTAGTCATTGCCTTACACACTTGTAACTGTTTTGAAAAAACCAAGCTATTCCTTCATTTGGTTTTTTTCTCATGCAAATCAATGCCATTCTGTGCACAAAAACATGCAATACTTAGTGAAGATATGAGCATCTTTGTTATTTTTTCGATGGACATAAAATGGACTGTTAATAAAGGGTTGGATTATAACGAATTTTAAATTGGTGGTGACTCACTGATATCCATTTATCTGCTACCTAGTTCATCACGCTAATTTCGTTCACAGGTTCGTAAGCAGCCTTACATAACAATATAAATTTTTGGATGTTATAGCGTTGTCGATTTCGGGGACGGGAGATAATCCCATGATAATTTATTTTCAGAAGTCACAAATGTAACATTGGGCGATGAGTGTAGTTTTGATAATGATATTTATAAAATCTGTATTGATCCCGACACAGTCTGCTCTAAAACAGAAGGAAAATGTAAATGTGATAGAAACCATGCTGAAATAGACGGACAATGTGTGGAACTACCAGATAAGTTATTTAGTAACAAGTATGAATACCAAGCTATTCTTGCCAATCAAGAGCCCAATAAAGTTTTGAGTAAGTTTTGATTCTTTGTTCTATTCTAAATTCTAAAGTTCATGTTATCAAGCATTCAGTCCTATTACAGATGTCATATTATCATGTGTTTCTGAAATTGTACCTCGAACTCAGTAAGGGGTTCTCAAAACTCAGGGTTTATATCATTCGCGTAGGGAATTTAGATGTTAAGATATTTCCTCTTTGAATTGGGTCCTTGGCCTTCATTGAGATAGGTGAATCATGTATGAGTTCAGTTTAAACATATTTTAATGAAGGATTTTCTTGGTAGTTTATTGTGTCACAAAATATAAAAAAGAATTGCCGAATTTTCCTGTAAATTGATGCAATAGCTCTTTGATCCACAGGATCTCCTTATTTGTACATTGTGGCTTTGCTTACAGATTTCAGTTTAAATGTTCCTCAAGAATATTTAAGAGATACTAAACTTGAGTTGATACCACAAGGACGAAAAATAGAGGTTAACGGAATAAATGAAAATAACGAAGTGCAGGTTATAGTTAGCGACACTAAACTTCTTCAATCTGAGGTAACTAAACAGGGTAGTGTCGGCTTCAAAAGGCCTTCCATAAGTGCATGCATAATAAGCATCTATACATGGTTGTTGCAACAAACAACCTTGTGGCATAGATTTTCCGACAAAGTTTGCCAAGAACCAACATTTTACCAGAACAGGAGATTCGTATCTTCCATAGGTTATATTGAACACATTTTGGATTTGGTGTTTGTGATACTGATGTCATAATCTAGTCAAATTTACCTTGAATTACAGCAACCAAAAACGGCCAGAATATCGCAATGGGGCAAATATAAACTGTGGGTGTTCTCAATACACATAAATTGACTGAAAATCTTTAGGATTAATTTCAAACATAGTACAAAAGTAAAATTACACTATAGACTAAAAATTCTCCTCATCAACAACATAAATTTTATTTTGTTAAATTAAGGTAATGATGTTAAAAGTTGAAACTATATATGGTGGTGTTAAGGTACATGACTCGATGTTATTTAAGTTAGAAATAGTCATCAATGAGACATTTGATTCGATTAGTATTGAAGAAGAAAAACCTAACGGAACAAGGATTGACGACTTCTCTTTACCAGGATTTAAAGATTTTGAATTTGTGGACTGTCCAGAATTCACTTTTAAACAAAATACGGTAAGGGTTATGGAATCTATATGGCCTCTTTACAAAGCCGGTTAAAGAAACATGTAAGTGATCACATGATCACATTAGGACCGAAGCTACATGGGGCAAGAGGGGGTGAGGGGCAATGAGAAAAATGGATTTCCCCCTGAAGAAATTCTGACAACTGACCAATCCTATTTCTGCAAGTAAACATCATACTCTATCGCCCCTCCTATATGTTACTTGCCCCTTCAAACAATCAAGTGTTGCTACGGGCCTGGATCGTATTGCATGTTGTGTCTAATATTTAGAGTTTGTGTATCGTTTGTTTGTACTTGAGAGGTACGTTTCCTCCCATTCCTTCCTTTCTCTCTTATTTTAAAATGTTTTTTTTTTACTTGAAATTGTCTATTATTTTAATATTTAGATATATACTAACAAGATATTGGACAGAGAAAGGGGTAATAGTGAATACCATTGTAAAATCAAAGCAACTTTTGAAAAGGATAATCAATGTACTTTCAGGGTAATTAATATACTAAAACTTATTTGCACACCCGAATGACTATCGAAATGAAACGTTTGTGTTTCAGTTGTTCAAATTAAAGAGCCCGTCTGAGGTGAAATTCACCAAGAAAAAACACCATTAGAAATTAAAAATCGTAGCATGTCAAAATTGACACACAAAGCTTTAACAATATCCATGAATATTGTCAGCAGACAAAAGACGAAGTTCAAACTTTCATCACCATGCTTGACAAAAAGTACACTGGCTATTAAGGCTTCACTTACCATTACTTTTAATTGGAAACATCCCTGTCCAAAAAATATATATATAAAAAAGAAATTAGTGAGTAAATTTGATTCCATACATTAAAAACACAACATTAACCTTGAGTCATTTTGTAGGATGTTGGATCTGTCATAATTAGTATAGAGGATATAAATGATAATCCGCCAGTGTTTCCTAGACAGACATATTTTGGTAAGGTGAAGGAGAATGATCCTGAAGCAGTCGTTTTATTTCAAGACACAAGTGGAAAGAGTGTAAAGGTAATTATGAAATGAATCAAAGTTATACAGTTTTATATTCTTCTGTTGCAAATCATGTGATGTGCATGGTTGGACATTTTTCAAGACTTTTAAGTTCCTGCAATTCCACTCATACCAATATTTGATGACGTCAGTATCGCAAAATATGCAAAATATCGCGATTAGTGACGTCATCAAACACTCATTTTTAACAGACATCTGATTCAAAATTGAAATGGAGCAAATTGATGCTCCCGATACACACAAAAGATGTAGCAAACCTCTTTACAATCACTTTATTTTTGTTATCATTTAATAACATATTACCATGTTGAGTTTTCTTTCACAGATTACGACAGCTGATCGAGATATAACACCAAATAACAACATAACTTATACTTTATCAGGCGGAGATGATTTACCATTTTCTTTAACAAATAATGACAGAGACGCCGTCATAAAAGTCAAAAGAAATTCTAAGATTGACAAAGAAACCAAAGACAATTATATATTCATAATAGAAGCATCTGATGGAATCAACAAGAATTCAGCAACAGTAACAATTGAGATCATTGATGTTAATGAACCAGCCAAGTTCACAAAGAAGAACTATACATTTAATGTGTCTGAAGATGATTCTAACGTGTTTGTTGGATATGTTATTGCTGTAGATGAAGATAAAAATGAAAAATATCGGAAGAACAAATACAACATCTTAAGTGGTTCTTTTGGATATTTTGAAATAACACAAAATGGATCTCTTTATTTAAAGAATACAACAAGACAGAAGCAAACTCTATTCTTTGAACTCATCGTCTCTGTGTCAGACGAGAATTTACCAGAAGAAAGGGAGACTACCAATGTTACAATTCGTGTTACTGATGTTAATGAGAGCCCCAAGTTTAATCAATCCCTCTACAATTTCATAATTTTAGAAGGTGACGCATGCAAGGACGGAATGGGACAGGTATACGCTTATGAGATTGACTTTAAGGACACAGCTAATTCCATCTTTAAGTTTAGTATAGAATCCAATCTGTTTAACGTGGATCCAGAAACAGGGAATATAACCTGCAAGAATTCTCTAGACTATGAACAAAAAACAGAATATGAATTAGAAGTTAAGGCTGTTGATAAAGGATCACCACCTCTTAGCTCAACAACCAAGGTTTTAGTGAAATTAGAAGATGCTAATGATAATGACCCTATACTTGATGTTGGCACAAACCCAGTAATATTGTGCTCCAACATACGTATAAAGGGTAAACCAATTACTGTAGTAAGAGCTTCGGATGCTGATTCTGGTTTAAATGGACAATTAACATTTAGTATAACCAAGATTAATGGTGAAGATATATTTGGTATTGATGATAGTGGATTAGTATTTGTCAAAGAAGAAAATAACACTTTAGAATGTAATAAAAATTACACTGTAGAAATAACATGTAGCGATAACGGTAGGATATGATTTTTTTACTTCTACATATTGTTTCTCGATTATGGTTTCTAGAGTTTCTAGTTGATAGTATGATAATGATATCTATCAATATCGTTTTCAATTTGATTCAAACATGTTGGTGATGTAGTTCTAGCTACTGCATCCCGAGCTACTGCATCGGGATGCAGTACCATCAGCCCATAGTCAGACTTGATTTTTCGGAGTAAATAATACATCAGGAGGGATAATGGTGTATGGTTTCTGTAATGGAATTAGTTGGTTGCCCCCCCCCCCCCCTCTCCCAACCTTCCTTTAGCTTCGGGTTACAAATACCACTTATATTGAACCAAAGTATGACCGTCGTCCTGAATTGATTTGTAACTGGAAAACAGTCGAACAATCCTTAGCCGGTTTTGATGAAACTGGTGGACATGTGAAGATTTGTCAGTCCATAAAATATGTGTTGGAGAAAAAGGAGATGATTGAAAAGTATGTATGTTTTATATTGTAGGTGTAAACCCTCGGTCAGTAAGAAGAAACTTAAAAGTATCAGTGTCAGCTCAAGGTATAAAAGGTCTTTTCAAAGAGACAGAATTTGTTTTCAACATTACGGAAGGAGTGGAATATACCAACTTTCTGGGAATAGATTTCAATCAAGATGTAGTGTCTCCTACAGCACAATTATTTATCGTAGATCGAGATGCTGCCTTACATTTCAGTCTAAGGAATAAAACTCTCATAATTAATGGTATCTTTGATCGAGAAAACAAGAGTGAATATAGGATCATTTTGAAAGCTACCGAAACATCTGGGGTAAATAAGTCAGATATTGCTGTGGTAAGTATTTTGTGTAATTGAGATTTGCTGAATTACTCTGATTTTAAAAACGATGGGACCTCAGGCCTTTGTTCGTGTATCGGGAACACCATTTTGTACTATTTGATTCCATGTCCGAATATGACGTCATTATATAGCAACTACTAGCGTAGGGAATCTTTTAAAAATAATATTTTGGAACATATGGAAACTTTAGGTGATTTTTTTTTAAACATTTTGAAATGTAATAGATAATATAAGCTTTCGTTTACTTTTACATTATATTGATATGAACACATTGACCAACGAATATATTTTCTCTTACTAGGTAATAATTTATGAAATATTTTGAAATATTTTGTAGATAAGAATACATATAATTGATGTGAATGATAATCCACCAGTTATAACTGATAAAAATTACATAAGGTACTTAAGTTTATATGAAGGTATGAAAATTGGTAAACCCCTTATTCGTGTAGAAGCTTCAGATGCAGATGAAACTAAGAATACTCTATTCACATACAGTCTATTGACTCCGAATATTCGTAAGTTAGTTTGCTCATTTAGCCCAATTTGTATGGCTACATGACATTAATTACCCTATAATCTATCAGTTACTATGCAAAACATCTACTTTTGGGACAATATATATCGAAAATTAACTATTAATTAAACAACTAATTAAATTCGGATAAAGTTGACTCATTAATTGAATAACAGCACTTATTTGATAGATTTAACACATTTTTCTATCTTTTAATGAAAGGGATATAGCCATTTAAATTCCAGATCTCAATGTCGGATTAAAATCTGAATTTCCGCTATCTGCCTCTGAGTTTAGTCGAGGCTCCGTTTGCTACAGTCTATACACTTTAAATCCCTTGACAGTTGGAAATCAAAAAAGAGGACGCTGTCCTGGCAACATTTCCCTCATTACACACTGAATGGCGTTACTGGTCTTCATTAGCCATACGCAGAGAAGTAGGACGTAAAGCTCAATCTCATTTTCATTTCTAATGAAAGTTTAGACTGTCGTCACTTGTACGTTGCAGTATTATGAGCATTAAAGAGGAACGTCGAATTACGATTCTGAAATGAGATGAAAATATGATATTGTTGATCTGGTAAATTAGATGATTATATCCCTATCAATATTTATTGTTTTTCTAATTTCAGCTTTCATTATAAACAGTGCTACTGGCAATATAATAACATCTGAAATTCTAGACCGAGAAAAAACCTCTATATACCACCTGCTAGTCAGTGTAAGTATTTTATATAATATTCAATGTATTTTATCAGTAAAATTTTACTTTTAGATGGGAGAATCAAACCAGAAAACAAAAATGTAGGAATTTGGATTTTTCGTTACATTTCTTCAATCCTTTTGGTTTGTTTCCACCTTTCACAGAACATTTAAGGCACTGAAAAGGGAGTGTTGAACAAAATTGAATAAACGTTTACAGTTTTCATTATATGTTTACGTCTAAACTATACTTAATTGCAGTTTTATGATATTTTGTAGGTTACAGATGGAAATTTCACAGATGTTGCTTATATAACAGTTGAAATAAAAGATGTTAATGACAACCCTCCAGTTATTCAAGATCCAGGATTCAAGACAATTAACGTTACAGAAAATCTAGTTCATCAGGCGGTAAGTAGTTACAAACAATATGGGATTTCAATATCTTTCTTAGTTGCAATTACCACGTGATTATTTGAAAATGTTTTTTCTTTATTTTGATTGATTTTGATTCATAATGATCTATTTATCTATAATGTCAAGCTATAGTCAATAAAAAATATATCTGTTTTTAGATACCAATTAAAATAAGAGATGAAGATAGTATTGGTAGCATTAATATAAACCTGAATAGAAACTGTCCCCTTAGTTTGAACAACCCTCTTAGTTCGAACGTTCAACGTAAGTTTTATGTTTAGCATCAAATTTCAAATTTAAGTCTCAACCAATGACGTAATACACTTAAAATTGTTATTATTAATGTTCATATCATGAATATTCTAAAAATCATTCAAGCTACATATTATATTGTGTTTGTAAAATCATAATCAAAGCAAATTTTTCTAGAATCAAGCAACACAATCTGAATGAATGAGAAATTGGTATGGGCAAATAAAAATATAAATATTCCAGATACCAGGCTGTTGATAGTTATACATACAAAATCTAGAAAATTTCGTAATTCCTTTAACTAGCGTGTCACTCCATTAGCAATGTGATCTATTTTTAGAATCTGGAAGTATTGCAACAGGAGAACTGAACTTTAAGAGTCTGGATTATGAAGAACAGACAAAGTATGAATGTATAATAACAGCTACAGATGGGAATTACACTACCAATAAAACATTGGTTATTAACGTTGTTGATGTTAACGATAATTCGCCAGTCTTTCGCATGATTCCCGGAGAAATAAGGGTCGATGTTCCTGTTAATCCAGGAGATATTCTGGTTGATATGATAAATGCTACCGATGCCGATTCGGGCAGTAATGGACAAATAATGTTCTCTGTAGAACCCGAGGAATATTATGGTGAGTAATTCTGCATCTCCACCCACCCTGTATGAAAACGAACATCAAAGCGGATTAACATGCGGCATAAGTTTAAAGGGGTTAGTCACAACTATGAAGCTGGCAATCTAAATTGTAGCAGGTCAGAGACTCAAAATATGTGAGCTAGTTTGACAAATTGATTTTGTACTGAAAAAAGTCTATTCTAAATCATACAAATTATATCAGCTAGTTAATCTTCTTTAAAATCTATTACACATTTCTATCATTTTCTTTTGACAGAAATTAATAAGAATACTGGAGAGATACGTTTCAAATCTTTACAAAATGATTCAACTTTGGTCATAACTATAACTGCAACAGATAGTGGAATTCCACCTAAATCCTCCGTAGCTAAGGTAAATATACGATAGTTTTTGCATTTTGTAATATTGTTGTTTACTTTTTGCTGGGTGAATTAGCTTCATATTTCAAGACCAGTTGTTGTTTATGATAGTAGCATGAGATAATCGTGTAGACTTTTGGCGAAATATCTGAGGTTGGCAGAATTTCTAACCTAGTAATGAGATTTTTGCCCGAAATACTTACTCTCGGGCCTGCGAGGAAGGACTCCGCCATTGTATAAAACCAAACGGTCTTTAAACAAACGTCTCGAAATGCAGATATGAAACTCTGAGTAACAATATGTGTCAAGGTGTGTTTAATATTTCTAGAACCAATATATTATATTTAGATCAATGTTACAATTTCGAATGATCGACCAAAACCAGAATTTATTGGTTTAAGAGATGACCTGGAGGTAACAGAGAATAACGTGTACCAGAATCTTTATACTGTCAAAGCTAATATCAGTAATATCACACTAGCAAATGGCGAAAGGCAATGTGAATTTCAATACAGTATAAAAGGTTTGATTTGATTTTAGCTTTTAGAATTTTGCTAACTGGTTCATGTTTAGCACATTTGAACAAAGTTGTCGTGTAAATGTTTTCTTTTGTATTAATTTAATGCGAATTAAACGTCAAACTGCATTCTGAAATATGATAAAGACAGCTATATCCCATTTGCTTTCTTGTCCCATTTATGTTATGTACTATAAATGGTCCTATCAAAATTATAAATTGTCGAATTTTCAATTAAATAACACCCATTGACATGATTAATAGGCAACTCAAATTTTGAAATTGATGAAAAAGGTGGTAATATAAGCCTTGTTAAGGCACTTGATAGAGAAGAATTAGTATCCCTTGATAGACTTGATAGACTTGGTAGACTAGGACTGGTTGTTGTGGCTAAAACAGAATGTGGTAATTTTCCGGTGTCATCATCTACCACTTTGTTTATTACGATAATGGATGAAAATGATAATAAACCTGAATGTAAACAACAACTACAACGAATTGAAATTTTACAGGTATGGTATTAGGTCTATTTATTATTTTCTTCTTGGTATTTTTGTACCAATGCTAATATGATTCCTAATGGTCTTAGTGATGATCAGACACATTTATCAGCTAATCTTAAATGTCATGTGAATGCGATTTAGATTTTGTGTTTGTGATGAATAACAGCTCATATATCTGTTTTATAGGTATATAATATACGCGAAGGTTGAATTCTTTAAACAGTTTTTGAATTAGAACTTTAAATACTATACCCACATTGGCGCAAAACTAAAGATGCCCTCACACTATAGTGATTACCAGTTGCGTAAGGTTGCAAATAATGAAAGTGGTCGTAAACCTATTTTTATTCTCAACCATACACTATTTGTAATCGCTGGTTGGCAAATGATTTAAGTTTTTTTTTAACTTCAATTGCTCTGAAATCTTACAGTATTATTGTTCCCAAAACCACCATCTTGTTCCAAATCATTTTGTTGTTTATTTTCAGTCTTTATCAATTAATGATAAAGTTGGTCAAATAGAGGCAAAAGATGACGACGATGAATACAATGGTATACAGACGTATGCTGCTACATCAACTTTAGAATATTTTTTTATTAATCCAAAAACAGGGCTGATTTCACTGAAAAAGAAATTTCCAACTTTAAGAAAAGCTAAAGATTATTTGGTTTGTAATGTTACTTTTATATCCTGCCTTCCGTTATTAATTGATTCGTTTTAGTGCATCGTTTAACCCTTTGTCCTTCGTTCAATAAGTTGCAATAGCTGCACAATAGGATTGAAATAAAATATAAAAGTGGCTAAACATTTATTACATTTTCAAGTAATAATCCAATGCAATAAAAACAAGTAATTGAACAATGAATGAAAATTACATACAATACATATAAAAACAAATATCGAAACATTTTTACAACATAAAATCCCAAATAAAGCATATTAATTAAGCGTTAACCCTCAGTAATACTACTGGGAGGGTGGGAGGGTTTTAAAACTAATAAGCGATCAAGGCTTAGCACGCTAACTGCACAACAAGGCAAGCAAGGCTATAAACAAAACGAGGCTAGCTTATGAATATGCGTGAAGGTCGGGTCAGGTTAGGTCAGCGAGTACACTACAGGTCATAGTTAAAATTAGATTTAACAAAATCTTCACCTTAAATAGTTCGCCCCAAGCAAAACTTTTTGTTCAGAGCATCTGATTGGATTGGGGTTTTTTTTTATAGTAAAGCCATGAATTTGGATTTGTACCAAGCACCTTTACTTAATATCAAATCAGGTCAGCTGTGAATAGATTATAAGAAAGATCATTGTGTAAGGTCTTGCCAATGCTGCTCGATGTTTCTATGATACATGATAATTTTCTAAAAATTAAAGGTACATTGAAGGTTGAAATTTTGTTTGGCTCAAATTCGTGAAAACTATACACGAAAATCTAGAGACACGTGCCCTTAATTCTGAAAGTTTTAACTAAAAGAATCCAGCTGTTAATTTTTTAAACGCCAAAAATATTTTAAAACATTACGTAAGGTCTTAAAGTTCGTAATCCTTTTTGTAAGCTATTAGAAAACTGTAGTACGGACTTGATAACTCCAAATTTTATAGAAATATGTCTCCTACGTATTCTACGTTTTAACTAATAATATCCAGCCATTATCAAGCTAAACATCAAAACTAGGTCAAACTGCTTTATTAATAATTAGTACTCTCCCTTATTAATTAATCTTTCAAATCATATTCAGTTTGATCAAGAAGATACATAGATATAAATAGCATAATTAAAAATATTTTAAGTATAATTTACGACGTTTTTTGATAATGAAAACTGTTTACAATAAAGTGGAATACCCCTGTAATATTGACAATCGGATTTAATCACACTATGAAATGTAATGAAACATCACAGTGCATTTTTAAGGGGCATTAAACCCCATAATTTGCAGTTGTAAAACTGAACTTGTGAAATATTGAATAAAAAAATAAATAAAAAAAATTAGGTCTATATTACAGCGATCAGTTGCAAACTGAAAGCTGTAAAAAGTCATTTGAAAAAGCCCTGAAACATCAATTTTAAATCTGATTGAACGTCGTATTGTTTAATTTTCAAGATATCTGCTCTTGTTGCTGACCCAAATAACAACTTGGTGTGTAACATCAGTATTACTGTTAATCCAGATAATTTTAATGCTCCAGTGTTTTCACAAAGTGAGTTATATCTCATATTGGCACCTTCAAAATCATTCAGACACAGCTGTCATAAAGCTCGGTTGAATGGAAGCTGGGATGGACTACTTTCCTGAAAACAGAATATGAAGTGAAAGTAGACCAGCATTTCATCTATTTCGTCCGGACAATAGCCGTCATAAAGTAATTCATTTTTCAAAGCCAGGGATATGAAGTTCCAAGATTAGGGTCACGAAAAGATTTTTCCTGATATTGGCCATGGTGGAGGTCATTTGCTTACAGAATTTAGAGTGAAAAGGTTATATTTGTTTTGGTAGGTAAATACACCACATCACTAGATATTGGTGCTAAGAAAGGAGAAGTTTTAGTTGTAGACGATCTGAAAGCAAGTGATAAAGATAATGATACTATAACATACAATCTGGATCCCGAAGAGGTAATGTACCATATAATTGCGAGTATAATGCGCACCCCCGAGAGTTGTTTCAACCGGTTACTGCGTGTGGGAATGTTAAGCCTTCTCACTATAGTCACTAACGCCATAACATTTTTCATAGATTAAAGATGATCCATTTCCACGAGGAAAAGTATTTAAAATTGAAATTGTTTTTTTTATCTGATAAATCAAATATTTAATTAATAAATATACCATTGAAAGAGAATTATATTCAATATTTCAACTTATTATTTGAACAGGGTCGACGTCTATGATATCGATATGACTATCACATGAGGATCATAATAACCTCGAACAGCCCCAGCCACGTTACCCATTATTTGTATACTTACTTTTGAGTGATATAAAATGTTTATGTGGATGAGACGCACAAAAAGAATTGAAACTGATAATTCAGACAAGGCAAACCAAATTGATTGAAAGTAAATGTTTTTTTTCAGAGATTATTTCGGATTAATTCTTCCACCAATGGTCCTATAATAACATTGACATCAGATATTAAAGTTGATACTCAGACTGTAATTATACTGAAAGTGTACGCTGTAGATGATGTTTCTCCAATTAAAACTGGGTAAATACAATATTTTCTAGTTTTTTCCCACAAAAGGACATATTATGTGTCGTCTTCAAAATAATATCTTTAAAGATAGATATTAAATTTGATCTAATTCTTGTATTTGGTATCTTTCAAAAAGAGTGTATCAAACTATAAGAAACTAGTCTTTTTACCAAAGGATCTATTACTAAATTTAAATGTTTTTATAATGTAGAACATGTACAATAGAGATTGCTATAGAAGGCCAGTTTTGTCTACAGGAATCATCATATAGAGGAGTTAAAGCGGATGCAGAAACAGCAACACTGTTTCAGATACTATTCTATGGTATGCTATCGGCTTTGAGTTTATGTGTCGTGTTGCTGGTTATATTATGCTACAAGTAAGTGAGAGACTCCCTTCAAATGAAACTAATTTTCAAGGGATTTGTCAATACCGGTGCATGATGAATTATTTCAAGGTTTGAGAAGGTCTATGGAAATCTTAAATGTTGTCAAAAAGACAAAGTTTGGCATTCAATGAAAGAGTGAAGACTTCAGTTAAGTATTCTGCGATGGACAGCACAGGGTTTCTTGTCAAAACAGTTTTTTAATAGATCGCACTACCATTTTACTAACTGAAAGCACAGCTAACTAGCAAGAATAAAAAATATATATTTTTTTGTTTATTTATAAATGAAATTATTATCACGCAGGTGGAGGACACTAAGTCGAGAGAAAACCAAGAAATTCACATTATATAAAACTATGAATCGCAGACCTCAAGTCTATGATGAAGTTGGACACGCCGAGGACAATAGAGGATTTGATGCTGTCAGCGTGGATGGGTCAAATTATTATTACACGATAGATGCACATGTAAGTTTAAAAGTTTAAACCATAGTTTTACTTATTTATACCACATATTTTTCACGTTCTAGTTTCCTACTTTTGCACGTTCCAGTTTCCTAATCTTACACTATTCAGTTGCCTAACCTAACACGTTCCAGTTTCCTAATCTTACACTATTCAGTTGCCTAACCTAACACGTTCCAGTTTCCTAATCTTACACTATTCAGTTGCCTAACCTAACACGTTCCAGTTGACTAATCTTACACTATTCAGTTGCCTAACCTAACACGTTCCAGTTCATAATCTTACACTATTCAGTTGCCTAACCTAACACGTTCCAGTTGACTAATCTTACACTATTCAGTTGCCTAACCTAACACGTTCCAGTTGACTAATCTTACACTATTCAGTTGCCTAACCTAACACGTTCCAGTTGACTAATCTTACACTATTCAGTTGCCTAACCTAACACGTTCCAGTTCATAATCTTACACTATTCAGTTGCCTAACCTAACACGTTCCAGTTGACTAATCTTACACTATTCAGTTGCCTAACCTAACACGTTCCAGTTGACTAATCTTACACTATTCAGTTGCCTAACCTAACACGTTCCAGTTGACTAATCTTACACTATTCAGTTGCCTAACCTAACACGTTCCAGTTCATAATCTTACACTATTCAGTTGCCTAACCTAACACGTTCCAGTTGACTAATCTTACACTATTCAGTTGCCTAACCTAACACGTTCCAGTTGACTAATCTTACAAGTTCCAGTTACCTCTTTCCCACATCTACACAAAACAAAGCTATATAAGAGTTTTTAACTATGGTCATTCTAAGAATGCATTTTGAATACTAATGTATGGTTTGTTTTCAAATTTTAGACATTTTTACGATTCACATTTGACAAACTTTTGTTACATCGGATTTTAAACGAGTGCTTATTAAATATTTCATCTGGCAACAAATTTCATAAATTTCATACAACATCAATCAACTATGATTATACGTATAGACTCTATTTCCCTCCTATTCCTTCTTCCTTCAATTTGAGTTCCACTTTTTTGCACCTTTCTGCAAAAATGTCCTTGCGCGAAAAAAAATAAGATCAAGATTTAACACGTTTTTGTGATAACTAAATTGAAACTTTTACTAAAAATTATGATATTTGGTGTAATTTCATTCCCATTTTAATTTTAACTGAAATGTCAAATTTCAAAATGAATAGGCCTACATGACCTACTTGTACACAATTTTCATAGTTATTAAACCAGGAACAGTACTGTTCTGTAATAAAATAATAATATGACATCTCATATTCTGTTTCAGAATGACAAATTAAGTACAAGAAGTGCTGTGATGTTTAATGAACCTCCCCCAGACTACCCAAATTGATTTAAACTAGCCTTACAATTTGCAGTAAAAAAATCATACCTAAAAAAATGTGTAGTTTTTAAGAACTTGTAATATCTCTCTTGTTTTATGTTTTCTAGTTTTATCATGAAATTGTAATGTGTTATAATCGATCATTATATTTTGTAATGTCTTATTTCAATGTCGAGTTTCCACCAAATGTTTCTATAATTGTACATAGCTCTAGGTTTTATTTTTTCTATTTTGTGTGTAGTATAGAGTAGCAATGGTGTGTGCGGTTCCAGGCAAGGTATGCTTACCCTTGTGGACTCTTGCTGCCATTTTCATTATAAAATGCTTCTTCTTTGAATCTAGCGTTCGTTACATTTTTTCGATTCACAATATATCTTGTGTAATCAGTTCTCTCCCCTTGAACTGTTATATGGACCCAGCAATTAATTTTATGCTAATGATTGCTAATGACTACGAATGTAGTCCGTGCTATTTTCATAAATCCTCTTTGTTCCTCCCTCTTGGGAGTCTTGCATGCCTATATTTGAGTAATTGTTGGTCTAGATTTGGAATTTGATGTCTGAAATTCCATTTCTTAGAGATTTTGTGAGTTGATGAGAGATTTTAATGCGGAGGGATAATTCTAAAAATAATCGTTTTGTGTGCAGTGACAGTCAAACAGATCTTGATAAAATATAGTGGTCTACTTTCAGTTTGGCTCTTAAGATTTCCATGGTCATGATATATTGAATTTTTGTCCAGAAACTAAGAATTGGTCAGACTGTCTTTGACGTGTTGGATAGTTTTCAACGAGATTTCTGGAAAAAGTTATAGAAGGTTGAATTTTGAGATTTAACACGGAAACAGATGACAAATGAAATACCGGATTGTGACGATATTGACATATTTTCATCAGTTACCTCCCTTGAATTATTAAAATTGATCCGTAAAGTCACTATATATATTTTTTACTTCCTATTTGTCGTGTTTGTTGGGATGGAGGTGTCACCAGGAGGGCGGGGTATGCTTAATCTTCTAGATACCTGATACCACCAGGCTTAATGATTATAAAATACCTACTCACTGTGAATATTTTATTTCCTCATGAAAAGTTCATTAGCTGCTACCAATGTATTGCCCATGTTGTTTTGGATCTCAAGTTTCATTTTGCTTCAAGTTTATTTGATTAAAATGTTTCATTCAGTTCATTTTTTTAGCGCATTTTTATAATTTGATTTTGTTAAATGTTTTCAATTGGAGAGCTACTAAGCATACATTTTTATCTTTTATCTTTTTTCTTTACTTTAGATGAAAAGATAATCCATAATTTCACTTGACCTCTGATAATTTCAAAAGATTAAAAGAACAGTTACGGGGCGTTACGGAAACTGGCGAGGATTGCCGATTGATTCGGCCCGTGTATGTTTCAGATGCCTGTACAGTTATTACGTTTGTCTTTGAACATTGTGATTACTCTTCCATTTACAGTATACGTCTGTCCGTTATGGCATGTGACTTTTATTTCCGTAATCTGCATTCTAGATGGCAAATGTATTCAGAAGGGTTAAACTATGGCCATTGTGAATTAGGTTAGTGGAAGAGAGAGCTTGGGTTGAACATTCATTATTCAGCAATTGGAAGAAGGGACTAAATAGGCTTAGTAGTTTCCCTCTGTTGATCTGTACATTACAATAGACAGATAAGACTACCCCAAGGTTGCCGACGGAGTGAAAAAAAACTACCAGGCCAAATTTTGGTCAAAGCCGTCAAGGGTTATCTCAGGAATGTTTCCTGGCTGGTTCAAAGATGTGGTTTCGATATGGTCAGAAGGAGATATCAGATAGGACAGAATATTTAAGTATTATACAGAGATGATAAATGCTTTAAAACTTTAACAATAACATCATTTTATAAAAAAAAAAGAAAAAAACCTTAAGCACCAAATTCCGAATTCATTAGGCAAAGAAAATAAAAGAAACTCTCGTGATAAAAACGAGAATATGATTTTTCTACCGAAGAATTAGTCCCATGGTCTCGGACGTTTGTTTTGAGATAACGCAAGACAATAATATCATTCTACAAATGAGAAATATCTAATTCAATGACAGCACCCTTGTCCATTCATATTGATATCACAATGTGGTTCACATATAATAGGAAGTCGCTCTTTTGCCATACCGAATAATTCATCTGGTATTTCCCAGATTTTAATAAGCACCTTATAGATATCACTATAATTTTGCACCAAGAGATTTTTGTTTGTAAACTCTTAAAGTCAGTTTAAATTTCGGGTTAGATTGGAATAACATTTCCTATCATATAATAGCAATATATTTTCTTTGTTAAAAAGTGCTCAATTCATTAGTATGAGCGATATAGATATTTCAGTTCCTATAATATATAAGTTACCCATTTCATTATGAGGCTTTCAACTATGCCCATGTTAAAGTTGGAGTTAATCTTTTCATTGCAAGATTCTGGATTCCCATTCCAAAATGGTACATGAAATTAATAATGAAGTTTGGTTCATATTTTTTCAAGTCAAGAGTTCGTATACTAGTGGGGTTTATTTATCCACTGCGAAATATAGTCTTATAGAAACTAGATCAAATTCAGTCAGATTTGTCCACGAATTCATTTACTGTTGTTTACTATTTCACTGTGAGGCAATTTGAAATTCCTGTTAAATTTTACTTTATATTCTACTACTGGAGCTGACCCTTGTCGTCTGGTATTTCAACACTGATACTAGATTTATGTGAACTACGAGGTGAAGAAGGCGTAGATGCTGGCACATCAGGCTCATCAAAGGGATTGAGAGGTTGAGTCTGTGTGGCTACTTCATGGGTAATAATTTTCTTGGTTTCGTGGTGTATAACTTTCGTTTCGGATACCTCGTACACTATACCGTGTTTAAAGGTTTTAATTATATACAGAAAAGCTACGAACATTAACACAAAACCTGCAAAATAAAAATTAAATAACGATTGACACTTGAAATACTTATTTTTTGGATCTCTTTGACAAACCCACACGAACAAACTATTTCATGGACGCCGCTTAATGATTTAAGTAACGACACCATGACCAGGTGAAGTATCCGTATATTATCGAATCTCGGTTATGGCATAGTATCAAGACTCAATAACAGAATCATGTTGACGTCAAGCAACGACACAACCTCGCCATCAAGACTATGTCGAACTCTTTTTACAACACCGAGTCAGAATTCAGTAATGTTATTATGTCGAAACTCTTTCTGGGCACCAAATATACAGTAACGTTACGGTGTTGACATTCTGTAACAGCATTCAGTAATGTCAGCACGTAACAATGTCGACTCCTCCATGTCACCTTTTAGTTTTTCGCCGATCAAAGATAACAACGTCGACGGGTTCAGGATGCAGCTAGTATTATATTTTATACATACCACATATCATTCCTATATACACCCTCATCCCATTTAAAAACATTGGAATAGATAAACTGATATATAGAACTCCTTTCTTCCAGCAGTCTACCCACAGTATAACACTCCACAGAGTACAACAGCATCCAACTCGTCTGTAAATAAACAAAACCTTAGGCTATAATGGTAGCAAATAATTAATATACATAACACATATTGTCAGCTACTTGCATTCTCTGAAAGGGTGCCATATAAATGTTATGTAGACAATCTGAAAGAGTTGTCCACTGAACAAACCCGTAAAAGACACTTACTAACATTAAAAGAAGGTGCCGGGTTGAGAGACCTAGTTTCAGAGCGATATCATAGTTTCAAACCACAAAATGTATTTTACTTACGCGCAGCAAACACATTTATCCATTATCCAGACCGTTTCAAAGAACGTAATCAGAAGACCAGAAGCTCTGTGAACAAAAATAGAGTTCACGTTAATACAGAGAACAGATCTCTGTAAGTAAGGACACAGAAGCCCAAAAGATGAGACTTTAATCACAAAAAGAGGGGGCAGTAAGAACACATGATACAAGTCTCGGTCATAAACTCAGGACCACCAATACTTTGACAAAATCTCATGCCTGTTCTGAAAATTGAAAAACCACGAATCACTTTACAAAAAGCATCTGAAATCAGTTCTTAGATTTAATACGATGTAATATTGATGGGAACTAGATAAACATTTTTCACTGATTAAACTTTCAAAACTTTTTCCTAGTTTCCATGGTAACATAACATGTGAAAGGTTTCAAGTTAAAGAATAATGACTTTATTTTTTTCATTTTTGTAAGTAGGATGCAGGATCAATGAATGATCGTTGGATGGTTTTATAACAGCGTGTCATTTGAAGATTCTGTAGTTTTACCGTGTATGACATACTGACCGGCTTTTGGCAGTTAAATCAATTTATTATTTCGTTTTGAAACACAAACAAAATATTAACATATGAAATTTTAGATTCGTGTCATTGAAATTTTGTAACGTGGGTTATTGTGTAATGGGTTAGCATTTAAACATATATCATTTCAGTTTTATAATCGTGGTATGAAAAAAGTCTTACTTACACTAAATACCATCCCAGATAAGGCACATCTGGGTATCTATGTATACATAATACAGCCGCTGACCAAATCACTAAAAGAGATAATTATATTAAATAAAAACAATGAGGTATCATAGGGCGAAACTTTTGTTCAAGTCAAACGAATTTCCTTTTTTTTTTTGTATTTCAATATTTATTATGAGCAGTTTTGGATCCAGGCCAAGGGGAAGTCAACTAGTACAGGTCTTAGCGGGTGTATAGTTCGCGAGCTCACTAATTCAGAGAAACTCATGTAGTTGTATTATAGATTATCGATAAGCAAGCAAGTCAGATATTTCTGATTACCACGTGGTGGAACTGGATAGGAATCATAGGAAAGATAGACCCATAGACGTTAATGACATAACGTTCCTAACCAGTTGCGCTTTATTCAGTATTTATGAACTGGTAACAATTTCTAGTGTAAAATGGAAACTATATGACCGCAGGATACCTAGCTCAAGGGTCATACCACAGACATTATACAGAAGTTTCGGACCAATTATCCATGATCCATTATCAATGCATTCGGCAGAACTCTTACACGGTTAACCGTTTGGTATCAATACTTACAAATAACTACCCCAAACCCACACATCCTGGCGATGATTGTGATATTCTTTATAAAAAACGGTCGATGATGATGAGCATCCCTGCTGCTCAATCGAGTCTTTTCTGTGTATTCTATAGGAGCCATGGTTTTTCTCTTCAATATTTATTCCTAAAAAAAAATGAAATAAACAAACAAACAAATAAAAATATTAGGTATAAGATGGACATGCTCACTTCCGAAGCAAATGATATGACAATTGAACTTGCCATTCGTGACTTTTAATTTTTTACTTCAACGGTCAAAACATTCAGGGGACCTGATTTATCAAGCTATCAAGCAGGGGTTTTCAAACCTTTTCTTTCTTTTACTTTCAATATCCTTGGTTGATTTCGTGATTTTCTCTGTGGTTTCTCCTGCAATCTAGGAGAAGATAACTTGACAGAATCGAACAACTTAAATTATAATTGTCCAAAAAACATTTGCTAAACTCTATCTGAATTACACACTTTATATATTGTAGGTTTACATATTAAAATGTTACAGTCAGTCAGCCATGAGTATTTGTCACTTAAGCTAGTAAGAAATATTTCACATGTCAGTAACCTACAGTCGAGTCTTGATTAGTTTTATAATCTGACATTAATCAATTACACTCTGTATCTAATATTTTATAATCATTGATTATGGATTCAATGAGGTCACATTGTCTTGATATTGACTTATCTGAAGTGATATGAAATTAAAGTAATCCGAGAATAACCTGTCCTATTACAGATCATCTTGACGGTGTCAAGCTATTAGAAATACCTTTGACTGCAATAGTTACTATTCTTGTATCACGGAAGTTTGTAAATACAGCGATATGATTGAATTGTACGCTGGCGAATACGTCCAATCACTCGATAGAAAGTCTGTTAATGTTCAGCTATAATGTTTACAGTGTTTCTGTCGACGGCTCTGATTGACTGTGGCGGTTGAGATTAAAAGATTGCCGTTTAAGTAGGAATCCAACTGATCTGCAGACTTTCTTGGCTCTAGATCATACTGCCGAACAAAATTAGCGAACTCATTGAACAGTGATAGTCAACAATATGAATATCTTTATTTATGAGGGCGAACGAGCTCAGGCGAACATGTATCTTGGCGATAGGGTCAGATGTCGACTTGTCGGCCTTATCAAGATTCTCGCATGACTGTCACCAACCTTATGTCAATATAACCTCTTTCAGTATCCTTGATCGATTGCATTTATAATATAAATCCTTATTATTAACTAATTTTCTCTTTTTGTTGTGTGCTTGCGTATTATCCCTTCAAAACTTCAAAGTTACCCCCTTACACCCAGACTGAAAACCCCTGGAGAAGATAATGAATAAATGTTATATAATATCCATATGGATTTTATGTTTCAACTCAAAAAACAGAAAAGGGAGGGGTGTCACCTATAATATCGACTATATATGTTTTATAATGTCTGTACACTGTGAGTTATATAATATAATCTATAATTATGTTGTTCTGTAACGATCCGATAATAACTGACTATATTCATGAAAATAACATCTATTCTATCCTGTACAGTAGTATATTAAAAATCTATAATTCTATACAGATTCATCTAGAAATAGATATGTGTGTTAGCCTGGGGTAATGACGAGGTGACAGAAACCGGGTCTGAAAATGGGATAGACTGAGAAAGACTGAGAAAGACAATTAGTATAGGATGGAACATTATAACAGAATAGGACAGTGCAAGGAACAGTGACAGTGGGGTAAATAGGGCACAGTGGAACAAAATAGTATTTGGGGGGTGGACTACAGGACAAGATGAGTCAATTAGGACAAAATGAGTCAATTAGGACAAAATATGACTTAAAGGCAAATAGGACAGAGTGGGACCATCAGTATTGACCTTACTAAGATGACTGAGGAAGACAAATAGAGGTAAATAGATTTAAATGGGACAAATGTACAACACTGGTCGATTGACTAAATTTTCTAAACGACCTTCCATAGAACTTCGAAACAATGTCGGTATGTGGACATTCTGTAAAACAGAGAAACAAGGTTGTTCTGATAATGCGTATCATTTTGTTTATGATAAGAAAGAAAAACATACACATAAATATCAAATTCGACATACTGGCATTATCATGGTATAATGTTCTTGTTATAAAACCAGAGACCATTTATCTTTGACATTTCTTAAAGTTTCTTGACATAAAAGGAGGCGTGGTGGTGTGTTACCGAATATCTCAAAAACAGTCCAACTTTCTTTATTGCTATGATTACGCTTTAAACATTTCAAAATATAGCCTTGCACACATTGTTACATTAAATTCTATGTAATATTCTGTGGGGCTAATTAAAGGAAAATTTAAGCTCTCGGTTCACGATTCAGCTTTTCAGAAGCCTTCGTAATCACATGGCTTGAGATGAGCACAATTCGAAAGATACAGTTGTCTATTATTTAGATTCAGAAATATCAAATAGCACGAATGTTGTTCTGCATAGGTCTTTTTTGTCAAAATTGAAAGCTGAAAACACCCTTTAACGAATGAAAAAATTTTGACCGAAATATTTGCCTTTAATTCAGTCAGTTATTTTGACAAAAAAAAGAAGGTCCTGTTTTAAGGGGATTTCCTACGCCTCGTGCGTTTTTTAACAAATATTTAACTCCTTTTATGGTGACTGTACATTAGTGTTGGGCAGCCCCGTTAGTTTCTTTAGTATCACTTGACCCTGTGACCATTGAACATTTGGTTACGCACCTAGTCTTAAGAATTTACCTCCGAAACAGTGTCGACAACTGACCACATAGCTATCAGAGGCTATGTAGAACAAAACAAGGCAGATGTTTCGGTCTTGAAAGAATGCAGAATAAGTTAGAAAAAGACTAATAGTCGTATAATGACATACTATTCATTAGTATTTACTGAATCATTAGGAGAAAATGTCACATACTTTATCAGTAGAAAGTATTTATATTCAACAATATTGTCTATGTGCAATAATCATGTTGACTAAAAATAAAATATCAAATAAACATTATTAACATCGTGAACTCTCTGTAAAGAATATGAATTGACAAACCTAATTATCAGATACAAATTATTTACTTTCTGGACTCTATAAAAGTAATGCCTAATTGACAGAATAAAAACCAAATAAATATTGACTTTCTGAAAAGGGTTGTCCAAACTATCAAATATTTATTTTCAGCTTCGTTGATATACTTGTGCGCAGTAGACAAACCTAAACACCAAATAAACTTTAAAGGCTTTGTGGACTCTCTGAAAGGGACGGACAGTTGACAAACCTATATACATAAATAAACATTATCAACCCTTGTTTTCTTGTTTCGAGTTGTTATGATATTATAATATATAAACTTACCAGGACAATATATATAATGTTATTTTATACACACTGGGATAACAGATAAACTTTCATTTACATCAGGTACAGTGTAAAAAATCAATATGGACATTGATAATGATATTCTAGTTTAGTCATGTGGAAACATTTCACGCTCCTGTCGCCTAATATAGCCTTTCTAATTGTTATTTTGAGCACCCTTACGCATTAAATATAGTAAATATCACTGTTTGTAGATATGATGAAGAAGGATACGATCGACTGTTGAGGATTTAGCTACTTCGTTATCTTGAACGTCAGTGATTAGGTTATCTTTATCTTCAAATTCTGCTTCTATAGGAACTGGTTAACGCACCCCATGGAGACGCAAAAAACCTATCCAATGTGTTTCCATTAATCAATAGATATCAACAGTTCTTTGTAACTTCATCATCACATCATCATTTTAATCATCATCATTATCATCATCGTCACATCACTGTAGATACATCATCCTCCCACGTCAGTTTATTTAGTGACATTAAACGAGTGTTTACGGCTATTCACCGTGTACTAAATTTTATATCAGTCAATTTCTTTCCTAACAAATAGTCCCACTACGTTAACAGTAAAAACAGTTTAAATTGATGTTGGTAACAGGTGCTCGTGGGTTGACTATTAGTTTTCCTTCATTTAATAGCTGACAGCCACCTATTGTTATTTGAATAATTTATATTCAAGGGTTCTATATTTAGTTTAAAGGATATATTCCTTTTACCAGCTGATAAGATTTAATTTCAGCATTTCAGAACGCACTGGGTCAAAAATGGAATCGAATTTGCAAGTTCCAGTAGAAGTAGTAGGCATCGAAGTGTCATCGAAGCAAACAAAAAACCCTTAACGTCGCCCATATTATAACCGATTGAATTAGGGATATAGGGATTTGATTGGTTAAAACACTAAACTTAAAACTAATTGGTGATGACCAATCAAGTGTTACAAATAATAAAACCATTTCAAGTTAAACTTTGTGAATAAAGCCCACGGAACTGGCCTGGTTAGAGATAAACATGGTCCAGTCTTATCTATTTAATAGATAAAAACCTGACTGTCAGACAACTAGTTTGACATTTTATTATCAACAGACGTATATATGTATGACTTTGTACACTCATGTTCAATTATTCCTATGTTTGGATTTGTGAATGACAGATTTCTCTGGCAAAGCTGAAGTTATTTTCCTTAAAACTAAAATGAAATTTGAACAAAATATATACTTTCTCACCCTTATAAAACCATTTGGTGCAAAATGAAATTCCAAGCTCTGTTCGTTGAAGTGACAGTATACTGTCTTTGACACATTATTCACAGTAGTTACAAAAACCTTTAGGTTTGTGTTCAATGAGATAAAATCATCTCATACCTATTCCTATGTAAATCCAGTCAGCTCTTTTACCATGCACGACGTCAAAATCCGTAGATTTATGTTCAATGGGAGAGAGTTATTATTTTAAATGCCAGTCACTTTAACATATTGATTGTGGACTATTAGTAATAGAATATATTAGGTTGAATATAGGTTATACCGTTATATTCATACATAATAATACAAGTGATTATAATACTAACGCAATACATACTGCAAGATATGATCGTGGAATGAAGTGTGGGGGAGTGTGGGGTAGGGGAAGGGGTGACTATTGCCAAAAATGTAATGGCGGATATACAATTACCAGAGACATTAATTGGTTGAACTAAACAGATTATTTGAAATGAAATTAAATGAATGGAGTTTTACGTCCTACTTTTCTGCACCATGTGGGCTTATGAAGACGGGCAACGCCATGCAAGTTGCAATGAGGGAAATTTTGCCAGGACAGCGGCATTAACCTACTCTTTTTCGATTTTCAACTGTCGAGGGATCTTTAACGTGCACAGCCTGTAGCACACGGGGCCTCGGTTTATTGTCCCATCCCAACGACTAGACGCTTTTTCCATGTCAGCCCCTATTACCTACATCACTGACAGGGGTAAACCGGGCTGAAAAATCCGAAGGTATTATCTCGACCTATGCCGGGATTGAACCACAGGCATCTGTTTCTATCAATAGTCGACCATCTCTATACTAGTATAGATATGAGAAGGTGGCTAAGGCTCGTCACGACCATCTCCGCATTAGACGATTTTCTACCATTTACCGTAATGAAACATGATCCCAACCTTATATGAATCGTTTCATTGAATATTTTCCCTTCATACAAGACCTATTTTATATCTCCCTCAGAGTTCCTCTTCATACTAATCTAACTTTTGTTCAATAAAAATACTAAAAATATTTACACCCATCGTTTCACTATATCTACTTCCGGTTGATTTGGCAGTAAATGAATATCGGTCAATACGATTGGTCAGCTATAATTACCTGTCGAGTAAAAACCAAAGTGAAAGTAAAAGCATGGTTATTGACTTCTCTATTTTATTATTCAGAAAAAAGTAGTTATATAGGTGATTTCCATTTTTTTAAAATATAAAAGTAATGAAAATAGCAACACAGTAATTTTACAGCATCATTTTCTTTACAAAATAGATAACATTCTGCCCTGAAACCCGCCAACCGGAAGTAGATATAGTGAAACCTTCTCATATATATACTATTATAGAGATGGTCGACTATTGATAGAAACAGATGCCTGTGGATTGAACCCTGGAGCTTCAGGTAAGCGAGCAAGCGTCTAGCTCATTGATCCGCATGCAGTGGCCTAGTGAGGTGTGTGTGTGGGAGGGTGGTAGAGGGTGGGCGGTGCGCGCCTCGGTTTCTCTTTACGGATTTTTGAGTGCACTAGTTATGGGTTGGGGTCAGGGGTTCATCCCCTTGGAAAATTTCTTCAATGTAGGAAGCCAGAGAATACATCTAACGCGATTTTGGAAGCGATAGTAGAATAAATTGTTTTGTAAACCTTTAAATACGTCTTTGTCTGTCAGTTTGTATGTGGAGCAGGGTTGGGAGGTGGGGGACGGAAGTCGCGTATGTAAACGGGTGTATGGGGGTCAAATACTAGTTACTCGATGCCACAACAATCAGTGAGTTGAAACATTATCAAAATGAAACTACATACTTGAAGCCATCAATTCTTTTTGTATAAACCACAACCATCATATACTTAAAACATTAATTGAGAAATTTAATACAGATGTGTTAATGTTTTATTATTAAGTTTTATAAATACTCGTTGCTATGACTCTTACAATACAGTCGTCATCAAAATAAATCAGGTCAAAATAAAACAAAGGTGAAACTTGGAAGTTAATGGAAATCGTGGTATAAGCGTGGATTGAAAAACTTAAAATATCTTTTGAGTATGAGCATCTATCGATTAACTAGAAATTCTAAATAACATTAATGTTTTTACTTGATTGTCAATAACCGGAAGGCAACGACTGGTTTCAACTGCAGGTTTTAAGTTATGCTACCATAGAAAACTGTTATTGTACTAAGTAATCTGCTTAATAAATGAAGACGATGCATGAAAAGGTATACATATATTTTACAGTTTAGTACAAGGCTCTGCCTCCAGCGGAGGTGCCAGTATCCCATGAACGAGGGTAAGACTGACTGTCAAAGCTAACGGGGTGGGGGGGGGGGGGGGGGTCAATCCAAGCCTGTTCCCGAAAATAACGGTAGCAATAGTGAGTAGGAAAGTGGACTTCTGATAATTGCTTCGATGATGGGTTCGTGCTCAATATTTGATTGCCCAAGATAATAAAAATGAGTTCCATGGTGGCTCCAGTAGTTGTACTGACATGGTCTTTTCCACTATTGTAGAAGACTGTGTTTGTAAATCACAATATCTTTGGAATTTCTGGTGGTAAAAGATCATAATATATGTTAATACTACTCAAGAGTTTGAAGGCACCACTAATTATTGAACACAAAGGGACACTTTAATAATTTCAGACAGGAAAGCTCTATTTTAAATGTCACGGTCAGTTGTTTCGAGCGTAAGACTATATCTCTGCACAACTCCCACCTGAATCACATACATCAATATTTCAGATGTTTCAGCCAGTGTTTTTGAGAGTCACCTTGACTTTCGCTAATCTCACAACACTGAGAAGCCTTCCTCATCATCTTGAAACTTGAAAAATGTCTGTCTGGATCTAGGAGTAGTGGATTGTCCGGTATTTCCTGGCGCTCGTCGTAACCAATGAGTTTCCATCAAACCCTTTCCCTGCAAACGAAAGAAAAACATCATTTGGATCAAAGAAAAACTGAAGCCAACAGACCATAATTTCAAAACAAAAATGGCAAGAGAAGGCAAATATGGGCCGACGTTTCTCGGATTGGTAAAGGACTTACATTGCTTTACATTACCAAACTTAAACACTTATAGATACCACAATACATAGCCTGAAAGTATGGTTGTAGGCTGTAATGACCGACATGAGTAAATTCCCTTTATGGATGGCATAAATACGCCAATGCCAGATATATAGATAGAAAATAAAATATTAAGCAGATATACCAAGGATATACTAAGTGAGTCAAGTGATTGCCCTTACCAAGGTTACACGTTCATTAAAGTCAATATGCGTATCTGATCAATAACCTTACGAGAACCGATTAAAAGCTTTTAAAATGATTAAAGAAAAAAGGCAATCAGTCTAATATAGATTTTTACTCTTTCATTATTTTATATTGATTATAATAATTATAGGATTTCATTTTAACCGAGTAAGATATCTGTCAGAGTTCAGTTATTGACAAATAGAAAGCAAATGGAGTTTTACGTCCTACTTCTCAGTGGCATTTCAACGGGGGTGGGGAGAAGCATGGCTCCCTAGAAAAGAGGCTCGCCTTTGAAAACTATTAACATACAGAAACGCCTAGAATGAAGACAAAATATACTAGGTTTATAAGAATAAATTATTTAACTAAGACATAATTGATATTTACAATACTTATATCATAATGGGCCCTTGTTACAATACCTATAATTGTGATAAATGTCGTAAATTGTTCACAAACCTTATTGTGGTAACCAGAACAGCTTTTATTGTGATAAATGGATTGTTTCAACCAAATAGATTGTGATTTTACTACGTTTCACAATAAAAGTTGTAACGAGGGCCTTCAATAATTGTCTGTACTTACATAAGGGATAATGGGATTTAAACATACCTTAATGTCTATATTTCCTCGAGTTTCGATAAGAAAATCATTTTTATTCTGTAACCTGAGTTTAGTTGTATCACTGATCTGTATACAGCCACCTGTAATATTATATTCTAGATTATAACATGGGTCATAATGGCTTAAAATGCGAATCAATTTAATTAAAATTATATAACAACGTCGTTTCCTTTCCGTTCTGACGTTCTGATACCTTTCGTCTCCATTGTAATCTAACCGCTTCCCCGTTCTAGTTTCATAGTTCTTAAAGCGTCAAAGCGTGTCTCGAAGGACTCGTTTCTTGGTTATAATGGCGAATTGTAGTGTAGGATAGTAAAGAAAAAAGTAGAGGGATGAGACAGCCTTTTTGTGTTTCACTATCCCACAATTCATGTTTTTTTATCTAGAAAAGTGTTGTACATGACACGATGTGATCGGTTAAAAATAACGTCATAGTGCCGTCGCGGAATTCGCGATAACTTGTTACCTATAGTATCATATAACATGTCGACATCATCACCAGACAATTAAATTAGAGTCAAAGTGTTGACTTTTTACAGCACTAAGTAACTTTAATTTCCTCATAGCTTTTTCGTTTTTGAAAAGTTAACCTTCATGTACAAAACAAGCTGCACTGATGACTCATCAGTTAGTCAGTTAGTTTTACGTTTTGAGATGAACGTGGTTTCGATCATTGCGATCATTTCTAATTAAATTTCATCAAATTCTGAAACTGATTGATTTATCGATTAAATGCTATTGATCTGCTAGGTTTGTATCATGTATAAACAAAATACGTTATTAATTAGATCTTTTTAACTCTATTAATTAAACATTCTTTAAATATCAGAACACATCATTAAAACAACACATTTAATGATGTTTATTAACTTTGAAAATATATATCAATCTTGGCAAAAATATCCGAAACGTTCAATGCAAGTTTTTAGTTCCAGTCCAGATATTTTTGCCAAGATTCATACATTAAAATTCATTTACCTTTTTGTTACTTGTTTAGGGTTCATACTCCTAGAGGGATACTGCACGGATCCATTCATATACCGATATAAGGTGTAGTCCAGATGATTCTGATCTGAACAAGGCAGTCTCCAAGCAACAGCACCATCCCCTAAATATGTGGATTGACTCCCCCCGTCCCCCTGAAATAATTGCCATTACTTGCCCCTCCGAATAATCAAGTCTGTCTTCGGAACAATAAATTTATGACGCTTTGCCATTGATTTCCATACGTTTAGACATTTTGAATTATTTCTCAAAGCCATTTTTGGTATATTACTAAAGGCCTGGCCATTCAATATTTCAATGTTGGCAAATAAAAAGAAAATTCAACTTATTTGTTCGGAAAATGTATGGACGGGGTAATTACAAAAATGTAATTACTATTAGGCCAGATGTCTTGAACTGTGAGAGTGTATTTACCGGTACAATTAGTAACATGTATAGGTTTATCTTGATTGCCCATAATATACAATAATAAAATGATACTGTACCTAGACCAGTTGTCATGAATCGAGAAGCTGTATTAACAGTATCACCAAATAGGCAATATCTCGGCATCTTTAACCCCACGACACCTGCAACCACCGGCCCTGTAATTGTCAAAATCTCTTGTTTGATCGGGGTACTATAGAAGCCAATGGTATATACACAGGAATAACAGCTTCGGATCCAAACTATACACTCTACAAGCCAATTTTGGTATGATTTGGCTGTCAAGGACATAATCTCCATCATCAAAAATTTCATTTTATTCATACAAATTTTCATCAAAACCAATCAAAACTGTAATCTCTATAACGTTTACAAGCAATTGTAGACGGAAAAGGGGGAAACAAAGTTAATCAATTAATGAATTAATCAATAATACCTGTATTCAAACCTATCCTAATGTCCAGTTTAGTTTTTGGTAAATGTGGAACTGTCATGGTATTGAAGGCCTCCAGTATATCAAGAGAAAACCTGGCTGCTTCTATCGCATGTTTCTCATTCCTGTTAGGTACACCAGATACCACCATATAAGTTTGAGCTGGAAATGAATAATATAAACTACTACCTGGATCATTGGCCCAAAATCTGCCAGTTTGGTGGATACGTAAGTTTAGCATGCTCGTGTCATTCTGATTCTCAGAAAACTGTATTGTATCAAGCAATCTGCTACATAGCTTGGTCCCTTTCTGACCACAGACAAATTTCATCATTCCAAGAAAAATATACTGGCTAGCTGGACATGATAGCTTTGTTATTTTACTTTTTGGAAATTAGGAAAATAAGGAACAGTTTTGTAGGAAGGATGTTATAGCCAAAGCGGCAATACAGAGATACAGTAATGTGTGCTGGTAACAATATTGCTGACTTCATTGCACAATAATTAGTCCAGGGCTGGCCGTCAAAGGCTCGGATAAACTTTGCTAAATCAAGTCGTGATCTACTTACCGACTGTTTCTACTTTATAAACATCATAATTAGTCAATTTACTGTCAAACAATCTAAAAATACAGTTCATCATATCGATAATCTGTAGGGGTCGACTATTAGCCACGATGTCCTCAAACTCACAAATTTCAGAGAAAAAGACCGTCACTGACTGAAAATGTTCTGGATCCACGATATCTGCTTTTAAAAGCTTCCGAGCGACTGGGATCGGTAAAATCTCATAAAGCAAGGCTTGATTTCGCTTCCTTTCTTTCCGTTCAGTGTCACTTTTTGATTTTAAACAATCGTTGAAGTCGTTCATTTTAGTGAGTAAACGATAAATAAAGTAGATAATGAATGGAGAAAGGCTAACTGGAACTATTAAAGCCACTAAAGCAAGAATAAACTGATATTTTAATTCACTAGTCCTCGTGGTTATATCTCGCACTACCTTTTCTGCCAAATCGTCTTGAACATCTTTCTGGAAGTTCAAATAGTCCGTTATATTGGAAAACCAGATTTCTCCCTGAATAACGGAAGCCTTGGAAATATTGTTTCTTTTTATAGAATTTCTCTGAAGCTGAATCTCTCGACTAAGTTCGGTAGCTCTGTACTCAGTCATCTTTTCTCTGATCTTGTCCGAGTATTGCTGACTAATTGTCAGATACGATTCGCCCATTATTCTTCTTTTATTATACTCATAATATTCTGCTGCGTTGAATCCACCTGAAAAAACATATACATTTCTTTGATTCAAAATTACTAGAGATGACATGAAATAAAATTAGACCAAATTGGACCACGTGGTCGAACCGGAAATAAAAGATTAGTGTAAAAATATGTTTTGAAAGAAACCTTCTAAAAGTTTAGACTTAACGCTGATGAAAGGAGAATGACAAGATATAGGTCTAACTAAGAAATGGTGGAATGTATTGAATGAATGACCATACCGTATCTACCACTGGAGTTACCGACTTTGTTTTAAAGCCTATTGATGTGTGATAAAACAGACTATCCCTACCTTTAGAAAAGTACGTGCTGCCGAGAGCTCTCTCTATACCTGTTTCCTCCTTACTCAACAGAAACAAGTGGTAGGCCACGAAACTAAATCCAGTATCAGCAACTCGACACATCCGTAATTTATCGGCTATCACATTCAACATCCGGGTATTAATATCAGTGTAGAAGTTTATAACATCAGTGATTGTATTATTCCAGATCTGTTCGCGGAAAAGTTGAAGGTAAAGGATAAAATTGCTTTTTGTTTCTAGGTCGGCCATTTTCGAAAAAAGTGGCCACGGAGTTAAAGATTCTATAGCGGTGTCAGAATTGATCAGAGCTGCTTCTAGCCTAGATTTTACACTTTCTGAATAGTTACTACCTATGTATAAAGCGCTCATTCCGCGCTCAATTTGAAGACGATGTATAACAGACGCCATGAGCATTCCGGACTCTGCGTTACTAGTGATGACGTCATTCTGCTCAATGGAAGTAATGGCTTTGTGTGCCGTTAGGGAGTTTTGAGTTACAAGGGTCGAAATGGGAACCATAGCTATCAGTAATACTCCTAGAAGTTGGACATGTTTCTTTTTAAATTTTAAACCACACACTTGTTTGCATTTGAGATAATATTCCGTGCTGCCGTCGCTGAAGATTGCCGAGTTGTAACTACTGGTCATAGATGGTCTTCTCATTTTATTAGAATCTCACTTCAACGTGTCTGAAATGATAAATATATGTCCAACGTTACAATGTTACTGTACGGCTTCTAAAACCAGGTCATTTCTATAAATCATGACTCTTATTAATATGCTGGTTACTGTCTCCAAAAATGAAAAAAGATAGATCACCAGTACAATTAATCTCCGTGGGTTCAGATCTCCCTTATATATTTAAAAATTTAAAAAGATTCCACGAAGAAAAGTTATATTTGCTCAGAGTAGGTTCAGTTATTTCACAATTTCCTGGATCAACAATGTTTGTGCTGAAAAAATATCGCGGTTTTTCATCCCTCAAAGGAGCAATTCTGGTACAAATTAGCAAGTTAGTTAATGAGCTTCAAGTGATAAGTAATATCTCATTACTAAAATTGTTCATTAATACGAAATATCGCCTTGACCTAGTTACCTGAATCAAATCACGAGTAGTTGAGCGCCATTAGAGGCGTGGCTTACAGACGTTAAAAAAAATTGTTAAATTTTGACAACTTGTTTATCGAAACATGGTCGAGAGTCAGGAATGACCAATCTGTTCATGTGACGGAAGAAAAAAAATACCTCAATCTTTTCCAACCGCTACTTAAACAAAACATCCCCATATCCAAGTCGTAGAATCAATATCATACACCGTACTATAAACTGATAATATAAGCTATAGGAGACAAAACCAACGTAATTACTGAAAACACGCGTTTTTACAAACTGCTTATATGTTTAATTGTGTCCTGATTAGGATTGTGTATCCGAGGCAAATGTCGGTAAGATGAGCTCTGGTTAGCATAGCGTAACAGGATGATAATATCTGGGAATAGATAAAGTGCTTATTTCAACATAGGTCATCTTGTGTCAGACGATTTAAAACTCTTGAAGATTTAGTTTCAAATACAATTTGATAACTTCTCGCTTGCTAAAGTTCAGTATCTTTTTCATTAACCTGGCTATGCTTAAGAAATGGAAAGTGATATGAGCTGTAGTTAGTGGGATCGTTGGCAAAGACCCCATTCTCTTTCTAAAATACAGATTATTATCACTTCTTTCAAATTTTCTTATTCCAAGTATCAATTGCTTGCTTATGAATCAAAGATATATAGAAAGATATTTTAACTTTTCGGATAAGATGGCTGTAAATTTACAGTAATGGTTATAGCTTACCTTAATAGCACTTCGGGTATCTGCGATTTGACAGGTTTCACACAATGTTAGTATAAGAGGTTTGGCAGTGTTAAGACAATCCAGGTATACGGGGTTGACAGAAATAACACAGTGTTAGTATAAGAGCTTTGGCAGAGTTAACACAGTGTTAGTAATCGTGGTTTGACAGAGTTAATGTAGGTGAAGGTATCGTGATGTTAACACGATGTATAAATCAGAGGTTTGATTGTATTAACACAATGTTAGTATCAGAGGTTTGACAGTGTTAACATAATGTTAGTTTTGTTGGTTTGACAAAGTTAACGCAGTGTTAGTATCTGGGGTTTGAAGGTGTTAACACAATGTTAGTTTCATTGATTTCGCAATGTTATCACACTGTTATTATCAGAGGTTTGGCAGAGTTAACACAATGTACATATCAGAGGTTTGACAATGTTAACACAATTTTAGTATCACAGATCATAGGTTTGACAGTGTTAACGCAATGTTAGTTCCATTGGTTTGGCAGTGTTAACACAATGTTGTTGATAGATGCTTGTACGTGTTTTTCGATTGGCACTCGAAGTCTGACGGTCCCGAAGCGAAATATGTTTGTTAACCCTGTATCAGTCCAATATCTGTGTATTAATAGCGACAATCCTAAAAATCCCAGGTCTGACTGTCGAGTATTGGATCATCATGATACTTAACACTGTATCCGTCAAATAGCTATGGTTTGACAAAGTTTAATCCAATGTTATCCGTGAATTGATAATTTTAGACCAATGTTATCCAAAGATTGACTTATTCAATGATAACCGAAGTCTGATTGTCTCGAATCAGAATAAGAAAGTTAACTCGCTATCAATCTGTATTTATGGCGGTGATTATTGATCTATAGCTGCATCGTATCAGAGAGTTACATCGATTTCTCTCAGTCAATTACCCACATGTTTCTTTCTTTCCTTTATTAATTGTGACGTGAAAGGAGAGTCTAAGGATTTTGCCTGGTTTGTAACTGGGGGAGGCGACATTTGAAAATTTTTCCTGATCATAGCAGTGAATTATAATTTTTTTTTTAAAGGACAGAGTTTAAGGGTTTACAGATTTGTTGAACTATGAAGATTGAAAATATTTTATAAACCCCCAAATGCCGAATCTCCTTTTATTGGCGTTTCCAGGTCTATAGCCTTATTGAGAGGGGGCCTCCAAAATTTGCTGAACTCTGACAGTAAAAAATTTATTTTAAAAGTGGACAAACCACCAAGTGTCGAGTTATGTGTTTTGAATAATGTAGAGTTTACCTTATTATAAGATTATGTAAAAAAAATTGTCTATGTATGTGTATTAGGAACACTTATCTTCTATTTGCTTGAGTGATATAAGTATCATGATTTTCCCGCATTATAAAAACCATAAACATCTGGCGGAAAACCGTCATCGTGTAAATAGAAGTTTTAGGTATCTTGATAGACATACAGAGGAACCGAAGATGTAACAAGAAGGTGAGTACGTTCCCGTGATATATTACAAAAGCCGGAAACAGTATTATCTATCGCCTGAAGAAATAAACCTTGGTGAAATGGGAATGGTACAAAAGAAAGCTATTAGGATCTATGGTATAAAAAACTAGAAAATCTGATCTGGAAAATGGACAATGACATACTAAGTTGTCAGCTGTTCACGTCAATGACTAATTAGTATACAAATTGATATTAAGGGTCGACAACGAAGATAACACGTTTTCACCGGGCGACACAACTTTAGTGTTGTCCAAGGGCAGATTTAAGAACAAACTGTATTCTGATATTTCAGGCGTCGTAGTTGTAGCTAGACATTTTCACCCGAAATTTAAGCGTGAAAGCGTAAACGATGTATTGTAGTGCGCTACATAAGAATAAATCATTATTATTATGAATTCAACATAATTATATAGTTATGGAACAATCGGGACAAAAATGATCCCGGAATTGAGGCCTCGATTTATGGAACACCTTCGCAAAGTTTTCATAGAATCAGGTTCATCTCAAATCAATGAAGTGTTTTTTTATTTAAATTAATCAAGTCATTGATACGAAACTTTACAAGCAAACCAAATTAGGATAAATTCACAATCAACAACCTTCACGCGAGAGAAATAAAATATATTCTTCTGTAGGCTTTATAGCAACAGTTCGCCGTCCGTTTGACCATTCATACCTTAGTCTTTAGCTAATCAGTAATTGTGGTTATAGCTCACCGTCAAAATTTGAGCCTTCAAATCATGGTGTGTCATCCGTGTTTGAAAGTTAAAACATCTATAGAAATAGACAGTATAAATGTTTTGTTTGAGGTTAATTTGAAGGGACTATTTTCGTGCAGTTCTAGTACTTCTGAAGACTATCTATAAATATTATAGACCCAAATCAAACTCCGAAAAGACGAAATATGGCCTTTAAGTAATGATGTTAGATAGGGACTATCGGAATAGACGTTGTCAGTTTTTAGGCTTGATACGGAATGTTCTGTAATAGAGGTTGTACGAACCATACATGTCCTTTTATATGTTGATCATTTTAATCGATTATAATTAGACACACCCTGAGAACTAATTTAAAAAAAAATGATCAATTAAAATTCAAGGTCAAGGATTTCCCCGTGATTATTAATATGATCATTTCCGATTCTTATTGAAACTCTGTTTACAGAAACATAAAATATATATTTGATATTCAAGTAGGGTGAAGTTGCCATTTCCCTTCCACTTCGTTCTCAAGATCTGTCTCCACTCTGACAACAACTGTGTGAGTCTTCAGCGAGGCAGCGCATGATTACTCTTCCACAACACCATGCCACTCTGCGATTAGGTTTGTCTACTCTGCATCATCCTTCTTAATACCCATATAGCTAATATATTTGTTATTTAGGATTGTCAACTCGTTTTAGTTCTTTGATCTGCTTTGGCTAATGAAAGATATGTGTGTTTTTCCTGACTTTGACAGAGTATTCATCTCATCACAGAAAACTTGAAGCGAAACATCTGGTTTAGTATTTTGAATTAAAATCAAGTTGAGGTTTATTTATGCGTTATTCTTGTTCGTCATAACGTAAATGTCCCCAGCCGATATTATTAAAAAATCATGCCGTTTCTCAATATCATTTAACAGAATGTGAAAATGAAAAATTTTGATTCCACGTGCCGAGAAACGTGGTGATAATTAAACAAGATTAAACTCAGCTTGGCTATTTAATTAAACTTTGTGTAGATTTAGAAAAAAAATCTTAAATAATTCCACCCCTTTTTCTTCTTTCAATTCAATTATTTCAGAAATTTAAATCAAAATTTCCGAAATTCCCCTCACGTGTTCTTGATAAACCTTCAATAAAAGTTTTTAATGGATTTTTTTAAAGAATCAAATAGCCTTTAAGTAACTGAATGTGGTATTTAAAATTTTCAATGAACTTGTTTACACCTTTATCCCACAATCAAATCATTGGTGTGTCGCCTACAGAGTATGAAATCTTTCGTCTTATAATTTTTATGGCACATACCACAAAATTCTTAAATTGCAATTTAGACTTCCGACAACCAAAAAAAATTGATTTTTTTTTAAATAAATAATTTGAATTAGAACCCAATATTTCCTAATAGTTTCGAGTTTTCTTTTGACCCAAATAATTCAAGTTTTTTAATGATATGTCGTCATATTTCACAGAGTCAAGAACCTCTTAAATAGAAAATCTGGAGGCCGAGTTTACAGGTCAAGGAATGGGTGTAATAAATATTTAGGTTTAAATGACCAAAATACAAAGATAACCTCACTGAGTATACATCTTAGAAACTATGTTTCTATCCTGACAGTACGAAGAAAAACTCAGCTTGAGATAGGAAGTTGCTGGGCTGTTATATTTAAAACTTGTTGATGAAGTCCAGGTTGGAAGCGAAGTGAAGTGAAGTGACCTTGAGTTACACACAAACAGTTCAATTTCTACTCCATATACAATATTCAACATGTTTCATAAGTTGTTATATTTATTGGTTTGTTCAAATATTTCTCTATGCTGGACTAAATCTACGGATATATCCCGTGCTAAGAAGTTTTTACGGGAGTACGACCAGCAGATCAGTTCCGTTTATACCGCATTCGTAACTGCAGCCTGGAATTTTAATACCAATATTACGGAACACAATCGCAGAATTATGGTAAGAACGCATCTATTTGAGGATTTCCTTTTTCTTTTATCTTATACTTTTTTGCTGTTTTGCAAAATTGTAGATATTTTAAGTATGAAACCGTGAAAAGTCTAGGAACCGATGTCCGGTGTAATATACGCTGCGGGATAATCGATACAGTCAGAATGTTTAACCGTCATTTCCAATACTTGCTGTCGTAATCTAAATGAAGTTGGTATGCGTTGAAACAAACCCTAATACGAACATTGATTAGACTTCACTTTCTGATATCACATGAAACGAAAGAATGAAACACTGACAGAACATATTAACACAAAGAAATACAACACCTTGTTAAAATGGACTCGAACTTACTAACCACCGAGAGTGAACTTCCTGAACAGGCAAGTGCAGGAATATTCTACCGCCCAATTATAATAATTAATTAAATAAACTTGAAACTGGCTGTTAGTCACAGTTTCAGCTTTTAATCATGTTTTAAAATAAAATAGCTGCATGCATCTAAATTAAGACTTTATCAAAACTGGAGTTTTGGATGTCCGATTTAGAGCATTATAAAACGTAATTCACTGTCATACTTTTGGGGAAGAGATACTAAGAAATTTCATCATTCCATTAATATTTATATTTTCAGTCTTTATAATAAGTATTTCATCGACATGATTCCGCAAATTTTATAAACCATACCGGTTCACAAATGGATTACGGACAATACTTCTGTCTTCGCATATTCGCCGGTAAAAACAAATGTACTGATTTTGAAAGAATTGAATTATCAGTATACTGTAAGTCTTAGAATGACTTTGCGTTGATGAAATATAAATATGAGTAGCCTTCTCACTTTAAATCTATTTTTACAAGGGACACATTTTAGCCAAATTTTAGACATTTTTGTAGTATTATAGTTTATAAATCAGACTTCACAGCCCATAAGACAGGTGGTAAAAATAGCCGAGATATTTTAAATATTTATATTGTATACCTGATTTTATGTATAAAGTTTATTATCGAGAGATGGGTGGTCTCGTGAACTCGGCTGACCACTGTCTGCTAAAACACAATGTACGGCGTCTGATGCAGCATGCTGTGCGGGATTATAGACACAGCTAATCAAAATTTTATAACAGTTTCGATTCTGTTTTTTCTTCCTGAAAAGAATGATGGATTCTCGAATAGTAATACCGAAACGAACTTCGTCTTATACCTTGACTGCAAATTCCACTAATATTGTAACACAGAATGCAGCAATTTGATTTGGTTGTACGTCAGTGAAATACGTTCTATTCCTGAATTTCAAACTTCTGTGATACAAGAATAGTGGCTATTGCAGTCAAGGTATAAGGCGAAGTTCATAAAAGCTTGTCATTGTGAAGACGGGTTGTACTCTATAACCAACTTCTAAACAAGTACAGTGTATTGTATTCCAAATTGAGGAGTTTCTACCCACTAGCATTCATACTAAGGTCGCATTTTCAGGTCAATCGAGAACTAGCCTCCTCTATGAAAGAAAAAGAACTGGCTCATAGAGCTAATGCTGAGTTTGATTGGCAGAGAGTTCGAGACAATGATGTAGTTCGACAGTTTAAATTCCTGACAGATATCGGAACCGCTGCCATGAAAAATGAAACGAAACTTAAGAGGGTAAGTGCAGCGAAAGAACGAAACAACTATCCCTAATCATGAGGTCCATGGTCAAACCTCTCGTTAATTATGTTACAGAAAGAACAAGTTAGGTTCTACCAGCTCGTTCTTGACCAAACGTTTCGGCAATGGTACAGAGTAAACAGGCTCGTTCTTAATCTTGTCGGCAAAACAGAGATAAAAGGTTCTCGAAGACCCACTATGCCAGCTCGTTGTTGGCCAAACATCTTGGCAATGGTTCTACAAAATAGATTAGTTAGTCTACCAGCTTGTTCTTACCCTATCTACCAGAATTTGCTTTAATAATATTTTATATCTTAATCTTCAGTTATCAGACGTGAAATCAGAAATGTCCAGTATTTATAGCTCTGCTAAAGTCTGTTTGTCGGATAACCAGTGTTACTCCTTAGAACCAGGTCAGTTAAATTGATGTATTTCAATGCCTTATCCATAAAACAAAATTGCAATCGATGGTTCCAACACATTCATTACTACCCTGGCCAGTAGTCAACTCCAACCAAGTCTCTTGTTGCCCTTGCAATTTTCTAATCTAGGAAGGCGGAGAATACCTCTAAAGCACCTTTGGAAGTGGAAGTGGAATACATTTTTCATCTCTTATGGGCCGAGGGGTTGGGGAGGGGGATACTATGCGACACTGACTACCCTTATCTTTATCAGTACCTCCTTCTACGATATCTAATCTATGCTATATAATATACGATCATAATACATTGATGATACTTCAGTTCACTTGAGTTCACTTCATCAGTCCATTACTTCATTAGCTGTGACTTATTGAATGTAATTAATGAAGGCCAGATAACAAACCACAAGATATTCAGTAATTATATGATTTAGTAGGCGTTAGATTGAAGGGATATAGTCATCTAATTATTTTTTCAATTTCATTGACAATACTGTTCCCGAGGTCGTTCAGTTTTTTCAGTCAGTTTTAAGCTTTTGAGCTCTTTTTTAAAATCTTTACTGAACACGAGAACCAAAAACATAATGACTGTGACCGAGTTTGCTCAAGGGATTCAGAGCATGCTTCGGTCAAGGCATGTTGTTTTATTTGGAATACTGACAGCAGTGCTTGCGGTAGGTAATTACACATTATTCAGTTGCAGAAACAGATATATTTATGGACGACTATATCCCTTCAAATATATCCAACAAGCTCATTTGATATCATTAATTATAGGATTATTTTGCAGATTTTTTACGAAAGGCAGCATCATGTCCTTGACCCTTTTAAATAACAACAGACATCTTGACTTGGCTATTCCTATTTCTGACGATGCATGGATGATATAGTACTCTGTTTTCTTTGTTTATAGGTCTGACCAGGCTATTAAGTAAATCAAGAGATTATGAAATGTTACTAGAAGCGTGGGTGAAATGGAGAGATGCTACAGGCAGACACCTTAAACCACTCTACTCAGAATTCGTCGAGTTGATAAACGAAGGTTTTCGAGATGGTGGTGTGTAACGCATAATTCAATATTATCAACAAAATAAAACATTTCTACATATCCTTAACAATGGGTTTGAATTTCGTGTTCTTATTGTGCTGCCAATTGTTTATACATGTTTTCAAAATTATAAAGCGAGAAAGACATCTATTGACAATCGTTGTACAAGTAAAATAGGGTCAAACTTTTGGTCCGATTTTTGTTAGCTTTTTATATTTACTTAGCCACTCCAGTTAAGGTCTAACTGATCCCTTCTTTTTTCGTATGAATAACCTTTGCCTGATTTGATAACATCTTCTTGAACCAATCGAAAACCGTTCAGTTTCAGTTGACATGATAAACTAGTCGAATGCTCCTCTGAATACATCAGTCCGTCCTTTGTTCACGTCACACAATCCCGTCGCTTGCGAAGGAAAACATTTGATTGGCTGCTTGTGTTACATGTTATATAGAGGACTGGTGAGGTGGCTACAATAAAAATGAGAGCTAAGAAAAAAAACAGAACGAAAGTTTGATTTAATTTTAGTTTGACAGTAGGAAAAGCGTATTTGGCAATAGATGCATTTTTGGCCTCGGTCAGCATAACATAGGGCAAAACTCTGGTAGTTTTTGAATGTTAGATTGTTTTGGGTTCCCATGAGCTTATGTTCAAAGGCATCTAGTTCTATATCTATTCTTTCCTAGGGTATAACGACGCTGGAGATGCCTGGCGATCGACCTATGAAAGTGAAACATTTGAAGAAGATTTAGAAAGATTGTTTACCCAATTGAAACCTCTGTATTATCAACTACATGCCTACGTCAGAAGAAAGCTTATCAATATCTATGGTGAAAAGTATTTTCCTTCCTCTGGCCATATCCCTGCACATTTACTAGGTAAGTTTAAACCGTTTCTTTTTAAGATCCTGGGTTGTAGCCATTAAATCTGGAATGATTATGGGGGATATAGGCTTTTTTCTGTAATCCAAGAACTAGTCTAATTTAAAGTAGACCGCTGCTTTGACTGATTATCTATTGGGCTGTCATTGTTTACAAAACAACTATCTTTAGAATTATCCATCTATAAATATCATAACAAATCTGAAAATAGTTCATTTTCAGAGTCAAATTCCAATCTTAAGCTAAAAAGAAAAAAAAAGGCACGCAAAAATTCTTAAAATATCTCGGAATAAATTGTTTTGATTACAGGTAATATGTGGTCGCAGACTTGGAACCGTATTTTTGATATTCTGAAACCATACGATATAGAAAGTGTTGACGTCACAGCCACAATGAAACAACAGGTACGGCTTCCTCAAATGAAATAAATAGATAATATATGAGCTAGTTGACGGGTTTGAATAAATGAATGAATGAATGAATATTACCTTTAAGTCTTTTTTTTTATCTGTAACACGTATACATATATTTGCAGAAATATACCCCATTAAAGATGTTCAAAGTGTCAGACGAATTTTTTGAATCTCTGGGTCTTGAGAAAGTTCCACAGAGTTTCTGGGATCATTCAATGATAGAAAAACCTAAAGATCGAGAAGTTGTGTGTCATGCTTCCGCCTGGAATTTTTATAACAACAAAGATTTTAGGTAAGTATAACTTATAGCAAAAATGTGTATGTGTAGCAGGGCCATTAATTGTAAACAGCAATTTGCCCATCTTCACAAGGTCAAGCTATTTCGAACTTCGACTTATACCTTAACTGCAATAGCAATTTTTCTTGTATTACGGAATGCAGCGATTTGATTCTCTTGTAAGCCATACAGCCAATCAGAGCCCTTGACAGGAATCTGTTAACATTGTGGCTTATTGTTTACAAACACTCTGTCGAAGGCCCACGCATTAAAGTCATTATTGCATTGAACCCACTTCCGGTCTAATTTCTTTTGACAATCTCAAATCCTACCCAATAAGGCAAATAAAATAGAGCAGTCAGAGAAAATTGAAACTACTTGAATCCACTCCATTTATCTCTTGCATTATTGTTGAAGCAAATTATTCTGGGAATGCCATGTACACTATTCCATAGTATTCAAACTTACAACCCAAGGCTTTAAGATTGCAGAACTTATTACAAACAGACCAATTCCATTAGTGTAGCTAAACACCATACACCATTGCCCCTCCGGATATCTTACTTGCCCCCCCCCCCCCCTACATCTGCCCTCTGCCCCCTTCGAATAAGCAAGCCTGACTTCGGGAAGCTTAAGGTAACACTATATTTCTACAGGATCAAACAATGTACAGATACAACAATGCAGGATCTGGTCACCATTCATCATGAGATGGGTCATATCCAGTATTATCTACAATATAGAAATCTACCTACTATTTATCAAAACGGTGCTAATCCAGGTACGTCCAAAGTTACCACTAGGTACTCCCAATTCCTCCTATATGATGCCTTCAGCTTTCTCTAGCTTTTGTTCCTTGTCTGAGAGATTGTATTCCATGTGCCCCATTTATGCTAACTGATATCACAATCTTAATGTATTTCTTTAGGATTTCACGAGGCTGTAGGAGATGTTTTAGCTCTATCAGTATCGACCCCAAAACACCTGAAGAAAATTAAGCTTTTGAAGACAGCTGAGAGAAGTAAAGGTATGAAGTTTTTGTTAGTTTCGGACTTTGCATGTGAAAATTTCTTCAGGAAATGTTAAAGAGTCTGTTGTAGTCTATTCTTCGATTTAAAGGTAGTGCTCACGAACAGGTATCGACAAAGAAGACAGAAGAGTAATGTACCCAATTGGTGTGGTTTCGGGCAGTGACTGGAAAAAATAAAATTGGTATTCTTGAGTTCCATGGAATTCCTGTGTCTTATTCCCAACCTTGACGCCGTTTATTCAGTTAATTACCCATAATTTTCTATCATTGTAGAAGCAGATATAAACTTTTTATTAAGTCAGTCCTTGAGCAGTGTTGCCTTTCTGCCGTTCGGTTACCTCATGGACCAATGGAGGTGGAGTGTTTTTAGTGGAGAAACTACACCAGATAACTATAACAAGAAATGGTGGGATCTCAGGTAGGCCTGAAGCTATTACGTACACATCATCTTCAAGGGGATTCGTGTCGACCATTCGACTAGCAGAATCTGGGAGCATCTGGAGGCATCTAAGAGAATCTAAGTTGGTGACAGCTGCAAGTAGTCGCACAAGTCAATGTTGTGTTTCTGTATAGTTTATGTGTCTACCTATATTTAGATGTAAATACCAGGGTATATCACCACCAGTAAAAAGAACAGAAGAAGATTTTGACCCAGGAGCTAAATATCATATTCCTGCCAACACTCCGTATATCAGGTCGGTAACACAACAGAACGCACAATTAACATATAGGCCTACATGTATAATCTATTTACATGTAAAAGATTTTAGGTTTTTCAGCAAGATGTGGCAAATAATTTTTATTTTGGTGCTTTGTCAACTTTACATCCCTTTCAGAGAGCCATATGGATAATAGTGTCTATTATTTGATACTTACTTTTGTCAGCTTGACATTTCTTGCAGAGAGTCTATATTATATGTAACATTTAGTTTTGTCACCCGTTTTATAGAGTCCATATTCATTATGGTGTTTGTTTATGTTATATTTATTGCTTATTTCTTCAGATATTTTGTTAGTCATATACTAATGTTCCAGTTTCATAAAGCATTATGTAAAGAAGCCAACGAGACAGGTCCACTCCATACATGTGATATCTATCAATCCAAGAGAGCGGGAAAGCTTCTCGGGTAAGAGCCTGTTCTAACCCGCCTTGTTCACTGTGCATTGTTTAAATGAAATGATAGGAGGTAGGGTGGTGTGGCGTTTTGACATTTACCGTTACACAGGGAATTTGGCAGCGCCACCATCCTTTTCCCACAACCACCCCTGATATAGTAACAATGCCAAGTCACTCTGCCCCTAAAAATATAATGACACTAACTGTCGACCTACAACATCAACTCAAGATTATTTATAACTTAAAAGGGCCATAAATATGTAGTCAAGGTATTTGGTCCTTACTTTGGATAGGTACTTCTGATATATAATCCTTCTCAGGTTATTTACAACCCAAATAGTAAATCTTAGTTGTATCTCAAATGGATATAATTCTCTAAACATTTGCATGGTCATGAGCTTCCAGTTAGCTTCTAGTGTAACTTTTCAGGTAGAAAATTTGATTTTCGATTTGCCTACAATAATTATTTATAAGACAATATCTGTGAAATGATAATGATTCCATATCTTATACTAAGTAAATACTTTCTTACTTCTGGTTGATAAAAGTTCATTAGCTGCTGCTAATGTCTCGCCAATATTTTGTTTGAATATCGGGTTTCGAACTTGTTTTTTAAAACTAAGTTTTAGGTGACACCCAATATCACCTCACCTGGAGTTCGGTTCGAATGTAATTAAATCCGACTGTAATTATATATGTACATATATCTACAAATATGCTTTTAATTCATTTATTCATGTATCTAATTTTCCAGGGACGTCTTAAAGTTAGGATCCTCAAAGCCATGGAAAAACGCTCTGGAACTTATTGTTGGTAGTCGTGAAATTGATGCTAAACCGTTAATGGAGTATTTCAAACCGCTTATTGATTGGTTGAAAGAACAGAATTCTAACGAGACGATTGGTTGGAATGAAATCTGTCCGAACTGTGCTACAATTAACTCTTCTGTGTTTTTATCCAGTATTTTTGCATTTTTATCCTTTTTCATATCACTGTTACTTTGTTGATAAACATTATCATTATTTAACCGTTTTCATGATGAGGGGAGTCGGTAGGTAAGGCGGGTATTTATCTTTCATTGTCTAATGTCAATCACTTTTCATAAGGTACAAAAAGAAATTGATCCTTAAGCTATCATCAAAACAACATTTGTTTCAGATCTAACGATCTTCCTCAGACGCTAAACCAGATGGGTAGCGGCCCTGGACTGGACTTGGTTCAACCAACCCTTATGGTAGTGGGGCCATTGATCATCATCTGTTTTTCAGGCGAGATAGTTTGTGTGCTCGATGACTTTATGCCCGTTTTGATGTTTATTTGGGCGAAATTTCACGATTTAAAAGCTTTTCACGGGTCTCTGTGAAGAGGCAATGAACAAAAAATATAAAGATTTGTTTTTTAATCAGAAAAATAACATGATATTATTTCAACTAGGGGCCGCTCGATTGACGAATTCTGCACTTCGGGATTTATGGAATCTACAGAATGTTCAATAAAACATGTAGGAAAAGAGTTCAGAACGCGTTCCACGTGTGCTGATAAAAATAGTAGGTGAAAAGGGGTCGGGGATGTCAAAAACTGATATTTTTGTTATAATAACATTATGGAATTGATCGTTTTAAAAACCACCCCTGTAAATATATACTATATATTGTTGTATTATCCCGAAGATGTGTGGGGCAATAAAATATCATCCGATACTAACTTATATATTCTTTGTTTGTCTACTCCTGAGTAAACTAAAAAATCAACCCTATTCCGCACATATTGGAATTACATATGGAATATTGACTCTAGAACTTCGAGACCTATTGTATTAAAGGGATTGTGAATCGGAAACATTGATAGCATTCCAATTTTCAGTGTGGCTCTTGTATGACATCACTATCACAAAAGCTGCTAATGATATATATAAAAGTCATAAAACGATAGTCATGCGATAGTCATAAAACGAATATTTTTAGTGGAATTGCGGGAACCACAGACGTCTGATTGAAAATTGGAATGGTGCAAATTGATGGTATATCAGTGTCCCCGATACACATAAAAATTCAGAAAACTTCAGAAACTCTTTTCTATCCCTCTAAGGTAAACACTCCAAGTACCGTCACAAATATTCACCCGTTATCTTATCGTAATTTATTCAATCAGTAAATATGATACACATGCAAGCTGAGGTTAAACTTTTTTACGTAAAGAATTACCACCGTGTACAAAAAGCGTAAACACGGTTACACGTGATACATAATAAGCAAGAGAACCTTGCCAAATCAAACAAAAATCTGCCCAGGGACCAGGTTCACTGACCCTTGTTTTCCTCACGTTTGACCGCGACCTAGTACATTTCCAGTCGCCGTAAGATCGCAAATGGTAGCAGTCCGGTGTGATGGGGCTATAAAGAAGGTCCACAGTTCACTCTATTGGCAGTTACTAACAAAAGTTAGATTAGTTACAAGTAGCTTGTGATATATAGATTTATCTATAACGACTTAGTAAGAACCCTTACAAAACATTAAAGTGTTCATACTTGTGATATATAGATTTATCTATAACGACTTAGTAAGAACCCTTACAAAACATTAAAGTGTTCATAAATAAAAATTGAAAACAAGAAGACTGTATTAGAATTTGAACACCATAAATACCCTTATTATTAAACTCACAAATTTGTCTCGGCGTCTATCTCACAAGCTCATCTCCACGATGACGGCGTTTAAACTCGGTCTGCTTCTCCTTGTAATGAATTTTGTACACAGCGAGTTAATAACTAATGAAACTGCAGCACGTGAGTTTGCCAATGAAGTAAATGCCGGTTCAGAAGTGGTGATGTATAATTTTGTGGCTGCATCATGGAATTATAACACAAATATTACCACAGAAAACCAACAGGCAATGGTAGGTTAATTTCAATATATTCTAACAAAGTTCCTCGGAATCAATGTTTTGAGTCCTGCTTTTCTGCATCTCATTGAACAATCCCGTGTAGTGCGCAATGAATTTTTCAGAATTTTCACTCGAGTATAAGTTGTAATATACAATATGTTAAGCTGCAGATTAAATACACAATTACTGCTTTAAGGTTACACTACTTGGTCGTCTCTTAAACTATCCTATTGGTTTTCCGAAGAAAAAAGCTATGAATTTTCCAAATTACCAATTCTATTTTCCAAATTACCAATTCTCTTTTCTTAATAACCATTATTCTTTTACAAATTATCCTTTCAGACATCTAAACTTCCATTTCTGTTATCCAAAATTAATAATCATTTCTCTTTTCTGAATTATATGAATTATCCCTTTTTCCAAAATCAACTACATGTACATATATCTATTTAAATACATACAGTATAGTCTTAAAACGCCTTATTATTGAAACGTTCTTGAAAGTAGACAAGATGATATATATAGATATCTAAATGCCCTAGCCTTGTTATTGAATCTTTTCCAGGTAGACGAGAGTCTGAAACTGGCGCTGTTTGATCAGGCGGTGGAAGCTAATGCTTCTCGATATGACTGGAAAAATTTTAGTGATACCGATTTAAACAGACTGTTTTCTAAATTAGTGGACATTGGAACAGCTGCCATGACAGACAAGGTCAAACTAGAGAGGGTGGGTAACTGGTATTTTATCTTTACTTTTAACCAACATCCCATTATCGCTGGATTTAAACAAACTGGGCGCACCAACGACTGAAAAATCGCATCTTCTGCCAGTTCTTCATCTTTTAACTTCTTACAAAAAGCGTATCCTTGTGTTGACCATCTTCACAATGTCAAATTATTACGAACTTCGTCTTCTACCTTCACTAGAATAGCCACTTTTTGTGTATCACAGAATGCAGCGATTTTGATTGGATTGAATTCATTTGGTCCGCTAATGTCAGTCGAACAGAGCCGATATCAAATCTCAAATAGTTGAAAGAAACCATAATCTGAACTGATTTAAATCCTGGCTTTACAGAAGAGTAATTGATAAACTAGTGTTTAGGGTTCGAATCCTGAAATTTTTTGAAGCCACAGTAAATGAGAATGGTATTTCACCTGTAAATTTGTTTTATTTTAGCTAAACAACATCATGTCAGAAATGGAAGCTATATATAGCACTGGAAAGGTCTGTTTGACCGAGAATAATTGTCTTCCCTTAGATCCAGGTATTTTCAGAACAGTAGGACATAAAATTACATTTCATTTCATTAGCTCAATAAGGTACAGGACAGTGGAACATAAAATTACATTTCATTTCATTAGTTCAGTAAGGTACAGAACAGTGAGACATAAAGTTTCATTCTATTTAGCCCAATACGATATGGGACACCGAGACCTAAAAGAAGAGATTAGAACAAAAGTGTAGATGTTTTCTATTCTCTTAGATCTTTCACGACTGATGGCGACCTCCACTGACTATGATGAACTGTTAACGGTTTGGAAAGGATGGCGAGATGCGACTGGTGCCAAGATTAAAGATTTATATAAAGAATTTGTCAGTTTGAGTAACGAAGCTATAGTTCAGAACGGTAGGACTTAAATGTTTTGATTAAGGATAAAAGATATTTCAGCCCTGGTATGTCAAATATTATCGCTTATTGATTACAGACTTTCTGTCGTAGGCTCAGATTGACTGTAATCGTCAGCAGTGTTTTTTTTCATCGGAGCAGATTCAGTACTAATATTTGTGGGCATCATTGCCGCGGCATTGACGCCATCAAAATTGGATTCTCTTTTATGACAAGAAAATTAGTATGAAGCGTACAAATAACCTGTGAGTCTACATATATTTCAGGATATCCCGATACTGGTGCCTATTGGAAATCCTGGTATGACACACCCACATTTGAAGAAGATCTGAAAACCCTATTTGAAACCCTGAAACCTCTCTATGTAAATTTACATGCCTATACAAGAAAGAAGTTGAAGGAACGATATGGTGCTGATAAATTTCCCACCAGTGGACACATACCTGCTCATATATTGGGTAGGTTTGCCTATAGGCAACCTTATAACCTTTAAACATTATTGGCAATGCGGACTCTCGGAAAGAGATATCGTTTTGACCAACACATATACAAAAAAAATGAAAGAAATATTTGACCTGCCAATCCCAGTAGCAACCAGAGATTAGCCCTGGTGTTATAATATGTATTGATTTAAGTATATAGAAAAAGATGTATTTTAGGTAATATGTGGGCACAGACGTGGGGTAATTTGTTTGATTTGTTGGAACCATACCCTGGTAAAGATGATATCGATGTAACACCACAAATGGTTCAACAGGTAAACATAGCTTATCATTATATAAATCATAAAGAAACATTATCTAAACGAATACTGGTTTTGACATGGTCTTATTAACCCGTATTAAAGTAAGCTGACTATACGTCTTTTTGGGGGGGTGGAAATGGAATTGGTGGCATTTAAATTTGATCAATCAGATCGGTAGAACAAAAATGAGGGACATGTAAATAAAACACAACACTGCTTTGCCGCCGCCCATTTGAAAAAAAAGGAACACATTCTTTCCAAGTAAATATTCCAAGGTAAGGTTTGATTTTCTCTCGGCTTTAATTCTTTAACGTAAATGTGTGTCAGATTTCAACCCTCCATATGTTATGTTCTGATTTCGTCTCAATCTTTTTCAGAACTATACAGCAGAAAAAATGTTTCAAGTTTCTGACGAGTTTTTTAAATCTCTTGGACTGATTGAGATGCCGTCGGAGTTCTGGGACCACTCCATGCTGAAAAAACCTACAGATGGAAGAGACGTCGTGTGTCATGCATCAGCCTGGGATTTCTACAACAAAAAAGACTTTCGGTAATAGTTTAATCTGGAAAACTGTAGCATTTCTAACTCCTGTTTACCAAGATCATAAAGAGTATGTACAACAGAAAAAATCTTCGTCAAGAGGCTCGGATGTCCGTCCTTCAACAGTTGGCATGTTTCTATGATATATCCTACAGTTTTAATCCTATATTTAATAAAAAATTTCGTATGCGTATGTAAATCGATCAGCAAATGTATGATTTCACCTTGAACTTTCAACTTATTTAAACAAAATTTTGTGGTTTAGCTTGTCATGATATTTTCCGCTGTGTGCGTTTAGTCTTTGGAGCGACCGCTGATTTAAGTTTGTGAATGATATTTCAGAGTAAAACAATGTACAGATATAACAATGGAAGATTTAATAACTGTTCATCATGAGATGGGCCATATAGAATATTATTTACAATATAAAGATCAACATGTTGTTTATAGAGACGGAGCTAATCCAGGTACTTATTTTTGCTACAGGCCCATGTAAATTCTTGGTCGTCACCTATGTATGTCCGATGCCAGTCCTTGCAGAAAAGCACGTACGCACTCTAAAAGGCATAGTGGTTTGACAATTAAAGCACATAAACACAGTTCTCAATATATTTTGACCCAAATTGTGGAATTTGGTGCATCAACCAAGAACGAATACCGAGAAACAAAAGTGGAAGAGTAAAATATTTAATTTTGGTTTGTTTTTTGGAACTTATTCAGGTTTCAGTTCTAATTGAAACAAAACTGTAAGTGTTACCACGACTTTCAAAGTATCCGACCTAGTCTGAGTTTGCTTGCTAACTTTTTTCCTTTTAATTTGATAAAATAGAAAAGATTTGAGATCTCTAGTAATAAAAGGTATCTATTTAAGGTTTCCATGAAGCTGTAGGAGATGTTATCTCACTATCTGTACAAACGCCAACTCATCTGCAGAAAATAGGTTTACTACCGGAAGTTACTAATGATGAAGGTGAACAATGTTAAAAATTCTCGTTTTCAGTGATAAATCCTTCACCAGAATACAACTCTTTGTGTTTTCTGAAATGTTTTCAGACTAGAGCTCATCGCATGCCGCCGAGACATGTTTCACCATCTTGTTTTGGAATTCACGATGAGCAGCGTATCTTTAAGGATTTGCACAAATGGTAGTTAACGACGCAGATTATCACTCGTCTGTCATTTAGATTTACAAGTATATCTATTAAACTTAGGATATTTTAAACTCACGTCTGGTAATTCTAGTAAGTCAGGACCAAAGTGACATCTACTAGTTGAACACCTTTATAGTAATATTACATTACAGAGGCTGAGATTAATTTTTTAATGAAGATGGCACTACAGAAGATTGCCTTCCTACCATTTGGGTATCTGATAGACCAATGGAGGTGGAGTGTTTTTAGTGGAGAAACTACACCAGATAACTACAACCAGAAATGGTGGGATCTCAGGTAGGTTTGGATTGAAGATCGACACACGAATCAACAGGTTTCAAAGATTCTTTGCCAAATCATTTGGCAATGATTTTACCAAAAATAAAATTCAAGTACTTAAAAATCCTTTATACCAACTGGTCTTTGTCCTGGATCAAACTTCTTGGCAATGATTGTACAAGGATAGCCAGGGTTTTGCTCCTCAAAGTGGCATTCATAATTGTTGGTATTTCGGAAGATTAGAGGTCTGTTTTCAGAGAAGTTTAACTGTGGATGATTTAATTTTTATAATTAGATGTGGTCTACAAGGTATATCCCCACCAGAAGATAGAACAGAAGATGATTTTGACCCTGGGGCAAAATTTCACATCCCTGGCAACACGCCTTACATTAGGTAGGTATCCTATCCTGATAAACATTTAACTCCCTGATATTCGACTTTGAGTAACAGATGGAAAGTAGTTTTCGGTTGATTGTATGACATAATAGAAATGATAATTTGGTTGAATGTAATTTGAAATCCCGATATCCAAATTGGAAGCAATTGTTTCACAGTACTGAGAGATGGTGTTTTATACATTGAGACAGAGCTTGCTGGAAACTAGGGAATGGAGGCCATCCTAAATCCAACCTCCACCCTCCGTTAAAACGCTCCTGTTATTCCCGCCGCTAAAATCGATCTACGGTGTCCAATTCTCGGATCCCATCCATAAGCTAAGAAGTTTTGTTTTAATATTCCAGATATTTTGTGAGTTTTGTGATTCAGTTCCAGTTCCACAAATCTCTCTGTCAGGCGGCAGGACAGAATGTACCTCTACACCAGTGTGATATCTATCAGAGCACAGCAGCTGGACAAAAATTGAGGTAAATCATTTTGTTATTTGCTGGTAAATCCATAATTTATACTGGTCTGGAACCCTGGACGTGCAGATACGAACAGCGTCTTCGACGAGTGATAAATACATTTCTTAATCAAATTCTGTCACATCTTTAGCCCGACAAATCTGTCACTACCTGTTCTTCGGACGTAATATACGGATGTGATATCGACATGTTTAGGGCCCAGACATAAAATGTCACTTTTTGATATGCTGCAGCTAATACTTTTAAATGTTTCTATTTCATAGCGAAATGTTAAAACTGGGCTCATCCAAACCCTGGCCTGAAGCCATGATGATGATAGCCGGTGAAGACAAGATGAATGCAGCTGCCCTGATGGAATATTTTCAACCCCTGACCACATGGTTAATAGAACAAAATGGTGAGGATATCGGCTGGGATGAAAAGTGTCCTCAGAAAGAAAAGGGAGATCCTAATTCTTCATCCGTCCCAGGCTTGTCCCTGATATTTTTGTTGTTCCTTTTTTTATTCAGATGTTTATAAACTTGTGTTTGCAGAATCTAATCCCTAAAAGGACAAAATATAATAACTATCCGGACTGAGTTAGATGAATGAAGTTTAACAGTGGAACAAACCTATTCTTCCTGTATCGACTGATAACTGTCTAACCTAGTCTGGTATTAAAACCATCTTCAGAGTGTCAAGCTATTACAAACTCCGTGTCATACCTTGACTGCAATAGCCACCTTTCTTCACAGAAGTCTGTAAATGCAGCGATTCGATTGGATTGTACGCTAGCGAAGTAAACCAAAGGCTTTGACAAAAATAAACCTTTCGGTTTAGGGCTCTGATTGGCGGTATTCACGTGTGTACAACCCAATTAATCCGTGATACATGAGGATGACCATAGCAGTCAAGGCTTAGGACGGCGTTCGTCATATAGCTTGAGATTGTGAAGACGGAATAACACGAAACTCTCAGATTTCTTCATATCTCTGTCTTTCTTTAGACCATCTCAATTTCCCAAAATCGAAACAAAGACAAGATTTTAAACCAAAATATAAAATTTTTCTTTAAAAAATAAAGAGTACATGTCTATAAAATATTCGATATTTTTTGTAACAAATATTGATATGTATTAAAAATGATTGCATAAATCTATAACTTACTATTATTATTTCTTGTGGACTGAGATATCGATGCTTTTTTTTTACCAAATTAAATTGATGAATAATATATAGGTAAAGATATATAGGTACAGATAAAAGGATTTTCGACCAATTTTCTCCATGTACTTTACACAAAAACTACAGCAGCCTTTCAGAAGGATATGATCACGGATTTGTAAAATATCCACAATTTACACAAAATTAAAATGCGTTAAAGATAACACAATCGAAAAAACTAATACCACAACATAGGATGAAAATTGAACCTGATTTCCAGTGGATACTGGTCCCGTATTTCCTTTCTTCGTTTCTTTAACAAAATCGTTGGAATCAGGACAACTAGTACTCCAACCTGGTCGTTCGTCAAGGTTCTGTTTTTGTAACCATTTCATCAGAGGTTGGAAATAATCCAGTAATGGTTGTGCGTCCATTTTCCTCTGTCCTGTTATTTTCTCCATCGCTTCTGGCCAGGGCTTAGAGGCACCTAAACTCAACATATCTCTAAAATAAAACATCGAGAGTGTATAGGGTCTTAATTACAACAGATGGAGGGGCATCTTTGATAATGACAAATTGCTTTCAGGTCTAAACATTCAATCAAAAAAACGTGATCCGGTTTTGCTTTTAGCATATTCAGACTCGAGACATTTCACTAGCAAGATATTGAACAACAAAATCACATGAGTATCATGAGTACATTTTGTGCCCCCAGTATAATTTGGCCTTAATCCACAGATAGTACAGTAATAAAATGCCTTGGGCTCGTTTTCATTCTTCGCAAAAGCTTCCAAACGCGTCACAGTGATATGTGAACGTCCAGTATTAACAAGTGCAGTGAGCAACATTCAACTGTCAGTAAAAAAAATTCATCTTACCCTAATAATTTCCCCGCTGCTTTGGATTGATAAATATCACATTTATACAGAGGTCCAGTATGGTTGGCGGCCTGACATAGAGCTTTATGGAACTGAAACTGGATCACGAAGCTCACAAAATATCTGGAATAAATCCGATAAAATTAAATTGATAATTTAAGGAAAGACATAATGCACAGATATTAAGGTTAATCAAACAGTTTGAGTCAAAATCATGAAAGTTTATGGAGTTATGGACCATAAGTTGAAAAGAATAGTGGCTTAACGAAATGAGTGGTTGCCCGTGGACGGAAGTGTTTAAGTTATAAAAGCGAGATTTCAATATCTTTTGGCATCTCCTACCTTATATATGGGGTGTTGTCGGGTATATGATATTTAGCTCCTGGGTCGAAATCATCTTCTGTTCTTTTTACCGGAGGGAAAATACCCTGGTGTTTACATCTGGAAATAAAAACTCGGTCAAGGAAACAATAAAACACAGACTCAGAACTTCTTGTCTCATAGGTGGCGCTCGATAGATGATTTCGAAACAGGTTCGTTCTGTTCTAATTCTAGTCGTCAATCGAACGGTATGGAATAGGAAATGTTTTGAATTCTGTCTACGCGTACTTTGTTTTTCGGAGCACCTGGAACGCATCCTGTCCCAACTTGGTTAATTGAACTTCCGGTTGATTACGAAAGAACAAAACTCACCAATCGAGCACCACCTATTTCACCTTGGGATTACCAGTACTTATTCACAAGGATGGTCGTGATATTATTCTTAATTGATATAGAGAGATAATCTTTACCTCAGATTCCACCATTTCTGGTTGTAGTTATCTGGTGTAGTTTCTCCACTAAAAACACTCCACCTCCATTGGTCTATCAGATACCCAAATGGTAGAAAGGCGATCTTCTCTAATGCCATTTTCATCAAAAAATTAATAACATCCACTGAAAACAATAGTAATTTCTTGAAATTTATTGAGCCATTGGTGTAAGTTCCGTAGAAAGAAAATTTGGTCTGAAAATTGTGGAGCTCTCTAACTTTCTTAATGATGTATCGAGACTGTAGATTGAGAAGTCAAATCTTCCTTTCCCTGATTCGCAATTCTTATTTCATGATTCTATATATTTTCAAATTTTGCTCGAAATCCGTCAGATCCCATTAACAATAGAAAGTGATAAAATCAGATTGATTCTTACGTTGATTATCTGCCCCTGGTTTCAGTAATCCTATTTTTCTGAGATGCCCCGGGGTAGATACAGATAGGGCTAGAGTATCTCCGACTGCTTCATGGAAACCTGCAAATTTATAATTACAAATATTAAAAAGAAAAGACACAAACGTATATAATCTGCAAGCTATGTGAATTCATGTTGACTGGCTGAAAGAGATGCAATGTCTACAAACCAAATCGCACGGTGTCATCAGGTATCGCAGCACCCTGGTTGTATTTATTATTTCTTAATTATGAATTCTCTGAAAACTAACCTGGATTGGCCCCATCTCTAAATGCTTGGGGAAAATGACTGTACTGTAGAAAATATTGTATATGTCCCATTTCATGATGGACTGTGACCAAATCTTCCATATTAATATCCGTACACATCTTGATTCTACAAACATAATGGTGAGGATATCAGAGATGGATGATGATGATGATGATAGATGAAGATTTTATGATGTTTATGTTGATTATGATGATGGATGGGAGGAAGTAGGAGGATGCTGATGCTGCAAATGTTGCTAATACTGATGATGGATGATGACGATGTTCGATGATGATTCAAAGATGATAGTGGATGATTGAGGATGATGATAGTGACGGCTCCATTACATCATGAGTTCGAAATATTCCAAATAGAGCATTATACATCCTTACCTAAAGTCCTTGGCATTGTAGAAGTCCCAAGCTGAAGCATGGCAGACTACATTGCGACCATCTTTTGGTTTTTCCATCAACGAATCTGTCCAGAAGCTATCCGGCATTTTTTTCAAACCTAAGCTCAGAAAGAAATACTCTGCTGTTCTGAAGATTTTCTTTACAGTATAATTCTGAAGCACAGAAAATGAATAGTGGATTAAATTGAATTTTATTTCTTGGATGATTATCAAACTGAATTCCCAACACCAGTTTCAAAGAGATTCATTTCTTTTCGGTCTGTGATCTAAATGATCTTAGAATGTTTCAAAATGTTTAAGCAGCTAAATAAGTCTTATTACAGCTAATATTCCGGAACTTAATGGTAATGAAACTTCCTCTATCCTGCAAGGAATTTTTCCCAATTTTCATACCTGTTTTTTCATGGTTGGGGTGACATCAACACTGCTTCTATTTTTATAAGGTTGTAGAATATCGTAAATATTGTTCCATTGTTGGGCCCACATGTTACCTACAAGTGACGAGACAGATATATCATCTTGCTTATTATGTACTTATTACCCATTTCTTTGTATGGTGTAACTGAGTTTCCTGGATCAATAGGAACCACATACGTCCGACAGGAAATAGTAGTCTCGAAGACACAATTTACTATGAAATTATGTTTACTAAAAAAAAGGATGGTCGAAAATAAAAATATATATATAAATAACACGGTAGATATACCTAATAAGTGTGCAGGAATATGGCCGGAAGTAGGAAAATCTTCATCAGGATAAATACTTTTTAATTTCATACGAACATAGGTATGAAGCTGTTCATACAATGGGTGTAACTGTTTCAGCAAACCCCGGAGATCTTGTATAAAGGTTTCCGATTCAAAAGCTGATCTCCAATATTCACCCGTATCTTTATAACCTGTGGCGTAAAAAAAATAACCTTAGAGCAGTCCTTAAGCTGGTTTCATTTTGGTCATTCATGTGTTGGCGATCACTTATGCTTTGTCATCTGGATCTTTTGCAACGACCATTTAGTCCAAATACTTTCTTTTTCAATTTTTTTCTTTGCGACGGCACATGTCCATCATAGCTGATCCCGTGTGTGCAGAATGACCCGGGTGGGGGATGGAGGGATGTGCAGACACCAGGTTCAAATTTTGTATCAATCTGCATTCTAAGCCTCCACCTAATGGTATATAGAAGACTTTGCTTATTATATTAAGAAAGTGAGACTTTTACCATTTCGTTTTAGTCTTACTAACTGATAAATCTGCGTCTCGTCAAACCAAGTGTGGAAACTGGAATTATATTGCAATAGTGGCGTAGTTAGGAGGTCATACCCGCAGCCATCCCTCACGTCAGAGACAGCATTGTCTTACCCTGTCGTTTGCTAATATTTGTACATTTAACCAACATATTCTGTGAGTGGACAAGATCGGGAAAATTTATTGTTGAATCCACTAGGAAACAAACCTATTTCTCTAACACCCATATTGGACAGTTTCACAAATTCACTATAGTCTGTCTTCATCAATCTACCAGTCTTATCTCTCCATAGTTCCCAGATAGATTTTAATTTCTTAGAGTCTCGGTCTTTAGCCATCATCCGCGTCAGATCTATAAAGAAGAGGAATAAATACAGATGTACGTTCTTTGTATCAATATATATGATATTGACTTTAAGTATGTTCTTTGTTACTCCTATCGGCTCAATGCTCGAAGGCTCTGGTCCATAAGAAAATCCTAAGAAACGGGATAAAAACATTGAGGTGCAGCATGTGTAACTAACCTGGCTCTAGAGGATAACACCGATTTTCTTCCAAACAAACTGTGGCGGCACCATAAACTCCTTCCATTTTAGACTGAAGTTGTTGCATCTGAAATCAGAGGAACTTATTTCATTTGCTGCAGCCATTTATAAAATTGTTTTCATCATTCGTGTATCATTTGAATAAGAAATATTCAATATTAGCCACAATGTAAACCACAATTTCATATAATTATGATCCATTTCAAGATACCAATATGTTTTTGTTTCTACAAAAATTGCTACCATATTCAAAAAATTACAGTGCGTTTTACAATTAAGATATATGATGTGAAAATCATAAAACTGGCTAGAAGTTTTTATCAGAGCTTAAGGTTACCTTTTCTAAAGCTGTGTTACTTTTCATGGCACTAGGTCCTATATTAGTTATCTTTTTAAACTGTCTTTTAATTTCTGTGTTTTTAAAGTTTTTCCAGTCTAATTGGTTGGCTTCCATTGCCGCCTTTTTCTTAAATAAATCTAATTCTACTCTTCTTTTAACCTGCAAGTTGGAGAGAAACACAAAAGGTCAAAAGTTTTTGGATGAGTATACCAAGAAAAAGGATAAAAGGTATAATAAGGCAAACACCAGCTAACAGCTAATAGGGACCATTGACCACAGGTCCACAAAACACTTCGCATGCTAAGCTTAGTTTTTACTCAAAAGCATAAAGCCTCTCGTATCAAGAAAAGTTGAAATTTAAAGAATAATGTGATAATGCCAGAAACATTGTGATCTAAGGAATAGATTGATATATTTTATTTGCTTTGATACAATCAGTCATACACCTGTAATAGCTGCATCAAATATGAGTAAAATCTCAGCTAAATGTATGAATAAAGGTTTGCGGCAACTGACAAGCGTGTGCAATTAACTTGTCCGACTTCTCACAAATATCTTTGTACCACTATATATTATAAATATCTTTGCTCGTAGTCGCATCTATACATAAATATCATTCAATACCTACCGACATCTTGGAAGTATAATCAGTAATATTTGTCTGATAAGCCCAATCACCTTCATACATAGCATTAGTAGCTTTTTCTGCTCGCTTATCATATGACTTCAACCACCTGTCAGCTTGAATCAGACCATCTTCAGGACAGTTTTCATCCCAGCCCAGATCCTCGCCTTCATTCTCCTTCTTCAACCAATCTATCAGAGGCTGAAAATATTCCATCAACGCACTGGCATCCATCTTTGTACTTCCGGTTACCATTTTCATAGCTTCTGGCCAGGGTTTTGAAGATCCAAGTTTCAACATTTTTCTACAAAAAAAGATGAGGACAAAAATGTAAAATTTTTATTACCAATCGGCTGAACTAGGCGTTTTTTTTTTTTATTCTAGCCCTCTGAGCTGTACCACTAAGACAGGAGGAATCGGATTAAAAAATCCAACAGTATCAGTTCATTTCGACCTATGCCACGATTGACTCCTTGACCTCAAGTTGGCATGAGTATGAGACCAACTGACAGAGCTCTTGCAGAACAAAAAAATATCAAGTAAATGTTATGTATCTTAAGCCAAAGGACAAAAAAAAAAAGAAAAGTCGAAAACTTACGCTAGTTTTTCACCGGCTGCCTTAGAACCATAAATATCACATGACCTTAGAGATCCGGTATGATTGGCTGCCTGACACAGACCTTTATGAAATTGGAACTGAATCACATAACTTACAAAATATCTACAAAACAAAGCAATAAGATTATAATTTGGTAAATATAAAACCCAAGTGCCAACTAGGTATCAACAAATATAACAAAGGGTACCTATCGTACATTTGAATCTTTATGTTAGATACAATATAATATATTAAGATCTTGGCCCAAACTCAAATGACAAGGTATAAGCTACTTAATCAGAGCACTTATTGTCACTTAATAGAATTCTTACTAACGATCTTTATAGATTTCAAAGGGAAGATTTACCTGATATACGGAGTGTTGGCAGGAATATGATATTTAGCTCCAGGATCAAAATCTTCTTCTGTTCTTTTTACTGGTGGTGATATTCCTTGATATTTACATCTAAAAATAGAAGACAAAATAGAAATAATTTGGACAATTTCGGAGGCTAACCACCAACCTCAACTTTGTAAATTCATTGACAAGAGGTTTGGCCTTCTAATTGACTAAATCTTAGAGAACCTCGGTTTTAATCCTTGTAAAATTATTTTCAGAGGTCCGTCACAGGTTGTTGTTCTGAATAATCTTAACTTTGGCACAAGTCAACCTTGAAACTAATTGAATCCGAAAGCAACTGCATTCACAACCACTGTCAGCAGCTGGTCGTACCTGGGAACATCTGATAGAACGCTGGATTTAGATGCTGTCACAGCTTGCACTCTTTCCAATTTGTACCTGTGTGATATTGTAAGTAGTCTGTCAGTTTCCCGATTTAAGCGTTTTGCTCATGTCGACAGTGACGGATCCGATGACATGTTTTGAATGGCAAACATTAGGTTGTTACATTTTCAAAATATGGCGATTGTTCTCTTTTGTCTTGTTTCAATACAAAAATTCCAAACCTGAGATCCCACCATTTTCTATTATAATTGTCTTTGACTGTTTCTCCACTAAAAACACTCCACCTCCATTGGTCTATCAGATACCCAAATGGAAGGAAGGCGATCTTCTGTAGAGCTTGGCTCATTAGGAAGTTGATGTCGCTCTCTGTAAATAAAAAGTAGTAAAGTTGGAATAACGGCAGTTTCATGCAACGTTTGGACGTGTAAGGCTTATTAATGATAATATTAAAAATATGCCACGCAGCAGCATCGTGATAACTAAAGGTACAAAAACATTATCGTTACGAAAACGTGAATACAAAATATGGGTTCCTTTGAACCATTGATACCCCCCAAAAAGGTGATAAAAGTTCTACGACTTACCTGGGTCATTAGGTATAGTTTTCAGGAGACCAATAGATCTTAGGTGGTTTGGGGTAGAAGCTGACAGAGCCATTGTATCACCGATAGCTTCATGAAAACCTGCAAAACACAGAACGAAAATATACAACCACCGCCATTTTTTTTTCAAATCCATTCTGGGATTTTAAGCATCATTCCAACGAAAAATGTAATTTGAGGCCTTTTGGATGGGGTGAGGAGGCTTGGACCTATGGACCCGTGAAGCCTTCACGTATATTATCTTATTCAGCAGCTTGTTGTACATATGTAACAATGAAATGCTAAAGAATGTGGATGAAGTATTCATTTCCATATTAAACTAACCTGGGTTTCCACCCCTCCTGAAAATAACTGGTTGATCTTTATATTGAAGGTAATACTGGATGTGTCCCATCTCGTGATGGATGGTTATCAGATCCTCCATTGTTATATCTGTACACATCTTGATTCGGAAATCTTTTTTATTATAAAAATCCCAAGCTGAAGCATGACAGACGACGTCTCTGCCGTCAGGTTTTCTGATCATAGAATGTTTCCAGAATGGCATCGGCATCTCCTCCAATCCTAAAGACTTGAAAAAATCCTCGGCAGTCCAGAACATCTTCTCCACCGTATACTCCTAAAATTTATCATCTAGTAGTCAATAAATGTACAGGACTTAGTCAAATGAATACTTTGTAGATGGAAAATTACAGTACTCAACGATGACATGTCTTATACACAGTTTTCTACCCTGCTTCGAAGCGATTTGTCTTTTCCTAATAAACAATTCACGTCATATCAGTACTGAAGGCAATACTTAAAAGGGTTTTAAAATTGATTGATATATCGGTATAACGGAATCAGTGGCGGCACGAGACTCTCGAGAATGGGGGTACAGAGTGTGATTTCATAATGCGGTAACTCTGTGCAGGCGTCATTGTTGCAAACCTCTCATGAATGTGACGAATGTTGGAATTTAATTTCGTGACTAACATACCTGACGCTTCATTTCATTCGTTACACTCAGAGTTGTTTTATTTTTATATGGTTCAACAAGATCGTAGATATTGTTCCAGTGTTGGGCCCACATGTTTCCTAAAAGTAAATAAAAAAGGGATGTTTTTATGAAAATCTCCGAATGCTAGTATGGTGATCCGCATAAGTTCCATTCGCAAATAATTGATATGTTACGACCCTTGGGAGACATTATTCTTGGATGAAAACATCAATTTGGTAAACACCACAAAGTATCAATACTATCCATATATGGACACTTATTGAAGGTCAGATATGTTTGAAACTTTGACAAAATAACCCAATTATACTCCTATACTATATAGGTGACATTATAAAGTGTAATTTGCCAAACTTACCCAATAAATGTGCTGGGATGTGGCCACTATAAGGAAATTTATCATCACCATAAACTGTCTTCAGTTGTTTTCTGACATAACCATGTAATTGTTTGTATAGTGGATGAAGCTGATGTAGCAGGCTCTCCACATCTTGTTGAAATGTTTTACTTTCATACCATGATCTCCAATAATCCCCTGTGTCTTTATATCCTATATTAAAGTCATAGAGTTGTCTAATTGTTTTAATATATAACATTACCAACTGATATAAACTCGATTTCATATATTAATACCGTCGTCTAAATGTTCACATTACCAGCTTAAAAAGCAAAATTTCAGCTTTCTGAATAAACTTAAATAGGTACACCAAAAATCAAGTATTTGCTATATCAGCTCCATTTCAGTTATCTGTATCAGTTATTTTCTTTACCAGCTGTATAAAGCTCAATTTCAGCTATATATATAGTTATCTAGTTATTTGCTTTATCCAGTTATATGATTTACCAGCCGATAAAGCTCAATTTCAGCTATCTGTTTAGTCGCTCATGTACGGCAGCAGAGTAACAAGGAACAAGGAACCTACCCAATTCCTGTACACCTTCATTACTCAAGTGTACAAACTCTTCATATTTGGTCTTCATCAGTTTACCGGACGAATCTCTCCACCCTTTCCATGCCTCGAGTAACTTATCGTAATTCCTCGACTCGGCAAGCACCTTCGTCAATCCTTCAATAAATCGTGAGAAATGAAATATAAATATTCACATCAACAATTGATAAATTCGAGTTAAAGGAAAAACTGTCGCTTGGGGTAATTCAAACCCATGGAATCTAATCGCAGAGTATACTGAAACATCTGTCTCATTTCCAGCCTCTGATATCTAAATAGGCCCTGTGAAATGGCGATTTTCCGCATATACATTATATGCCTTTATACTTATTATGCACATATGGAAAACTGAAAGAACATATCATTAAAAGTAAAATTAAAATCGATGGAAAGCAAGATTTTAGTCATGGTTCGTTATAGTTTGCGGATCGTTATAGATCCAATCACGAACTGGATTCGGCGTGAATAACCTACCACGAAATAACTTTAGGCTCCACGATACATTGTTATATGGGCTTAAAAAAAACTACCTGGAGCCAATTCTAGAGCTTTACCATCAGACATGTTGACCTTTCCAACACTATAAATACCTTCCATTTCCGATACAAGACTTTCCATCTGTAATTAAAAACATGTAATCAATTCAATTAAAAATTATCTACAATCGGATACTTAGGAATATATGCTTGCGTGTGCTGGGTTAATAGTCTTTACCGTTTTCACTTTTTCCCGCACATTTAATTCCATTATTAAAAGAAATTATCAAGAATTCAAAATATTCAAATCTAACAAACCCTTGCTAATTTAGTAGTATTTTTCAGAGCACTGGTTCCAATATCGGTGATTTTCTGGAATTGCCTTTTCACCACGCCTTCAGGATAGTTCTTCCAATCAAATGTGTTGGCTGAAGTCGCCGAGGATTTATCAAACTTCGCCGATGCTAAATTAGCTTGAACCTAAATGAAAATTGGATTATAGGAATCAATCAAATGCCACTCTACAGACAATGTACGCCTTAATCATAAATAAATATTAAGAGAAGAATTCCAAAAGCAAATGCAAAGCAAAATTTAGTGTGTGCTGCATAAATTTTCCAGGAAATCTGAATGGTGTAAACAGATATACAAATAATGATGAGAAAGATCTTCGAGCCTGTGGACCAATTTTCCGTGTAACCAGTTTCCTGTCACCAAATTGGCAGTGACCAAATTTCTTATATCCAAAAGACTGATGGATGTAACATTTATTGATGTAAGCAGTTTTGCCAGAAGAGTTGATTTCAGACGTTACCAGTCGAAATGTGTCCCTCCCCTACCATTGTAACAGGTAAAACAGGTTGCTTGAACTTCATACCTTTAGTCCACTGTTATATTTAGTTATATTGGTGCTATAAGTGTACTCCGCTTCTACTGATTTAAATCTAACATCAGTCGCCATATTGTCGTATTGTTTTAACCACTTCCGGGCAGCATCCAAATCTCTAATCTTACCATCCGTTCCAGTCGGACATTCATCTGACCAACCGAACTTCTTCCCGCTGTTTTGTTTCTCGAGCCAATCCAGCAGCGGCGTAAAAAACTCCACTAAAGGCCTAACGTCCATTTTACGTTGTCCTGTAATCGCTTCCATTGCCTCTGGCCATGGTTTGGAAGTTCCAAGACTCAGCATATTTCTACAGAAAAGTAACGCTAAATTAGTATCGAAAAAATGTCTATTCTTTTAAAATAACCAGAGCTTGTTTTTTTAGATATAAAACCATCTTGGAATCGAGGGGGGCACTGCCAATTTTTTTTTATTAATCTTTAAGTTGTCAATCAAAAAATATGGCATTGCATATTTCTACTTATAACTTACGCTAATTTCTGCCCGGCTTCTTTAGACTGGTAAATATCACATTTATACAGAGGTCCAGTATGGTTGGCGGCCTGACATAGAGCTTTATGGAACTGAAACTGGATCACGAAACTTACAAAATATCTGGAGTATAAAAATGTAAATATTAATGAAGATATGTGGACGAAAAAGACATGTAGTGCTGGAGGTGGAGATGATGGGAACCTTAGACTCTTGGACAACAAATAATATTTTTATTGTAAGATTCTCTCTGAATGATCTGTTATTAACGAGAAATATGGTTTGTACTTGTATCCTCACTTTTTAACGTTTTTGCCCCAAAAATGTAGCAGAATTCACCAAATTAATTCAATTTTTCGAAGATTTTCTTGGGAGAACCCTCTCAAAAGCCCAATGAGAAGCTTGCAATTAGATGCCTTTAAATTCAGCCTCGAAAGTTGCCCCAATCCCCACATTTTTTATCCAGCCTCGACAATTGTCCCCCATTGATGCAGTCTGTCCCCTATTTGTACCCCCAGTTACAAAACGCCCATTTTTACAAATACAATCCAATAATTTTTGGTTTCTGTAAATATTCTTTTCTGTGGTACCAGTCTCAAGGCAAGATTTACCTGATATATGGAGTGTTGGCAGGAACATGGTATTTAGCTCCAGGATCAAAATCGTCTTCTGTTCTTTTTGTTGGTGGTGATATTCCTTGATATTTACATCTGAAAATAGGCGGAGACAGTTGGTAGAAAAACTATCCTCTGAATTTTCGTTTTGTTCTAATATTCAAATCCATAGAAACAATATAGGCAGAGTAGATTTTAGGTTTATTTGAATATTTAGCTAGTGACTATATTTGCCTTCTATAAGCTAGTTATGATTGAGTGTAGTTTTTTTTTACATACCTCAAGTCCCACCATTGTCTGTTGTACTCGTCGGGTGGCGTCTGACCCCTAAAAACACTCCACCTCCATTGGTCTATTAAATACCCAAATGGTAGGAAGGCAATCTTATCCAGAGCTAAACTCATCAGGAAGTTTAAATCCGTTTCTGGAAACCATCAATCGAACATGTTATAATATTTATTTTTGCCGTGAAACAAAAGTACCCCATACAAATATGGAGGAGAATTACAAAATCTTGGTCACAAATAAATATTATGTCTTGTTTGTTTTTTATTCATTTTTGAAGCTTTTAGTTTTTTTGTCATTTGGGAGATAAGAAATAGAGCTTATTCAAGTATTTTGTTTATCTTACCATTGTCTTCTTTCAAGTTTGGTAACAATCCAATTTTATTGAGGTGACGCGGAGTAGCTACTGATATAGCCAGCACATCCCCAACAGCTTCATGGAACCCTGGAGAAAAATAAACATAAAAATTGAATTGTTGTGATGTCGACCATATAACTTTTTAAACTTTCCAGTTTAGGAGACTTTCTACCCCTCGAACACATTTTGGTGCTCCTTCTGCTCACGTACCTGGATTGGCCCCACCTCTGAAGACTGTCGGTTGATCTTTATATTGAAGGTAATACTGGATGTGTCCCATCTCGTGATGGATGGTTATCAGATCCTCCATTGTTATATCTGTACACATCTTGATTCTGGAATAAATACAGATTTAGATTTGGTAGGTTTCCAATTCAATTCTCCTTCATCGAAATCATTCTTCAGCTAATTCCAAGTTCCTGACATTATTGATAGACATGACTGTCCCCAAAATCAGTCTCTAGCCAACCTCAACCATTTATAATTCACAAACTGAGAGCTCCCACTTCCATTGTTATTTTGGACCTTACCTAAAATCTTTGGTGTTACCGAAATCCCAGGCTGAAGCATGGCATACCACATCACGTCCATCTGTAGGTTTTTGTAACATGGACTTATTCCAAAAACTGTTAGGCATTTTCTTCAAACCAAGTGACAGAAAAAATTCCTCCGCAGTTCTAAACATTCTTTCAACCGTATAGTTCTGAGAAATAGAAAGGCACATGAAATCGAATTGTCGTCACTTCAACCAATTACAGAGTTTCGTTCTTGCTTTGTCAACATTTTTAATTCTTCAATTAAGTGCTGGAGGCGCGGGAAACTACAATGGATAATCACAAGTCCATGAATCGACAAAATCAATGCGGCAATCAACCAGTGATTTGCGTGTTCGTTAGAAACAAAACGTCTTTGTTTCATTTCTATTGTAAGGATAATCCCTCTAGATTTCTAGATGATTCCTACGAATTTGACGGATCTATTGAAAGAAAGATATAAAGACCTATCTACCTGGTTCAACATTTCTGGGGTGACATCGACATCACCTTTTCCAGGGTACGGTTCCAGTAGAGGAAATATATTAGACCAGGTCTGTGCCCACATATTTCCTAAAACACAAATTAAATACCCTTTTTTCTTGTTATTTTTCGGCATTTAGCCAGCTAATGAAAGAGCTGGTAATTGGAGAAGGTAATTCGTCTATGATAGCAGCAGCCCAGTCGTCTTTAATGGTCAAATGTCTAGAAGTTTTTAATTGCGCAGCCTAGTCCCCTTCAGCTTGCTTGTAATACAGTACGGAACCATCTTGAACTATTGCAGGTCAAGACCTGGACCTCCATATTAGCAAGCCATAAGAAATATTAGCTTATATTAATAGTTAATTCAATCACTTACCCATTAAATGAGCAGGGATATGACCACTGGAAGGAAAATGTTCTTTTCCATATTTTTCTATTAACTTTCCTCTAACGTAGGTATGAAGTTGTTGATACAGAGGTTTGAGTTGTTCTAATAATTCTTGTAGATCTTCTTTAAAATTCTCAGTTTCATAATTGCTAATCCACGCCTCGGATGTATCGTTGTAACCTGGTTATTAATATTAATATGTTAATGAAGTAATAATAGTCTCCATGTTCCTGTAGCAACGGTACAGATGAAGAACATGAATAGCCTCCGGCCAAGGGGCGTCAATATGTAAGATAATGTTCGGGGGGGGGGAGGAGGGGGTGCCTTTGTCTTGGAAAAATTCACCTTTCACATTGACCTTTCCATAGTCCTGAGAGGTAGCGCAGGGGGCTAAATTCGCAACTGCTCTGGTCCACAGTAAAAGCAAAACAGGTTATATTGAGATGATTAACAGTTGACAATGAAAATATAACAAGTACCATATCTAAAAAAATTATTCAACCAGAGAAGACCATGGTTTACTTCAGTCGGAAATAAATGGGGAATGGGAATATCGTGGTTTTACTCACCGGCAGCTCTATAGCCTTCATTACTCAGTTCTACAAATTGTTGATAAAGTGGTCTGATCTTAGGCCCTGTAGCATCTCTCCAACCTTCCCATACTTCTGTCAGCTCACTGTAGTTACTAGAACTCCTCAACAGGCGAGTTAGGCCTGGGAACGACGATTACAAGAAAGAAATTAAATATGATTTTAATATCGTAATATCGCCGCTGTTTGACATTACGTTGCATTTAATTTTTTGCTGATATAAAAGGGTTATAGAAGACAAAACGCATAAAAGCGGTCAAATGAATGCTGTAAAGGTTTAACGGTAAAGTTTCCAGTGATTTTATACAACTGTGTACACTTACCTGGTTCAAGGCTCATACATTCTGTGTGTCCACTTAAACAAACTTTTCCTTTGCTGTAAACTGACTCCATTTCATTTTCTACTTCTCTCAACTAAATCATTAACGATCATATATAAAATACAAGTAATACAAGTATAAACAATCAAGTCTGGAGTGAGATTCCACTAGAATTCTGACAAACAGCAAATTGTACTTTGAATAATAGTTAATGTAGTTCTATCTGCTTTAAACTTTCCCCCGCACGTGTAAATGGGCGACGAAATCGCACTAACAATGATCGGATAGTACTTACTCGTTTTAGCTTGGCAACATCCTTCATAGCAGACGTCCCCAGTTGTGCCACAAATGAAAATTGTCTCTTTCTGGTCTCATTATGAAAGTTTTCCCAATCAAACATAGAAGCGTTGGCAGCAACCTCTTTAGCAAAGTTAGCGGTTTTTAAGCTGTACTCGGTCTGAAATTATGTCAGGTGTTCATATATATAACTTTTAAGATCAAGAATTATTAAATGTGGAACTATCCTTTAAACTATTCAAAGTGTTTTTAAGAGAATATTTCGGAAATGGACGATTCTCAAGCCTTTTGTAACGTGCATACAGCCTGGTTTTTTTTCGATGTAGAATTTTGGATGCACTGTTCGTGATGACTGTTATGGGCTTTTTATTTCCGTTTGCTATAGAAAAAGATGGTTAGCATTCTTTTATAACAACTACGGTCTTCGATACCGTGCGATAGTACTAGCTGGGCAAGACATGACCATCCCTCCGGGACACCGTATGCCAGTGTGCGACTAGGTTTTCCATCTTGGCATCCCTTACCTTTCGCTGTGCGTTATAATCAGTGAGGTTGGTATTGTAAGCCCAGGAGAGTTCTGAAGATTGAAACCAAATTTCACTATCTCTTTCATTATACATATCTAAAAACTTATCGGCCTGCTCGAGATCACTGATGCCACCAGATGAAGGATCAGGGCAGTTATCAGTCCAACTTTCTCCATCCCCACCGTTCTTCTTCTCCAACCATTCCATCAACGGTTTGAAATACTCTAATAATGGGCCCACCTCCATCTTCCTCTGTCCTGTTATCAGTTCCATTGCATCTTGCCATTGTACAGAACTACCCAGTTTCAACATATTCCTGAAAAATATACGTAGTATGATAATTGACCTTTGTTATAATTTTTGGCTTCGATGCTCCTTCTTTAGTCCGTCTTCCATGATGGTGAATCGCCATCATCATAATACTTACTTGAGTTTGGTACCAGCCTGTAAAGAGTTGTAAATATCACACGTGTGTAGTGGACCTGTTTGATTGGCTTCCCGACATAGCGATTGGTGAAACTGGAACTGGATTACAAAACTTATAAAATATCTGAAAAAAACCATAGCTTGGTTTTATTAGGTCCAGTAAAACAGCAATCGGACTGGGTATAGTCCGAAATCTAATCTATCATTTCAGATTTTATGACTTCAAAGCCAATTTATCACAAACTTATTCAGTGATAGGCTTAGACCACTGAAACTAACTGTTCTAGTTACTCAAGGTTCAATTGTGAAATAGAATGTACAGTCCACAAATACCTGATATAGGGTACATTAGCAGCTACGTGATATTTCGCTCCAGGATCAAAATCCTCTTCTGTTCTTTTTACCGGTGGTGATATACCCTGGTATTTACATCTAAAATGACAGAAAACTAACTAGGTACACATAGAAAGGGAAATTATTCAGATACACATAGAAACAGAAAGAGATGGAGAACATTTGAGAATAAAAAGCTACTTCTAACTGAAAACATCATCATTATACTCTATTAAAGTTTATATCCTAATTTCTCAGTCAAATTTACCTGAGATCCCACCATTTCCTGTTATAGTTATCAGGTGTAGTTTCTCCACTAAAAACACTCCACCTCCATTGGTCTATCAGATACCCAAATGGCAGAAAGGCGATCTTCTCTAATGCTATTTTCATTAAGTAATTGATATCAGCTTCTGAAATGTAAAAGAAAATGTTTCCATGAACTCTTACATTTTAATACTGTCGACCCGAAAGCATTTAAAGACCTGTTGTATTCTGCAGGTAAATTCAAAATTTTGATATAATGTCTTTAGTTCTTTATGTCACTTTGCGTTTTAAAAGTCGGCAACATTATGGGAATCAACCTACCATAATCGTTTTCCCCAGCAGGTAACAGACCAATCTTACGAAGATGTTTTGGAGTTGAAACAGACAGAGCTATGGTATCTCCAATGGCTTCGTGGAAACCTGCAAAATAGAAAATAACCCTCTTTGAATTGATAGTGAGGCCTTGCTTCGATTAAAGAAATGTTGCAAGATTATCCTTTTTACCATTGATTTCAAACGTTAGTTTGATACAGTTTTAGAATCATAATCCTTGTAGACTTGGTATTTTGGACAGAATCAACCAATTTCTTTAAAGGGACAGATTCACCTTCCTTGGTCTACAGAAGCAGGAATTCTTTGGCCAGGCTAGTCATTTTGGATCTCACCTGGATTGGCCCCGTCTCGGAATACACTCGGTTGATCTTTATATTGTAAGAAATATTCAACATGACCCATCTCGTGATGGATGGTGATCAAATCTTCCATTGTTATATCTGTACACATTTTGATTCTGGAATATAACAAAAACTTAAACAATTAATTATTAAATCCGAAAGTTCATTTTTGACATGTAGATCAATCAAGATTATTGGAGAAGTATTCTGATCTTTGATCTCACTGTATTATTTGTATATTGAGGTACAACTTGGTAAGAACATATTATATTGTCAAGATCAACTTACCAAGGTACCATCATCAGTAAGAGAACCTAGGTTGTTATCCTAGTAAACCGAGTGGTTTGGACATGGTCAATCAATAGGAAGGACCGTCTGTCATTTATCTGTCTAAGAAAATATATACAGTTTGCAATTACCTGAAGTCTTTGCCATCTCCCATATCCCAAGCTGCAGCGTAGCAGACGACATCCCTTCCATCTGATGGCCTTTCTATCATTGATCCGTTCCAAAATGTGGCTGGCATGGCGTCTAAGCCAATGGACTTAAAGAAATGTTCGGCAGTTCGGAACATTCGGGTAGCAGTGAAATTCTGAAATAAATATTTTCAAGTGACACCATTCTAGCTGAATAAGGCTGATTGTCGCGGTTTAAATGAGGAAATTGAACACGTTTCCAACAGTGAGTACAACATTAGCATCACTGAAGTAGAAATCATCTTTAAAACATTAGATAGCAGTGTCTCCCCCCTATACGAGCAACTGACATGAAACTATCGAGCAGGAGTTGAACCATAGTCAAAGAGGGATGTAGATAGATGCGAACACACTGGCTTTTTGCTTCCAATTCGAGAGAGACGTACGAAAAACATATTCCGACATAAACAAGGTTTAAAAATTGGGTACTATGGCGCAATCTATCCACAGAGCAGCGACCAAGCGTCCACATCAACATTGAGTCAGCTGGCGAACTGGCTTCAGAATCAAAAAAAGTTGAAACATTACCTGTAACCGTAAAGCTGGAGTAACGTCAACACTCTGTTTATGTTTATATGGTTGAATGAACGGTAAAAGATTATTCCATTCTTGAGCCCAGATATTACCTGTAAGAAATATTTATTTGTTGGTTGTCATTCTTTGACATAAACTATATTACAAGACGGAGTTACATTTTATGCTTTGTGATGTACGAAGAGGAAAGTTTTTTACGAAAGCAACATTTCCACCTTTCAAGGGGTCCTTTACTTGCATAGCCTGTAACACATGAGGCTTGCTGTCCGAACAAAGTAGAAAATAAACCAACATTCAAAAGAGAACAAAGTACACCAACAGCTTATACTTTAGGGTGGATCCTTACTGCAATTTAGTCAATTACGGATTTTGCAAATGTTCAACATTCTTAAAAAATATTTTAAGGTGGTTTTCTTATAAATTGTATAATTTTGATTTGAAGTAACAAATATAACATTACCTAAAAGATGGGCTGGGATGTGACCAGTTCTTGGAAATTTATCAGGACCATAGACTTTAATCAGTTCTTTACGGACATAGGTATGTAGTTGACGATATAGAGGTTGGAGCTGCCTGAGAAGATCTTGTAAGTCTTCTTCTAAAGTCGGCGTGTCATAGACACCTTTCCAATAATCTGCGGTGTCTTTATAGCCTGTCCAAATATAAAGAGAAAAAAATCAGTTGGCAAAGTGGAGTCACTAAAACCTATCAAGCTATTAGCTTGTGGACTCTCTGAAACCAAGTTTGTTAAAACCTACCTAACTCTTTGACACCCTCATTACTGAGTTCAACCATTTCTTTAAACAGAAGCTTCATCTGTTTTCCCGTTTCATCCCTCCATAGCTTCCAGACATCCTTCAATTTGTTGTAGTCTCTGGAGCCAGAGAACAAACGAGCTATTCCAGGTTCTAGATTCAGACATCCTTCTTTACTGTGATTCTCAATACAAACCTTTCCTTTACTAAAAATACTCTCCATCTCCGCTTGAACCTCACTCAACTGAAAAGAATACACCAAAAAAATAATATTAGTTTGAAAGGTATCAATGGTTGAAAAACGAATCAAATCATCTGAAATATAATACAGATTGTTGATGGGAAACATCTCGAATGCGATGTGATATATCATTGGATGGGTTCTGCACTTTCGAAACTCTCTGCAGTGTCTAGAGGAATTTCAGATGACATTTTGTTGCTGGGTATGCTTCTATAATATCACGTTTCTCTCACGCTACATCATACTTAACATTGGATGGGATTCTAGAGGATGGTCCATTGCCGTCCGCATACATTTTGTCAGCTCGTAACATTGCGAGAACCTGAAATTCTTTCAAAAATTTTTAGTTCCACTTTTTTGATACCATAAAATACAAAGTTTAAATAAATTAAAGCAATCAAATTAATTCAAATAAAAAAAATATCACACCCTGGCAATTTTTGTTTTATTTTTCATAGCATCAGTTCCAATATTTGTGATGAACCGAAACTGCCTTCTGTGATTCCAGTTTTCTAGTTGCTGCCAGTTAATAGAAGAAGCATTCTGTGCCATTTCCTTGGTAAATTCTGATAGTTCTTGTTCACCTTGTAACTGAAATTAAATGTACTTTAGAGACACCAGGGAAATGAAAATAATTTCTGTTGACATTTTGATAAACCAAAAATTTGATTTTGGAGTTAGTGCTGCTCAAACTTCTCTGTGTGGTACTCAGATATTTGTTTTATAGCAATCAAACCTTGTTTCATTAACTTAATTTGCTAATAACTTTTGGAAAAATTGTCCTAGTGACTAGTAGTGCCTAAATATAGCAGAAAATCATATACTGAGCTCTCTTTTGGTCTTGAAGTATGTAATAAAATTTCGGTATGTTGGAGAGACGATCCACCAGAAAATTAAAATAAAACGTGTGGTTGCCTAAAAAACTATACGCCAACATCCGTTTTGTTTCATTTTGGCTAAGCTATAAAAAGAATGGGTGACAAGTAAAAAATAGAAAATCATCAGTATACATAAATATACCAAGCTTCATCAAAAATAGAACCAAATTAAATTCATTTGGATTAATCAAGGGAAATAATTCAATAACTTTTTATCGAAAATTCAAAATACCCATGAATACCAAGATCCATTAAGGTTAAAACTGTAGACTCTTATTGTGTTCACAAGCCAATTATGGACGGACAATAAACATCTACATTATAATGTTGGTGTATAATTAGAAACATAAAGTTATAGTTGATATGCAAAAAACTATTTAAACATGTATTTTGACAACGCAAATAGAAAAACAAACAAAAAACATCAAATGAGCGTGCTGAAATAGGCGATTTAAACATTCAACAAATCTATCACTCCAGAAATGATAACGATAAGATTAAAGAGGATTTTATCTACAGCTCTTTAAAAATCGGATAGATCTGTCGCGGATTATTACCATGTCAAGATAATCATATCTCCCTGTTCTACAATGAAATGTAGGTTAAAACAAAGGGCTTAAGCTGAAATTATTTGAACCACAATGGATTATTTGAATTACTACAAGAAAAGTGTGTTGAAAGCCTTAAGAATGGCAAAAATGACGACAAAAAAAATTGGGTCTGCAAACAGTTCTGCTTTAAATGTGCAACAAAAACGAAAATTTAAAACAAACTAAAAAAAAAAAATACAAAATGATTCCAAATTCAACATCTAATTCGGTCATTTTGATAATAAGAGGGCGAAAACAAACAAAAAGCAAACAAATGTAACACCAAAAAATATCAAAGTGAGACAGAAAACAAATATTGCTATTAAACAAATATAAACGTGCAACAAAAATGAAAATGTTCACAACAATATGGAATTTACTCAAAAACGTGTAATTTATACATGCAAAATACGTACTTAGATTTTACATAAGTTTCTGTTGCTGAAAATGAAGGACAGTTTAAATATCAGGCGACTTGAACAGATTTCTCAACAGCTATTTAAGGGTATAGTGTGGTCAGGGGACGGCACCACAAGCTTAGGTATATAAAGGACATCACACTCATAATTCGTGTCTTTTGAAGTGGTTCAATAAAATACAATACGCCTTCATGGCCTCATCACCTTCGTGTTCATGACTTAATGGGTATATAGGCTAGACTCTAATCCTTTTATTACTGGGCTAGACTTGTACGAGTCCACGCAAGAAATCAAACACAAAAAATGTTGTATATTATGGTTTATTGGCAACTGTAATTCAACAGGTTCTCCTCGTAGAATATGAATATAGGATTCATAGATATAATTCAAACTGACAAAACTGGCTGATCTCCATTCTATAATAATAAATATATGAGAATTGTTTGGAAATATACACGTCAACACACTGAAATTCCTAACGCCATGATCAATGCTTTCGAGAAAGATCCTGTTGACTGTCCGCTCATAAACCTTAATTTAAGCTGAAGTTGTTCAGATACGACTGCATCCATTATTGTAGTAACATTTTTTGGCAACCGCTCTTGAATTAAACTCAAGTCACCTTTTTACACTCTGATAATTTTTTTTTAATTTAATTGAAGACTACGCTTGTGTCTGTTTCTGAAAAGGGTCTATGGTTAGAAGTAACAGGGTATTCAATCCTTGGTATATTCAATAAGACAACCTGTAAAAACAGAGAAATGTGAAAAATATGACTTACTCGTCCTTTCTTGTTAGACTCGGTGATATTTGTTGCATATTTCCAACTAGACTGCGATGATTTATATTTAATATCCTGGGCTTTTTTGTTATAATCCTTGAGGAAGGCAGTTGCGTTAGAATTGGTTTCGGGACAGCTCTCATCCCAACCTTTCTTCTCATTCTTATTCTGCTCTATCAACCAGTCTGTCAAAGGCTTGAAGTATTCTTGAAGAGCTGAAGTGTCCATCTTGGATTGCCCCGTTAGGATCTGCATCACTTCCGGCCATGGTTTAGACGAGCCAAGACTAAGAGCATCTCTGAAATGAAAGCCAGTTTACAGTGAGAGGTCAGTCATTAAAATTAAATACAAAAGCTCAGTGGACTCTATCAATTGAATACATATGGTATGAATGGCATCAGAAATACAGAAGAACGGTGCTCAAAATTGAAAAGTCAAGTGTTTAGAAAACGAATTGCTTAGAAACAGTTGCTGCTATTAAAGATAGCATTTTGGTTGCTCGAGTCGACATGACTGCATCTTCACAATGTCAACTTCGTCTTATACCTTGACTGCAATAACTTTTTTAATACGGAAGTTTGTAAATACAGCGATGTGATTGGATTGCTTTCGAAAGAAAGTCTGAACGCAAAAAGCCAAAATGTTTCTGGCGAGGCCTCTGATTTGCTGCATTCGTTAGCGTACAATCCAATCAAATAGCTGCATTTCCTGACAATAGAATAGTGGCTATTGCAGTCAAGGTATAAGAAGCAGTTCGTAATACCTTGACAATTGTGAAGATGATATGACTGAAAACGTTTATAAGGTATAGTGATTTCATTTTAGTCACCAGAACCTGGTGATATGTCGAAAAAAAAACTGTGCACCATCCCATATATATAGGTACACAATCCACTAACCACAAATATTACTAACCTAATTAGTTTGCCCGCCCCTTGTGATTTATAGATATCACATCTATGTAAGGGGCCTGTATGTCCAGCCTTCTTACAAAGAGCTTGGTGAAACTGGAATTGTACCACAAAACTCACAAAATATCTATAATAAAATGATATGAAATAAATCGAACAAAACATATAACTTGGTTCGACTAGAACTCCCAAATTATACAATAAAACAATTACCGGTTTATGATTTAACAAAATTGAACCCATGATCTCGAGATAATGCAGTGAACTGAACAAAAGAAATCCATATACCCATGATGACGAAGGTTCTTCAACCAACTTAGAATGTGTACAAAATCGGAGGCTTCAGCGACCCCTGCATATCAATAGATGTGGTTTTGACCAAAACTCATTAGCATCAAGTGCCCCACTAGTCTCCGTGTTGAAGGATACTGCGAAAAAGGGATCTTATAATCTCACCTGATGTATGGGACATTTCCAGGGATGTGAAACTTGGCACCGGGGTCAAAATCCGACTGACCTCTTTCAACAGGTGGTGCTATTCCTTGATATTTACATCTATACAATATAAAGAAATATTTCAATTGAAATAAGTTTAAATTCAAACATTCAAACTTGATTTTTTACGATCAAATATTGTCCCCCTCAAAGGGAATTTTGCTGACAGCTTCAGCAGTGATTATACTAGTCACAGAGTAGTGTTCCGTGTTCAATTTTACCTGAGATCCCACCATTTCTGGTTGTAGTCATCTGGTGTAGTTTCTCCACTAAAAACACTCCACCTCCATTGGTCTATCAGATACCCAAATGGAAGGAAAGCGATCTTATCCAAAGCTTGACTCATTAGGAAGTTTATTTCAGCTTCTACAAAATAGATGGGGAAAAATCAGACTTTACGACCTACTGTTGAGTATCGTTAATGAGCTAATGAATTGAAATTGGAAGATCACTATTCTTCTCTGAAAATCGAAGGACTCAAAGGGAATTCCTAGTTAAGGTTTATACTGTCGACATTCTAGTTATTAAAATTTCAGGTGGTCTTGAGAAGGTAGCTTTATTTCCAATATATGAACTAAGGATGTATTGGCGAAATGTAACTTGTACAGGAGCAAGAGAATCTTATCTTACCTTGATCGTCTGAACCAGGTTTCAACAGTCCAATCTCACGAAGATGTTTTGGAGTAGCTACTGACAGAGCCATAGTATCTCCAACTGCTTCATGGAAACCTTAATTATATGAAATTTAATGTTTGGATCAAACTGTGGACCCTCCAACTATCGAGAGTGACATTATCACAAGGTCTACAAAGACCGGCAAACAAAATCACCGGCTGTTAAACAAACGGTACAAATCATGAAACATTAGAGAGTGGATTTGCTATTAACTTGAAGCCACAACACAAACCACGCATTATATTGTTAGATATGTACCTGGATTGGCACCGTCTCTGTAAACCTGTGGCTGTTCTTTGTAAAGCTGAAAGTATTCGATATGTCCCATCTCGTGATGGATTGTAATCAAATCCTCCATGTTGATTCTGGTACACATCTTAATTCTGAAAATAAGGTAAAATTAAACATTAGCCGACTGTGACTTTTTAACTAAACGGCTTTTGTATTCATTTACCCACTTTGAGAAAAGTGAATCCATAGATAACGATAAACTATGAATTTTTTGCACAGGAGACGACTGAAAGCGACCGTGGCATTATATAATACTCTTATGACCTTTGTTGCGTTAAATGTGGGCTCAGAGGGAAGTAATATCCCAGATTGGACACAGGGGGGCCTAAGATTTAGAAAAAACACCCTCACCTGAAATCTTTAGCATCGTAGAAATCCCAAGCTGATGCATGACAGACAACTTCTCGACCTTCCGGTCTTGTCAGCATAGATTTAGTCCAGAATGTATCCACCATTTTCTCAAGGTTTAACGACACGAAAAAACTTTCGGCGGTTTTAAACATCTGTTCTACGGTATAGTTCTACAATAGAAATACAATTGAGCTGTCTACATATTGGCTTGGTCAGCTAAAAAGTTCAATTTCAATGTTTCATCTAAATAGATACATAAGGTTAACATCAGCATTGTCATCGATAACAGCAGAAGCAAAAGCTACACCAGTGTAATCAGCTGTGCTTGGTGTAACTTTCCTATTTTCTGTTTTTCACCATTTTTGGAAATCCCTTTCCTAGACTTAAATGAAAAGATACATTTTGAGACCATATAGTTAAAGGTCTTAATAATCGGTGAGTTCGAAACTACAAGGAATACGGAGAATAGTAATCGAGGTCCTTAGTTATTTTGGTTATGGCATTGTCTCATTGATTAATTACGACCTCGGATACAGAACATGATTCTCGACAATACCTAAAGGAATGGAACTAGTGATTAATCGGACCACCAATGATGTTAAAGGAAGGCCAGGGATAACAACCTATGCTATTTGTCTTACCTGTTCTTTTAGAGCGTCAGTAACGTCTACACTTGGTTTATTTGGGTAGGGTATTACCAAACTGTAGATATTATTCCACGTCTGTGCCCACATGTTACCTACAAATAAAATTAATGAAACATGCATTCTTAATCTAGTCCTCTTTCTTCGACCATTATTTCCCTGTTGCAGTGGCGGAGCCAAAGGTGGGGGGGGGGGGGGCAAGGGGGCCACCCCTCGCAGCCCCAAAGGCATGTTTTTAAGCCAAAAAGCTCATAACTAGGCTAGAAATTCGGGCAACCTCAGGTATTTCGCCCCCCTCGGATGTAAACCTGGCTCCGCCACTGCCCTGTTGTAAATCGGGAGGCCTGGCAAAAGATAGGATACAAGATTCCTTACTTATTCTCCTTGTAAAATATGTTTGCTTGTTTTTTCCATTGTAGAGTCTGTAAGAGAATTACGGTAAGGAGGTGAAATAGATAGAAAGGTCCAATAACTTCTATTTTAATAGGTTACAATGACTAGGGCTTGGGTCTTTGGGGCAAGTTTCCGGAAATTTTGGCTGAACCTACCTAAAATATGAGCTGGAATTTGGCCAGTTTTTGGAAATTTATCTGCACCGTACAAATCCTTCAGTTTCTTTCTAATATAGGTATGTAGTTCAGTGTAGATAGGTTTCAACTGCACCAGAAGTTCCTCGACCGTGTCCTGAAAATTGTCGTCTTCGTAGTCAGTTCTCCAGAACGCTCCAGTATCGTGATAGCCTGAAACACGTAATAGTGTCTTGTTGACCTGTCATGATCTGACACAGATCTAAACACAAACTGTTTACATGTAGATTAAAATGAAAAGAGGTGGAGTGTTACGTCCTCCTTTTCTGCTGTAGTTTAGACTACAATTTGAAATGAGTGAATTATTTTGTTAGTACAGTGGCTTTAACTATCTTTTTTTTTCAATTTTTTTCAATTGATTTGTAACGCACACATGCAGTCTTGTGTAAGACTGTAATGTCAAAGATTATCTTATCATTTATTCTGAAAATAATAGATGATAACAGTTAAATTAATTTACCGTTTTCTTTGGACCCTTCATTACTAAGCTCCACCATTCTTTGATATAGTGTCTTCATTTTGGCACCAGAAGCATCTCGCCATAATTTCCAGCCTTCTGTCAGCAGATCATAATCACGTGATGACGCAAACAGTTCAGTTAGACCTATAAATAAACACCGGAATTAGCAAAAAAATTTCTGAAGACAATAATCAGAAAGACGCTAATCGGATAGATGGAGTATAATCACCCATAAAAATAAATATCCAAATTTCGCTGGATATTCTTAAAACGGCTGTCCTAAGACATACTGATTGAGAAGCAGTGCCAACGTAATCTTCACAATGTCAAGCTATTACGACCTTCGTCTTAAACCTTGACTACAATATTCTTGAACCATGGAATGTGGCGATATGATTTGATTGTAACAAGCGAATTCAGCAATTCTTAGCCCCTGACAGATCGACTATAAACATAATGGCTTATTATGCCTTTCTGCCTTTCTGGCAAGGGCCCTGATTGACTGTTGATTGGTGTATCATTCAATCAAATCGGATCATTTAGAAACTACCGTGATATGTTAGATGTGGCTATTGCCGTCAAGGTATAAGACGAGGTTCGTAATAGCTTGACATTCTAAAGATGCGCTTATGTCTTTCCAAACTTCGTCAAAATTGTATTGATCATGAATTTACCCATTTAACAAATGGAGAATTACCTGGTTCCAGATTCATGGTTTTATTCTGTAGAAAAACAGTAGCTTTACTGTAGATGGACTGCATGTCAGAAAGAGCTTTGTTTAACTGTAAAAAAATATATATATCCATAAAACCCTTTCCATTTATCAACACTCTCTTGCGTCCTAACGTTTTGCATATATTCTAATGTCCATTATCAAATAACAGTTTTGTAGACGTGCAAAGTTTTAGTGTAATACGAATTCACATGTTCGGGTCATTTTACACAGTAAAGCGAAATTTGGTCCATGACTATTATGATTTCCAATTGTGAGCAAAGTCGATCACCCACTCAGCACCCACCATCCTCCCACTCCTACAATTATAACACACACACAACCTGACCTCACCTCTTCGACCTTCTTGTGTTCTTTAAGAGCACTGGGCCCTATATCTGAAATTTTCTTCATCTGCCTTTTGATGTCAGCATCTTTAAATTTCTTCCAATTAAAAGAAGAAGCATTTTGTGAAGCCTCCTTGAGGAATGCTGCCATTTCAACATTGGCTGTAACCTACAAATAAATTCACGAACAAATATCAAAATACATCTCTTATAGATATTTCATTGACAGGCTAATATCAGAATACATCTCTAGATATTTCATTGACAGTCTAATATCAAAATACATCTCTAGATATTTCATTGACAATCCAATATCAAAATACATCTCTAGATTTTTCATTGACAGACTAATATCAAAATACATTTCTAGATATTTCATTGACAGTCTAATACCAAAATACATCTCTAGATATTTCATTGACAGACTAATATCAAAATACATCTCTTATAGATATTTCATTGACAGATTAATATCAAAATACATCTCTAGATATTTCATTGACAGACTAATACCAAAATACATCTCTTATAGATATTTCATTGACAGATTAATATCAAAATACATCTCTAGATATTTCATTGACAGACTAATACCAAAATACATCTCTAGATATTTCATTGACAGACTAATACCAAAATACATCTCTTATAGATATTTCATTGACAGATTAATATCAAAATACATTTCTTATAGATATTTCATTGACAGATTAATATCAAAATACATCTCTTATAGATATTTCATTGACAGATTAATATCAAAATACATCTCTTATAGATATTTCATTGACAGATTGATATCAAAATACATCTCTTATAGATATTTCATTGACAGATTAATATCAAAATACATTTCTAGATATTTCATTGACAGACTAATATCAAAATACATTTCTAGATATTTCATTGACAGTCTAATACCAAAATACATCTCTAGATATTTCATTGACAGACTAATACCAAAATACATCTCTAGATATTTCATTGACAGACTAATATCAAAATACATTTCTAGATATTTCATTGACAATCTAATATCAAAATACATCTCTAGATATTTCATTGACAGATTAATATCAAAATACATCTCTAGATATTTCATTGACAGACTAATACCAAAATACATCTCTAGATATTTCATTGACAGTCTAATATCAAAATACAATCATAGATATTCCATTGATAATCTTAAATCAAAATACATTTCTAGATATTTCATTGACAATCTAAAATCCAAATACATCTCTAGCTTTTGATGTGACGGTCCAATATCAAAATAAATATCAAGATATTTCATCATCAATCTGATGGGGCGGGTATTTTCGTAAACATCTACTTTCAGATCAACAAAAATGATATAGAAGCATTAATGATTGCCTCATGAAACGTTATTAAAATGCTGTCACAGCAACAGGCCTTGACACAGTCACAAATACGTGTTATTCTTAATAATTTGTATGCAGATTGTTTGTACAGATTTATTCTATATTCAAACTGGCCTATACAATTGTCAAACGGGAAATATTCTTACACCACTTTAACATAAGTTGCTGAATATTCTTCTGACTGAGTTATGTAAGATTATACAACAACAAAAATCATAGTCAATGATTTAAAAAGGTTTGACATCCGTTTGCCCAAATGTTCTTTTCAGCCTCCGAGACCGGAATTTTTTTGTAGCTAAGTTAATCAGTAATATAAACATTTCTTGAAAGAAAAGAGAAATTCTTATTTTAACGTATTTTTTAAGGAATTATTCGATTTTCGTACCTTTCGAGTACTTCTGAAGACTATTTTTCCAGATCCATGACCCAAATCAACCTCCGGAAATGGCAAACTTGTCTCTTTAAATGCCTATACAGAGATGTAAATTCCGCCTTATGGCAGAAAATAATCTCCTATACTGTTTTCGAACATTTGTCATTAACTCGACATTCACATAAAAAAAAATAATCGGTAAAATTATATTTTACTATTTCGTGCAAAGGTGTGAGCAAAACGTTTTCGCTCAATTATGCCCGGTGTGACCCGGTATAAAATATTGAAGATGAAAATCCCAGTGTCTATTTGGATCAAATCAACCATAGCTAAACATATACGTTGATGAAATTGAGCTCTATCAAGAAAAAAGCAAATATATTGATCGTATATTCCTTTAGATGTTGATCAACCCCATTCCAGTTTGAACATTAATTTTAAAGTCTTTGAATGGCATTTAGCAATTGTGAGTACGATATATAGACACAGCTTTATGGAACAACAATCACTGGTTAAAGTTTTATGCAACGTTTCGACGTGTTTCCCCCGTCGTCCTAATTTTAAAGTCACAAACTTGCCCAAGAAGTTATTGTATATACTATATACACGTATTCATTAGTTGAAGTTACCAGGTAAGTAGAATCGCTATATAAGATGCTATATTCATTGAACTAAATAATAATTATTGAAACACGCTTCTAAGCATGTATCAAAATCACTTAGTTTAATTTATTATTACTTAGTTTACGGGATTTATAGATATATTATTATGTACATTATAGTTATGACACCAGGTAAAACTAGGCCTACTGATGAACAAATGCTTATTTGTTTAAAAAAATAATGCTAAGTTTAAAAATTTCAATTTTTTAGTCATCCTAAGAAGTGGTAAACCTTTAATTCTGAATCACAGATTTTGATTAAGATTTTGGGAAATTGAACTTACCTGTTCCTTTTGATGTTCATCTGTAATATCGGTGTTATAGGTGTATTCCGCCCGAACTTGGTTATTAAGTATCTTCCCAAATACAATATTATATTCTTTTAACCATTTCTTTGCATCAGCCTGCTCACTGCCTTGAGTTTTGGTGGTTCCTATCACTGCCACAAATGCCAATACGTGAAACCACCTCATACTGGCACTTATCCTTACTTTCTCCTCTGCTTGTGCTTTCGTAAATTCAATTATAAAATATGATGTTTTATTTTTACACCCACTTTAACCTAAACACGACCTTCCATGAAGCCAGCTGTAATAAATTCAATATAACTTTAAAATCATACAGGTCTTTAAAATAGAAGAAAGGGGGCCAAATCAATATCAGTTGGACTAAATTCACTTCAGTCTAGTCACCTGAACAAAAACTGTTCAAATACTAGATAAGATCTCTGCAACATTAAACCGCCATGTTGGTTTGAGATATGTCATATTGTAACCTCTCGTAATAAAGTGCTCGTGAAATTTCGTGATATTGACAATCTCAATTAACATCGTTGCAATTCCTCACCATGACCATTCACATAGGGCTCTTAATCAGATGCACACTTTTTATCTTTTACAGAAGCGAAGTCCCCCACATAAATAAATGAAATGAAGGGGTTTTTTGGTTTTTTACTGAGCTGAATATTGTATCTCACACGAAAATATTTCGCTTAGTTTTCTCGATGTCAAAAAGGCTTCTCTATTTTCGCCTTTTTGCACTACAATAACCTATAATCTTGACAAACAGGCTCCTGGTGATCTAGAATGATAAAAATCTAATCCAAAAGTGTATTAGGTCAATTTGGAGTTGACACATTTTCATGTTACTAAGGAAATATCTTTTGAAATCACACCGACCCAGTAGTTGTACATCTCTTTATTTACTCTGAGAATAAACCTACAGTGGTTTAAATGGATGTTGTCGTTTAATTTTAAAGTGATTCTTAAGAGGTTGTCTAGCTTTTTGTGTATATAAGGATCATCTATACGCTTCATTTTCTTTGACAATCGGCAATGATTCCTGTAAATATATAAATGCCTAACCGTATTTGATAGATGCTATTGTTATCAGTGTCCTCTATACACAAAAATTTATAAAAGCCCTTTAATCTGTTACAGATTAGAATTTCTCAAAAAGATGTATGTCCCAATAATAGTTGAGATGTGCTGATAAACTGACAGCATAAACCAGAGATTAAAGGGCTTACAGATCATATTTTTGCCATAGTATTTTTATTTTGTTTGATATACTTTGTATTCTAGTACTGTATATTAATACTTGTAGAAGATTTCATTCATTCATTTCTTATTGTTTTCAATCTTTACCATCATTACTTTTAATTGTGGGATTGGGATATGAAATTGAAAGTAGAGAAAGTCCCTTTAAGATAAGAAGTAAATAAGGCTGACCCTGCCGGCCCTTAATTTAAATATTGAAAGGGAAATCATGTATTCAATATGTACTTTTATACTTAGCCGACATATACACTGTACATAAATTCTGGTTGCTATTTCATTGTTTGGATTCACATTTACTTACATTTCGTGTTCTCAGATAAGGCGATAAACTTACAACCCGTGCTGTGACTCTGAAAGCTTTTAAAGCTGGTCATTGATTTTCACAAGAATAACAACTAATTTTCTCAAGGATCTACCAGATAATCCTTGGCAAGTCTTCTCACAATACATTGTAACAATTTATAGGTTTTCGAGCATTCTGTCATGTCCTTGCTTAAACCTGTAAACGATTTTTCTATCCATCTTCACAATGTCAACCTATTAAGAACTTTGTCTTATACCTGTTACTTCTATAGCAACTATTCTTGCATCATGGAACACAGCTATTTGATTGGATTGTACGCCAGCGAATACAGCCAATCAGATCCCCCAACAGAAAGGCTGTAAATATTATACCTTTGTGTTTACAGACTTTCTGCCGATGCCTCTGGTTGACTGTATTCATTAGTGTACAAAATCGCTTTCATTTACAAACTTTCACGATTTTGCAAGTCAAGAGAATAAGAACAAAGTTCGTAATATCAGAACACTGAAAAGATATGCATTGACTAGCCACAATATTTTATACTAATTACAACTTAGGTTTGTGACCCAGAACACGCTAGCCACTCAAAAACATCATGGCAAATAACTTTTAGTCACTTACTTTTGGGCTGCATCAATCTTTTCCACATACTGATCTGGGGTATAATATAAACATTCAATATATCTCAATTAGTTTTCCAATCGAATTAACATTCATACTTGTTTTTCATTATAATATACTGTATGTATGGAATTTTACGCTCTATATATCTGAATATTAACGAACTAATATTGGATTCGTCCAAGCTGTTTCCGACTGAAGTTGTATGTTTTTAATCAGTCGTATATTAAATGATGATTCACGACCTAGACCGAGACAGATATATTCAGAAAGATGAATATTTTTGTAGTTGAGTCTTAGCATCATAACTCCCATAGGCCTACACCATTTATGCCACGGCTGCGATTCCATCAAAGTTTTTCCACTAACTGATTTCTTATCGGCCATTTTAAACTGCAGCCAAAAGTACAAGGATCACAGAGATAGGTACCCAACACTAATTTACAGTCATCGTAAAGGTAATTTTTTATCATGTTAGAAAAAAGAAATTTCGGACGTTTGGAAAATCTCCATAAAACAGGACTTAGTTTTCCTAACTCTACTCCAGTCGATAACTATCAAATAGCTATCAGAGCCTGGAATAGAGACAGATGTTTCAGACTACGACCTATCCGGATAGTTTTGATAAATCCTTTATCCCATCCCATTGTTCAACACTGTGTAGGTTTTTTATTAACTGTGAAATCAATTTTTGATTTTTCATTTATGTCGGTGGATGTTCAAATAAAAACTAGATGTAAATGGAGTGAAATGATATCAAAAAAAGATATTTAGCATTTGTGCCTGTTTAATCTCACTGTGCCTGTGCCTCACAACCACCTTGAAACATATAGAGTAACAAGATGGTGTCTAGTGAGAATACGGCACTGATAGGTAGTAAGACATTATTTGTAGTCTGAATATTTGTGGAGTTGTCTCCTACTTCCAGCTCTTTGTTCAAAGAGACGAGAATAGTCGGAGTAAACAAAACAAATTGGTAAATTATTGTTGAAAGTTGAATGATACGGTTATATTTTGTCTGTATGTATGTCAATGATTACCATTACGAAGCTTATTTTAAATTCAAGTTCTCAGAGAAGAAAATAAATCCATAGTAATGTCGTACACTTCATTTTCAATTTCATTCTAAAGAAAATCAATTTTTCTTAAAAAATAAAATAGTTTTTTTTAGTTTCAATCTTGGTGGCAGTTCCAATAAATGCCAGTCAGAACTCGAACGGTAACAAATTTTAATAGCTAAAACGGTAACAGATCTGCCAAAGCGCTAACAAGATTTTTAGGTTAAAACGGTAACAGATCTGTCAAAACGGTAACAAGATTATTAGATATTTGGTAAAAATGGTAAAATGGTAAAAAACGGTTCCATCAGTTTACTTTTCATTAACTATAATAAATGAATGATAATTGACCTATTGTCAGCGTATATCTTGAAATAAGACTTGATCGACATTGAGAGGTTTTTGTGATATATCTGACTTGCATTTAGCTCTTTTTCTTTTTTCTTAGACTTTGTGCTGTAGATAGGGCACACTCTAAATTGTGTAGGGTAGGATAAGTATTAATTATGTAATTTTTCAGGGTTCCCATTGTCCAGTAAAAAATGTAGTTTCAAGTGGAAAATATAGAATGAGTTGAAAGAATATCATCATAATGCCAAGGCTAAGACGAAGTGAACTATCCGCTCTCGTCTTTATAGTACCAGCCAATATATTCTACTCTATAGCAGCCTTGACACATGCCTGGTTTGAAATCCCTCCCCATAGCTGTTATGGTTTGTGGTGGGCGAAATTTTGTGACGTTTTACGATGTCAGCTTATTCCAGCATTTTATACAGAAGAACCATGTAAGGACAATGTTCATGTTTTTGTAATACTCACATGGTTTTCATCAAATGGTATATATTCCTCGAATTTATTTGCAACTCGTCTGTTAATTTTTTAATTACGAAACATCATTCCATTCAGTTATCACGAAAATGATGACAGGCTTACCTTTTATTATTTTTTACCAGCCCTATGTTTTATTGTAGCATGGTATCATTTAGTTCAATCAGTAAGTATGGTAGCCTGGATCTGTATAGTATTATCATTAATCTCACTAGTGACTGGTCGGCTCGATAAATATCTACCAATCAAATCATCTGTTAGTAACAGACAGACCAGAGTTGCTGCATTATGCTTAGTATCAGGTAAGTTAACTCATTGCACTAACTATTTCAAATGTAGTTCATGCATCGTCTTCACGATGGTCAAACAAGGAATTACGATTAGCTGTTGATCGGGTGTTCAGTGACGTCACATAGGCTATTCATTCGTATGACATCGCCATCTTGTCAAGGGATGAAGTAATTTGCATTATGAACCTCACTTTCAGTTTCTTAAAAACAAGGCTTGAATACGCCAATGTTCTTGTACTCCATCGAATACAGCCAATCAAAGCCCTTGACAGAAATACTGTTAACATAATAGCTTATTATTTACAGACGTTCTATGGAGGATTCTGATTGGCTGCATTCATTAGCATACAATCCAATCAAATTCCTGCATTAACAGGCCTCTGTGGTACAAGAAATATGACTATTGTAGTCAAGGTATTACAAACTTTGTGTTATAGCATTGTGAAGATGATCTGACCAAGGTTATTGTGCTTTTTATTTGAATGATATTCTCATTTCACTTCAACACCATTCAGACATGAATTTTTTAGGCTACAATAGTTATTGTTGCTAGTGAAACTTTTTTGGTCTAACTGATGTCTTTCTGCAAAAAAATACAATGTCATCCAATTACTATCCTTTAAGTAAGTAAGATTTTGATTTTTCAGTGTTTGCAATATCAACTAGCCTGATTCTGTTTTATATGAAGCTTAAAGAATCTAGTCCAGAAATTGAACCAGAAATCTCATGGTCATCAATTTTAGCCGCTCTTTCCTGTTTGTGTCAACTTTGTGCTGGACTTATTCTCTTAAAGGCCTGTGAACTCTCGGTATTTTGATAAAGGTCAGGATTTCTGTGTTTAATGTTTTTCATCAAAGATGGCTTCCATTGTTTGTACTAACTGTGAACAGAAACATGAAGTGATCCCAATATCAATTCAAAATTGATACAGGATATGTTTTGGATATAAGATTTCATCTGTGATCAACACTGTTTGATTTGTAAATTAAGGATTAATATATGATTTGTATGAGTAAAGTAAGCTAACTCACTGACAAGCTAAACTTGCTCACATTTTCACTATGTACTACAAGAAATTTTTGTAAGGCTTCTAAAGAAAAACTGAATGAATATAAAGTCAGTCCAAAGTCCAAAATTATTTTTAACATAAAATCTTACTATTGCAATTTTTATGCAATTTTCTCGAATTTTTTTCATTTTCTTTTGACACGTAATTTGTTTTTGTTGTCAAACTTTAACAACGGCAGTATTTCGCAGTCTATATTATATTATAATTGAAACTATGTTACTAAACTAAATTACCAAAAAGCACTAAAAAAGAAAGGTATGCCGGCAAAATAACGTTTTTGAATTGTCCCTTTATGTAAAGTAATAGCTGTTCTGGAATGTAGTCCCAAGTTGTAAATAAAGGAATTACTATATTTGTAAATATCAAGAAAAATTTTATGTATCTTAAGATTGTTTTGTAATTTGCCGCTTGTAAGCTTATATTGCAAAGTTAGAAGTTCACAAAAATGTTCTTAAAGGTCAATTCCCAGCTGAGTCGCAAAGTTCGCACAAAAAAAATATCGTGAATAAAATGTTTTTTTGACTGGATAATCCAGACTAAGAAAGTTGAATTGTAAGAAATTGTTTGATATTGTTTGATCACATTGTGTTTAACATTTAAATCATTTAAATTTGAATATTACAGACATCAGATCTATCTGGGATACAACCTTTAAATAAAAAGGATCTGTGAATTCTCTGGTTTACCACAGGGTTTTGGAAATCCAATTAGGGTAAAAAAAAAATGTGTATTACACACACAATTATGTAGTATATCACAAAACTCCTTGAAAGGAAAAATTCATTAAAGGGTAAAGATATTTTATTAAAATATCTATTTTTCATTTTTAACATATTACCAATCAACATAAGGTGGCAGATTTCTTTTTGATTTTAAGAGCATGGATTTACAGGAGTTCGATAATGAACTTAAAATATTCAAATATATACTAAGAAAATACTGCTGAACTTTTTTTGAAGGATTTCTTAAAAAAAAGATTTACACACCCTTTTTAGAGTTGTCATTTGTCTGGAGTAAGGGAAAGTCCAAAATAACACAACAAATTGGAAAACAATACTGCTTCTCTTGATAAGATAAAATTATTGGTTCTTGCAGGTTATTTTGTAAGCTGTTGACTGATTACATAGACACCTCAGACATAAAATACTATAGCACTTGCTCTAACAAAATAATATCAACTTGCACATCCACATTAAAAACTTACTGTCTGTCATCACTTCTACATTTACTACAGTTTGTAACAAAACATAAACACTAATAACCACTAGATAAAAGTCAGCCTTCCACAAAAACGTGGCAAATAAATACTAAAATCATCATTTCTAGTATTCTCATAAAAACATTAAAATTCAATGAACGGCAATAGATTTTGCTTGGCATCTGCTAAGATTTGAAGCAGCAGTCAGGCTCTGAAATGATGCCCAATGTAAAGAAACATATAACATTAACAAGGAGTTAATGCGCATCAAAATAGTGCCCAGATATCTCGAAGCAAAAACAAATTTCTGAATCCTCAGTCAATGCTTTGTAAAATCTGCTCTAGATCAGCTCACTACTCCCTCCAAAAGAAATAATTCACTTATTGTCCACTATACCAAGCTATGGCTAGAATCCTTCTTAAAATATTAACAAAAACATTGTCCAAACAAAATCAACAAAGTTATAAAATACTGCAGGTACATTTAGAATTCCTTTCCTCAATCACACTACCAATTTCGGATTCTATACTGGATGTAGGTGTAGAACTACATGATAAAACAGACCTTCGACAGTTATGAAATCTAGTCTGACAATCCTCAATGTAATCATCATACTTTCGATCTAGTTCTTTGGAAGCTTGGATTTGTTCGATCCTTGCTGGTACTTCCAAGGCTCGCGCACAATCAGCTGAACAGGCCCAATGTTGGAACGGAACACAAGTGTTACCAAGGTAGGGATTTTTGAAGGTGATGATCTTATAGCCTGAAAAATATAAAGCAATAATCATAGTTTTGCTACACTAAAAATAAGGAGTCTTATTGTTGAAAACTAAGATAAAAATCAGAATCTAAGAAATATCATAATCTGATAAATTAAAAGAAATAAACTAAGTTAAAATTTTAGAAAATGACTTTCTAAGTACCAAACATTTGCACTACTATAATTTCTAAAATATATAATTTCAAGTCAATAAATATTGAAATACAAAACTTACCAGATTTATATGATAATGATGATGTGTTACAATTGTGACAAATATTGAATAAATTATATATATCAGAAATATAGTCCTTTAAAACTAGAGCAATGGAGGGATCATTAAAAAAATCCTTTTTGGATGAGATGATAGCCTTGGCAGCCCAAAACTGTAAAGATTCATACTTGTTTAATACACTATGGTCTGTAGCTCCAGAAATTGGTATAATTCGATAATTCACATCTGTATGATACCACATAAACGTTGCCTTAAAATAATTATGGTTTCCATGACGATGGACAGTGTCTATGGACGAGATTTGGAGTAAAAATCCAGGCAGCGCATCTAATAAATTATTGTCTAAGAGTAATGTTTTAAGGTTTTTACAGAAACACAAGGTAAAGGGAATGGATTGCACTTGTAGTTTATTGTTGGTTAAGGCTAGATACTGGAGCTTCGTTAATCGCCCGATGTCTGGAGGGATGGAGTCTAGAGTGTTATACTTTAACGATAAATAACGAACATTCTCACACTTAAATATCTGCAATGAAAAACAGGTTGATAATTAAAATAGTTATCATCATCTGGTAAAGATAACTGTAACAACAGGAACCACAGACAGACATGAAATCATAATAGAAGCTGTGTGTCTCTGATACATATATACAAATGCAAGAAAAGTTCTTGATGTTAGTTTTAGCATTTTGCAGTAAAAATCCAACAATGTTCCAAATGATTAATTAAAATACAAATTGTCAATCCATACACAAGAATGAAACTTAAAATACCTCTCGAGGCAGTCTGTTATCCTCCCCATATTTAAACATACTATCCAGATGGAACTCTGTGAACTGATGACGGCTAAGATATCGAGATAATAATGTTTCTGAAATCAAGTCAAGAAATAACTAAAGTTTAGTAATTATCATATGTATGTATCAATTTGGGGCATCAATTATCAGCAAAATCTTAAAGTTTGCACCCTTTCTAGTGGAGACCTGACCTTTAAAATTAGCTTACCATTTTGTCTAGGAAACTGTTTCTGTTTTTCGCGTTCTATCTCGTCTTTAACTAAAGATAAAATATATTTCTGTCTTGTATGTAGGGACACTGACAAGTACCACAAACTTTGGGGAATATCCTGGAAATAGAAAAAATCTTTAAGTAAGTAAATGTCACATTTCGGACATTTGAGCTTCTAACCAAGATAATTAACATAACATCTTTTAATATTCAACTTACACCAATGTCATCTAAGTCATCTATGAGCAATCCTTTCTCTCCAACTTTCTCCATTAATTTTCCTCTCCACTCTCGCCATTGCTCGGGATGTGATTGGAATCTTTTAAAAAGAAGCAGCTCAAATCCGTGAAATATTTCCCCCATTTCTCCAAAGTCACCCAAATCGGTGGCCGAAGATTTCTGGCTAGGGATTACATGTTTTCCAGGCCTCAGTTTTCCCTATGTGACCTCTAATAGATAAAAACATAGTTTTTCCTTTCACCAGTGAAAATTATTATCGACATTTCCTTCTTTGACAGGTAAGGGACGTAACTCTTAATTGCAAGAATTGCTTTGATTGTCCAGTCCATTTACAGCATCCATTATCCAACAGTTACTTAGGTAGGGAAACATGGGGATATTAGACCTAGCGGGAAATCCAACTAACCCCTACAATAAAATGAATAGAGATCCACGGAGAAGTAGGACGTAAAACTCGACATTTTCATAAATATATCAAATAAACCATGAGCTGAATGTTATAAAGGACCATGTCCTTGTGCAGTGGGCCTAGTTTTGACCCATGTGAACAAAAATTTATTATTATTATTAACTATTTTAGAAATCATTGGACACTTCAAAAGCACTTCGAGTTATTGCACAGTGGCATCGGGTGTTCAAAAAAATTAATCAGCATTTTAATGACTAAGTGTCGTTTTAAAATGTTTGAGAGAAAAGGTAGTAAAATTAAGTGAATGTTTCTCGTAATTGTGAAGAATGTTAAAAATATTTTTTTTATCTACTTAGACCATAGCATTCGAATCACCTTTCAGATATTAAAATCCGACGAAAGGTTCCCTTAAAGTGTGTTTTCATATATTACGTCAAAACAAGACAATTCTTTCTAAACTCAATTGATTTGTAGAGTTAATTATAATGCACGTCCTAATTTTTGGGCTAGTAATTTAGACTTCGACGCCATGTATGCAGTGTACAAATTAGGAAATCATGCATACATATAGCTGTTTCATTTAATGTGCGGTTAGTTTTCTATCCGTCCCTGAGTTAAAGTTCTTTTCGTCTTCCAATCAATAGGCAATGTTACACTAAGATTCATAAGGCCCCTTCATATATAGGCCTAGGCCCTGCTTTTAAAAAAACATTTCGACTCGGGAGTCGGAGATGCACATGTACTCATGTAGTTCGAGGTATTTTCTTTAACATTCATGTCTAAAACGAAGAAATGAGTGCAATAATCAAACAGAAAGTACTTTATAAACAATTAATCATATTCACTAATCAGTTAATCTTCTTATGATGTCACAGATTATCGCCAAATAGCACGAGCAAATTCATTGCTTAGCAACGGCGTCAGCATCAGACCGGAACTGGTCGTAGCCAATGTCAATAAAAACAATAGAAAAGTGAAAGTAAGGATCTCATTCATTCACTGTCATCGTTTTCACTCCTGTCTTTGAATCCCTCAAATCTGCCAGAATGTACGACGATGAATCTGAAGGTCCTAAAGGAACATTTGAAATTTATAAAGCTGAAGCAGATACTCTGTTTAAACAAGGGGAATACAGAAAAGCAATTGAAAGTTACACCACGGTAAGAAGAATCTTTTACTTTTAATATTTATAAAAGAACTTTCAACTTTGTTCAAATAACTCCAAAAGTTACTTATGAGGAGAGACGTTTCATGTCTCGTCTAATTGAAGTTATAAATGTTTGTCTCAAGACCTTATGTTCTTATCTGACCAGACTTACTAAGTTACTTGGTTTGTACTGTAGTCTGAAACATCTCCTTTAATTCCAGTCAGTTAAATGGGCATGTTTTTTTCTAACATAATATTAAATTACCTTTATGATGATTGTAACATAGTGTAGGGCATCACCATAACTTTCGTTTTGTTAGTATCACGTGACTCTGTGACCTTTGAACAGTTTTAAATGGCCGATGCTAGATTAGTTTCGTTATTAAAAAAAAAAGAAATATGACATAAATGGTGTAATGAGAAAATGATGGTAATATTATTGAACTACAAAAATATTCACCTTCTTAATATATCTGGGTTTTGCAGACCTGAGATATCTAAATAGGTCCTGCGGAGATGCGGAATACGTCCATTTTATAGGGCCTTTTACACCACATCCGTCCAAATAGCTATGAAAGGCTTGAATAGAGACTGATGTTTAGGTCTAGGTATGTGGCCTGTCTGTCTTGTTTTGATGTCAGCTTTCTTCTTTCTGACTCAGACTGATTTGAATAGATTATATTATTTTTTATTTTAGGCCTTAGAACTTCAAGATGGAGACAAAAACTGTTTAGTAGCCAGATCTAAATGTCATCTACAGTTGGGAGATACCACTAAGGCTCTAGCTGATGCTGAATTATGTCTCTCAGATGACAAATCATTCCATAAGGTAAGTGGAGAAAATTTTGGACATGGACACCAAGGCTGAATCGGAATCTCATGACTGTGCAACAATTAGTCAGTAGGTTGGAGGGAGAAGGGGATGATAGTCTGATCCCCAAAACTTAATGGTATTTTATGTGGGTAATATATCGTGTTTATTAATATTGGGATGTTTATCATTAATTTGATTTTTCAGGGAATTTTCCAGAAAGCAGAGGCTCTATACTATCAGGGAGATTTTGAAATGGCACTGGTGTTTTATCACAGAGGTCATAAATTAAGACCAGAGTTGCAGGAATTTCGACTTGGTATTCAAAAAGCACAAGAAGCTATTGATAATTCTGTAGGCTGTAAGTAGATGTTCATCCAATTTAAAATCTTCAATTTTTCCCTCTTGTTCAACAAGGTTAATACTTTAATCACACTATTAAAGTCTAGAAATTGAAAGATTCAATCCAGCTGCCCTGATGAGTGATTTCTTTTCTGAAACATCATGTGACAGCATAAATAAATATTTGTCAATAGTATTTTTATTAAGACATTAATAATTGAAAAAATATACAACTTTGAAATTTCTAAATGTCTTTTGATTGTATTTTGATATGTAGAACACATTTAACACTTGACATTTTTATTTATTAGCGGCAGAGAAATGTAAATTAACAACAGCTGGTGATCTGTCTTTCTTCAAAAAACAAGACGAGGTAAAAATTCATATGTTACTAATTTTGTCACTGTTATTGTGTATATTATGCAAAAGTTTTACATCTTTCTTTCTTTCATTTTATTTACTTATATTTGAAGATTGGTAATACTATGCTCTGTACAATGAGGGAAATTTGATCTTGGCTGAAACCTTTTTTCACATTTTAAATTTTTGTAAGATTGGTAAGGTGAACTGTCATTTGCAAGTTTTAAAGCATATATGTTTGAAGTCAATATTAATTTTGATCAAATGTATTTCAGAAACAAAAGAAACGTAAACCAGGAATGGGAACGTTTGGCAGGCCGGCAGCACAACAACAAAGTAAAGAAAAACGTAAAGTTAGTCGATCTCAAGGCAGTGAAAAAACAGTGAAACAATTATTGGGAGAACTGTATGGGGATAGAAAATATTTAGAGAAACTATTAAAAGAAACTGGTATGTTATTCTACGCTTTTCCCCATTATGCTTTTATTTTTCTAAATTATCTCCCTTTAGTCTTCAGAGAAATTTTTTATTTATCTCCCTTTTTAGTCTACTAGCAATAATTCTTAACAATATCAAGTTTTCCAAAAATTCGCTTTAAATAAAATTTTGGACTAAATTATTGACTGTAATTAGTCATCAGTAAATATTAATATATTAAAATATCAAAATTATCTCCCTTTAGTCTTCAATAAATTTGGAATTTCTGAGCAAAAGGCAAAAAACAATTCCATTTTTTTTTTTTTAAAGAATTCAGTTATAAAGTTGAATAATAAATACTTCATTTTAAATGCAGTCTAAAGCTATATTTTACCTGAAAGGAAAATTAGCAGATTCCACTGTTTGACATGTAATTTGAAATGTATTTTTTTTTTCTAGCCGATTCTGCTACTGATACAGGAAGGTCCATATTTGATCTGGTGGAAGAAGGATTATCTTATCTGGACACTCGAACAGATTTCTGGAGACAACAGAAACCCATGTATGCACGAAAACACGAACGAATGCAACAACATAGGAGAAAAGATGATACAAAATATGGATCACCAAATTCATACATTATCACAGAATTAGAAAAGATAGATCAAGGTTGGTAAAAAATTGTAAATGAATGTTAATCATAATAATTTATGATTTAGTATTCTTGGGATAAGATGTTTTATATAGACTGTGGTGTATTTAGGGGGTGGGCAATTGGGCCATGTCCCTTCAGGCCTTTGAAAGATGTAGATGCACCCCTGCATACAGACTGTGCTCATTACTTTTCTCTCGACAGTTGGAAATGCAAAAGATTAATCTAATAGAAATGGTGAAAAACATCAGTCAAATCCTATTTTTCATTCAATAGTTTAATAATATACAGAACTGTAGGATGTAAAATTCTTATGTTTTGTTTCAGCCCAAGCAGACGGTCATTATAAAGAGAGTTTACAGCGAGCTCAGAAATGTTTAAAGACAGTGGATGGGTATTCTACAGAAAAACTTTCAAATAAAGATGAAGTTATAGCTAATTTACATAGCTGTATGGGCAATTCATATCTAGAGTTAGGACAGTACTCTAAAGCTTTACGGGAACATGAATTAGATCTACAAATAGGAGAGGAGATGTAAGTAAACTGACTGCTACTTTGTGACTTTTTCCCGTAATTTTTAAGTCTTTCAACAAGGGAGAGAATAAATCCTTTGCTTGACAAGGAATAGATGTAAATAGGCAGCATTAACAGTTTGGTTTTGCCTCTATCATAACGTGTGAAAGTTTTCTACAGTGGCGTTTCAACGAGGTGAGCTCTCCTATTCAGCCCTCCAACGAATGACTCCTGACACCTCTGATTTTCTAGAATTTAGTTTTTGTGCTTTCAATAGTTAAACTATATAGTAAATAAGTGGATATGCTATTTGTCAATTCATCAACTCATTAACAATGAGTAAATAGATTTATAAATAGTATATTAATTGTTTCTTTTCTGATGCCTATTTCCTGTAAAAACTTTTATAATGGTCTGAAGTAATTCTACTATCTTGTATTATTATAGAAACCATGAAGACTGTATATCACGAGGTTTAGATAATTTAGGAAGAGTTTATGCTAGAAGTGGTAGTTTTAACAAAGCTATTGATGTGTAAGTCACAAAGTTCACTTTTTTTAGGAATGTCAATTGTGTGACACCTCAATTCCTTATCAATAGAAAATTCAGATGGAGACATGACTGGCAAAAACGTCAGCTTTGGCAAATACATGTTGTCAGTACTGACTAATACATACAGTCTGCTCTCACAGTCAGCTGTGGCAAATACATGTTGCCAGCTCATTGAAAATCCAATTGGTATTAAAGCTGCAACCACAAAATTGGCTGGCAAACACAATCAAATCAACAGCTCTGTTTCATCTGAAATATCTTCTCATTCTATGATCTTTTCAATTAGGTGGCAAAGAAAATTACCAATGTCCAAATCAGCTCTTGAGCATACCTGGTTGTATCATGAAATAGGGCGATGTCATCTAGAACTGAATGAATTCACACAAGCTGTGGAATTCGGAGAGAAGTCTTTAAGTGCTGCCGAGGAAGCTGAAGATTTAATGTGGCAGTTACAGGCATCAGTTTTAATAGCTCAATCAGAAGGTAGGATATTCTAGTCATTCATTAGAGTAATACTAGTACACTTGTTTGCTAATCAAGAGGTCTAGGTTTGTTTTTGACAGAAGTAGAAATGAGGTCTAGTTGTTACATGTTTGTATTTTTTTATGTCTTTTTTCCAGTGAAAATTGGTAACCTGCAAAATGCACTTGCTAGTTTTGAGAAAGGCTTAGATTTAGCAAAATTACAAGGTAAGTTATATTGTATTTTTGAATGATTATCTCACTTCAGTCTTCAAGAGTTATACAAATTATCTCCCTTTAGTCTCCAAGAAAACTACTTTTTGTTATCCTACATTGAGTATATTTCTTATGAATAGAGATTTGTTTTACAAAAATTACTTTTTCAAATCAGCAAAGTTGAGCCAAAATTAAAGAATTTCTATATTGTTATTCTTTTCACAGGAGATAAACCAGCAGAGTCAGCAATAAACAAAGCCATAGCAGACGTCAACAAAAAAATAGCCCAGGAAATTCGTGAAAATGGAAGTGAAAATGGAAAAACCCCAGAAACCCTAACCGAATCAGAACCAGAAAAAACTGCAGCAACCAAAACCGAATCAGAACCAGAAAAAACTGCAGAAACCAAAAATGAAAGTGCCACTCCTGTAGCAGACACAAATACAGAGGAAAATTCCAAAAGTGATGAATAATTGTGTCTAAGACTATTATCTTTCAGTTATTTTAAAATCAAAAGTTCTATCTGGTCAACAGCCTTGGAAATAGGCTGTCACATCTTGCTACTAGAAATTACCACTAATGATGTGCTCCATTTTTTAAGGATGTGTTATTAAGACTTAACTTAAAGTATAAAGATTCTAAGGAAAAAGTACAATTTCAAAAGCTCACTGAAGTTCATAGATAAGCATAAATTACAAATGGGAGCTGAACATGGAATTTGAGGAGTTCACATTTTCATGGCAAAGTCTTGTAATCTTGAATAAGTCATATGTCCTCATTATGCCAAGGACCAAGTGGTAGTCATGCTACATCCAAATCAACAGTCTTGAGTTCTAGTCAGACGTAACTGGCTAATAAGTCTAAACATTGGGCCTATACCAAAGACACTTGTGAAATACAAGAATTGTTATATTAATGAGATTTTTTATTAGAGAATTAAATATTGTTGAATTTTATTTTATGTTTTTTTTCTCTCATCAATTTTCCAAATGAAATGGATTTTTATATGCTATCTGTGACTCTATTTGCAAGATCTTTGACAGTTGGAAATAAAAAGTCCAATGATGTAAAAACCATGCTTAACTTTTTTATCTTCACAGGATTTTACATGGAAATGTGGAAAATAGACAATCGTTTTGCTTTTTGCTATAAAAGGTGTTTTTAGACACATGGAACATGGGGGGAATAAATGGTTCATTTATTATGGTGGGCTGTGAACACTTTATTTACTGATTGCTTAGCTAAAAAAATTCCCCGTTTCTGAGACTAAGGTACAATTGGTTAAATGAATGTCGCATCTGAATAAGATCTTTGTCATGTGTAAAACTCAAAAACTCATCATACAATATTGGATTGAGAGTTTTTGAGTTTTTGGCTTTGTAAATCCAAGTCTTGACACAGTTTGGCTTGAAGACACAATAAAGGGGCAGTTTTTCCAATGGTAATGAAATTTTGGTATGTTTAATTTGTATATATTAATGTGATTTTGGGCATGTTTCAAGTTGGCAAACCGTTTAAATCTCTTAACTGTAATTGATGATGTACAACATTCGAAGATGAAAGCAAAGTTATCTAATTAGTTTCTACAAATTCTGATGATTTTATGATGAACATTACTATTGTGTATATCTATGAATTAAAAAGATATGAAATGTGGTGTTTTTCTTCAAAAATAATTGAAATTTCTACTGTCTACTGGAAAAGCTTATTAAAATTATTAGTACATTTACATACACACAATACATCACGTGGTTCAAGGTCATTGTACCTCAGCTTTCAAACAGTTTTGAATAAATTAACATTTTTATCAGTCCTTTGTACAAAATCATTGAGCAAATTTTCGAACAAAGAGCTCCTGTATTTGAAAAATATTTCTAAATACACCCTATAAATAGTTAAAAGTTTGGGGATAAAGGTCACAAATGCTCTCATACCCTCTTTACAATTTGAACAATGCAGCGGTTGCAGTAAAAGAAAAACAGAAGATCCATAGATAATTTGTTTATTAAAAAAAAGAAACAATGAAAGCTCCCAGAAATGTAACAACTATTACTCCCATCATTTCAAAATTCTTCAAATATATAAATAACAGTGAAATATTTACAAAATTACAACAGCCACCACACAGAACAGGCAATATTGTGATACACTGAATACAGATGGCATCACTGATACCAACTGAGCAATAGTTTACTACTGAATATATAATAAGTGCAGTCAGATGGCATCACTGATAACAACAGTAAATACATACACAGAATATCTTAACAAGTGCTGTCAGATGGCATCACTGAGTAATTACATTTATGCTGAATATATAGAAACATGCAGTTAGATGGCATTAGGGATACCACTGCCAGGCTAGAGTTTTGGATTTGCAATTGATTGGATAGACAGAGAAAAATAAACCATTGCCACTTGACATACCAACACATAAAAAGGGAATCATCCTGTGATGATACACTGGGGAATACACATAAACAGACATTCTTTCAAAGAGAGGAAGTATATATCCTAGTAACACAATAAACACAAAATCTTGGAATCCAGTGCTTGGATGATCCACAGCCTTTCTTTATAGATGTTTTGCAACTTCTTGAAACAGGGATGTGAAAATATCATTAATTTGTGATAACTACATAATTTTAATTTATTATCACTATGCTAAATGTTATAATACTTCTACCATATATTTCTAATACTTCTATTTGACAAGGCTAAGAGGATAATCCAACCACTCATGTCCAGCGGATATCATCCTCTTATTTACAAATATATATATTTACACTTAATTGTTTATCATTGAAAAGAAATATATGTATGTACATCCAGGGACAAGTCAAAACATCAAACCTTTCACCCAAAATTAACATAAAACATAATTTTCAGTACCTTTATCCAAGTGAAATATTTCGAAAACTGACTCAATTTTGTCAATATTAAAAAATGAAGGCCAATTTCTGTCAAAAACAAATATACTGAAATGTGCATAGACATTAGACAGCATTGACATTTATTTACAACAATGAAAACAATGTTATGAGATCTCTGACAGCAGGGATGTTGAATTGACACTATTAACCAGTCTAGTCTGGCTAATGATAAAAAATCCCACTATGACTTTTTACTAACAGTGATAACTCAATGATACTATTTCAAATAATCTCTGCATTTTTCCTGATTACTCATGTTATGGATACTTACTAAGTTTTATTGTCTAAATTTGGGAATCTAAATTTTGTGTTCATTCTAAGAAGCTGCTTTAAGGACCAGAGTAAGAATTGTGCTATACTCCTGTTACTATGACATCTTGTTAATATCTAATATTGATTTTAGTTTTATTCACCAATTATTTTACAGAATTCCTGTTAATAAACTAAATTTACATCAAGTACCTTAATCAAATTAACAAAAGTTCATCAAAAAAAGAACCAGAGGAGAGATCTACCCAAAGAGAAAAAAAGGATCTCAAACATGCTATCTTATGCTGAGTATTAACATAGGAAATCTGAACCAGTTTCTAAAAAAAATCAGACAAAAATAATTTGACATAAAAATATCTGCCACCACAAAAGACTTCTGTATGTTGACTTTTCAAACCTATTCTTCATAATAGCTTATATTTGACAAAGCTAGAATTTTTTTTCCAATAATGCCCACCACACTCTTAATGTAAGATAATTATCTAACCATTTACCCACCAAAAATTACCACAGCTACTCAGAATTATCATCATAACCAATAGGAGAAGGCCTTGCATAAAATATAATAAGTAATAAGCCTACAAACCATAGGGTAGCCTTATTCAGCATTCAATGTAGACGAAAGTACAGCAAAGATATTTATACAAATCTATGGATAATTCCAACTACATGTACTTACAGTTTACTTTGTATAATAAGTATAATAATTAGTAATTAAAACATAGCTTAAATTGTGATTATTACCAGTTAAATTACCAAAAAATAATTGTTTTGGACTTAAAATGCACAAATATCTTTGCAAAACTTGAAATACATGATTAGGCTACACTTGTTAATTTATGAAACATACAAAATGATATTATGGCAAAAAAATCACAACAAAGCATCAATTACACGTCATAAAAATCAACAATTTAAGGTTTTTTACTCCATTTTTGACATCTCAAATTTGGTCGTCATTATTTCTTCATCTGAATCCAGTAAACTAGGTAGAGCTCTGAAAAAGACAAAAATCATAAAATTAGAGAGTTTGAATCAAGACAATGATGTCATTGATATTGTGAAAATCATTTGACTGGAATGGTATTTGTGATAGTGACATCATAATTTGGTCTGGAAATACAGGAACCACAGATAGTAATCAGAATGCTTCATAAGGAAGACAGTGTTTCTATATACCATGTAAGTGAGTGAAAATACATACTTATCTGTTATAGATGAGGGAATGTTATCTTCAACCCATTTCAAATCGTCTTCCTATGAAAAATAAAAAGACTATGAAACTTTCCTTGAAAAGACATAGAAATAGACCCTATGAATCTAAAATGTGCAGTGTTAAAAATTCCCGCTTTCATGTTCAACCCAGGATTTGAAGTAGAATCAAGTGAGGTTAGATACAGGAAAGATATAATGTATACATACTGCGTTAGAATCTTTCTGTCGTGGAGAACCATTACTCTGAGATTTAGTTCCTCTCATTTTCATACCAGCTACAAAATAAAATAAATCATAAATTTCAAAATTATAACTTCCACTATAAGATTAAAGCCCCTGATAGTAGTTACAATCAGAAAGTAAAATCAAATTAACATCTTAATAAATACAGAAATCTTAAGTTAAGAAATGAAGCATTGAACTGCATTTCCACTTAGCATCACATGCTTCTTTTTATATAACAGCATGTTTTTAAATTTACTTAAGAGGCTAACTTAAATAACTAAAGTTTAAAGTAATTTGATGCAGAGTATAACACGGCTGTAATACAATCCCAAAACCTACCAAAAGCATCATGCATTACATTTTCATCATCTTCTTCATCCGCAGCATCCAATAATGGTGAAAATGCATACCTTCAAAATACAAATGCAGAGTGCGGTGACAGTGGTAATTACCTACTCAAATAACTCAAAATTTAAATGGACTTTTATTATCCTAAAGATTATGTTTGACCATCTTTTTTTAATCTGTCTTAGAATTCTATTTTGATGGATCATAATGTGAGTGCAAAAAAATTAAAAATAAAATTTTACCTTTGATTGTTTGTAGATGGTCTCCACAAGATCATAATAATAAACAACAACAGTAAAAACAACAAATGCCAGAAAGCTACATCTACCCATAACTCTTTCCAATCCTAAATTCAAAAAATAACACATTTGTTCAAATTATCTATAATTATAGCAAAACTCTATATACTTTCAACTTTTACAATATACAATTTACTCAGAAATATTAGTGAAAATGGAATGAGGAAACAGAACAAGACGTTTAGACTTTATACTTACTGTTAAACAGTGTTTAAATCTATGTTGTGAAACAGACCATATCATAAAAATTATGGAAGCTAGAAAATACAAAAAATCAAGAAAGGGATAAGTCAATATGTAAATGAAAAATATTGAAAATACAGTTACCACATGACATCTTTTATCTTTAAGAAGTCTAATGAAATGATGTTTTTTTGTATGTTGGCATCATGGAGTTTTACATCCTACTATTTTGTTCCTTAACAGGCTTACAGAACTTCAAGCACACTTTTACCTATGATGGGCTTGAATAATAGATCAGCAAGTGTCAAACTCTCAGGCGCTACAGCTTTCTGACTAGAAAAAAACCTAAAAAAAATATGTTTGATACTTACTTATAACAGCAAATATAAGAGTATTTGTAAAATGTCTATATAGAGATAACTTTACAACATTTCTTCGTAATCTTAATGTTCTAGTGGTTTGTACTAAACCCGAAAATATGTGAGGTAAGTTAAGGAGAAATCTATGCTGTGTTATGTTGCAAAAAAAAAAAAAAATTTCAGCTCAATTTATAAAATTTGACAATGAAAAAAATTGAAACCTGTTGTCTTTTCAAAGATAACAACTACCAAGTATATCCTTAGTCAAACATCTTGGTAATGATTTTACAATGATAAGAAGTTAAATTAATGAGGCTTTGACCAAACATCTTGATTTTACAAGAATAACCTTTGAAAACTAAAATCCATCAGTTAAATCACTGAAGTGGATATGAAAAGATTATCATAAGGCTAGTTTCTGGGTGATACTGTCTGTCCAAGCTTGCCATTGTTCAAATCTCTAAACGGTTTGACGAGGATAACAACCTAGGTCCTATTCAAACCTATCTTAAAATGTAAGTATCTATAAATGAAGTATTAAAGGATATCCACCAACAGATAACAGCATCAATTACAGCTAAAGGTACACCCACTATTAATACATCTTTAGTTGGGGTACTAGTTTTCTGAAATATTCAAAATTATCATCTATTTTAGGGCTGAGAAAGCGTATTATCTTAAGGGGCCTTTATAAGGTGCTTTATAAAGCTGTTCTGATAAGGATATTGTAATTGAAACACATGTCAGCATCATTAGAGCTGCAGTCAAACATAGATGTAAATTCAATTTGAATGCATACTTACCTTTAAAGCTCTCATACAGCCTTCCACAGTACTGACAACAAAATATAGACCTCCAACACATAGTACTTTATGAAAGGTAGGGCCTAATCTTGGTCTGAAATATAACAGAAGAACTCAATATGGTGTTGAAATTTTCAAGATTTTCTATAGACTAGATAAAGAAAAATAGTAACTTAATTGGTATAATTTCGTACCTAGTTAAAGAAATCGGAATGATCAAATAGTGTCTTAACATTAAGATAAAATCAGGGCTGTTGATTTATTTTTTTGTCAACTGGACATTTTTCCAACTAACTGTGAAATTTGATCTCAATTTCCCCATGAGAAAAGGTCTATTATATCATACCGCTATTGACAAAGGGGCGGTCAACTGTGTCATTTAACCAACAGTTCTACTACAGTCTACTAATTATAATTACTCTGCATGGCCATCAAAGTTTGCTTCAAACTTGCACTTGAGTTGTCTCAAAAAGTCAAATTTTTCCATAAGTTTATTCCAAATTTCAAGGAAGATAATATGCATTAAATGACAAAATTACTTTATACTTATAAATTATAAACAAAGGGTACATACTTGACAATGCCAAAACCTAAACTGACAACAATAACCAACATTCTAGCTAGAGTTCTTTTCAATGAAGACACAATCTCTGCAAATACTATGGCACCTCTCACAGACACTCCTGTTTTGGTGATGTTTTCATATTCTCCAAAAAATACTGCCGCTTCCAACATGCCTGAAAGTGGAATTTTATTTGTATTCTCTATCAGTCATCTTTTGGTAGAAAATCTTTACCTATTTTGGATATCAACATTTTGATTCTGCTTTTTTGTTCAGTCCTCACATATATTTTGAAAGTAAACTCCAACTTCCAAACCAGTTAATGGCAGATATTACAGTTTGGTACCATGAACCATGGTCAGGAGGGGGTAAATAGTAATCATCTAGAGGAAGTGAGAAAGGTGAGCAAGAATTATTGTAAGCTAAATTAAGAATATCTTGATTTAGAGTTGACAGTGTGTCAATATTCTAAGAATTTATTATTCCTCACCTAAAACTAAAACACCTCCAACCCAAAACTGAACACGTAATAAATCTCTCCAGTTACAAGCCAGTAACACCAGCCACACTAAACCTAATATTATATACATCAAACCCATTACACCAAAAAACTGAAATAAGAAATAAAATTATTACTTTTCTTGTGTGCACGCAAAATGGATTTGCATCCATAGTCCACAACTCCTGTTCAGTTGGTACAGTTATACAGTACATATCTATGTTTCTAGATCAGACAATCATCAACAAAAGTCAGATAACAAAAGAATTACTATCTCAATTCCTTCATCAATTTCTGTATCTGAGGTAATTGCCAGAATTCTGGTTTAAAATCTATTAACAATAATCTGCTTGGTCCATTTCAAAATTGACTGTAAATCAAGCACGTCTGATCTTAAAGGAAAGGTTCCAGGGGTATGTAACCTGTACATGTAATGAGGTTTATTGTGTGTGCAACTACCATTTCAAATTCTTCTCTAAACAGCTTTCCAAAAAGATCAAGTTAAATCAGAAGCATCCGTACATTTGATTTACAATGTACATAATCTAATTTCTGGTGGTATTGTTTCACTTACCACTAAAAGAGGCCATTCTATAGCTCCTATGTATCCATGTTGACTGTCAAATTTAATTGTTACTAGAACGAAAGCATAAAATCAGTAAATTAATAAAGATTTAAACTGATATAGAAACCCTTAAATTTTACCAAAGTCTAAGTAGGATCTCCAAAGCAAAATTATGTCATCATAGGACTTGACAATTGTTGTAAATGTTATGAACATGCTATGGGCATGAAACTCTACAACACAAGTAGATATTCATGTAAAATCCTTTGCATGAGGATGACTCAATTACCAGCTGGCAGACAGGATCCTAGAGAACCTAAGTTGTAAAATATGGTTGTGTCATGATTTCTTACCAATAAATAATCAATAGTCATAAACAAATTGACAATGTAAATTAGAATTAATAAACAAATAATTACCATTAGCTTTGACATGAATTTCTAATATAAAAATATAGTATCCATCGACCCAGGCTTCAACCAGATAGTCATCTTCTTCCTGTACAACAAATAATTCAAAGAGGTTAAAGAGAGAGAGTTCGCCATCCCTTTAACCATGCGTACCTTTGTCTCAGAAACCAGAAATTTTTGGCTAATCCAATCTATAAGAGTTCACAGCTTTGAAATTTGAAATTTGAGCCTTAAAATCCATGTTTATCAAGAATTATCCATGTTTGAAAGTTAAATTGACAACTCGTCTTTTCTTGAGACTTTGCCATGTAATACATAATTATGTAGAAATACAAAATGACATTTCTAGTTTGAGACATATTTGAAGTAGTTTCACGATGCTTGCATTGCTGGCAAGGATGAAAATATTGACGAAGACACCAGCATAGTATCCTTTTTCTCAGATCTACAAGTGCCAAGTGATCCTTATAGTGCAGTCTGTAGCATGTTAAGATATACAGTAGAACAATTTTATCACAGAATAAGCTTTCAAACCTTTAAAATAGCAGTTGTTGTTTTAAGGGTGGGAGTTGCTGACATAACAGGGGCCTTAGTTGTTGGTGTAGGTCCTGCCTGTGGGGCTTTTGTAGCCTCTGCTCTCTTTCTTCGACTGTTAGAATTGTTCCCCTTTGAGTCTGCTGATTGCACTGAATTGCTAGCTGGTGAAGCAGCTGCATTAGTTTTATTAACCTCATTACTCTGTAAAAAAGATAGCAATCACTAGTATGAAATATTCAACATTCAGTCTTACACTTCTTTTGAACTCTTTAGGGCGATACTGAATAATATCAAGTATGAGCTATTGCCCTTGTTCTTGAAAACGTGTTCAATTTTTAGCTCGTGAAAACTTTAGAAGGCAAATATTCAATCTTCAGTGCAGGACTGAATAATAAAAGCAAGTTTTGTCAAAATCCAGCAAGAATGATGTCTTTTAGTGTTTAAGATCTTCATGACATTGACAAACAAAATCAAAATCAACAGAATCTGTAAAGAATTGTAGCCTGTAGAGTGAGCACAAGTTGCACAATATAGCTAAAAGAGTGAAACGTCAAGTCAGACACGATATTTCAGTGAAAAATAATCCGATCATCACGAAAATCGATAGGGATCATCTTCATAATGACATTGACAAACAAAATCAAAATCAAAAGAATCTGTAAATAATTGTAGCCTGTAGAGTGAGCACGAACCAAATGTGAACGGACCGACAGGGTGATTACAATATATGCCCATCTTATGTGTGGGCGTATAAAAAACAAAGCACTTCACAATTTTTAAATAGCTCTCAGTCTGCTGCTAGTTGGATTGTCATCTGCTAGGTTAATAAGTGACCTGAGTTCGATTCTTCCTCAAGGGAAGAAAATTCAGAAGCCAGTGCTTTCACAAGTCGGCTCAGTGTTTGCTCTTTTCCCCTGATACCTATAAAGCCCTGTCTACACAATCATACATTTATTCACCATTTCCGTCATTCATTTGTTTGACCGTGTTTGTGGACAATTGTTTGTCCGTTGTTGAGAAAGTCATCTGTTCAAACAAATGTGTAAAGATGTTTTGAGCAAATGTATGACAATGTCTTGAACAAATGTATGACAATGTTTTGAACAAATGTATGACAATGTTTTGAACAAATGTATGACAATGTTTTGAATAAATGTATGATTGTGTAAACAGAGCTTAATCCTTCTTATGTGAAGTATATCAAAATCAATGAAGCAGACATGAAAGAATAGTCTAAAAAACAGGAAAAACAGAAAAGCGATAGTATACATTAAGTATGACATTTAACATTTCATTTCTTACCCCAGGTATTATGGTAATTCTGGTTTTAAATTTGTTTTTATGGTTACTCTGAAATTTATAAAAGACAAGAATGACTTCAAATATTTGGATTGAAAGCCACAATTAGAACTAGTGTGCAATGAGGGAAATTCAAGTGTGAATTCAAATTGTGGTACATATTCTAAGATCATGAATAGGGATGTAGCAGAGATGTTCAATTTGCTGTATTGTATAAGTCGGGCATGTCTGATAGCAAGCCCCAAAAATGCCTGGCTGTAGAATAAGTCTTAAGGACATAACTCATTAAATTTTTGCAGTAAAAACATATCATAATTTATTTGATTATTTGAATGTGAGAATTTCACTGGTGATTGTACTGAGGCTGTTGAATAAACAGCAAACAGGAAATGTGACCTCAGCTTCACAAAAACTGCACTGGCATGATTTAAAGTTGTTGTTTGTAATTGTATATTGAAAATTATAACATTGACGACAAAATGGTGTTTGTTTAATTTTTGAAAAATCAGGGCCGAGATGTGCCTTTTTGATGAGATGTAGGAGATCAGCTGCTTTTGTACTTTCCTATAGAATAGACTTACCGTCAAATCAGTATGTCCATTACATTGAAGATTTGTTATTAACTCATCTAAATATTCTACTTTTGAATAACTCAATTCATCTGATAACAACACTTCAGGTTGATCTAAATATGCTTTAGCTAGTAACTAAAATAAAAAAAACAGAATAAATCATATCTTTTTAATCCGTCTGCTCTGTTTAATATATTAATGAGTAAATGAGTTCATGCTCAAGTTCTTTACTCTTCAGTATCTCACGATGATTATTAATGAGCAAATTTTTGATATTTCTTCATTCCAATATCCAAACTTACCCCTAACCATACTATCTGACAATAGCAAAACAACAAGGATGCTCCACAGTACAAAGAAACTTAACATAAAACTCATTGGCTCATTCAAGCTCAACTCAACCAACTTTTGAAGTGCATTACTTTTAATTTTTTTCTTCTTTTAAGTAGTTGTTGGTATGGAGGTTGTTTTAAGAAGTTTTATATTTTAACAATACCAACAATCACCCATAAGAAAAAAATTGAACAAGTTTGCTGAGTAGAGCTGGAATGAGCCACTGAACTTGAACCTGAATTCAGCATTACAGAAATTCTTCCTATTTGATGAGATGTATTTTGTATGGAAAAATTTCTACAGGCTTACTTCTCAGAAATCAAGTTAAATTGCAATATCTATAAAACGTAAATTAAGTGACTTACTGGTTGCCCATCTATACTTTCATATTCATTGGAGCAGGGACTTCTTCTGAGCATCCATTTGATAGATATGTTGGTATCTTCTTCACAATGAACTAAAAATAAATTTAAGGTTAAAGCGACAGGTGCAACATCTTTTTGACCTTAGTACCTTTGTACCTTAGTCAAAGAAACTGGATTTTTTTTTTAACTAGGATTATTAGTCATAGTAATCACAGCTTGACACCGAAATTTGAGCCTTCAAATCCTTATGTGTCCAGAGTTATAAAGATGACTTGTCAATGTAAGATACTCTGTGATATATTTAAAAGATATATGTAGAAATAGAATTTCATACATTTCTAGTACTTTTAAAACTATATGCATATATTCAAGACCCAAATCAACTCCGGAAAATGGCGATTCTGTCCCTTTAAATTATTCAGATTGCCCAAGAGCTTTAAAATCTTAAGTCCAAAAACATTATTAAATTTGGTATATTCATTACAAATCAGTAGGTTGATAACTTTGCAAGTGGACAGAGTGTTTCAGTCATTCTTCAATTTATTAGGTGACAAGATAGTACATAAGGCCATTCTTCAACTTAAACCTACTAGCTTTAAGCTTTCGGCGCTTTAATACGTTGAAAAACTTGTTTGAATTCATGTCACACTGGACAAAATGTGAGGTTATTCAAGCTAAGCTAATAAGCCTTTAAGTGTAATATAGGGCTAGGCAATTTACCAATAAAATTACCAGTACCTAGAGGAATTTACATCATTAGTAATATCACCACCTCATTTAATTGTACCAAAATATCATCACATTGTGATATATGCTAATCATCAAATGCGAGACCAGATAAGATCATCTAGACAACTTTAACAAATGACTGCTAATTGAAACAGATGTTTGTTAATGCTAATCAAGTCTGGGTTGTTTTCACAGAAATACCACAATATAGGCAAATAAGAGTTATAGTCAACTTGTCAAAATTAATCCCTTTTTGGTCAAAATGGCCCTCAAAATTGCTCTTTGATTTTAACTAAATCTTTAAATGAAAAATGTCCTGGAAAATTCGCTGGAGAAAGACACCATAGAGTAAATGGATTATTTACTGCAAAATTGTCCCAAATTTAAAGTTATGGATGGTGGGTGCACCAGAAATGTATACAAATAAGTGTATAAATACATACTTGCAACTCTAACTTTAGTGTGTACATATAAACTTCTCGGAAAGGAATGAATATAATGGACCTAAAAATATAATACATAAACATTTAAGTTTAACATCTTTCAGGCCTAAAGAAGCATTGTATATTTGCGAAAATGTGCCTCATTATATTAAAAGTGAAAGTAGAAGAGAGATTTTACTTTGACTTTTGATGTTTATCCATAAACATTTAGGTATCTGATCTGTGTTTCAAATCCAACTTTTAAGTAATACTATCTCTAACGAAATATGAAATCACTTCTGCCATCAGTTAGCAATAATCAACAGCAAATGCAAAGCATGCTGTCAAAAGCTTACCCTATTACTCCCCACCCCCCCAACACTTTCTATTTCTATTACTCATTATTACTGAACACTACTACAGGTTCCCGACAAACCTTTCTATCTTTAGAATGTTGGCACTGACCAAAACTTTTCAGATAAAACATACTACCTCATCAAAATTTGCTTTCCACACTCCTTGCTCTGGCAGGCAATTAACACAATTTATGAGAAATAAAACACGGAAAATATAAGAAAAATATGATTTCTTCTCCATTTTTTTCTTTTTTTCCGTTTCCGATACCTAACACAGGTACGCAGTAAATAATTGCGTGGAACAAACTTTTTTTATATCTGAAAAAAATATTTCTAGACAACAGTGAGCTTAAACAATATGATGTGTTTGAATGAAAATAAATCGAACTATAAAATCTGACTAAGTAATATTTTATGTCAATCAGAAAAAGGTGTAGATAAACTGCACAACCAGCCTTGAATATCCCTTCCAAGTTTTTACTACGGCATTGTCGGAAGGTTAGTTTTTAGCGACACCGCTTTTATACAAAATTTGCTGCTGGACTGCCAATGGCGTCTGCGAACGAAAATAATTTCTATCAAATGAGATTTTAACGCGTCATCGATAAACTAAATGCTGTACAATTATAATTTTTAGTCTGATGGATTAAATTTGGTGGTTCAAAAATATTAGCAACCTCACAATGGGAAATTCATCGGTTTTGTTCCTCATTTTCGTCACTTTCGGTCTATTTTGCTCAATATTTTGTTTTAATCCATTTATGGACAACGAATTGTTTATGATACGATGGGCTGGTCCTTTAGATGTTAGAAGTGTAAGTGTTTTCACAAAGCCCTTTTTATTGTTTGGGGAGATGGGTGCTTAGAAATAAGTAGGATTAAGCTATGTTAATGGTTTTGATTATTGATGCAATGACATTAATGACAATGTTTTGGATTGCAAGTTTTACATTTATGATTTACATTGTCAAAGTTATCAACTTTGCATGTCAAAACTCTGAACCCAAAGGTCAGGATTAAATAGCACAATCCTTTCAGTGGAATGGAAGTATTAAAGCAATTTAACATGAAACAGACTTTGATTTGAATGATGATTTGTCATTAGATCTTCTATTAAAATTACATACACTGATACGCTATTATTATACTATCAATATATAAACAAATGTTGTTAATTACTTACAGGAAGAATTAGATGATAATAATGTATTTATAGTAACAAATAATGCTGAAAAATATCAGTGTATTTTACCAGAGTCAGAGGAAAAAAGACAAGTAAGGAAAGGAATTAAACTCTAATACTTCAATCTAGAATAAGTTAGTTCAATCACAATAAAATTATTCTGATCACAAATACAAAACAAATATTTATGTCATTGATATCCAACATTGTTTTAATGTTGATAAGGATGTTTAGAAATTTTCTCTAATTGGTTTTTATGAAAATTGGAAAGTAAAATCTTAATAAATTGTGTCTAATGCTACATCTTTATTTAGCAAAATAATGAAATTCGACGTTTTAGGAAAACAGTAAAAATTATGATGGCCCTACTCCAGATGAATTAATGGAAGCTCTTTTTAGCCAGAATAGTTGTTCTTACAGGGTAAGTAAGTCTATCACAATTAATGCAGATCTTGGTATTTCCTTTCATATTTTTCCCTTCCAGGCAAGTGTCGTATCTGCAGATAATCCTGAACCAAAACATCCTTTTTCATTTCTTTTCAAGTCAGTAATGATTCAAATTCTTTTGCAATGCAAGAGAAATATATGAGAGGCTATAAAAAAAACCTTAGTTTTGAGATTGTGTTCTGGATTGAAATGTTATTCCAGAGGCATAGATAGTTTATGATTGAGATAGTTTTATTTTACAGATTGAAAGTTATTGGACGTATGAATTATGTCACATGAAACACTTACGTCAATATCACGAAACTAAGGAGCCAGGAAAGGTATTTTGTTTAAGTTTATTTGTGTCTTAATGAACAAAAAAAAATATTAAATAGAAAAAAGATATAGAAAATGCTGTCATTAGTTTTTTGTTTAATGTAAAGATAACATATTGCTGAAGTTAATGGTCATCACACTTGTTGATCCTCTATATTTCAATTATTCAAGGTTAAGAACCTATAATTTCTAGCCTTATATTGAAACTAAATTTACCATATTAATAGCAAATTGTATGAGTTTTGTTCAAAATGGTCCAATGTCTTTCAGAAACCGAAAGTTCAAGAGTATTTTTTGGGATATAAAAATCCAGTTTCTAGTAAAGAATCAGCTACTAGTATGTATAATTTTTGTTATCTAAGACCTCTCCAAATTTTCTGAAAATTGTTGCTTCCCTTTTTAACTTACCGGTAATCTAGAAAATATTTTATTCCCCTTTCAACAAATACTCCATATATTTTTTATCTGTATGGCAGAGACTCAAAAAAAGACAAATCCTCATTTTAACTTTCAAAAGCATATAATTCAGGATGGAATGGATTTGAAGGCTCCAATTTCGACAGTGAACACTATTACTGATAAACTTAGCTAATTTATTCCCGTTTCTGAGACTAAGGTAGACTGGTCAAAAAAAACATGGCGAACCTATCCCTTTTAGGCAAAGATTAATCATGAATTTTATTTTATTGCAGAAAATGAGGACGAAGAAAATACTGAAGATGGTGCTAAAAAATACAAACTACCACAAAAAGTAAGTTTAATTGTAACTTTGACACCATTTTTATTTTCACAACATGAAAGTAAAAGATGTAAACTTTCTATGCAGTGCAGTGTGGTTTGCTGTGTTAAAAGTATAAAAGATTATTCCAATATCTTGATCGACAAAAGTGGTCAACAGAATTATAGTTAGAGGACAAATGAATGTCATAAAACTTTGTCAATATATTCAGATAAAGAGTAAGAAAATAGATGGTATAGAGTTACCGTATTATGAAGTCAATATGACAGAAGGTACTAACTGTGACTTGTTAAAGGCTCCACGACGTACTAGACTACTTTATGTCTGTCAACCTGAGGGTCACGGTGAGGTTTATGACATCAAGGAATCATCAACTTGTGAATATGAAATCATAGTTTTAACTAATGTACTATGTCGTCATCCAGATTTTAGGTAAGTTTCTTTGGTGTCTATCTCACTGATTTTGTTAGCTTTTGGAAATTAACTTATGGATTACAATTGAAATTGGTGCATGTCAGTTTTTCTTAAAGTTGCATCAGGTCTCAGCTTAGCTTACTGTTGTATTTGTCATCATATGTAACAGTTTTGAAATTTAAATTTCAGACCAAAGAATCCCCCAGTAAATGAAATCCAATGTCATTCATTAGAACGCTCTCCAGAAAGACCTCAAGCCATGGATAATTTGGAGTCAACTTCTAAAATTTCTTATACTCAAGAAGATGCTGTAAGTATTAATAGGGTACGAAAAAAAATTTTTTAGTAATGAAATTTGATGTACATTGTCTCAAGCAGGACTGTTGATTTAGCTCTTGATGTCAGACGTGACAAAGCTCAATAATGTTATCCCTTTCTAGCACTGTGTCTGTGTTTTAACTTTGCATTGCGCTCATAGTGGTCGCTTAAAAAATATTGGCAATTAAATTCCTCAGTAAATTTCAGAGTAGTCACCTTGATGAAAATTACAGGAGATATGTGAAATATGTGTCAATAAAATAAGATGAATGATATTTTCTGTTCTTCCCCAGGAAAATATTGTTAGCGAGCAGGTTACATCTCAAGATGGTAAAACTATAGAACAAGTTAAAGTTTATCGAACACCTCAAGCAAGTCCTCCCCCTACTCCTAATCTCGGTTCTAATACTGATAAACAAGTTCTACGTGATTTCCTCATTGGTGATTATTGTTTACAAGGGGTAAGAAGTACTTGTCTATTTATTGTTCTCTCCCCTTCTTTTTTAAAACAAACTTGAGCAGAAATCTCATTGTGTCATTTGAAATGACAGTAAGATGCTGCAAGTTTGACTTATTCTGAATATAGTTTGTTCAAGCAATCAAGAACTAAATGTAAATGCAGGTATCATAACTTATAATTCTATTTCTTTCTCTAGGGCACAGGTTGGTGGAAACATGAGTTTTGTTATGGAAAACACGCCAGACAATACCATGATGTAGGTCTTAAAATTTTTAATATTATAGAAAATATTGGTCCCTTAAAATACTTGAAAATAATATTCCAATTCATTTATTTGAAGAATTCATCAATTAAAGTTTTCTAGCCTTTTAATCATCACCAATACTTATAATTTAAGATAGTACCATTCTGATTTCTAATCCAATGCCAGTAATAGTCTGTTAATCCAGTAAAACTTAGTCTGGATATCAACTGTTTAAAGGAACAGGATTGTTTTAATCTGGCTCAGGGGGATAAAAAAAGACATGTTATTTTCCAGGGTACAGAAGGACGACAAGTCATCTATCTTGGTCATTGGAATTATCAAAAACATTTACAATGGTTACTAAAACATCCTTCTAAAAGACCTAAAGAAATTGGCTCTAGAAAGTAGGTACTTAAGGTTTTGTTTTGGGGCCAATAACAGCTAAATCAGCTAGATAAGTCTCTGACTTTTCAAAACAACGAATATTTATTTGGGTTTTCTTGGCAAACAACGTTCCTGTTGACTGAGGTCCTTACCAACAAAATCTTATCTTAGAATGATTCCAACATTTTGTATGGTTGATTGTAGATTTGTGTTTTTGTATGGTTGATTGTAGATTTGTGTTTTTGTATGGTTGATTGTAGATTTGTGTTTTTGTATGGTTGATTGTAGATTTGTGTTTTTGTATGGTTGATTGTAGATTTGTGATTTTTGTATGGTTTATTGTAGATTTGTATCATTAATGTATACAGATGGAGATGTATGTGATATAAATGGTGATAAAAGAGTAGTGGAAGTCAGATTAAAGTAGGTATAGATTATCAAATTCATTTCAAAGAATACGGTAACCTAAATATCTCCTGAAGTTTCACTTCACCCACAATTACACATTTTCTTTTTGAGGTTTGTAGTTCAAGAAGCCCTTGACATTAAGTATTTTTTATATCAATGCAAAGTTTCTCTCATTGCACACTACTTGGCATCATTGCCCATTTCCATTAACCAATCTGTTGCAGAAAAGAAGGATGTCAAGTTCATGTCAAGCAATTTCATTCACTTTTCAGATGTATAGTTAATGAGCAACATCCCCATGCTGTAGCTTTATATTTAATGGAGCCCAGTCCTTGTACCTATGTTTTAGGGGTAAGCCACCTTTCAGTACATCTTTTTCTACACGAATTCAGAATGCCTTTTAGGACATGAAATGTAGACATTATTTAATGAGCATTTTATTCATTCTTGTGTATCAAAACCTCTCACTGTCCAAAATATTACAACTTAAAAAACTAATGCAAAAACATAATTGCTGTTACAATGGTATGTTTCTATAAATTTGATTATTTTTATTGTAGATTGAGTCACCATTGTTTTGTAGTTTATTAGATAAAGCTGATAATGATGGTATCTTTAAACAAGAAGAAATTGAAAATTTATAACATCGGCTTTTACTTTATTTTTCTATTTTATTATAGTCCATTGCAATCATACCAGTCAAACTAATGTAGTGTTTTTTGCCAACTAAGCCTAACTTATTATATAGTGATTTTTGCCATCTAAAGGTAGAGGTGAAGGCACTTTAAACCCAAGTTTTAGTGTTCTGTGCCAATTATACTACCTCTGAATAAAGTTGGCTGATTGTGATTATGTTTTGAGCACAAATATCTTTGCTGGACTACATTTTATCACAATTTCCACCTTCCTTTTTTAAATGGTCTATCAGTGAGCTTCCAAGTTTTTAGATATTATGCATTTACTATGTTTCTTGGGTTTTTTAAATTGGGATTTTTGTGAAAATATTTTTGAATGCAATTATGAAAGAAATTGTCAAATTATAATAGAGAAGCATAATTATTCAAGTGACTTGTTTTTGTGTGTTTGTCTGAATGGGGGTTGTAACTAATTTAAGTTTTGTTATAAAGGACTGTAGTACTAGTAGGGGAAGCACCAAATACCAAATTCATGGTGAATGGCTGACATAGTTGTGCCAGGTGTTGGGTATAAGGATTCAGAAGAGCTTTTTCTGCCTTTTTTTTTCCTTTTCGATGTGTAGCATCTATTTGCAGCATTGTGATTTTCCATCAATATTTAAAATACATGAAAATTTTCATATCCTTATGTTGTTAGGCGAATATCATTTAGGATTCAAGCCAAAGGGAAAATTGGAAAACAAACTCATGGAAATAGAAGCTATAACTTTCCCTTATATATAAACAGAGGCTACAAATTCTCTTTTGATCAATGTTAAGGATTATAAATTAGCGTATAAAATGTTTTATGTTAGTTGTGTTCTTTTTTTAAGAATAATTGAACTGTGTTTTTTTTGTTCCCAAACAGTATTAATAAATATAGGCTAGCTTACATAAATGCACATCAGGAGATGTCACATTCAAGTCCAAAAGATTGATAAACTGATATATGTATATTGTGCAAAATTTAAATTAAATTTAAAACACACTAAATTCATGTGAATATTCTAGTTATCAAATTTCATGGATTTTTCTTCCAATCTGATTACGGCACCATATTTCTTCCAATCTTTTGTCTTAGTTGAGTTTTTGTGAAACTGGTTCCAGGGATTTTACCTAATGACCCTTATTTTTCATAGTATATTGTATAAATGGAAATAATTAGATCCTAGTTACATTTTTAAAAAACTTAAATGGATTTGTAGGGCTACTATTCTTTGTTGTTTTGCTGTGTGAATGAGTTTATTTGAATCAGGTGATGGATTAGTCAGTCCCTAATTAATTAGTTTTATTAATTATAATTTGTAAATACATGTATATCTACAATCACGAATGATAAATAAACTATTTATTTTTTGTACAACATTGGCTTATTTCTTAGGGGATATAGTGGCTTAAATATTTGTGATACCAGCCTAGTTTCAAAGTATTTCTAATGCTTCATCTCGATAAGAAGGTGACAAAGACGATCTGAATATTCAGGTTGTTATTAACAGAATATAAATGGTGCACAAAAGATCCCAAATTTTGTGGTTCTAATTTGAGTTGTTTGAAGGTCTAGCATATATACTTCACAACTGAGTCACATGAAATGATCAATTCTTTGGTTTAAGGTAAAAATATAAAAGATCACAGTTTTTGTCTATTGACTCGACTGGCTGAAATCACCAACAAGTAATAAAGATATCACATTAGTGGAAACTCAAGACAGATCTGCCACATGAACTAGTTGTTTACCAATATTTCCTCCATTCATCATAGAAACAAACGCTTTCCCTGTATTTTCTAATCCTTCTTCAACAGTTTCTTTATTCTGAAACAGGTAAGAACAGTTTGCTGTATCTATATCTGACCTCTGATACAGAACTAGAAATCCAAGGCACAGAACAGAGAAACAAGAAAGAAGCATTTTGAGTGACTAAAAAGCTGCTTCCCAAAACATGTAAAGGGAGATAATTCAAGTTCAAGGGTGAGGGGATATTTAAGATTATATTTAGTTTCAAGTTAAAGGTAGATAAAAGTATGAAGTTTAAAGTTCAATGGAGATGATTTTAAGATTATTTGAGGAAATGCACACATAAAACTTACCACAATTTTTCCTTCCTGTAACCATTGAGCCAATTGTTTTTTAGCGTCTTCAAATTTTTCTAAATAATTCAAAACTAAAAATCTCTCTCTGAAATAGTACAATAACACAAACTTGACCATTTACAATACATTAGTTATACATCAAAGTGGAAATATCACTGTGATAGCACATCAAACTCATATGTCAGAAACAGTATGAAAAAGGTCTGCTGCACATTGTCGTTGCTGTAGGATCAAATCCAGAATTGTTCAATGCATCCCCTTCTCTCCCCTCTACAAACCTGGTAATATTTTTATCCTGTAATATTTGTGATATTTCTGTATTTATTGGTGGAGGGTAGGGTATATCTTTATTATAGTCTGCTATTTGACCACATAATATAACATGGGAGTTGGCTTTCATCTGAAATGTAAAAACAATACTTTCAAAACCTCCTAATTTAAAATCAATCTTTTGTATGGCATATCTTTAAATAATCTGATAAAGATTTGTATCTTTTCCTCTGTGGGTGACTCCAAAATCCATCCAAAATCTGAAGAAATGTTCTAAGTTGTAAGAAACTCTTTAATTGAAACCCCAATCCCTAGTTCGAGGAATCAATCATTTTTAACAATCTAGGAAAAGCTTTGATGCAAAACTGCTTACATGCTAGTCTCTAGTTACTTTCTATGAATTTCTCTTTGTACCTGTTTGATAACTGTATCACTAAGTTCTCCACCAACATTATCAAAATAAATATCTACACCATCTGTACACATCTCCTTTAATTTACTACCAACATCTTCAGTTTTATAGTTGATACAACCATCAAAGTTTAGCTCTTTTTTCAGCGTCTGGCATTTGATGTCTGTTCCACAGATACCTATAGCTTAGTTACACCCCAGTAACTTAGCAACCTAAAACAAAAAACATTAAGCTTCTAGATCTTAATCACCAGGTTTCTCAAAGTACCTTACATTCAAAAACAAAAGGTTAAAAGATATATAATTCAGAAACTGTGTTAAATAATTGTATTTTGCTCCATTTTGAATGATGAAGAATAAAGCAAGACTTTATTGCAGATCAAAAATGTTTCCATTTCTTCAGCAGAAAACTCCACAAGGCATTAATGATCTATCAAAACAATATCTAAAATATAAGTAAAGAATAAAATAAACCCCTAAACTTTAACCACCTGTCCGGCAACAGAGCCTGTAGCTCCTGCAGCCCCGCTAATGACTATATTCTGATTAGCTCCTGGTGTCACATGACCTTTTTCAGTGATTCCTAAATAGGCTGTTATACCAGTAATACCTAATATACTAACAGCTAGTGATAAACTAGTTGCTCGTAATAACTCTTCAGATCTTTCAGCAATCTAAAATTACAGAAATTTCTAATTTCATATCTAAATTCTTCAAAAGCATGGTTATATTTCATCAAAATCAGGTCCAAAAAATCATTGAGAAATACAAAAAGAAATTGAAATTATAGACAAAATAATTGTCAATTTCCAAGCTTTCCAAGCAAGACAATCATTAAAACTGAAAGTGTTATGGTTGATATCATGATATTCTTGATAGATATAGCCTTGAAAAACCTTTCATACTTTATCTTTTATTAATACTTGACAATATTACATAAGTATCACTTAAAAAGTCAGTCAGTTTCAGAAAATTCAAAAAAAATCTTTTCTAACCTGAATTAAATGCTCTCCTTTTTTAAAGTTAATAAACTTCATCCATGGTGAGCTCAGGTTGACAAGAACTAAAGAATTATTGGTAAAATTTTTATTTTTAGATTCAATAACTTGTCCTAGCCCGCTTAATCCTACCACCGTGTCTTCTATTGACCAACTTTTTAAATAATCTACTCCTGTACTCTCGTTCATACAGCACCTCTATAATATGAAGGACAATAATGGCTACTGAAGCTATATATGGGGATATACATATAACATTAATATATTTGGCCCTATAAAAATTTTCCTCATTTCACACTTCAGGGTGTTTCTTATCGTCCTTTAAAAAAAAAGGACATACTCGTTACTGAGGATTTTTAAAGGATTTGGCCCCAGTTCACAACATACATTTTTTCCTAGAAAAATTATCTTATTGCACAATTCAGTGTATTTCTTATCTTCACTAACACAATTTGTAGCAGAAATGTAAGTTGAAAAGCCTTTTAAGGAGTTTCCCCAGTTTCAGTTCTTTAAGTGTAATGTTTACATGTAAATTTTCATCTATGATAAATTTTCATATAGATATCATTTATGAAACAGAGACATAGAAGTGCAATACTAGCTGTTGAGAAAGCATCATTGCATTTTTCAACCCAGTTTCAATTTTCAGTCTGAGGGGCTGATAAGAAAAAAGCAATTCTTGATTGGTTCCACACAGTTGGAAATGTCTGTATGTGAGTCTTAAATTGATCTGTACTAACTCACCAAAGCTGGATCTACTGATAAATATAACATTTTAACTAAAACATCTCCCTCTTCTATACTATCAGGGTAGGAGCATTTCTGGTGCTCAAAATTCTCTTCTGTAGGTTTACCATTTACACCTTAAAATAGAAAACATTTCAGAAACCTGTTTTTCAAAACAAATCAAGATCTTAGCAGATACACATTAATCTAATTTGTTTATTATAATCCTCTGACATGACTCATGGGCATCAAAATGGTCCCAGAAATGTAAATTGTAATTAAAACATCATAAAGCCCCATTTCCCATAACACTGATCTGTGGCTAAATTTGTCAACTTGGCATTTCTCATTTTAATAAGCCTAGTAGTTATTTTAAGTTATAGAGATTACCTGGTCTAGATTTTAAAATAACACGAAAGTTCTCCATTGTTGAATCTGATCCCACTCCTTGAATTCTGGTGTAGGCTTGTTGTCCTATGACACAATTAAACAAATTATACACCAATCAATAACAATTTTGACTTTACTGCTGAATACACTCCTCTAAGTACTGATGCAGGTTTAGTGTCCAGCTATGGTTAGATAGAGATTTTTTCCAATACTAATCTGGTGTTCAAAAAATTATTTTCTGAAATCTACCTGCTGATTTATAAACTAAATGTTATTCTCTTCAAATTGAAAACAAGTTATGAATGCAACAAACACAATATCAATAATTTTAACCCTGGGTCTTTCTGAACTTTTTTGAACTTTGCTACATGCTATAAATCATCACTAATAACAGTAATTCTAACTATGGTTTTGCCCAATTGAACTTTGAACCTGAGCCATAGGACAGGGTTATGACAAAGATTAGCCAAATCTTTAATCTCCTAATCATGATCTGATTAGGTTGCATGTGATCTAATTCCACAATGACATAAGATGACAGGTTTAAAGGGATATAGGCTTGTGAAGTGATTTCAACCAGCTGATACTGCTTTCCGCTTACAGTTACACCTGTATTTAATAATATGACAGTAATCATCAACTGATGCCATGTCTAAAAAGGTTGAATAAATGCATGACTACTGTATCCATTTATTCAACCTTGTTAGACATGGCATCAGTGGATGATTAAAGGAAATCAATTAAATTCCTGTGTCAACTGTGTTGCATTAATAATGTATCTTTTATTTTCTTTAGCAGAGTCTTTATATAGACTCTGTGGTTAGTTAACACTGGACGATCATTTCTACCTTCTTGACAAAGGGAATTAATCCATCTGTCAAAAAATCAAAATTAAATTGAACACTTGAATTAGCCTACTCCTTTACAGCTAATTTAGCATCACCCCATCGCCGTGGTTGAAAAAAATATCTTATTCCGTGAAACTCAAGATGCAATAGTAATGTCCAAAGTAATATGTTGTGATCTGAATGAATAATTTGTAAAGTTATCTCCTATAGATCTGAACTCTTCATAAAGAAGTCAAAAGTGGTATTCAGAATAAAAACATGTGAAACTCTTTTTAAGAATCAGACAAGGAATTTAAATATGAGTTTTTCAAGTTATAAACCGAACATTGAAAATGGGGATGTGGCCATACTATATTTTAGTCCATTAAACATTACTCAACTGAAAATCAGACATGGCCAAACTTTGCAGACGTCGTACGGAGCAGTCAAGCATGCTGACTTAATAGGTGTGAAATATGGGAGCAAGGTTAACTGTCCTAAAGGATTTTTCCATATACTTCACCCCACGTCAGAGTTATGGACTCAAGCAGTTCCTCATAGAACACAGATTCTGTACTCTACAGATATCAGTATGATCACATTTCAACTGGAACTTACAGCTGGATCAGTCGTCATTGAAGCTGGTAAGAGTTAAGTTTAAAATATAATCTTCACAATTCCTGAAGTCTCAACTTGACTCAGAAGTAAATACGGTTTTCTAATCTTTGGATGTGACATTATAGCTTACATTCTCTAATCTGAAATGCTATGAATTCAAAAAAATATTTTCATATGGGTAGAGTATCTTTCCCTGTATTCAAAAACTTGAAAGTGTCATGATTAACTAGATAATATATCAATATTTTCCCCTAATGTTTTAGATTCAATCAATCAATATTCAAACATTTTACACACATTGGTATCTAACATTTGGTTTATATTACTTTTTTCTCCATTAAGGTACTGGAAGTGGATCACTGTCTCATGCCCTGATACGAAGTGTTTTACCAACAGGGCACCTATATACCTTCGAATTCCATAAAGAACGTTATGAGAAAGCAGCAAAAGAATTTGAAGATCATGGTTTAACAGAGAATGTAACTATAACACATCGAGATGTTTTAAATGATGGATTTCAACTTGAACATGTAGCTGATGCGGTTTTTCTGGACCTACCTTCACCTTGGAGCTGTATCGATTCAGCTAAACAAGCTTTAAAATTAAAAGGTATTTGGGCTCTTGGGTTTAATAATATTTTCTTTACAGCAGCTAAATGTTACTTTGTAATTTTGCTGTAAATTAGAATACTGAAGAGAATTCTAAGAGTTCCATCAATTGAAATTGAGAAACACATATTGCATCAGCGTATCAGCTGGTAAAGATAGATATAGATAACATTTAAAGGGATAGCTGCGCCATTTTGAGGGGTTATTTGAGTCTTGAAAAGATGTAAATAGTCTCCAGAATTACTAGAAATGTACGAAAATAGCATAATTCCATAAAAAATATCTCAAACTAGGAATTTCTTTCTTATTTCTGTAGATGTCTTTTCTATATATGGGCATGGCAGTGTCTCAGGAAAAGACGACTCATCTTCCTTTCAAACGCGGAATAATTCAGGAAACACATGAACACTACTACTGATTGTCTTAGCTTAAAAATTCCTGTTTCTGAGACTAGGTACAATTGGTAAAAAAAATTGTGTACCTTTCCCTTCAAGATGTTTTATTCATAATTAACAAATTATTCTATATTACAGGAGGTAGAATCTGTTCCTTCTCACCCTGTATAGAACAAGTCAGTCAAACATGTGCCACACTAGCAGAAAAAGGCTTTCAAGACATCAAAACTTTGGAATGTTTGCTGCGTAAATTTCATGTTAAACATACTGGAATGCCAAAAGCCTGTTTAGGTGAACTGACTGAAGTTGAAAAAGCTCATCAAGCAAAAGTGGAGGCGAGAAAATCTCAAGCCACAAGTTCTGGACCAGAAATAGACAATCTTGATTCTGAGTCCCCTTTCAAAGTACCTAAACTGGAGGAGGATGTTTCAAATAATGCAAATGGTAAAAGGAAAAGGAAGAGAGGTCAGGAGAGCTATGAGTATGTTACAGCTGGTCCAGTTCACGATATGCAAGGTCATACTGGATTTTTGACATTTGCTTCCTTATATTCACATTGATGTTGTTTGTTGAAGGGATATAATCATCTAATTATTTTCTTTGCTGTTAGATCTTAATTTCAGCTATCTGTATCACTTCTCACAATTAAAATTTGACAACTCTTCAATTCAACAAACTATTTTCAACTGTCATCTATCCAAAGCATTATTATCAATCTTACCTGCAGTTATTCGGAAAGAGTGACAGAAATCGATGAAATTAAATTCCAATTGCTGGCAATGCAAATATTTAGAAGACTATAGCCCCTTTTAGAATTTCATGTTTCTTTTCATCTTCAACTCATTAAATTGTTATCTTAAATTTGTTCTTCTTTCAATGTGATTAAAATGTTACTATAATAAATTCTTCATCTTCATTTTAATCAGATTGTTTTTCTCTAAGCATTTAAGTTGATTGGTAAACTGAGAAATTCTTACAGATCAAAAACCCATTTCTAATGGATCTCTCATAAATTTTTTATTCATTATACAAAAATTTTACAAAAATCACACTCATTTATATAAATAACACTTTTTGCTTCAATTTGCACCTTCCCTAATTCTGTGCTTCCTGCAATTGTACAAAAATTTGACTAGATTATGATATCACAAATAATACTACATATTGGCATGAATGGTGCAGATAAAAAATTGTGCAACCTTGATACACATACAAAAACAAGAAAGTATATTTTAAATCTGTTGAAGCTTTGGCAAAACCTGCATTTGACAAATAAAATACACAAAATAAACAATAACAATAAACACACAGCATTTATAATGTCAAACACAAATATCTTTTACACGTTTTACCATATAAACAAAACAAATCTACTATATTCTAATGTAAAAGCAAAGGCAATATAAACTTGACGAGTCCCTCAATTAAAAAATATAAATATACAAATATCTTGATTTGACTAAAGTTTACAACAAAAGCAAGAACACAAATAAATCTATATTAAATAGCAAAGAGTTATAAAGTTCACATACAATAAATATATGTCTTTCAAAAATACAAGCTTTCTCCTCAGTCAAATTAAAATAAGGTCAAAAGGTTATTTTGACGAATGTTTTAGAGGCCAGTCTTTAGACCCTAACTTAAATGGCTATATTAAAATAAAAATAAAAGCCAATAAAGAAAAACTGATTGAAAGTTTAGCCTAATTTTAATAAGGCATGATGGAATGATGTCTGTATGAGCATGTGAAGCACTAAGGTCACACATTGATCAATATATTCTGTGACTGTCATGACTAAATCAAATTTTAATAGTGCACAAGCTGTACTTTAAATGTCTACTGAAAAGTAATAAGGGTAGCTCATCTTCAACTCTACAAGTGAATATTTAGATACAGATCATTGAAATTGAGCTCTTAATGCTGATAATGCAGATTTTAACATTCAATCATTTGTTATGGAATACATCTTCAGAAATAAAATTCTTGGCAAATTATAACAACTGACAATGTTTTGAGCAATAAATAAGAAGAAATGGCACTGAAGGTTGGACCCAATTTTCAGTTTTAATACTGATGTTGTAAAATCTATGTCGAAACACTTGTCTTCTGCATCTATCACATTTTACTCCATCCTTTAACATGACTACAATATAAAGAAATTGATCAGAATTCAGTATGTATAAATTCTGATCTCAGTACTGATAAAATTCAAATTTAAGACATAATAGGGTCATTGTGATATAGTAAACAGTGTGTATAATATACATCATCAAAATATCGTAGCAATGATCACAAGTGACATCATACTGCACTTTAAGTTAAAGTTAGAGCTATTGATTGGGCAAGTTTTCAAACATCTGTGACCATAAAGTTCCTTGAAAATGTGACCTGACTTGTTATTTTTTATGATTATGTTGACGCCTTTAAAATTATTGGAGGCAAGCATGTATGTGCGACTTAACTAAGGAAGAAATCCTTGATGTCAACCAAGAATAGAAATCCTTGATGTCAACCAAGAATAGAAATTCTTGATGTCAACCAAGAATAGAAATTCTTGATGTCAACCAAGAATAGAAATCCTTGATGTCAACCAAGAATAGAAATCCTTGATGTCAACCAAGAATAGAAATCCTTGATGTCAACCAAGAATAGAAATCCTTCATGTCAACCAAGAATAGAAATCCTTCATGTCAACCAAGAATAGAAATCCTTCATGTCAACCAAGAATAAAAATCCTTGATGTCAACCAAGAGTAAAATCCTTGATTTCAATTAAGGAAAAAAATCCTTGATTTCAATTAAGGAAAAAAATCTTTGATGTCAATCAAGGGTAGAAATTTTTGAAACACTCTGGATCCTTATATAAACTCTACCTACCTTGTAATGAATAAGGTAAAACATCAATGTGTTTCAGATTTAATTCAAAGATACATCTAGCAGTAATATCAACTAATGATAACGGTACCATTCTTTTATCTTGATCACATTCATTTACTGTCTGTAGAAATTCTTCTACTCTGTCTTTGGTTAAAAAGTTATTATTATCACCTTAAATAGAATGATAGTAAAGAACAGATGAAATAAAATGAAGTTTGAAATTACACTAGCTACTTTTGATGTTATCTTGGTAAAATCATTAACAAGTGGTTTGGTTAAGGACCAGCTGGTAGACAGAATGGATCTCCAATACCAGTATAACAAATAATAAACTTACAATGAATAGAGAAGTTTGACAGGATATCTTGTAAACTGGATGGTAAATATTTAAGTTGATTATCAGAGATTGATAAATATTCTATATCTAACTGACCAATACTGTATGGTAACTCTCTTAATCTACAGAACAAAACTTATTACATTATAAATAGACAAAATAAAACATAACCTGAAACATGTGTCCCTACTGAAGTTTGACAAGTAAAAATCTTGAAGCAACTGGACTTATTCATTCAGTGTTCCAACTGAAGTTTGACAAGTCTGTGTTCCTACTGAAATTGACAAGTAGAGATCTTGAAACAACTGAACTATTTCAGTCATGTATCTACTGAAGTTTGACAAGTAAAGATATTGAAATAACAGGACTATTTCAGACTGTGGGCATACTAATGTTTGACAAGTAGAGATCTTGAAACAACTGGACATTTAAGTGACTATTGAATTTTGACAATATTTCAGTCTGATCTGATCTGAAGTTTGACAAGTAGAGATCTTGAAAGAACTGGTTTATATCTGAAGTTGGACAAGTAGAGATCCTCAGTCGTGTTTACTAATGTTTGGCAAGTAGAGATCTTCAGACAACTGAACTTTGTCAGTATGAGTCCTTACTAAGTGTGACACTTGATCATTTTGTTGGAAATGATAATTTTGTGTGCCAAGATTTTTGTTAGAAATAGTAACCATACCTGTTATTATTAAGTTGTAATATTTTTAATGACTGACAAGATCCTATCGTACTTGGTAACGAAGTCAGACCACAGTTATTGGCCTTGACTTCACATAGATTGATCAATCCTGATAAACTTTCAGGTAATACTGTTAAAATGTTATCACAAATATTCAAAACCTAAAAATAAAAATTTTAGTTGTATGCACTGACGGAGCTAAAAAAGTCAAGCAATGCCACCAGTGTGCAATGAGGGAAATTTAGCAGGATTAGTCTTGTTAGTTGAGGCACTCTAAAAATGTACAGAGCTGCTCTGACCAGCATCACAGAGTGAAGGGAAGATGCTTAAAATAATCATCTTACAAATAATAATCAATTTATAAGTGATGATGACGATAATGATAGATCATGGATCATAAGACTGGATTAGATTTAATGATCAAACTTCGTTTCAGGAAAGATATGTCCATAAGTCGATACATACCTCTAAGTTTAATAAACAGCCGATACTCTCTGGAATGTGGGTAATTTTATTGGACCTGCAATAATCACTATAAACTTCAATATATTTTTTTAATTATCATTAGTAAGGATCATGGTATATTTCTTCATAGTAAATGTATGTCATATATTCTTTGAAAGATACTTTGACATAAATTGCATGTCTTTTATTCATGGGTGGTGTCAGAGGTTTCCTGATGTAAGCATGCCTCTGATGTCATTCTAAACATTATCCATTCAGTCCACTGTCATTTCCGAAGTTTATGACAAATCCAGGAAATATTTGATTTTGATTTCCACCCATGCTTGTATTTTTTTTTCCCTAGCAGTATCAAAATAAGCATGTGAACTCACCGTAAAGATAGAGTCTGTAGGTTAACCAACAGACCTATACTTGATGATAAAGCTGTGAGACCATTTGTATCGAAATTCAAATATCTTAAACCAGTTAAACTCCAAAAACTTTCTACAAATAACAAATTAATTAAACTTGAAATGAACATCACAGGAATTATAATTAGTGAAAATTAAAGACTTTTCAAAGACAATAAATATCTTGGTATACTAAGATTTTCTAAATTTTCAAGAAAATACAAGTTCTCTAAACAGTACAATTTGTAAACACTTTTGTTTTTTCATCTAGCATCAGAATCCATAGTTTCATCTTCACTATGAAGAATGATGATTATATTCAAGGATATTTTTTCCCTTTGCAACGCTAGATTTTTTTCAGAATTCCAGTCTGACATGACCTGTCAAATTAAGGAATAAATCTTACCAGGAATGTTGTTGATTTGGTTATTGGCGAGATCAAGGGATGTTAAACTTAACAGAGATCCAATGGACACCTGAAAAACAACACAAAATATTTATTATGTATCAATAAGTTGTCATTTTTTCTTACTTCTTATAAAATTGACATCTTTGTAGGAAAACATTTTAACATATTTATTTTTCTAATTGTGAATCTAAAACTTTACCAATATCACATCAATACATGCATACCAAAGTTTTATCAAGAACAAATAAAAACTGCAACCTCTATTGTGTCTAGAAGCAGTGTGGAGAAATTGACCAAGGCATCAGCTATGATTGTAAGTCCACATTTCTATGTTGATGAATAAGACCTATCTGCTGCTTTATTCAATATCTTTCAGGTGAATAAAATGCTTTCTTAGCAAATCATTTGTACATAAACCGGATAAAAACGTAACAAATGTAGATCTTACTCAGCCAAACAGCTAAAAAAAGGAGTAGAGGTCAATTTACATATACTGGGAACAGTGGGGGACATGAATAGTTTAATTTGCATATTTCTGATCTTCAGTATGTATTTGGATTTGAAATTCAAGACACATGTCCTTATTGCTAACATCATTCAACTTGGCTGTATAATCAAAACATATCAACTTACTGGAATGGTTTGTAATAAATTATTCTGTATGTATAAACTGTGTAAACCTACTAATAAACCTATATCTACTGGTAATGTTTTAATATTATTATCAGAGAGATCTAATAGTTTTAACTGGGAACCAACAAATCCTAACCTCTCAGGAACATCTTTATACCTCTTACAACTGAAATTTAAAAAGAAACTACCAGTTTATTGAGGGTTTCCTTCTATAGATTATATAATGATTTGGTCAGGACATTCAAATATGTCGGTTTGCAGAGGATGTGTTTTGGAGAGGTTTCATGTATAAGGTAGTACATAAAATCGCATCCAAACACGTTGTCACTTCAGCATGATTTTGGTGAAACAAGGAAGATTGTTTATGCCTAGTTCACACCAACGGCAAATGCCGCGCTTTAAATCGGCGAGCAAAGCGCCATCATTTTTTGTTTACTTTTCCAAAAATATCACGATCTCCTAAGTAATGTTACGCTCTGATAAGCTCTGATACGAATTGGTTACGCTTTGGGGACGAATTATTTCCCGATTTGATCAGGCCTTGTTACGCTTTAAATCACGCTTTGATTAGCTTTATTAAGCTTTGATGCGGTTATGACGCTTTAAATCACGCTCTGATACGATTATCAAGCTCTGTTGTGCATTGTAAAGCTCTGTTACGCATTGGAAAATTTCGAGATCGCTGATTTCATGCCGCTTTTGATCAAGTGGTGACAGACCGTGAAGACTGGGGTCCCCGCTTTGAATAAAGATCTGTTAAGCTTTCCTACGCTTTGAGTCAAGCTTTGCTGAACTTTGTTACGCTTTGTTAAGCTTTGATACGTTCTCGGCGCTTTAATCAATTCGTGACAGAGCACCCAAAATTTTTAAACAGTTTAAAATTTTTTGGCGCTCTTGCCGAATATCCAGCTTTGCTCAAAGCTTTCCAGCGATCTATTACGACCCTGGCGCTTTAGTCGAGCTTTGTTACGCTTTGGTACCGCTTTGTACGCCGCTTTAAAGCGCCATCAAAGCGTCGTTGGTGTGAATTGAGCACTAATGAAAATCAATTGAAAACTAAATGACCTATTACAATGTCTCTATGCAGGATTACATAGATTAACAATTAATTTTTCTACCATATACCCAGTTACCCACATACCAAATTTTGTGGATAAGTTCACTAAACTCATGAACACTCACCTGAGGTCAAGATGAAGAGGTCTAAATGGAATATTATTGGTTGATAAGACTTGGTGATAACAAGACTCATTTAAACAACACAAACTGCTCTCTTCCCTTTCACATCTAAATATAATAACTTTTTATAGTGATTAACAAGTAACATTGTCATTTAAACATTCACTTTACCAGTTGATAGTCATCTAATTTTTACCAGCTGAAAGGACTTGCAGAGAAGTCATATCAATATTTGAATAGAGTGATATAGTTATTTAAACATTTAAACAACAGCTGATAGTCTTCTTATACTATTTTCAAAACCTGATTGATCTTGCAGAGTAGTCATGTGTTAGCTGATAAATAAAAATTTGCAGGGATACAGCCTTCCATAATCATATCAGCTGATGATAGGACCTGATTATGATAGGACCTGATTATGATAGGACCTGATTAAGAGCTATATACCTGTAACATCAAATGTTTATTCAAGAAACTTATTCACCTGAATATTCTCTTTATCAGGTAATAGAAAATGAAGTTCAGCTACTTGCATCAGCATGAAAAATGTTTTGAATGCTACTTACTGTAAACAATCTTTTATTTTCTTTCTAAAACGAAATGTAGATGAAGTTGATGACTTCTGGAATGTCTTCTGAATCTAAAGGAAAATATTCACAAAGTTAAAGGTGTAGAAAAGAGATTTTCTAAATTGTGTATGTGTATCAGGGACACAGATAGCATCCATTAGTACCATTCCAATTTTCATTCGGACATCTGCAATTGCAATAAAGTGTTTCATGACGACACTAATCGCAAAATATGATTATGGCCCTTAACTTGCAAATTGAGGCTTAAACGATATCTGTATTTACTTGTTATCTCCCTTTAATGTACCTCGCATGCGCACTGTATAGAACATACTCAATATGTCTCTTAAATAAATAACGTTGTAAAACCTCTCTAGTCTTCTCCGACTCACCAAACTTACTTACAAGACAACAACGTTACATCCCAGAAAACCTCTTTACAATCCCTTTAAAGTCGATACACACATATTTTGTGCATGACTATATACTTGACATTTTTTGTCATCAACCAAATAAAAGACACTGGACCAAATATACATATGTATGCTACTGCACATAAATTCCTGGTGCTGTTAACAGCTGAGATATTTTGGCTAGGCCTACCTGATTTTTTATATGGGTAAGAGTTAAGTTTTCTTTGTTGAACATTCCATCATAGTTTTCCTCGAGTTCTGCTGGGATCAGACAATGTAACTTGGTAATAAGATGGACGATAGCATAGGCTATAGAGCAACATAGGGAACCAGCCACTGCAACGGCAATTGCAGTTGTCTGGACATCATTACTAAAGAACAATAAATCGTACGTAAATGTGGCAAATAATTTTCCAATTGATGTCATTCTACTTCATTATACCTAAAAATTATAAAAAGAACCAGGATGAAATCATTTAAGGGTGTAAATAAAATGAATGGAGTTGTAAGTCCTTCATTTCTACACCTAATGGGCTAATGAAGGTGTGCAACACCATGCAGTATGCCATAAGGGAAATTTTGCCAGTACAGCTGAATAAGCTTGTAATATTGGAACAGCCATTAACAACTTGACAATTTATTGTTACGATTAAATTGCACATCCCAATCAGTCAATTTTAAAGGGACAGGTTTGCCATTTTTGGGGGTTGATTTTAGTCTTGAATATATGTAATTAGTCTTCAGAAGTATTAGAAATGTATGAAAATCACTTAATTGCTTTAAAAATACTTAAAACTAGAAATTTTACTCACTATTTCTATATATGTCTTTTCTATATATCAGAGTATCTAAAATTGACGAGTCAACATTTTAACATTCAAACGCAGACACACATGGATTTGAAGGCTCAAATTTCGAAGGTAAGCTGTGAACACTATTACTGATAAGCTCTGTTAAAAATTCCAGTTTCTGAGACTAAAATATGATTGGTAAAAAAATGGCCTGCTGTCCCTTTAAGGTGGTTTGGAATGTTTACCATAGACAGAGCTTATACAGAGTTTATATAGGCTCTGCCATAGCTGAATACAGTTTGAGCAGTATGAACATTTTTCTCCTAATAATTTGCCAACCAAAAAAGTCCAAAATTTTGGATGAAAATTGTCCAGTGTTAAAGGGATACTACGTCTTAGGATGAACATAAAATTTTAATTTTGCTCAAATTTGGCCAATAACAGTATATATCCATCAGTGGACTCACCTTGTGTCCTAACTATACATCAAAATCCCTCTATAATCCGATATATCCACAAAATCAAGTAATTAATTATAAAACGCTTAATGCATCCATTAAGCGATCATTAAGCGATTTTCAAATCGTGAGTCTAGGAAATCCGGTGTAATTTTCAAGGGGAAGTAACTCTCAAGTAGGGTTTCCCGCATCCTTGACCTCTACTCTTGAATTGACCTCGACACTGTTATATTTTGAAGACGGAAAAATGATGCCTCGTAGGAGATTAAGCGACCCCGCGAATTTAGGAGAGTTAGAATGAATACTCCACCACTGACACAATTTTCAACGAATATTAATCATTGGCAAAGTTTGTTTGTATACACTGGAAAATGATTGTTTCCTGTTTTAGCCTTGATTACCCAGACTCTTTTTTTCTCAAACTGGACGGATTCATGGCTTGCTCACTTTTTTTAAAAATTATGATTATAGTTTTATTGTTGATAAAGTGTGGGATGCATACTTATTTAACCAATGGTCACTGTTAAACCAAAGTATTAGCCACAGGGTGAGTGTATTCTAAGAAGTAGTATCACTTTAAATCAATTTTGAGAACATAATGTGTGCTCATACTTCATCAATACCAATACATTCTAAGACTAACAGTACTATTTTGAGGCTGCTTTACCAATTCTCATACAAATAATGTAAAAAATCAAAATAATGCTCAGACAATTATAGTGCCGAAGTTTGACAAAGTCTAGTGGAATGGTCCAATCAATTCTACCTCACCCGTCACTCCGTCAGTGAGTTCGTCACTCCGTCAATGAGTTCGCCACTCACGTCAGTGATTCCGTCAATGGACTCCAGTGACGGAGTGGCGAACTCACTGACGTAGTGACGAACTCATTGACGGAGTGGCGAACTCATTGACGGAGTGACGAACTCACTGACGTACTGACGTATGAGGTAGCCCTGACTCGAATGGTCTGCAATAGTCACAGACTTCATTCACCACAGCCACATTCATCGGCACATAATTATATGCTTTATGTCAACATGTCAATTATGTTAAGGCAACATGTCCAAAATTTATTAAAATTCTACAATCCATTAGACTTAAACTTAAACTAATATGAATACAATACAAGGATGAATACCTTCGCTTTTTTTTCTTTATTACAACTTTCGATTAATGTTTTTATTTACAGAAACTTAGTGATGGTTGTCGTAAAAGTACTCGATTTTCAAGTCATAGTCTCGATCTGTCACGTCTTGAAATGGTCTTTTAACCCTTGTGCTAGAACTTGGGGTATTTCGGGACCCCAGCACCGATTTTTTTCGAATTTCCAAAATGCCATCGAAGATAGCAATTTGGTTACTTCAAACATTGTAGGTAGCTGAATGAATTTTTTCATGATCAGTCTACTGTGCAACAATCACAATTAGCGGATATGTTACCCTTTTAAATTGCAACACACCATGCTAGTATGTTGGGGTTCAGTTAGACCCCAGATAAATGCAGTGCTAAAACTGGATTTCAGTGAAGAACATTAAATTGTAATCTACTCCTAAAGCTAGTTATCTTAGGTTAAAGTCAATTTGGCACTAAACCGAAATGTCCCCATGTCAAAATGGCCCCAAAAGTCAAAATTAGTCGAAATGACCCCAAATAAAATAGTCAAAATGGCCCGTAAAATTACTCTTTGATTTCAACCAAAATCATTGGTCGAAATGATCCCCCCACCCCCAAAATTAAAAATGTCCATAGTTTAAAAATATTCTAACTTTGATAATTAATTATAATTAGTAGCTTATCTGAGTGATTATCAAAGACTAATAATAATAGTTTGTAACTTATGTGATGATTAATGAAAGAAAAAAACAGTAGTTTTCATAAATTAAGGGCAATAACTCAAAAACTATTCATCGAAAGATAGCCAAATTCGAACTTGTCTAAGATCACATCATTATAAATATTCACACGAAATTTCATCGTTGAAATTGGATGAAAACTGTAGTCTCTATTGTGTTCACAACCAAATTTTGGTGCGTTTTTTCATAAGTCAAGGGCAATAACTCAAAAATCGTTCATCAAAAGATAGCCAAATTCGAACTTGTCCAAGATCTCATCATTATAAATATTCTCACCAAATTACATTGAAATTGGATGAAAACTGTAGTCTCTATAGTGTTCACAACCAAATTTTGACGCGTTTTTCATAAGTCAAGGGCAATAACTCAAAAATCGTTCATCGAAAGATAGCCAAATTCGAACTTGTCCAAGATCTCATCATTATATATATTTACACCAAATTTCATTGAAATTGGATGAAAACTGTAGTCTCTATTGTGTTCACAACCAAATTTTGACGAATTTTTCATCAGTCAAGGGCAATAACTCAAAAACCGTTCATCGAAAGATCCTCAAATTCGAACTTGTCCAAGATCTCATGAATATAAATGATCATACCAAATTTCATTCAAATCAGATAAATACTGTTGTCTCTATTGCGTTCACAAGCCAATTGTGGACGGGCGGGCCGACGGACGGACAGGGGCGACGACAATATACGACCACATTATAATGTGGGCGTATAACAACATTAGATATCGGAGTCAAGCTCGTTCCAAAATGTGATCGATAATTCAGAATATCTTTCACATAACCATCTCTTTCCTAGAAATCTTCTAAATTTAGCAAGTTTACGTTTAGCACAACTATTATCATACTTCTAAATTCAAATCTGTCAAATGATTTCTAAGAATTTGACGATGTATGTAACGCCCTTTGTCGACTGGGTATAAAAACACGCTGTAAATGTGATTTTGCGCACTTCTACTGTTTTACGGCGAGTAGACCCAAACGCTCTAAATTTATTAACAGTATCTTAATTTGTTTATCAAAATGGGATTTTCAGACACTTCTATGTTTATGAAAATTTCGATGGCATTAGGAATAGTCGCATTTATATTTGATTTAATTGGATTTGCTTCGCCATATTGGTTAATACAATCTGGTGCAGGTGTTACTATTAGTAATTTACTATGGCAATCTTGCTATTCAAATGATGGCAGTTCTGAATGTAAATCTCTTCAATCTGAAGGCTGTAAGTATACATATAATTTATTGATATAAACACAGATTTGTTACCGCAAAAAAAAAAAAACGGTTTTTTCTATAATATCTAAACTGCCATTCTGTTTTGATTTCATTTTTATTACCGAAAAATTACAGGGCGATCGTCTTGAAAGTCCAGCTTTCAAAAAATGCTTCAATAAGGGAAAACACATTGTCAAGTAGAATAAAATAGATTTTCAAATAAATATGATAAGTTTGATTTTTTTCAGCACAAGAATCCCTTTATTTCAAATCAGCCTATTTCTCGTTGGATTTCTTCATGTCTTCAAATAGTTTGAAAATTATCCAGATAATATAGCCTTTTTTCTTATATATAGGCCTAGGCCTGTATGCCATTTAGATAAGCTTAGGCCTATCTGTTTTTTTTTAAATTATACTAACAATGAAGCTAAACTATTCCGAGTGAGTTTTTTTGAAAGCCCCGCGGTTCCGTTGAGAACGTTTCGATCAACAATAAGGCATATAATTGTAGACAGTTCTACCATAGAGGAATACTTCCTCTTAGGATGATCAAATTTTTTTTTTTATAAATTATATAATTATATCTATAGTGGATATATTTTCAGTGACATCAGAAATAAAGGCTGGTCAGGCCTTTAATGTTCTTGGATTTCTGGCAGGCGGTGTGGCTGTGGTTCTGATAATTCTTTATATTTTCTGTCTAACCAATAAAAAACCAGTTCGGCTTCTTGGTATGATTGCTGCCTTTGTCGCAGGTATAGTTATTTTTTTTTTGTTATTCAAGCTCTGTTAGCAAAGTATGTTCAATCCAACTAATTATCATCCGTATAGCAGTTGATAAAAATAATTTTTAATTGAATTGGAAAACCAATTTTTAGGGTATTTTTTTATTGGGGAAGAAGGGGGTTGTAGTTTGTTAATACGTTTAGTAATGAATATGCTGTATATAACTATAATATGATAGCTTGAGACGTTTGAAGAGACGATGAGAAGAATATTACTAATTTTAACATAAAAAAGCAATTCACTGACAAAGTAGGGAACAGTGGTGATATTTTATTAAAGTGTATGTGAGCATGAGCCCCCCCCCCCCCCCCCCCACCCTCACCCCCACCCCAACATTATTATTCTTCCTAAAATATTACTTTTTTCTTTCAGCTGGCTTAATTCTGATTGGTGTTATCATAATCGGAACCTCTGACTCAGCAAAATCGTTTGTTGTCGGTTGGGCTATGATTTTAGCTATCATCGGAGCAATACTTTATGTGGTTACAGGAGTCATGGTGGTTGTTGACGTAGTTCAAATCTAAATATCTATAATTTTACATCTGGTATACTTTGACTTCATCATTGGCTCACTATGACGTCACAATCTTGAAGTATCGTATTGACGCCTTTTGATTTTTCGTTATTTGTTCTTATCCTTTCAAGGCAGCTATCCAACTGAAACGAGGTTTGAGCTCAGAAAATATTTTTCCGTCCTTTCATATTGTTCTGTTAATATTTTTAGATATATTAAAATATAATTTTATATATAATGAAATCTGTTTTTTTATAAGACGCTCTAATCGGTTTATATCGAGTTAATACTTGTATGCCTGTTCATGTTGAATGGAAATTTCCCTCGAACTGTACTAAAACAGAAATGGGTGTGGCCTTTAGGTTTTGTGATCATTGATCCTGAAGTTGTGTCAGAAAAGTGCTTTCAAGTAAAATGCAGATTTACGTTTAACTTTTTTGTAACTAACTGTCAAATTGCACTGCCTTTATGGCTTAGGCATATTATGACATCCTATACTCGATTTTTCCAACAGGGGATAAAGTGTAGCCACTCAATAACTCACAACCTTAACCCTTTCATAGAGTGCACGAACACAGCTATAGTCTATAATGTTTTGGGTGTATTTGTTTGTCGATTTGGCATCTCTTCAGAGTCGATAGAGTTAATAATGTAACATACTGGTATTCATATTTTGTCATTTTGTCACTCCTTTCAGAGAGTCGGCATAGTTAAAAATATTTATTTGATACGTGAATCATAAATTTGTTTGAATCATGAATTAGCTTGCTCTCTGATTAGCTTGAGCGTGAACAGTGGCGGCGCCAGTCTCCCGAGACTAGGGGTACAAACAGGCGACATAAGTACTTTCTATAGGACAAGTCATTTGTTGTCAGTTACTATCTAGGTTAATATTAAAAATGCGGCAGCTCTCTTGAATCGTATAGATGCAAGCCTTTCATGGACTGTCGGAGAGAGTCGTAGGCCCAAAGAAAAAATTGAATCGATTTGTTTCATTCTGGCATAGCCTATTCATTTTCAAAACTATGTTTTTATCGGAGCAAATATGCCCCCCCCCCCCCCCCCCCCTCCCATATACCCCCACTGGCGCTGTCACTGTGAGTGAAACTATGGTGGTTATGATCGATTTACACTGTCAACACGAATTGTGTCAACGGGTCAATAGTATCTATTTACAGTCTTAAGAACCTTTGTATCATAGTATCATACAAATTTTAATGCTGATATAAAAATGTTGTTATCGGTTGCCATGGGAGTCTGGAATAAATATAAACATGCTATTTAAGTGACTTTCACTTGATACACAAATTTTCATTGTTTTCCGTCCGTTTGTGTGGTCGTAGTTTTATTGCAATTTCATTTTAAAATTATTAGCATGGGATTTTAAGATAGTTCCTTATTTGCCAAAATTTCTATCGGATTAGGTGGATTCGCCCTCTTATTTGATCTGATAGGATTGGCTGCACCATACTGGCTGACAGGAACCAACTTTAATGGCTATCTTTTTCAAATTTGTAGTTCGAACTATTTTGGAAATTCTTGCTTTTCCATCAACAATGGTATGTCTTGTATTTTCTTTTTTAATTCTTCTTTGGAAAATCATCAAATACAAATGGAAAGAATTGAAATTGTGATTGATCTTGGACCATTAGTCTAAGACCATAATATTTGGACCCTATTTTGATAGAGATATGAGACTTGAGATGAGGGGTGCATCATCTTTTTTATAAAGATTTATGTGCGAGATTTGTGCTAAAATGGTGGCCAAATTGAACATTTACTTTGTTTCATTTTAAAGGGATTTTAAAGATAAAACCTCTACTTTTTATCCATATATGTATTAGTATTTTCATTTTCATTAATTAATATTTGAACCCATCTTTAAAGATATGAGGACAAAAAATTGTGAGCTTTCATACTTACTGATTAATCCTGAAATGAAAAAATCTGTGTTATCGGTCTCATCAAACTTTGACCAATGTTTCGTTCGGTTTTTTTATTTGGTTTTTATTTTCAATTTAGCCACAACTACATTTAAAATGAAAATGAAATAAAAACGGAACGTAAGTTTAGTCGAATTTCAATAAGACTGACCAATATAATATGGCAAGATCTCATCCTTATGTTTGCTGAAGGCTATAAAATCCTTATCAAAGATAGCTAGGTTTGACAACGAGCCTTCATAAAATTCAGTTGTGAGCACAGTAAACTAACTTATTGAGCAAAATTTCAGCTGACAAACTTATCGCAGAATGGCATCGGGTGTCCTCACTGGGTACATATCAAAATATACAGTTTCTATAGATACCGGTATAATAAAGACATATATCTTGGGTCAATATTGAATGACCATCACAAGAACATTTTATTGTCCTCTAAGTGCGATAAATCAATCCAACAAACTAGATACTAAACCTTTCCCTCTCTTTAACTTGAAATTTGTAACAAAATCGCCCCCCTTATAGATATACAGGTCTATAAATTTTTGTAAACATTAAACAGCCAAACATTTCCTTTCACTGAGTTCAAAATTTGTTACCATAACATTCAATTTTATACTATATATAGACATTTCACAATATGCAAAGTAAATCTGCATGATTATCCCTCTCTAGGACATCAGCAGAAATATGGTGTCACATTGCATATTCGGCTATAAACCAAAATATCTTCCTCTATTCCAGGTAATCAATATATTGGAAAACTTATTACATAAATCGTCATTAATTACGGTGGCTCACATATACGGTGGCTCACATACGACATTTTCCACTTTTTATTGTGAATTAAAAACATTAATTTTCACCCAGGTGATAATTATTTTCACCTAGGTGAAAATTAGGCAATAGTTTCTGTAATTTTGAATTAAAAACTTTAATTTTCACCTTGGTGATAATTATTTTCACCTAGGTCAAAATTAGGTGATAATTCCTGTAATTTTTAATTAAAGACTTTAATTTTCACCAAGGGGATAATTGAAGAATTTTTAATTAAATACATTTTTTACAAGATTCGTTGTATTATCACCTAGGTGGAAATTATTTTAAGGTATAATTTACCTTTTTGATAATGTAAACTTTTTTATTACTAAAGAGCGGAATGACCCTTTAGGTTGCATCCATCAGCTTAAATTAACTGTTAACAATGAACTACTGTTGATCATTACGTTTCAGCTATTTGTGTTATCACAAATTGAGCGATACACATCGGCGTTTCTTTTATGAAAATAATTCGATGAGTAAAAACTCATTAAAAATGCAATAACTATATTGAATATATAAACTCTTTATATTGACAAACATGAGAAGTCGATAGCTCAATAATCTGAATTGTATTCATTTGGTGCATTCTAGCACAAAAAACGTATAAAAATCATATTTTTCTTAGGGGGAGGGGTGGTGTGCCAATGCGACTACTAAATACCTCTACTAGTCAGGCAGTTATAATCTCTCGCTTACCTGAAGGTCCAGGGTTCAATCCCGACATAGGTCGAGATAATACCTTCGGATTTTTATACCCTGTTTCCCCTTGTCAGTGATGCAGGTAAGAGGGACTGACATGGAAAAAGCATCTTTTCGTTTGGATGGGACAATAAACCCAGGCCCGTGTGCTACAGGCTGTGTACGTTAAAGATCCTTCGACAGTTAGAAATCGAAAAAGAGCCGGCTAGTGCCTCTGTCTTGCCGAACCATGCCTTTTAATGGTCACCTAGACTTCCACACGACCAAGATAGATAGTGCTATTTAGCCGATTGCGATTTCCATTTCAGCAACATCCGACTTGGCGGCTGCTCAAGCTATGAGTGTAATCGGGTTTCTGGTTGGAATTTCGGCTGTTGTTTTGATTGTGCTGTTTGTGGTGATGAATAAACCTGTTTTAAGATTAGTCGGTTTAATTGCCAGCTTCGTAGCAGGTAAGTTAACACATCATTTGTATCGATGGATCACTCTAAAATTAGAGGTTGGTGTCCGAAGCATCACCAATAAACACCGTTCATTCATTCAATCATTCAGCGCCAATTTCTGCGAACTGCAGGTAAGCCAAAAAGGTGTCTTACGCCACCATAAAGAAATTATGATTAAGATATAAGATGGATAAAACTGAGTCTCTGTGATATTTGCAATCAATAAATCAATAAAATCAATATGACTCAACCTGACGTACTCACAAGCACTTCACAATGTCAAGCTATACTATTACGAACTGCGTCTAATATTTTGACTGCTAGTGTAGGCCTACAATCCAACAAAATCTCTGCTACAAACTATCGTGATACAAAAAAATATTTTGTACTCAAGTTCGTTATATTTCTCAAGACAAAGTTGGCATTTAACCATTATAATGTGTGACACGCATAGCGACCAGTGATCGACTTGATATTCGCGTGTCCGCAGAACAAGACGTGCTATAGATAGTTTAGATTTGAAAGGATTCTCTCCAAAAAAAATTCGAAAATTGAATTGATTTGGTGCATTCTGACACATATCTTGAGGCAACAACGTATAAATATCATATTTATTAATTTGTTAAAAATAAAGTGGAGGTACAATTGGAGGTGCAAACTAGTACCCCCACTAGTGTCGCCACTGAACTTGAATTGTGCAGTCTCTGATTTCCCTGGTGACCATTTTTGGAATCTTAATCTAATCTAATCACGCGCATTTTCACAATATCAGACCATTAGGAACTTCGTCTTATAACTTAACATTTCTTGTATCACGAAATGAAGCAATTTGATTGAATTGTATGCCAGCGAATACAGCAAATCAGAGCCCTCGACAGAAATACTGTAAACACTATAGCTCATTGCTCACAAGTTTTCTGTCGAGACCTCTCATTGGCTGTATGCGCTAGCGTACAATCCATTCAAATCCCTGCACTTACAAACTTTTGTGACTTGCAAAAGATGGCTATTACTGTCAAGGTACATGCATGTATATGAAGACGTTCGTGAAGATGAGGTTCACGAACCTATTTGATGTCTAAACTTAATACAGGGTATAAATTTAAAGGATTGTTCAAAAAAGATTAAAGTATGGAGCGAGCAGATTCAAAATAACTAATAGGTCAAACATAGCACACCCATGCATACAATACAAATCTTACGTTCAAAAATTCATGTCGTAAAGCTGTAATTTAACACTTAAATTGTTCATGATTTTATATCTTTTTTTTCTTTTTTGACAGGGGCACCTTGAATTTGTGAATTATTTGAATTGATCTTTGTACAAATAGGTAACTAAAGGGATAATAGAGAAGGGACGATACGCTGAAACTATTTTTTACTTATGGTCTGAAGCTTATCTTTTGAATATTTTTATATTATTTTTAGCTGCTTGATTCAAAATTGAATAATTTCTCGCTAATAGTATACATTATTTAGACAATTTTAAAATTTTCCTTATAGGGATTGACAAGAAATTTTCTAAACTTGTTTTGCGTATGGGGAACATTGATAGTATTGATTTGCACGATTCGAATTTTTGGTCAGACGTCTGTAGGCCTTGCATTCTTACTAAAACTTGTAGAAGCATTTGCAAACTGATAGAAACGACAGACATCTGACAAAAATTTGAATGATGCAAATAGAAGAAATAAATGGCCCCGTACACATAAATAAAAAGCTCGAACACCACTTTAAAACTCCCATTAATGTGGATATTAGGCCTATTGATGTCATATTACCTGGAATACGATCAACAAGGATTGTCTTGGTTTGAAAGCTTGACCTATAAACATGTATTGCGTTTTTTATTTTTTTTTTTTTTTGCATTTTTATCGATTGAGACTCTGAATAAGACACGCCTTGAAATAATTCTATTGGCAGACAATATGTTCCCGCCAATTTTTTTTCAACATACAGCACGATGTTCCTTAACAACCAAACAATGCTGTTGCGCTTGTTTACAGCATTAAATAGTTTCAAGAGGTTAGAATTGTAAATTCCTTGACATTGTCCGAAACGTACTGACTATTCTAAACACTTGTTTGTGATAATTCTTGATAAGCCAACGACTGGCGACTTTGATTTCTGAAATTCATTTCCTTTGTTAATTTAATAATATTTAAAGAAAATTAACGAAACCATTATCTATGCTTTAAAATGTTTATTTTTACATAACAATTTTCCTTGTTATGTTTTATGATAATAAACAACTATCAGGTTCTGGATAAGATTGTTTCAGACCACAAGAAAATTATGAATGGTTTCTAAGAAATTCTCGGCAAAACTTGTTTTAATGGCTTCCAAGAAATTTGCCGCAAATAAGGAGCTTTATTGAACAAATAGGATTTTTCCCAGAAACATTGCCAAATAAGGATGTGTTCTAGATAACTGGTTAAGTCATGAATTTACGTGAGTGTTCAGGTTTTTTCTTGTAATTGTCAAGTTTACACTCGCAGATAGCGTCAGTAGGGCTTACATTAGATATGTTTAAAAAATACACGTATATCACTTTCTTTCTACATTTCTGCAATTAAGCTTAAAAAAATATATATCAATTTATCACAATAACAATATTTCAATATTCTTAGATATAAAAAATACGTAAATTATTATAATAATTAATAAACCTGTTACCCTTGTAAATTAATATTTTATGCAACATGTAAATTACTAATGTCCAGTGTAGAATACAATATACTTAATTGCTTAATACACTTTTCAAGTCAGGATTTTTCATAAAGAATCAAAGCTATTTTCATAATATTTTGACCTCATATTTTTAGGGATATTAGACATATTTTCCTTTAATTACAGCTTCATAGGTCGAACAATTTTGGACTTATAGCGTTTTTTTAAAAAATCCGTCTGCATTCCTTTTTTCCATGATTAGATATTGCCTGTCCTGTTTGTTCATTTTATATTTTGTTCCATTTCCCCCAGCTTATCTCCATTGTAAATTTTGTCAGCTAGATAAACCACCTAGCAATCCATTTGATTGCAATCAGGAGTTTGGGTTGGTCTTTCATCTGTTGTATTGTCGTCCTCTTTTGGTATTTGTTCAATGAAAGAGGAGAAAATTACTTTAGGCATTATATTTTTGAATAAGGAATTTAAGAAGGCTGGTTTTTCCACATGATTCAACCTATAAAGCTGTAATTTGGCTAAAAGGTGTCTGGTATCCATATAAATATTAGGTTTAATAATTATGATCGTAGCTTTGATTCTATATAAAAAATCCTTAAATGAAAATTGTTATCGTGTTTTTTGGTCCACCCGATATACATATATACAAATTACAATAAAAATTAACAATTAATAATTAAAAATATTATAGATAACAAGGGCTACAACCTGAATCCAATAATTTAACTTATTATTAGTTTATTCATTCCGTTACATTTATACGAAAAGTTATTTGGTGTCGTTTAAAATGAAAAAAAAATGACTAAATAATGTTATTCATACTAAGCTTAATAGGCCTACTTGTATTTCATTTCTAGGAAAGTCATGCATATATGTTATTTTCCTATAATACAAACAACTGATAGGCTGAATAAATTATAGTTAAAAAGGAGGTTATACTATTGGGAAAAATAGACGCATTCTCATTCACGCTTATTGTGTAACTAGTGGCGGATCTTCATCTCTTAACGATAAAGGTCGGGTGTTGTTGACGATGGTAAAGCAGGACCAGAAATAACAAGTGGCATTAAATGGAAGACTTACTCAGTGATCCCTGACCTCTCTAAATATTATGTAAAAGGGGTTATAAAGAGGTTTAACAGAAGCGAAGTGAACCATTCCAGAGTCAGACGTTTGTACTTCTTGCAATTCCACTTAAATTCCACTTAGAATTAGACTCTTAAAATATGCGTTTATGACATCAAAGTCGTTATGAAAATTGGAATGGTGTAAATTGATGATACAGTGTCCCCGATATACACAAATAGTTACAATCCTTTTGACATTCCAGTTTCTTACTGAAAAGTTTTCAAATTTAGTAAACAGCTAGGTAGAATAGCACCCCCGAGAATGACGGGTTGTATTAAAGGGAGATAACTCCAATTTAGTAAACAAGGTTTGATATAGAATTCAGACAACAAATCATTGTAGATTAAACTCAACTAAAATGATAACCCAGTTAGTATAGTGCATGAGTCCAGGGCAATTAGTTTGATTATCACATTATAAATTATTAATTACAAACTTCATCTTCATTTCATCCACATCCTCGTCCACGTTCTCGTCATATTTCCATTTTCCCTTTCTCATCATTAGTAATTTAAATATAGAAATATTACAACAGAACTTAAGTTACTTAACATATTTTCTGTTTTGGTGTTTCTATATTTCTCTACAATTGATGTATTGAGTATTATTTTAACAGTGAAAATATTGTATTGTAATTTAAATATATATTCATTTCATTTCAGCTGGTTTCATTTTGATCGGTGTGATAGTTGTTGGAGATTTTAATAATGGTTTTTATGATGTGGGATGGGCCATGATAATGGCGATTCTAGGTGGCTTGCTGTATGTTGGAACTGGGATCGTTCTAGTTGTAGACTTGGTGAAGAAATAAAGAATGAAGCATCTATGTAGTGTTGTTTTAAGAGGGATAAAGTGATATAGTTCAGGGCCGTAACTAGGTTTCATAGGCGTAAGAGCCAAATGTCTGTTGGAGGAGGGGTTGGCAGGCTGGTATGCCCGAAATTTTCCCAGTAAATTTACGTGTAGTTTTCTTTGTTTTCGGGTTGTTGGCTAATATTTTTTCGGACGCTGCCCGAATAGATCATAGTTTTTTTCAGAGAGGGGGGTGGGTGGTTCGTTTCCTTTTCAAACATTTGACTTATAAAGTCGAGGAAGAGATTCATAATGGCTGTGAACTACGTTCGTGCATGTTATTTCTAAGAACCATACGTAGTTTTGTATGTATTCTAAGTTGATAAATTAGATTGTAAACGAATTGACATTGATATTGATATTCCTACTGAAAAGTATTACGGTAAACTGAAATTGAGTGAAGACTATATTCCTTTCAACTCGAGACACTTTCCTTTCTCTGTGTCTTTATACTGCCATATGATAATATATTCAATGATTTGCAAATTGCAAGACGTTTCGACAATGATACTCTAAATTTCAAAAGATGCCTCAATCGAAACACCGAAATTCATAAGTATAATTGTCGAAACGTCGTAAGTTATTGTCATTGAATGAGTGTAGTCTCCACAGCCATCTGTTTCTATCAATAGTCGACTCTCTCTTGCAAAGATGTATGCTATAGAGCCAAACCTCAACTCCAGTATCAGCACTACACTGATGAGGCCCAGGAGGCCTGTTTGCAGTTAAATATGCTCCCTGGCTCTTACCTTGATGTGTACTCTATCTGGAGTGTACCATTGTCGTTAGCCTGTATGCGTAACTCACTAGCTTGATAGTTTGAGCACTCTGGCATGGTACGATGATACCACATAATATGCGGGATCATCTGAGGTGGCTATATAGTCAAACCTCAACCCCAGTATCAGCACTGCACCGATGGGGCCCAGAAGGCCGAAACAGTCCTGTTTGCAGTATCGGATTTCAGTTAAACCAAATATCGCAATTTTTTATCGGCAGAAATTCTTTATAATCCCAAGCTCTAATTGGAATTCCAAGTGTCGTCTGCTAGAATATATGCCAGTGAACAAAGTCACAAGGATTCCATGTCAGCAGAAAAATTCTATGGAACACGATGTGGATCATATTCTTATATTGTTTCAATGAATTTTAGCAATAAATCACTCTTACGTTTTACTTAACTTATTTCGTCAGTCACTATTTTTTTTAAATTATTTTTCTTTGAAGGAATTGTCATTAGTTATAGTTTTATAATACGTATGCATCATCTTGGCCTATTCAGAAATATTAAAACAAAACCTAAAATATGTTGTAACGACTTTCACCATGTGCAATCTTAAGACAATTGGCTTATTTCAGCCTGCGTCCCTACTGTCTCAGCGTTGGACATGTAGAACATATTCTCGAAACTACATTCAGAGGCAAGATCGGAACTTTTGTTGAAAGACGTGTACTTAGGTGCATTAATGATGGAAAGCTTTCCAGTTAAACACAGGTTACATCGTTTGGTTTTAGTATACGCCCACATCATTATGTCGTCGTATATTGTGGTCGTCGTTCACTTGAGACCACACTAGAGACTACAGTTTTCATCCGATTTAAATGAAATTTGGTGTGATCATTAATATGGATGAGATCTTGGACACGTTCTGACAATCTTCGATGAACGTTTTCTGAGTTATTGGCCTTGACTTAGAAAAAACACGTCAAAATTTGTTTGACAGTTTTCATCTGATTTGAATGAAATTTGGTGTGATCATTTATAATGATGAGATCTTGGACAAGTTCGAATTTGGCTATTTCTAGATAAGCGGTTTTTGAGTATATTATATTTTTACTTGGAATTAACCATTTAGTGGATAGATAAGAGTGAGCAAGTTTCTAGCTAGGAAACGATTGTCAACAGTAACTATAGCTAGAAGATAACAACCGTTGCCAATAACTAAACCATATTCACAATATCAAGCTATTACTTATGGATGACGTAATAGTAGGCTAAGAGTCAAAAGTGGCTTTTAGAGACTGTGTTACCGGTAAGAGTCAAAAATAGTTGTCATACACTAGGTAGCGTTCTGCAACATATCACGGAAATGAATTGCCGTTTATATTTACCGGAAAATGAAATGAAATGAAAGGAGTTTTACGTCCTACTATTGAAGTGCTATGTCATTATTGTCCAATCTGCTAATTTAAATATTAGAGGCTGGTCGGTCAGGACTACAAGTCTTTGTAATATAAGTCAATGAAAACAAAAACTTCGTAAGATATGTGTTCAAACTGATAATAAAATGTATCATTAGATAACCAATAGTCAATAGTGTCAGAATTATCTCTGAAAGTATCTAAATTTAAGGACTATATTTTGGTCGTAATAGCCTATTACTTTCACTTGACAAATCGCTGCTAAATACCGGAAATATAGAGTCTCTTACCATTCATTACCGAGTCAGATTCAGCTAACGGAAACTATCGAGTATTGCCGAATGTGGCTGTATATACTGATTTAGATTTAACACGAGGGGCATGAATATATACTTCTCAATTCAAGTCTGTTTCAATGACTTTTGTCGACTGGTTATAATTATAAATTATTTTTTGCACTGTTATTTTTTTACCGCGAGTAGAACCAGACGCTCCAGTTTTATCAACAGTAGCTTAGTCTTGTGTATCACAATGAGAGGTTTGGATACTTCTATGTTTATGATAGGCGCACTGGCATTTGGAATAATCGCCTTCGGATTTGATTTAGTTGGGATTTCTTTGCCGGGTTGGGTACAATCCAGATATTTATGGAAATCTTGCTCTGCAGGTGGTTGTACCTTCATCTCATTTAAGGATTGTAAGTACATATATATCAATATATTTATTGGTTTAAATATAGATTTGTTTCCTCATAAGCCGAATTTTTTCTATGGTTACTACAATTTTGTATTACCGGAAAATTACAGGATGATAGTCCAACTATTAACAAAATCCTAAATTACAAAAGGAATTACCACAAACCTCCCAACCATGCCCCATTTTGGAAAGTTTTTTCTTTAAACATCTTATTTTGTTACCTTATCTCAAAGACAATTTTCAGAATGGTACGATTAACCCAATTATATAGGTGAAGAATGGTAAGACGTTAAACGGAAATGGAACGAAATGATGTTTAACGTTAGGGTTATGAATTACTGAGTATGTTTTCATTTATTTTCAGTGCCATCTGACATCAAGGCTGGTCTGGCCTTTAATGTTCTGGGATTTCTGGCAGGCGGTGCCGCTGTGTTGGTGATAATTCTCTATATTTTCTGTCTAAGAAATAACAATATAGTTCGAGTTGTCGGTATGATTACAGCCTTTGTCGCAGGTAGTTAGTTGGGTTTTTTTATTTGTTTTTTATTTGTTTTTTTTTTTTTTTTTGTTAAGTAAAATCATTTTCCACCACCTTCCTTCTGAATTTTATGTAAGTTGAGAACTACGGTGGTTCACATACGACATATTTCACTTTTAATTTTGAATTGAAACAAGGTGAACATTAATTTTGAATTAAAACCTTGGTGAAAATAATTATCACCCAGGTGAAAATTAAAGTTTTTAATTCATAAGTGAAATTTGTTATATGTGAGAACAGAGTATATTTTAAACTAGACATTCCATAAGAATTTTTTTAGAGATTACATAATCTAAAATTTGATTTTAAAGATTGGAAAATAACAGAATAAAGTCGCCCAAGCTCATTTTAAGTTAGTCCGAAACACTTAGCTCTATTTCAGCATTTGATCGCAAGGCAGTTGATAGTTGTTGAATATGATCAGAAAAACTTGGACCTGTTTGTAGGGTATTTTCCTCTAATCCACCAAACTCTGATATATTCGGAAAGATGGATATTTTTGTAGTTCAATACTCTTCCACTACGTCATTTAACGTCTGCGATTCCATAAAACCTTGTTTTTGACAAAACTAATCTAACGTGATACTGACAAAACCCGAATAGGTAAGATGCGCATAGTTTTGTGCGTATCGGAAGACGATGAACTATGAAAAGAATATCATTACCATTTTAAAACTTGAAATTTTTCAGCTGGCTTAATTATGGTTGGTGTTATCATAATTGGAACCTCTGATGAGGTAAAAAGAGGAGCCAAGGTCGGTACGCCTATGATTTTAGCTATCATCGGAGCAGTATGTTATATAGTCACAGGAGTCTTGGTGGCCCTTCATTACGAACGTTAATTACAACTTTCTGGAAATAGAGAACTGTTTTCGTTTTCTAGCCGTTTAAACGCTTCGTGGCGTAAGTTATATTTTGTACTGGTTTAACGTCATTTGTCTACATTTATAATATATTAACGTTATAACGTGACGTAGTGTATAGTGTATAGGGGTTGAGATATCTGAAATATAGGCCTAGAAGTTTCTCTGATCCATCTTAATAGGTCGCTAGTTTTTGAGAATTGTTATATTTATCTGAGTCATATATGGGACAAAAAATCCTGGATGTTCTTGCTAAAGAAATCAATGCATGACGTTTAATGCATAAAGTCTGAATTGAACTGATCTACTTCTTTCCATTCAATAAATTCAATACATAAACTACACCAGTAATAGGCCTTCTTTTATTCTTTGTGAATAAAAGAGTATTTTATTCACAAAGAGAAACTTGTCATACATGCACGCCTGTAAACTATACTTTGGAGAATTCAAATCCCCCATTTTTCAACTCACTATTCAAAACTTATATATTGTTATTCAAATTAATTTTTTTTTATCAAATCACGCTTATGAATAGTTGACTTGCAAAAGGCTTGTTTTGTAAGCTTGACCTTTATTTTGTGTTTTGTGAACTTTTATTGAATGATATTCTGAAATAATATTCCTTAGCAACAAAACAATGCAGATTCCAAATCGCTATTAAACATTGTAATTACAATATGTAAATTCCAAATCGCTATTAAACATTGTAATTGTAAAGTATGCAAGCCCCCACCCCCTGAAAATTAGATGACTTGAATGACTTGATGAGTCGCTATGGTTGAGCCCCTTTAAAAAATGTTGACACCCCTGAGACTCCGGGCTATAGCTATATGGGCCTGTCATCGTGCACTGTACTCGTTGCCTGTTTTTATTTACTCCATAAGGAGTAGACAAATGGGACGTTTCCATTTCACTGTATAATTCAGGTGCAGAAAAGTTGGATATAAATTATGTGATCTTTATTTTATAAATCATTTCAAAGAAAGTCAATATGAAAAGTTAGATCAAAGGGCCTAATACGTTAAGTCACAAAGGGCTGGAAGCCGGATGTATTTACAGACCTATGCCAATCATATCATGTCAAAGCGAAAAAATCAAAAGGTAGACGTGAACTAGGTTTCATTCAGGATATTAATCAGACGTAAAATTAAATCATTAGCCATTCTGGATCATTCAGGGATAACTAAATCAATAAGATAAATTAGACATATGTTATGAGTCCAATAGCCATCCTGGATGATTCAGGATGGAAAGAAATAAAAAAGCCGGTTGTCCATGGATTTTTTTTAGCCGAGTACTGAACCCGCCAAGGTAGCATCCCGTAATCCCTCCAGCCAAAATTTCTATCACCTCATACAACATGGAGTTGTCTCACTTCCTAAGTCCCATTAGGTGAACACTATGTATTCAAATTGTATCCATCACATAAAAGGTGGGTGTATTCAAGGTAACTAACTCCAATTGAGTGAAGACGGTTTGATATATCATAATTCAGACCACAAAACATTTTACAATAAACTCGCCCGAAGTGAATTCAGCCCGGGCGTTAGGGTAGGGTCCTTGGGGGCTGGGTCCCAGTAAGTAAGAATTAAGCCCCAGTAAAACCCTCTTCAGTTCTACAGAGATTGATTCATTTACAGTGTCTTTGTAAAAGATCAAAAAGATATAATTTTGTCACCTAAAAATTGTCAGAAATGAGTTCTGTGGGCCTATAATTTTTCAAATTTTCTGAATACAAAATATGAGCCCCAGCACCTATTCATTCCTGAGGACGGGGTTGAGTGAATTTTTAATAGATATGTTTTACAAAGTTTTTAATTTTAATAACATACACTTGTATTCTCAAACGACCAGAACACGTGACAAACAATGGCTGCCATTAGCCACTTCTCTCAAATAACGACGTCCACAGTAGACTTTCCTTTAAGACCCAACAAATAAAGATATTATAGCAAATTGTTTATGTTTATGGCATTTTATTTTGAACAATGTCGACTACCAGCAAGATCCCTGTAGTTACATAGAGAACAGCTCCAATGATAGCCAAAATCATGGCCGAACCCACATCGAGACCTTGGTTTGAATCGGAGGTTCCTATTATAATGATACCAACAAGTATAAAGCCACCTGAAAATAAATTTTAGAACTTATCAGTGCTATAGTCTACACGTGGAAAGGAGTCGTCTATAGTTGGTAATCGAAAGATAGTGGACCACAGCCATATACGCCCACCACGGCATGCGGATGGTAAATATTCAAGGACAATGACTCTGCTTCTAATGGTCGAAAATAGCTCAAATTCGAACTTGATCTTCGTTTTAAGAATATATATACACATACCGTATTTCATTTGATTCCATCAAAAAATCTAGTTTTTAGAGCGTTTACATGCAAATGTTGACGGACGGACGGACCGACCACACATAGAGAGATGTGGGCGTATAAAAAACATATAGACTTAAGGAACGGTCGTGGTTAATATTTTCCTTTTGGTTGTCCGCCTTCATTAGCCTATAGTTATAGATCCTATAGAATTTAGCCCCCATTTGCATGTGACATGTGTTGTTAGAGTCAGCGAGCCAGGGCAAGCTCATGAACAACTGATATCACTGTGCGACAACTCGCCAGAAAGTATCCGTTGCTACTGTTGATTATTATACTATTAAACTAACTACCTGCTAGAAAGGCTGCAATCATACCAAAAAGTCGAACTATATTTTTATTGTTTAGACAGAAAATATAGAGAATTATCAGCAACACAGCGGCACCACCTGCCAGAAATCCCAGAACATTAAAGGCCTGGCCCGCCTGTATTATTTGTGTTTCTAAAAAATATAAATGGAATTCTCAACATAATAAGGGGTGAAGGGATATAGTCGTTTAAATATTTGCTGCCACGGGAAACATAGCTTACAGATAGCTGTACTGTTTCTTTAAAGATCCTACAATATAGCGTCCTGTAAGTGACAGCAGTTGAAACTTCTATGGCAAGCGTTTTGTTACTTATAGGAAAACCGGACGTTGGTTTTTATAGTGTTACGATTGTTTAAAGATGTAGCTCTGGAGATAGTTTGACAGATGTTACCAGCCGATCTCAGAGTACATTGTACAGAAAAAAAATTTAACTTACCGTATTTATATCTTCCGCAAATATTAACAATACATATTTCCCAGAGTCCGATTTTACTGAATTCCGAACTCATCCACATAGTCAAAGAAATGGCGACCGCATGAAAAAACAACGCCAATAGTGATACAATCACTGATATTTTCAACACAATGGATATTATTGACTCGGCGTCAGAAATTTTTGAAGTTTTGTCAAATCTTTGATTTACAGAATTAGATTTCAAGGACGTCATTTCAAAGTTATTTTGGTGTTTATCATTTTGGCTGCTTGGTGTTATTTTTGATTTTCTTAAAGTCGATGATTCCTTGGAGATATCTGGAAAAAAACAATATTCAATTTTATTGTGATTGTCGGAACAGGTGCCAGATTCGACGATTGTTCCCTGATACCATCACAGGATTGTTAGCAATGAGCACTGTCCCTCGACGGAAAAGGCATGTTTTTTTTCTCATGCGCGGGTGCCGTTATTGAGACATTGCATTAACATTTTAGAACACCTGAGACCACTTTTCTTCTGTGCTTGTAAACTCAATCAGATTCCACATAACACAGGTAATTCATTTCTTCTTGACTGTGGCCGATCAAGTTTGAGTGTGTGAACAGAATGAAATGAATGGAGTTTTACGCTCGACAATCTTGCACCTCATTGAAGCACACTACTCATATGTTCTGACCACAAAAAAGTGCCATTCTGTCAAGAAATATCTGTTAGTTGGTTGGTTAACATTCTATCAATCAATATCATTAAATATAGTAGGACGCGATGATTTCCAGTGATTGTCCGTTCAGCAATATCTATTAGCTTGTTGGACGCGATGATTTCCAGTGATTATCCGTCCATGCAGCAATATCTATTAGCTTGTTGGACCCAATGATTTCCAGTGATTATCCGTCCAGCAATATCTACTAACTAGTTGGGCGCGATTATCCGTGATTAACATTCTGTCAAGCAATACAAATAGCTAGTTGGACGCGATGATTTCCAATAATTATCTGCACTTAACATTCTGTCTAGCAATATCTACGACAGGATTATTTTCAATGACTATTTGTACTTACTATTAAACCTTTTCAGTCTGGCTAGACCCCGTACCTCCTTTAGATCAGTCTGTAGAATGTACGAATCTCTGCGATGATTGCCAGGAACTCTTATTCCAGTAGTTTTCAGTGGAATCACTTTGGTCTCGGATGACTTGCCCATCTTGATCAGACCAACATCCCGAGATGATGAAGTTGAATCCCCTTTTTCGAACAAATTCCTGGTTTTTAAAAGCCTGGGTTTCGACTGATTGTCATTGGTCGACATCATCTTTAGCTCTGACTATAGTCCTAAATAGAGATTTTGTTCCCATTGATTATAAATTGATACAACATTATATGATCATTGATAGGACTGTTCATGATAATGATCGATAGACAGTTGTGAGATTGAAAAGAGTAACCTTATGGCATTAGTCTTTGCAAGCATCGCCCGTCTTGTATGAGACAGAATTTCATTTGTTTGAAGATTTGTTATTGTTCACAGACATCGTTAACTTAAAGATGAATATGAAAACTCGTGGACAAATATATGGGGTAAAGGTAGACAGACCTTGATCATAAGAAGGATGCTGAAAAGGGTCGATGATTTTTTTAAAAGGTATTCTTACCGTTTTGGAAACGTTTGTTTTAAGATGTTTGATGTTCCTCAGTCCCGTCTCATTATATAAAAATGACCAAATATCCCGAAATCTGAGATTCTAAAAGAACATTAGCTGTTGTCGACGGGTGTTTCTTTATGAAGGACGCGTGACCAAACGCAATCCAAAATGCCCAAAACAAATCCATAAAATAATCGCATTGTTAAATATTCAATATCTATTTAGGAGAGTTTAAGGGACAGAGAGATTATTTAGACATTAACATACTTTCAAGTATTTTATCGTGTGTATTTAATGTATTTTATTATGTGTATTTAATGTTTTCTATTTATTGGACTATTGTTATCGAACAAAGCATGACACAATCGACCTTAAGTTATAAAATTTCCCTTTAGAAATTGGTCAACATTTGTATAATTCCTTATAACACTAAATCTATTTAAAGCATAGGTGTTCACAGGCACAGAAAGTACAGTGGTCTGGAGGGGGGAGGGGGCAGTATTTCCCGCACTGCACGATTGTATAATTTCGGGTTCTAATCATGTTAACCATTTTCGCCTACTTGTGTACTCTTGTATTGGAATATTAACCACGTCCGTAGCTACAGGGAGGCGGAGGGGGACTAATGAATTTCTCCCCTGAAAAAATTCTGACATTCGACCAATTCCATTACGGCAAATATACACCATACATTATTTGCCCCTTCGGATATTACTTGTTTCTAATTCTAATCCATGTTTCCGCAATATAAACTGAGCTCTCTATTTTGCGTATCATCATTAATATATTCATAATGTTACAATTGAAGGGAATTGGTCATTTAATTATTCACTTAAAAAATAGATAGATTTTATAGCAAAGGTTAAAAAATTTCGCACTGTCAAGTCATTACGAATTTTGTCTTGTTTCACGGAATGCAGATTTTTTGATTGTATTGTACGCTAGTGAATACAGCTAATCAGGAGGAATTAAAGGCTAAGTGTCTACAGACTTTATGTCGGACCTCTGATTGGGACCTCTGATTGGCTGTATTCGGTAGTGTACAATCAGAGGTGGATTAACCTGCAAACTAGGCAGCTGCCTTTCGGCCCATGGAAAATTCGGCCCATTACAAATTTTGTAACAGTAAAAATTATCAAACAGTTAATAAATTTCCGCAGGCCCATCTAAATTTGTCCTACTAGGAGCGTGATGTGTGAAAATCAACTAAATTGTTTGAGTCTAATGGTGATGATATCGTGCATACGATTGATGCTGATGAGCTGATTGATCTGTTCCTGAAAAAAAAGATCGCAAACTTCCTGCCATAAAATTGTAATCACACCATGCCCCCTCCATAAAATGAGAAATTAGGCCCTCTACCGTTCGTTTGCCTACGGCCCAACAAGTCCAAAATCCGTCACTGTGTACAATCCAACAAAATCGCTGCATTTTAAGTTAAAGAATTAGACGGCTATATCCCTTTATTACACAAAATATCAAAAAACATAAGAACATACATTTAAAGAACCAGTACAATACAAGGGGAACTGGAAAATATACAAAATATTTATGTCATAAATCCCAAGCATATTTCAGTGGGTTTAACAGGCGGTCACATAATTGGAGGCCAATAGCAATTGCTTGCCTCCGTTGGAGAAAGCGGCCACCAAGCAATAAACCTTTCGTTTAGCCTATGGAATGTGGTACAATATGGAAAATTGAATGTGCATGAAACAAAGAATTCCCAGAAATCGTGTGTCTCCTGAAGAAATAAGCTGTGCACAGAAACCAAAATATATCATTAGTTTTTCTTGGGGGTTTTTTGGAAGGGGGTGGGGGAGGACTTCACAAGATATCAATCTAAGTGCTGATCTTGACGGGATCGTACAGAGGTTTTCTAAAGTTTTTATGTGTATCGGGGACACATATTTCATCTATTTGCACCAAACCCATCAATTTCCAACCAGTTCCTGCAATTTCACTAAAATACGTGTTTATGGCGTCATCATTATGCAAATTGATGCTATCAATGTCCGATATACATGAAAAAAAAATTCAGAAAACATCTTTACAATCCCCTTAACTTTGAATACTGTATTTGAGAAAAATATCATCATCCACAAAATCTTCTAAATAAGCGTTCGCTAAAAATCTGAAAATACAAAATAATATAGTAGTTATGAGATGTTAAGACACAATTTGACCATAATGTCACCTACCGGAACATCCAAGGAACTTAAGTTTCACTTAACTTGCACAATTCTACTTCGCTTATGGTTCAACCACATCTGTTTTTAGAATGAAAATCAAAAGTATGAACTGACTGACGGCATGGAGAGACTTTGACGAATGTATCTCTTAAGGACCTGATTTCCTACCGGGAGCAATTACTCTCTATGGGTACTAGCATACACAACAGGTGTACCTTAAATGCTTATTCGGCCGTCCCTGTCGACTGTGCAAGCAATTTGATTTACCTCGGTCCAATCCAATCAAATCGCTGCATACCGTGATACAAGAAAGGTGACAGTTGCAGTCAAGGTATAAAACGAATTTCGTAACAACTTGACATTGTGAAAATGGCTTTTGTATGGTCAACAAGGTGTGTCTCTATGTAAAAATGAGTACAAAGGGTCCAAAAGTTTGAAAATCAGGGGTTTAAAACATGAAAATATGAAAAGATTACTTACAGACACGAGTGACAATACAGGAGAAAAACAAAACATTCAGAAGCTTCGTGTACAGCCACAAAAACACTAAATTTAAGCTTTCACAGAGTCGAGATAATGAAGCATTCAAAAGCTTTCTAAACAGCAAAAGATGAATTGTACTAGTAAAGAGGCAAGGACCATACCATGTGGTATTATACTGGAAAGGGTTCATTTTACACCCAAAATCATTCTTACAAGCATTCTGGTTAAAACTTAAATTTGATGTTTCTTTTAGATCTGAATTTAAATCAGATTTCATTAAAACAAAAAAGAGAAATGAATACAACAAGCAGAGGAAAGAAAGAAAAGTCTATATTTTATAAAATAATTAAAATATTTATTACAATCTGAATAGAATTATTACCCAATAATAATAATAATAATAATAGTTATAATAATAATAATTTTTGAAATAGATTAAAATATTATATTCTTTAACAGTTTTGAAACTTACTGACTCTTTTCATAAGAGGTTTTCTAAATTTTGCATGTGCATCGAGGACAATGATAGCATCAATTTACACCATTCCAATTTTCAATCAGAGTCTGTGGTTCTAACAAATGTCCTAAAATTCCACTAAAACTAAGTGTTTTATGACATCACCCCTGCAGAGTTTTCACGTGATACAAGAAAATTTTCGGGGTGACGTCATGAAACACTTAGTTTTAGTGGAATTGCAGGAAACGCAGAGGTCTGATTAAAAATTGAAATGGTGCAATGTCCCCAATACATGTAATAAAAAATACAAAACCTCTTTACAATCCCTTTAAATGTAGTCAAATATGGTGAAATATTTCAACAAAAATAATATTGGAATTTCAGATAGTTTCAAGCAAGTCAAATGTCAAAAATAGTTACTATAAAAACTAGATAAAATTTATTATATGCCAGATAAGGCATAAATTTTGGATTGTTTATCAATTCAGCTAGCCAAAATAAGTGTCCTACATAAGTATCAAATGTTGGGTAAGAGTCAGCAAGTTTCAGACTATATTTTTATAGAATTAAATTATGCCAAGTGTTCTTAATATTCATAAATGGTGCAGTTTGGGGTATCATTATTTATTAATTCTGATAAAATTATAGCTATTCAAACAGTTTTCTAGTCTTTGTATGTGTTTCAGAGACACTAATAGCAACTTTTTGTATCATCAAGATTTCCTGTTCAAAATCTGTGGTTCCTGTAAATTTAGAAAACCTTGATGTCGCTAAAAAATAAACTATTTGCATTAAATGGTGCAAATAAATGTCACTAATGTCTCTGATACCAGTATTATCCTCCATTCAAGGAGGGATAGTTTAACGAAAAAAACAGCTCAGACAAACATTACAATCTGATTAAAATACAGTTATTCAAAGAGACTTCAAACAAAACCAGTGTTTGTTGATTTGGTGAAATATCTCCCTGTGAAAATATAATTTATGCACCAGCAGTTGAGAATTCAGCTTGTAAAAATTTCATTTAAAAATTAAAAATCCTATTTTTACAATTTGCAACAATTGAAACTGGAATGAAAAATGAGAAGACAACACAAATAATAATTCTGCCACCAATATTTTCAGAAAAATATTTTTCAAAAATCTTCTGAATAACAACATTTTTCTGAATTCTGATTTTTTTTTTTTTTTTGCACTTTTTTGATCATGAAAGGATACTGCTTATCTTTTACAAAATATCAAAATCATTTTTTAATTTAAACAAAAAATTAGTATTGTTTCTGAATAGAAAATAAAACCTAAAAAATGTCATGATTCAAATAGGTGAGTCTTATCTACATATGGAACAACACAAGTTCTACTTGTCAGTCTAATATAGTTCAGTTGTCTGAAGATCGCATGAACCTCTGACATGACTGGATATAATTTCACAGGCAACAAAAATCACCCCTAATTTAAGCAATAAGCTCTTCCAATCATACATTTACAGTTATAAAAATGCATGTGTGGAATACTTCAATAGAAAATTGAGGGGTTTCAATAGGTGACTGGTACACTATATCCAGTCTTGCTCAGAGTTATACATGTTTCAGGTTCTCTTTTAATATTACAGCAACCTCTCTAACAACTTCTTTGATTCGATTTGATTTTGATTCAAAATTATAAATATTGTAAACCTTGGAAGAAAAAGAATTTTAGTTTTCACCTGATTTAAGATAGCAATAAACAAATTACTTTCAGTTTTAATTCATAAAAAATGGTTTCCTACTATATCTTACTACTTTATGACTAAATTTCTACAACTAATACTAATAAACATAAAGTAAGCCCGATTCACACCAACACTGAACAAAATGTATATTCTCAAACTACAAGAAACATACTCTAGGGATATTAATAGATAATACCTCATGCTTTCAGAAGTATAACTTTTGACTGTTGGATTCTGTGTTAATAGAATAAGAATAGTCAAAGCTGATTTTAATATCGAAAGTCAAAAACCAATCGTTGCTGAATATGAAATGGAATTTTCAAAATAAGGAATAAATTTTTCTCCAGTATTTAATCTGTAATCTATCTGATTGAGACAGGTTTTGAAAAATTCTCCACATTGCTGTTTTTTTCTACAAAAAATCCTTCAGCTCCTTAAGATGAAAAATAACAGGTATTTGAATTGTAATATGATAAAAGATTTAACATGTATAGTGTAGTTACTGTGAGTGGCTCATTGGTTCAGTGACAGTGTGAACCAGGCTTTAATAACAGTTATAAATTGATGTGATTGAAAACAATACATGATAGTGTTTCTATATACATAAAAATATTACAAAATAGTAAAATAATTCTTTATATATCTTGTAAAAAATATACAGCGCCGGTAAATATAATATATTATATAACTTTTACACTTCTGACTAGTCTGAAATATTTAACTTAAAAAACCCTTATATAAAATTTCTAACAATCAAATAACAGTAGGAATAGGACTGGGCAATATAGCAGTTTCAACAAATATCCTATTTGAATTCATGTGTTAATATTTGAATTCATGTGTTAATATTTGAATCCATGTGTTAATATTTGAATTCATGTGGTAATATTTGATTCATGTGGTAATATTTGAATTCATGAATTAATATTGAGTTAATTTGTATTTTTGTAGCCTTTCAGTCCTATGGTGGGCTATATTCATATTTTTTTTTATTAAGTACATGTTTAAACAGAATAGATTGATTGAGTCTTGTTTACAATCCTTGATAGCACTGCATATTACTTGAGTTTCTTTTTCTCTTGGGTCTTTCAACAAACAAATGAAAAATTTGATCAGCAAGTCGCAAATCTTTTCCTTTGGTTCAAATACAACTTGATTCTTGACCCAGAGCAGCCTGTACCAGTCATTCTTGGCTTGTAAGAACCCAAAAGTTATGTTTTTATTCATTCAAAAGCATCCCAGCTGTCAAGGATTGAAAAAGTTAAGTTTTTTTTTTATCAATCGAATCTTATTTTGATTTGAGATTCAAACCCACAATAAAATTATGAAAGCAATTATCTTTCTTATCTTAAACAATCATGGAAAAACAAATATTTTTCAAGTTTACAATTTAAGATTGTACACCTAATAAACTCATAGAAAATTTAGAAATTGATATTATTGTGACCTGAAAATTACCACTTTTCTTAACTTTATACGCTTTTTCTGTTTAGAATTAAAAATGTTTCGAAAATTTACCAAAATGATCTTCTTGCCTTATTAAATCTCAGAAACAAGTTATTTATCAATTATTGTAATTAAGCCATTTTGATTATGCAATATGTATTATCATTATGAAATATTTTGATTCTAAATTTTAAATTATTAATTACTATTTCACTTTGCCTTTTAAATTACCGGTACCATACTAAACCATTGTAAAAAAACAATTACTATCAATAGTCTACTGATATCTTTCTTGATGAATATTTTGATTAAATTACATTTTTAATGACCTTATATTTTCCAGTTATTTTAATGACTTTTCACCTGCCTTTCAAAATAACATCCTGTTGTAAACCTTTGGAAAATGAATTATCTTCTATAAAAAAATCTAAGAAATAAAAAAGCTAAAGAAAAAGCTTGGAAGATAAATTTAAAAATAATGCGTAGATCATTGTGTAAGGTAGATATTGGAAGGCATTAAACAAACCAGTCAATCAGAACTCTGATTTCACAAGTCCAATCTAGCTTGTCAATCAAATAATTTAAATCAATGACCGAATATGACCAGCCAATCACAGTCCTGATGTGAATGTTTGTCATAATAATAAGAAATTGGTGAGAATAACACAAAAGAAAGTAAAGGAAGCCATTCAAAATATTAAAAACATAACTAGTCAAAAAATTTAAGTGTGTTCTTCCTGTTAAGTAAAATTATGTCCCTTGTTTTTTAAAATAATATGCATTCAGAAATAAACAACATTTTTGAAAATTTATTTAGTTTAAGAGACATCAAAATCGAATTGTTCAAGTGTTTTTTCTTTAAATTTTTTTCCTCACAAATTATCAAACGATACAATTATTGTACAATATGTTCAAGAAATATTATTCGTTTTTCTTTGCTCCTTTTCAAGCTTTCTTTCAATTTGTACAAATTAATTTTTGAATTCTTGTAATCATATCAATAAGATGGACCTTAAGGGCATAGAAAAATAAACAAAAAAATTAGAATAAAAAACTACAGGACAAGAATCTTAGCCTTCAGAAAGAACTACAAAGTTTATAATTCAAAATGGAATTAACCACTAAATATACAACATTGTTGAGTTCAAAATTTGCAAAGAATGATTATCCTAAGCCTGAATGGTGGACGTTTAGTTTAAATATATCCAAGACTATCAATTTGAAATTAAATCCAAAATTTCTTTACAGCTTTAGTGATGAAGGAATTGATATCTAACATCCCAACATCACAATATGAGTCAATTAGATTTAACTGTATACATTAATTAAAACAAAAATGTATACGAAGAGTTTTAATATGTGTTTAGAGTTAACTCCACTTGTCAATCGAAATCAGATCATTTCTAACAAAATATCAACCAATCAAAACTTCAGATAGAATACAACAAGATTCAGAAGTCAATATTAACCAGTAACATGAGACAAGTTGAGGATTAAGGACACTTTTTTTTTTCTGAGATAATAATTTTTTAGCACCTTTGTAGTCTAATGAAGGCCGATTTGAAAATATGTCGTTTTACATAAGTTACAAAAAAAATGCTGCATTAAGATTACATAATTATGTAAGTACCTGAATTAGTTAAAAAAACATTAGCGATTTTATTCTATTATAGAAATAAAGTGACATAAATGGCTTGACAAGATAGTCCCCAAGGTCCTTCTTCAGACTATTATCTTTGAACTCTTAGCTTTCAGTCAAAAAACTTTATTGAGTTTGAGCAACTTTAATTTGTACTTAAGCAGGTTGTGTCAGAAAGGCAGGACATGCTCACTCTTTCAGATGCCACTCTTTAAATGAATTTGTAAATCGACCCTTCATGACTTTTGAAATTTCTCTTTGAGATTCTAACCTTGAGCACTATTCTTTAAAAACATAACAACCAAAAATTTTAATTTATGATTTAAACAAGGCCTTTGATTGAATCAGTCATCCAATAGCAATCCCTGTCTTGATATAAAAAAGCACCATAATTTGAAATAAACTAGCATAAAAGTCACTTTTTTACTGTGAAATATTTACAAATAAAAAAAGTCCTTAATCCTCAAATTGTCTTCAAAAAGCCAAACATGACTGTCAAAAAACATGACAGCTGAAAACAGGTCAAAAAACGTGAAAAAACAAAACCCAGAATGTATCATCGATTATGGGTGTTATTCTTATCATGTTTTTCGTGTTTGTCTCGACATCGACTAAACTCATACTTTTCATTCACACCTTTTTGGCCAATATCCATCCACTGTTTCAGATTTTTCTCTTTACGATATGTCTCCCATCGCTCGTCATCTGATTCGTGAGTCAGGAATCGTGTTCCCACATTAGTTTCTAAGATTCTTAAATCACACCAACACTGGTAATCCTGGAATGGACAAAAACGTTTCCAAGGTCAGGGTTCAATTTTAGGAAAAGATTAGATTACTAAATAATTATTTTGTTAAAAGCAGGATCAAATTTCACAAAAACTTAACATTGACTAAATGAAATTATTGAAAATACAGTTTTTTAATTTGTTTATACAATCAGTTCTGTTGAGCCCCGGATTTCAAGTACCACTTAAGACTAACCTGTAGAAAGACGTGTGATAAAGATTTATCTACTGTAAACCGTTTTCTCATTTTAACTTGTAATAAGTTAGTTATTAGATCAATGGCTGAAATACAGAAACATGTTTTATCATAACATCGAGCTGTAAAAATCAGGGCTTTTTTTGGTTCCACTTTTCACCTCCAGTTAAGGTCTTGAGAAAGATTTTGTCTAACCAGAGACATAAGCCAGCAGGTAGTTAATTCACTGACCCACCCCAGCTTCAGAAAAAAAGATTAAAGGCCTACCTTCCTGTGAGATTTCTTTCCAAGGGTTTGGTGGGTACATGAAGGCTGCATTCTGTATCTGATCACTTATTTCTTCATCTTCGTTAAAGGGAAAAGTTCCACTAAGGCTGTAAGATAAAAACAATGGCAGAATAAACCCACACAATAAACAAAATTACTGCTCTATAAAAATCCATTACTGCGGAGCATCATTCATGGCAAAGTGAGTAAGACAGAAATGATAAAATGATCACAAGAATTCTGGACGAATAATACTGTCAAAATGGCGTGACCGCAGAACCTCATTCTTAGCAAAGCAATTGTAAGATAGAAATACCAAATTTAATGATGATTTTAATTGTATTTTATCTTATAATTGCTTTGCTTAGAATGATGCTCTACAGTTAAGCCATGTTGACAGTATTTATTTGTCCTAAAATTGTCCTGAATGCTTACGATCATTTTATCATAATTTCATTAGAAATGACTACTGTCACTGTGGTAAAATGTCTCACATACAGATTGGTAATTTTATAAGAAATATCTTACCTAACATATATAACAACGCCTACAGACCACATATCTAATGATCTATTATAACCTTTTCTCTTTAAAACTTCAGGGGCTGAAATAATATTTAGACATACATCAATCATAATAGACATTAATCATTTTAAAGCCATCAAAAATACAATATAGTGGACAAAATTTTATAATCATCAGGAAATTTTTCAGAACTGATGCATAAGAGAATCTAAAAAATGTCCATGTCTGGGTTAAAAATAATAATTCTTGCAGACACCTAGCTTTGTCCTTTGTTTGATGATCCAGGATAACTATTGGAAACATTTCGTATGTACCCTATTGTTGTTTTTTTGGTCTTATTTAGATGGATGCATGATTGTTTTCTGCTCTTGATACTTACCAAGATAGGCTGGTGTTCCCACCACAGATCTACGGAATGATTTCTCACCAATAATTCTGGCAAACCCAAAGTCACATAGTTTTACCTGTAATCAAATCATTAATTGTATTAGAGAATATTAATGACAGCCATGAAAGTGACAATATTCTAACCTTCCATTGTACATATAAGCTGAATTACTTTACAATTACTTTGAAAACTTGTTGTGTTTGTTGATTTTAGGACCAATGTGTTGATTTTATATTATTATATTCCATTTTCCAAAGAATTATTTTTCCTTGAATAAAAGGCGTACTTACCTGAGGGAAAGCTGTTTCTGTTGTCAGAAGGACATTTTCTGGTTTTAAATCACAGTGCACAATGCTTTTAGAATGTAGATGCTTCAAAGCCATCAAAATCTGAAAAACCAACAACAAATATCTAAGAATAAGCTATGATAGTCAATAGTCAATTATATTAATGGTACATTAAGATTTCTATGTACATCAAACATCAAAAAATAGATCTTCTGCATTTATCACTGTAAATGTGTAAATCTTTTTTTTTTGGCTTTTCTGTCGATCAATAACAATTTTTGAAATGAACATATTCAAAGAGCTGATGGCAAAATTAACCTCACTTAATTGATTTCTGAATCAGAATCGGAACTGAGTTTACAGCTCACAGAGACATCTGCTCGTTAAACCCTGTGAATTTAAGGATAATAGGATAATGAAACATGAAACAAGATGTCTACCTGAGAAATAAGATATTTAGTGATTCGTTCACTGAGTCGACCTTTAGGACTGGACAAAATCATCTCTAACATGTCACCTTTTAATTTCTCCATCACCACAAATATCTATAATATAGATACAAGTTTTCATTATAACATCACCTTTTCATCTATACATACATCTTTTTCATTTATATATACACAATTTCATTGCAAATACACCTTTCATCTATTTACAGATACATGTTTTCATTTTCATTCATAGATACAAGTCTTCATTCATAGATACAAGTCTTCATTCATAGATACAAGTCTTCATTCATAGATACAAGTCTTCATTCATAGATACATCTTTATATATTTTCAAACATTCTCTGTAAAATGAAATTGTGAATACTCACTCTTTCTGGTGTTTCAAACATCTGCTCCAAGTTAACACTTCCAGGGTGACTTAAATTCTACAAAATATAACAGTTTATCACAAGTCTACTTTTAAATTACAACATTCTAACTTTGTGTTATAGAAGTTTTTGTTTTCTTCAAGCGTGGCAGTATAACAAATATCATCTTCCAATTTTGTTGAATCTTATTTTTATTTTTTGTTGTTGTATGAACAGAAAAACACGTTCATAATAAATATTTACCTGCAAAATAGCAACTTCTGTTTTTAACTGAGCCTCGTGTTTGGTAGGGAATCTCATTTTATCAATAACTTTAATAGCTACCTCACGATTAGTTTTTCTATGTCTACCTATAAGTTTTCAATAAAACAAAATAATATTCCAATCACATGCAAAATAATATTAGTTGTGTTGAAGATAAAAGTAGAATCATTCCTGCATGAGCAAAATATCACTGTCAGACATAAAAAGTCTTTCATAATTTATTTGTATGTTTTCTATGCTATGCTAATAAAATTAAGTTTCATATCCTTTTAAATGTTTATACTTAGATTATTGATGCCATTCAGTGTACAATGATACAAATTAGCCAGCAGAGTATTACTAAATTTAAATTTTCAAATTGAACAGCCTGTATATCAAAAGGCTGTCAGTAATTTATTCCCTCTGAAAGGATAAATGCTTTTTTCCAATTCATCCCTACCCACCTGCATCACTGACAGAGAAGAATCTAAAAGTATTATCCACATTTGTACTATAACCCAGAAAATAGGCTTGCAAATATTTTTAAAGTGAGAATAAACTTACCCCCATAAACTATACCAAATTGTCCTGATCCTAAAACATCATCAGGGAATATCTGATACAGAGTACTTATATCAGCCTGGTAAATAACATAAAATATTATCTTAATATCTAGGCTTAATCAATGAAAGAAAACTCAACTTTAAAGAACTGACTATTAGCTTTGACAATTTTTTTCACTAATAAGGGTCACTGACTATTAGCTTTGACAATCTATCTCACTAATAAGGGTCACTGACTATTAGCTTTGACAATTTTTCTCACTTATAAGGGTCACTGACTATTAGCTTTGACAATCTATCTCACTAATAAGGGTCACTGACTATTAGCTTTGACAATCTATCTCACTAATAAGGGTCACTGACTATTAGCTTTGACAATCTATCTCAGTATTAGGGGTCAATGAAACAGCTCATGCCTTGTTAACTCAGCATGACTTTAAAGAGTATTCATGGCTGATAATGTTATTTTGGTGGCAGTATGTTTTATCAATTATCAATAAAAGTTTATAATAAAGTTGTTTTATATCATAAAGTTTTATATTGCCTATTTTTGAATGATATAATGATATGTTACCTGTTTGCTTGTATCTGACTCCACTTCACCATTGGTGGGCACTTCTACAAAATACAATAAATATCAGCAATACAAATTTTTGAGAGCCAATTTTTCTGCCATCTTTAAGTCCAACTCTAATGGAACTTTTACATAACCTAAATCTTCTTCCAGTCAGTAACCTAATATGTGTCTGCTCAACCAAACTAGAATTTTTCTTTACAAGTCCCATTAACCTGCATCAGTAACAGTGATAACACATTTAAGACACTTCTTCTACCAAAGCAGAAGTCAAATCCCATATCTCTAAGATGACAATTAAATGTCTGAAAAATGAGAATATTTACCTTCTGTTGAATTATTAGAAGTTGTAACAGGCATCAAAGCCTGTCGTATGGCCTGCTCCCAATGTTTAGACTGTTCATATCCACTACCACTCTCTAAGGAACTCACAATATTGGTATTATTCTGACCGTACCCAATATCTTCACCTACATAATACGTCAAGGTGGTGGTTCTAATCTCAAAAACATGGGGTGGACGAGTGAACTCAGTCCCTGGCTTTATTTTAATAGCCTCCACACCAGTTATAGTATTTAGTAGAATCTCCTAAGGAATTCAAATAAATATTTGATAAGAATGGTAATAAATAAAAGGGGCATTTATCATGGTATTAATTTCTTCATTATCTGATAACATATGTTAATCATACTACACATTTATAAAGATGATAACAAAACTTATTTATTGAAATAAATACAAATGTATCTTGACGGTTTTTGATTTTACCTAATTGTTTTGGCTCCTCTTTTTATAAAAGGAGACTGACAGCAGCATGCAGTATCTTTAGGACAGAAATATAATTGATTTACCTTGGAATAACGAGTTGTTGTCTCGTTAGCATACAGAGTAATTGATTTAGAATCTAATCTCCAGTACCGACGCTTTCTCTAAAATAATAGCAAAGAAATTCTAATATGATGTACAGTTATAATTTTTACTATCACACATACAAAACATGATAATATTAAAATGCATTTTCTGACATTCATTTTGGGGGGGGGGGGGGGGATTTTTTTAAATAGACAAATCAAATGTTGTCATTTAAATTAACCTCTATCAGCTAATTAAACGAATAGATCTTTAATAAACTTACATTGTTCTCTTTATTAGTAAAGTGAACCATCCAACCTTCCTTTAAGATTTTTGATCCAGTTCGTTTTGTTAATTTCACTGATTGGACAACTCTCATTAGCGGGATGTTGCTGCTTTGGGTAGGACTGGAAAACAAGAAAAAAAATTCAAAATGCTATTTTCATTTACAAATCAGTTTCAATTACAATTTATTAACTCAAGCTAAAACAAAATTGGACTGTGTTTGTTTATGTATTGCATGAACTAAACATAAACACATTTTTTATATCTTTTAGTCTCTTTTTTCAAAATTCCAGGACTAATTGATCTTTAAAGAAACTGTAATGAGATTTGCCTGTAATTACTATCCTTTCCCTGTTTGAATATGGATATAGCTTATTTGAATTCTTGACATTATGCCCTATTGAGTTTTTTCCAGCAGTTATATAACTACTTCTAAGAAAACAGTTTGAAATCTTGATCTCAATCACCATATCAAGTTTCATTAAAACAAGATGAGAATCCGTAGGAAAAAGGAATAAGCAGGAGGACTAATGAGAACTTGACCATACCTTAAAGGTGGTTTGGGAACTACATCATCATTATCATCAGCTGAAGGGTCAAGATCTGTGATGGAAGCGTCATCATTATCAGTTGGATTATCAGTGATATCTGTATCTATAGTTGTTAAGCTTTCTGTCTCACCCAATTCATAGGCTGCAATACAAAATTAACAAAATATTTACCTCCCTTGAATTGAGAAATTCACCCAGAGAAACTTGGTCCAATAAATTTGGGGCCAATCCATGTTTGTCTCATAAAATCTTTATGACTTGGTCAATCTGTGAGTGATAAAATTGTCTCATTTCATGCCTACCCCAGTGATCTGGTTGCACACTATATTTTCAGGATTGTAAGTATTGATAGGAATATATCAGCTGATAGGAACAGTGTACACTTAATTCTGCTATTCTACCTGTTTAACAGGTTGGAAGTTCAACAGGATTTCTCTCAATGATTTAAAATAAGTGAAAAATTAAGTGACATAGAAACTTACGATCAGGGCTAGAATAGTTGATGAATTCTCCTGCACAATCATTAGGCACTATCGGCATACATCTTTTATGGCAGTTAAACTTACAGTCTGTAATAGATCATATAAATATATATTATCAGGAAAGGAAAATGTCAGGGTTTTATGGTAGTTTGCTTTAAAGAGACATGTTCACCATTCGTTTGACCAATTGTACCATAGTCTCAGAAATGGGAATCTTTTTAGCTAGGCCTATCCGTAATAGTATTCACAGCTCACCATCAAAATTTGAGCCTTCAAATCCACGTCTTTTCCAGAATCTATGCAATATATAGATAAAGACATATACAGAATTACAAAGTTATGGTTCTATAGTTTGAAGTATTTTAAAGAAATTATGCAATTTTTGTACATTTCTAGTACATCTGAAGACTATATACATATATTCAAAACCCAAATCAACACCCGAAAATGGTGAACCTGTATACACCTTCAATAAAAGATCATATAGTTGGAGGTGTTTTGTAAAACCAAGAGAAGCTATTTGTACCTTGTAACAGTATACTTTTATAACAGTAACATAATGTGTTTTGGGTTCAGATACTTCTGTAGACTGTGAAATCAGTCAAAAACTTTTCAAATTATCGGTAGTTAGTGTTACCCCTTGCACTTAACTAGCACTACTAGCAGAAAGTAGGATACAAGGAGTAACTTCAAGGAAATTAAGAATTCCATTTGGAGATTCAAAAATAGTAGGAACCAGGAACATTATTCTCCAAAAATTAAGTTTAAGAAATACTGTAATCTGATTGGATAATACAACTATTTCACCTACCTTTACACTGCATACCCTGTCTAAACAAACCACGGAGTAACTTTTTACACTGATGACAAACAGTAGGTCGAGTATAATTATGAACGATAAAAGTATGAGGCACCTTGATCCTCTTCTGATACTCTCTTTCAATCCATACAGGACGTCCGCTCCATGAGTTCGTACGACTACCAGGTCCCCCTGGTGACGGTGGACATATTGAACCCTGTACATTGAGGAGATTCTACAAAATGAAACAAAATTTATTTTTAAGTGTCTAGATAACCCAGACTACATATGTTATGAATGTTAGAAATCTGTTCTGATATTTGAAAAATTATCAAAAACAGAAAAGATTCTAAATAAAATTGTACATCAATGACATCTATATCACATATCACATCTTTGATTCACATACCAAAAATGAAACTTTTAGATTTGAACTGCATGTGAGCTAAAGTGTGGAAATTCTCTTGCACAATTCTGTGGCTTGTGTAACAAATTGCGCAATAGTGAGACAGACAAAAATATTATGTTATTTGAACTCTTTTTTATGATAATAATAAACACATATAAAAAGAAAAATGAAATTAAAATACAACTTTACAATCCTTCAGAATATTTGTTTTCATAATTTCTTATTCCTTTTTAATAAAAACAAGCCATAGTAATTATAAAATATGAAATTAACTTCAATTTTATAAACTGTAGGAGTCAGGGAAAATATTTTATCTCTACATTTTGTATTACAATTTGTAATTTACAAAATCTATAAATTGAGTCTTTCACAGATCAAAATTATCCTTGAAATTGAAAAATAAACAACAGAATGAATGTATTACTATGTTCTTGCAAAGATGTCTATGTACATGCACATCACATTTGAATAGAATCGAATAGAATTGTCAACATTGTTTTTAAGAAGTTTTATTGATAAAAATGAAGTTTTATATGGAATTTTACATCCTACTCTTCTGCACCTAATGAAGATGGGCAATGCCATGCAGTGTGCCATGAGGGAAATTGGCCAGGACAGCAACATTGGTCAACTCGTTTTTGAATTTCAACTGTCAAGGGATCTTTAAGATGCACAGACTGTAGCACAAGTGGCCTTTGTTTATTGTTCCATCCAAACGACTAGACTTCTTTTCCATGTCAGTCCCTCCAACCGAATCGAGTTGAAAAATTCATTACGAGAGGTATAAACCCAAGACTTACTGATTATTTTACCTAATAAAAAAAGGACTGAAAAAGCTAACTAGGAGGTGTACAAATATGTCTGATGGCACAAGCCATGACCACCTTTATGTTTGAAAAAGCCACATGAATCATAAAAAGATTTCAACATTCTTAACAACTGAGTTACAGTCCATGCTTAATATAAATAATATGCAAGGATGTGCTTTAATAAATCTGCCTGTAGTATTCTTACAGGAGAAAAAAATTTATAATTAACAGGAAACAGGATGATATAGTTATAAATAAGGTAACTTGATATATATACACCTGTAATCAACTAAAACAAGTACAGTTCAAGCCTTCAATTTTTAGTAAAGGACAGGGATACCAGTAGTCTTACAATTATCACCTGTGAAAACTGATAATATCTCAAGCTTAAGTATTCATTTCTTCGCCTTTATAGAATAGATCCATGCAGTGTGCAATGATGGAAATTAACAAAGACAACAATATTACTTTTACAATGATAATAGGTAAAAATGAATTGAAATAAAGACTAAGTTTTTACACCCAACTTTCTTCAAGTAACAAAAAGGAGACAGACATGGTTAGGATACGACATAAGCTCATAAGCTAAATTATAAATTTATAACTTGTAACCTGTTTGAATTATAGATTCATAGTATGTAACAGTTACGTATTATGAATCTATATCCTGTAACAGTTACGATTTAGAAATGTATATCCTGTAACAGTTACGAATTATGAATTGATAAGTGACGTAGTTCGCTTATGATGTGACAACACAACTGTCATTTAACTAACAATTGACTACCGACTAACCAATCCTAGTTTTAACCATGATCTAGTGAGTAGGTCCACTGTCTGACTCTCAATATGATGTAGAAGTAAGAGATTTATTTGATATGGTTAATAGAGAAAGTGCCCTAGGGAATTGAATAAATATACCATGAATAGGAACAACTGACAAGCTTTAACCCTCTCAGGACCAACTCTTATATGAACTTCAGACAAGTCCTGTCAGATAACAATATAAATGATCTCATTTCTTCTCTAGTCATATTAGAAAATAAATACAGCGCTTACAGGTTTGAATCTTGAACAAGTAACCTTGAGTAAATAGGTTGATCAGGATAATAGGTTTGAATCTTCTTAAAAAAAAAGTTTGAACATGTCATCTTCTTAATTGTAAATAGCCTCATGAAAAGAACAAAAAACAACCAATGAACTATGTAGACTCTCAAAAGTAAAGTATAGTTCACCAAGCCATTGCAGTAATTTTATAAAAAAAAATGTTTTATCTGTACATGGGAAGAAATATTCAGTCAACTTCTGACTTGCTATTCTTGACCTTTTAAAAATATTTGAAAAATGGAAATACTATACCAAAAGCAACAAAATAGATAACAGAAAAGCTATGTGGCAAAAGAGCATTTCAATTAAGATTTTCAACTTTCATGGAGGTAAGCTTAAAGCTGACCAACAACCAATACAAGAAAAAAAAAATACAAGCAATATGAAATTCAGAAATTACAGAAGTATATCATTTAACATAATATATAACAAGAATAGCAGAAACAAAAAATTTAAATGAATCATCTGACAGTGAAATAGAGTTGACAAAAGTATTTTTTATAAAAGGAGAAAAAGATCAGCAAACACGAAACATCCGGATGTTCATATAGAAAAATTTGTAATATATAACGCAACGAAATGAAAAGTTAAATGATCAAATACTATAGAAACACAGAAAAAGTAAACGTAAAGCTAAATCATCGAAAAGAAAAGTTGACAGGTACAAGATAACGAAAAAAAGATTGTGAATTCTCAAAAATATGACATTTGCATAAGCAAAAATTGGAAATGAGCAACTGAAGCAATGTCGACAGAACTATAGATAGTAATGTAACAAAAATAAAGACAACAGTAAAGCTATAACCATTCAAAACAAGCTGATATTTCATTAAACGAAAGAGAAGATAATATCAAATTATGTCCCCTACCTGCGAATCCTGGGTTAGCGGAACAACAAAAGATGAACTTGGTAAACTTGAGAAATACTATAATTTTAATATGGATGAATTTATCAAATGAAATGGACCTTTACATCCTGTTTTTTTTAACATTTAATTGAACTACTGAACTCAAACAGTGTTTCACATACTACATTTTATATCATAGAGTAAAAGAGCATCATTGAAGGGGAGGAGAGAAATTGACAGAACAGCACCATAAACCTATGTTTTTTTTCATGTATTACTGGCAGTTCAATATGTACAGCTAGAAGCATATTACAATGATTTGAAATGTTTGTAATAACATAAGAACGAAAGCTCTAATGATCTATTAATTATCACATGGTATAACTAACGAGCTAGGTAATTACTACAATTAACATCAACAAAAAGGCTCACTGTCAAAAAATATTCAACATTAATGATGTCCTTCGTTCAAAGACTTGTTCACTTTATCTAGCCTTTGGGCCTTATTAACGAAATTGTTACTTAGATCCCGTTTTCAGAAAATACTATTATCTGATTGGTTAATAAATCAAATCAGAAACTGAACAGTCTTTGAGGCCTCATTAGAATACTTTTCAATATTTCTAACCAAAAAAAGTTGGATTTTGAAATTTTCTTCACAGGTCTAAAGAACAGGGCAAGCCCAAATTTCAAAGAATAAAAACTTTTAACTTACCGCATTTTCTGGATAGAAGGGTTTAATTTCACGAGGTAAAGTGAATGGAAGTGATGATACACTACCAGATGATTGTCGTCTGTATCGATTATTCGAACAATTATTGGGTATTTTATATGCACATCTTTTATGGAAATTCAAACCACAGCCTGGAAAGAATTTTTTAACAACCTATTTTAGAAAAGCTTTAAATAAATTCTGATTGACAGCTCATAAGAATGATATTTTTTCTTGGAGATTTTATTCAATTTTCATCTTGCTCAGTTAGCAGCATTAATTGCCTGAGTACATTTCGTCTGTGCTTATTGAAATAAAAAAAAGAGAAATTTCTCCATGAAAGGAACTTTTAATCTAATCCTTATAGTAGGACAATCTTCTACATCATTAAGCCTCCAACAAACTATGAGTGAAGTTCAAAATAAAGGATTTATAATAATAAGGAAAGCTTCTGTCGGAAGGAAGCCATTATGCCTCCTTGCAATAACAAATTGTTACAATCCAAAAGTCTACAACCGTACAACTCTTAAATAACTTACCGTCACATTTTAAGCCTTGTTTAACCAACCCAAATAATAATTCTCCACAGAAATCACAGAAATGAGGAGATTTATATGAATGAACAAACATCAGGTGGGGTCGGATCTGTAAATCTTCCATCGTGGCTGCTTCTGAAAAAAATACATACAATGTGATTAGAATACATACTATCATTGGTTACTTGAATATCAGCCATTATTTTAATATGAATTACCTCAGCATCAAAATAGTACATATTGAGATAAAATATAAACATTGGCAGATATCATCAATTTGAAATTTGCTCTTAAGAGGAAAATATTTCACAAGCCTTATGATAACAATACAGATCTAGATTTAAATTTTTTTATGTTTTTTTCTGTGAGATACTACTGGTACTCTTGCCATCTATGATCTGACAAAAATCTTCTGCTTTTTAGTGACACAAGATCTAAATTCCTACTCCTCATTTTTAAGGGAGATAACAGTGGAGTTTTTAAGAGGGGGCATTGCACCACCAGAAAAAAGGTTGACCCAGCTTCGTGAGATGCAAAATGTATGTTTTTAAAATTATTTAACTTCGATCACAGGGTCCCCACTCAAATAACAAATAAATTTTGAGGAGGCATATCTCCAATATATAAAAATCAGTAACAGTCAAATTAACGCTTTTTTATTATTTTACATAGTGAAATAGGCCAGTATTTACCTGAGAGAATAACATCAATAAGGCAGCCATCTGTGACATCGGAAGCTGATTTGATAAGTTGAAGAATATTATCACTCTTACTGTCATGTCGAAACAGTAATATTTTGTCTACCAAATTATAAAATCCATGCTCTGGAAACTGGAAAAAAAGTCAGAAATTAGTTAAAAATACTCCCTAAGGTTAAAAAATACTGAAGCCATTGTTAGGGGCTCCATGAGCTGATCTTGAGTTGGCTTGAAATTATTAGCAACAAAAATCAAATTCGACTGACAAGCAGTCAAATTATACCCATAAATCAAATTCTAAAGCTACGAATAGTTAATGTGGTTTTTACATGATTTTACACTCAACCCAACAGAATAACTCTTAGCTAAGAAGACTTTCCCAAAGCTCAATAGATGTTATTCATGTTTCGACCAAATTTAATCCAGAACAAAGCTCATAACGCAAAGCACCAAAGGTGAAAAGGCAGAAAAATTGTCACATTAACTCTAACGTTTTTAAAGAGGCACATCATAAAATTGAGTTTTCAGGAAAACCTGTATTGAAATATATATCCCTTGAAGTTTCTTTAAATAAAGATGGTATATTCAAATCAATTATCACATGAACAACACTATACTTAAATTTCTTATATTTGTAATCATCATTTACCAGAAGCAAAGCTTGCTTGAAAAATAAGTTTCATTAAAAAAGATTTAAAATTAATTAGAATATGTTTTGAAAGAGGAACATGTTATTTTTGGTTAATAATTGTTTATAAAATCAATAAAACGACATCATTGTCAATATTTTGAGAGAGAAAGTATGACAGTTGAGATATTGTTTAAATTATTTCAATTATTCTGTAATATCAATATTATTCTTGTTATCTATGCCTTGCCATTACTGTGAAATCATTATCCTTTTTCTCAATTTCTGTGGATTTCCTGGATAAGCTAGAGTCAATTTTGACTAGGGAGTCTGGTTAAAAATTCAAAATGTTTTGTCACAGTCTATTAATGTCTGACTTTTTAACATCAAAAGCTATGCACTATACACACAAATGTACAGTAATCAAATTCAGGTCTCAAATTCCACTGCAGTGCCCCTAATGAAATTTGAATGGACCCAACAAATATGTCTTCAATGACAATGCAATACATACACATCAATACATCATATCACAATAATTTACACCAACAAATCAATAAGTGTTAAATATTTAAAGTTGTGAGGCATGTTTTCAATTCAACAGATTATAAATATCTTATATTTTGATGCCAGATTTCAGTCAAATAAATAACAATATTTAAAGGAAAACGATCACAGAGCTCAATTTCAACCATCTGTAACACTTTTTAAAATGAAATCTGACCTTGCAATTTTTCAATTTAACAGAATATAAATATTTCAAATAGCTTTCAGTCAAATATACCACAGTTTAAGGGAAAAAGTCATCAAAATATTTGCTTTACCAGAGTGACACTGCTGAATTTTAGCAATCTGTTGTACTTTTAAGAATGAAATCTGAGGATTCAGGGTTCTCACGAAGGGCTTTATATGAATATTGTGTGATTAGTGAAGTCATCAAATACTTAGTTTTAGTAGAACTGCAGCAAACATAGAAGTCTAAATGAAAATTAGAATGGTGCAAATTGATGCTAACAGTGTTGATAGACATGAAAAATTTAGAAAACCTCTGAACAATCCCTTTTGCTGATAGAGAAAATAATATACCGCTCTATTCACTATGAAAATCGTCACAGCCCTCAGGTCATGACCTTTGTAACCTTGTAACCCAACAGCAATTAATCTTCAATATTGACAAGGATTAGATATAAATCAGGTTTCTTTGTGCTCAAACCATTTTATGTTAAAATAGTCCTAATGTAATGATGGTAATTTTCTTCTTTGTAACAAAAAGTCATGATTGGATTTCAAGAGGAATACAATAACTGTTTTATATTGACAAGTAATATCTAAGCTTATATCAGAAGTGCGCAAATACTAATGTGCTAAAATTTATATGTCCACAACCAGCGCGTTTGTCAGTCAACTCTTCTTTTGGCTTCCCTTCCATTTCCTTTCAAACTATGTCGGCCAGAAAGTTTGTTTGACAATTCGGTCCAGTAAGTTCAAAAACCCTGAAGTCACGACAAATTTGCATCTATTGATGACTTTCAAGATTTTAATCAGTACATCTCAATTGCAGAGGCAAATCAGGTGTTCCAGAAGAGTGAGCATCAGTTCACTTCAGTGTTCTTTTTATAATGTGTATGTTTTTATTTAAATTTTACACAACACTGACTAAAGGTGAATTCTTTTTTTTCATTATTATACATATTCTGTTTTTGTTACAGTTTTGATATTGTTGTGTTGGTAAACTAACCTTGCTAAAACAAAGTCCAATCAGTAAGCTGATAGCATGACAATAAAGATTAGTGCTCAGTAAGTCTATAAAACACAAGGCAATACCCTGATCAAATCGCAAATAATTATGTTTATATACAATTATATTAATTAGTCTGTAACTACAATCCCTTAAAGAGTAAGTTTCTGACTGACCTCCACCAATTCTAACTAACAGAGGATAGATACAGAGTCAGTAAGTTTTTCATTAGGGTCAGCAAGTTTCTAGCTAGAAGACAACTGTCAACAATAACTATTAGAGACTGGGTAAGATTCAGCAAGTTTTTAGTTAGTTGACTATTGTCAACAATAGTTAACAGTGGCATGATAAGCATCAGCAAGTTCCTAGATAGCCTGCAGATGTTAACAACAGACAATCAGAGGCTAGGTAAGAGTCAAGAAGTTTTTAGCTAGAAGGCAAATGGCAACAATAGCGATCAGAGACTAGGTAAGAGTCAGTAAGCTTCTAGCCAAATGATTATTGTCATAATCGCTTTCTGAGACTATATTAGGTCCAGGAAGCTTCAAACTCCATTTTCATTAGACATTGTATTGATTTAAGAAGACAGAAAAATCAAATTAAATCAAAAACATACTTTAAATTAAAACTTGTAGGTTTTATACTGTTGAATGTCAGCCCTACCTTTGTCAACAAATTATGTGGCTTCTTGTAATGTATTGGCCAAATTAATTAAATTTCTGTCTTCAAACTAAAAATGTGTGGCACAGGTCATATGAACTTTTACAAGTGCTAGAAAGTCATAGAATTTTTAACAGAAGAATAAGTGAATTGTCAGTAATTGATGTGTTTTGACAATTTCAAAATGAATCTCTTGCATACAGACTAAAAACAATAAAGATCCTCAAAAGTAGATCCTGGAAAGAGCATGTTCATGGGTTGCCCTCAAAAATAATTTCCTAATTATAATCCTATCAGTACAGGTTTTGCCTGCCTTCATTGACCCAATTATGGACTTTCAAATTCCATTTCGTTTCTTTTATTTAACTATAAATATACATTTTTATTATATATCAAATATAGCTTAACTTAATGAATGCAAGAATATATTTTTCTACAGGTGGGTTGCTGATTTGTCAGTTATTGCCAGTCATGTTTGATTAAAGCTTCAAAATATTTTCAAAAATGTTTATCAAGGATTTACCAGGCATAGGTTTGGCAAGAGCTTCACTGCTGGTGAGGCAAGTCATGGTCACACTTGGTGCCACTAACCTCAACATCTTGCAACTGGTTCAAAAGGTTCATACAACAAATGATAGAGGGTCAATCAAAACAGCCTCAAAAAGGACATTGTTAGAACTCTACCAGAATAACAGCTGATATTAGCAATTAATATCTCCTTTTTTCACCAACTAATTTCCATCTTCAGGAAATATTTCTGATCATGCCAAGCAAATAGAAATACTACTAGAATCAGAAAATAATATTCTGATTTGTTTAATGTCAGTTTCAAGAAAATTTCACACATTAATACTTTTCATCATTATTTTTTTTTAAAAATTCTTTCTTTGATATTTTTAGCTATTAGTGTTTTCAGGTTGCTTTTACAACTGTATAAAATTTCCATTCTTAAATTTTCCATTATTACGAGGTTCCTGTGATTCCAGCAAACATTACAAGATTATTTATATCAAGTCACATACTACAAATACTTTTTAAGAAGATCTTACCACCGGATATTTTGGTGCCTTTAATCAGATATCAATGACTGCCAGTAAAAACTAAATTCATATTTGGTACAAGAATAGAGGTTTTCATATCCATGTATTTAATCCATTGCTTAATTAGCTTTCTCCTTACAATATTATCAACTTTAATATGAGAAACAACAATCTTCATTAGGTAATCAGTAAGAGTGTTTACAGCTCTTCGATAAAATTTGAAGCTTCAATTCCATGTGAGTCCAGAATTATCCACGTTTAGATAACAAAATGACTTCTCGTCTTTTTTGGAGATTCCACCATAAAAAGAAGAGACATTCTGGTATGCTTAGAGAATAGAAAGTGGAATTTCTAGTATAAGGTATTTGATTTTCATGCAGTTCTTGTACTTCTGAAGGCTTTTAACACATATTCAAAACACAATTCAACCCCCAAAACATGACCTTTAAAGTGTAATATCAAATATAAACTTATAATTAGAAAAAGGTCAGTTCTCCATTGGGATTTAAAGAAAGAAGGTTAATTTTCTAATGGAAATTCTAAAGGTCTTAAACATACGTGTCAGGTGGTTGAAGCTAGGAATTAAAATTTGTATTCACCAGCTGAGCTTCTATCTAATTAATAGGGATGGCATCAGGGCAGCAATTAAGGTCTAATAATCTGTAAAACCCTACAGTAAAGTTAACTATCAACCTCTGAGAATGAACTTTTTTGCTTTTAAAAAGGCATTTGTCACTCATCAACAAATTCTATTAAAAAAGGCACAGAAATTCATCATCTACTGTGGACTCATTGTGTATATTCTTTTTTTAATGAAACAAGTTTAATAATGTCATTAGAGAACATTTTTTGTAAATAAAAACACCAATCCAACAGAGCTATTAATATTATAATAATAAGTCATTCTGAATAATTTTTGGTAACGATCGTGATATTTGACTGGGCGTGTTCTTAACCTTCAATTGTAATTTGTTAAACCGTGACTTCGCCTTGCAATTGGATTTTCCCTGTTTGTGTTTATGATGTCAAAGTTACTCAAAGTGTCGAATTAGGAATGAAAATAAACCAGCAGATGTGACCTACCTTTTTGTCAACAAATACGCAGGCTAAGTCCTTTAATCCAGTCAAACTCACTTCTCCTTCAAAAGACACCTGTTCGCGAATCAGACCAATCTGTAAACAAATATTTAATTTACCGTTAATCGCATTTTCTGTGCCCGACATTTTGCCGTGCGAGCCACGCGATTTGACTCAAGGCACCTAAGTCAAAGCCAAGTGAAATTTCAGTCTGTCAACCTCGATTTATTCTTCTCTTTCTCGCTTCACGGTCAGTGGAATGACGTCAAGTGAAATTATTAATGGCTTTCGTAAAATTACAGAGTTAAATTTTATATAACCAAAAACAAAAAAATTTCCAATTTTTCGCTGAAAACACTTTGAAAATTCAAATAATATCATCTGGTAAAAATTGGTTTAGTAATAATTATCAAATTTGGTTTTTTTTAGTATCCATTTCGTAAAGAATGCAAAACACTAAAAAAATACTAATTTCGTTTCATATTTTGAATTGATCTGAGTTAAAGAATTGTACAGTACAATGATAAGTTGACAGAAGACGAACAAAACGGCCTGTTACAGTCAACTTGAAATCCTGATCTACACTGTACTACTATACTGCAATACAGAACTCTGGGATAGGATCAGAGGTCAGGTCAACAATTGCTTCGCGGAACCAAGTCTAACAGGTGCCCGTTTTACATTACCGCTACTAATTAAGTTCTAGTTAGTTTTAATTAGTTCTAAGTAGTAAAAGTGGTAAGTTAATCGAAAAGAGTCTTGTCTCATATTGTCAATACGTGTTAGGGATGTAAAAACATCATGGCAATTACATGGATAATTTGAAAATTCTTTATTTAATGCCTAAAATTGGGCTCTACTAATATGCCCAAAGTAAATGATCTCATTGAACAGGAGTTTATTTATGGGCTGCAAAGACAATACTATATTTATTCTTACTTTAAAACTAAATTTTTCATCACTGCTAACTATGTTTATCTAATTATCTTGATGGTGAGAAATACTTTACGTCAGATTAAACAGTGGCAATTGGTGCAATTTACAGGGTAGCCTATATATGCAAATATACAAGCAAAGTAAACGAACTCACTGCAATTTGAATACGAGTTGCAACGAAAATGTTCTTTTTCTAATAGTAATAATAATAATTTTATTCTCGTTTACGTCCCTTCGAGGGCGTCCAATTGATTATTCAATATGATATATAATTATACAGATGAAAATAGTAAAGACCCACTTTTTCATCACTGCAAACTTAAAACTACATTAAGTAACTTTTTGCAAAATAAAAGTCGCAGTTTTACAGGGAACAGCTCATTTTGAAATAGCAATATCATAGTACAGCTAGTGGTGAAAACCTCTTTGAAAATCGGACTGTTTTGAATAATTTGAAAGAAAATGTAGACCACTCAAACTAAGTGTTTTATGTCGTTCTTCACAATCCCTATGTTTCAAAAATATGGCACACACTCACCACAGAATTACACAAATAACTTTTGTAAACGAAACAGGAACACGTTGATTCTACATTGGCGGCTGCAGAACTTCGGATAGAGAGCGCTTAGTGTCTGTAGGTACCTGTATTTCTATTAGATGCCAAGAAGTGTCCGAAAAACCTTGCCCGCTTTGCCACTTAACGCTTCTACAGTTAAGGGGAAGTAACACTTTCTACAAAACTCAAAACGATAAGAGACAGAACACAAGTAACTTGCCTTTAAAAGGAGGTAACACTTAAAAAAGCATGAACAGACTACAAATAAATATTGTTGTTTTTCTTCTAGTTTCTTTATTTACAGAGGGCGCTCTCTCATGTCAGTGTCAGCTGCAAGAAGTCAGCGATGGCAGGGCCAGTTCGAATCCACAATATTTTGTCCAATCTTTGGAGCAAAAATGCAAAATTGGGAAAAATTTTGCAGGCTGGAAATTGGGAGGGTGAAATTCAAAGATGCCTGAGAAGCGACATTGCATCTGCAATAACCACAACGAGTTTCCCGGAGTTCGATTCAAGTCCTCAACTCAACTCTCATTTGGACCTGTACAAACTCAGTTTAGAGAAACCCGATATATTCTGGGGAAAGTTGGCCAGATCCAGACTTACATGGAGTAAAGATTTCGACCGAGTCTCAGATTGTGACCTGTCAAACGGTCTGATTAAATGGTTTATAGATGGTAAAATCAACGCATCAGGTAAAATTTTGTTTTATATACACTTTGTGCAACAAATAGATACAATGTTGCTGTTGACTTCAAATATAGTCTATTTTATATCATAATACATATAAAATAAACTGTATTTATTAAGAGTCAACAGCAACATTGTATCTGTTTATCATATATCATTTGTTTATGAAGCAAAATCTACTGATCACTGATTATCAGCGCATGTATTTATTTTAGTGTATAGAATTATATTATTTATTGATACTCTAGTGCAATATATAGATTGTATACTCACTAGAGCCAGACCCCTAGCTGAAAGGGAGGGGGAGGTGTAAGAAATATTTACCTCCCCCTGGAAAATGTAGATGACATGAATGACTTGTTGAGTCACACTGTCAGGCCTCTTAAAAGATTTTGCCCCCATTTCCCTAATATTGACCCTGTCTTTGACCTCACCTTACCCTAAATAAAATTTATAGTTCAGTCTTACATTTAACATTGATAATCTTTTCACCTTGAACTGCATTCTTTAGTAGAGTACTGAACTTTCTTACTAATGTTATTATACATTTCAGAGATAAATTGATTCTAAAAGGTCTTCTAGCCTCTGACAAAATTATTGGTCCCTATTTATATATGTTTCCTAGCATAATGTTTGGGACACATATAGCTTCTACTTACATTATTCCCATTTCCTATTCTATGAATATACAGGTAGTTTCTTCATTGCGAAGAGGCGAAGATCTATTGATAAAGGTGGTGGGACCAGCTGTCTATAGAAGTATTCCCTTTCTTAGCCTTTAGAGTTCACATTTTGCTCACAAACGACAAAGGTCTTTCAGAAGGGGTTTAGTGAGGCATCCCACAGAATATAATAATATAAAATGAACAGAGATACCTTAAGCATTAGACTGAAATAGAGGCTCGAAAATTGTGAACACAATGAACAAAAAAAAAAAACAAACAAAAGAATTTTTAGCTATGTAAACCCTTTGAAAGATTGCTGACTAACCATAATAATAAACACAATTCGAAATGTGAACTCTCTGACAAGGATGTCAGGCTGACAATCCCAATTGCAGAGTTTACAATCACAAGTAAAAACTAGCATCAGGTGTTTTAAAAGAGTGAGCAGCTTATGTTTTAATGTTTCTGTAAATAGCTGTGAACATTGAACTCTATGGTTACAAGGGACTAGGCTAGTTATCTTAGTTGACTTTAAGTAATACATACACATACACATAAACAATTTTGAAAACCTCTTGACAATCTTAACAGTGGAAATATAACTAATAAGTATCTAAAACACAGTTTTAAAACTGTTTCAATTTAATGATTTAAACAGAAGTAGGACAGAATGTGATATAGGTCACCCTAACCTGTTTTAGGTCTGAGATAAAGCTTGGCACAGTTGTTTACAATATTTTATGTCTAAGAATAAAGTATAATATATTATCTTCTTACATGATTGCCGATTTCTCACTCCTAGTCAGTAAAAAAGTTCATTTTTGGAATTTTAACACCCATTTCCAAAACTATCTGTTCTGGTATGGAACGAATAATAATCAGAACATATGTGGTATCAGGAAGTGATAGTCAAAGTCAAATGAGAGGAAAATCTATGAACTGTAGAATATATTATCTTTGTTGACCTCTTACTCTACTTCACTGAAATTAGTTTCCATACTTTACTATGCTTAAAGTCCTCTATTGGATAATTAACCCTTGCCTATATTGGAAAATTTGCCCTAATTTTCAAAACTAGCTCTCACCAGGACTGTTCAACACATATAAATAGCATGAAATGCTGAATAAATTAAAACCCCAAACTCTTGCAAATAGCTGCATCAGTTCACACGGCATTAATTTGTGTTTTTATATTTTAACAGTAAATTGTGTGGACCGACACCTAGATAAATATGGTAATCGTGTGGCCTTAATTTGGGAAAAAGATGAACCCGGTCAAGAAGAGTATATAACTTATAAGTATGTTTTAAGATCTTTTTTATTCTTGCCTCATACTTTGATTTCGTAACTTTCAATCCAATTAAAATACAGATTTAGATGTTTTGTTTGTGGGTGGCACCATTTTGAATACTTGTACATTTATATACTAGCTGATGCCAGTGATCTATTGATATTGATCTCAAATACATGTTGAATTAACCAACATACAGTTTAATTAAAATTAAACTAAACTTTCCAATTTTAATAAGACTGAACCAACAGATAGTGATACAAATCTTTGTAGTGAGCCACCATTGATCCCAAATATATCATTGCCTATTTTTGGTATTTCATATTTCCATATGTATTATTGGATTGATAATTGATTTCCTTACAGGGATTTGTCACTACTTGTTAATAAACTATCCAACTCACTGAAAAACCATGGGGTAAAGAGAGGAGACAGAGTGGCTATATATCTACCATGTTGTCCAATAGCAGTGGCAGCCATGTTAGCTTGTACTAGAATAGGAGCTATACATAGTGTTGTCTTTGCTGGTTTTAGTTCTGAAGCTCTTGCTGGCAGGATCTTAGATGGTGAGTTAGTTCTTTTAGTCCTGGCACATCATTTCAAAAAGTGATAATCATTTATACGAAATTCAAAGCAGAGGATCTTCACTAGACAATTTCATATAATTCCTTACTATTGTCTGACCCCGAAATAAATAGATTTTTAATGGGTTTGTGGAAAGGGTAACCAAATCTTTGCCCTACCTTACCCTAACTTAATGTTTTTATTTTCTAAAACTGGGAACAGATTTAGCTAAGAAATGTTTCGTTACTACAAGAAGCAGAACTTTATCACTCTGCAATCTTGTCTCCCATTCAGTAACTACAAATAATAATTGTGTTTGATTTCAGCAAGAGCCGAGACTGTAATAACAGCCAATGAAGATGTAAGAGGAGGTAAACTATTAAATTTAAAAAAGACAGTAGATGATGCTGTGGCCAAGGCATCCTGTGTGAAACGTGTGTTTGTTTATGATTTACTCGATAGACAAGTTCCCATGAATAAACTGGATATTCCTCTAAATAAGGTACAAACAATTGATACAATTCACTAAAGGTCAAAGCCATAGCAGAACCTCAGCACGACTTCTTGGCAATGATTCCTGAGATTATCTGTAGCCATATTATCAGCCCAATTAGAATTAGACCAAACTTTTGACCCGTTTTTTATAAGCATTTATTTTTAATATAGTCACTTCTAAAGGATCTAAAGACAGGCCTTTTGTCAAATTAACCTTTTGAGCTAACCTGATGACCTATGCTTTTAACCAATCAACACTGGGATTTTGTGAGAGAGTGAAGGAATTTGAAATGAAGGTAAGGTGAGGTCAAAAAGTTATTGTGACAAAGGTTCAAGAGGCCCATCTTGGATCCTTACAACCAACTGGTTCTTTATCAAACTTCATAACAAATCTCTTGTTCAAAATATTTTTCATGAGTTGACAAGGACCCTGTCTACCAGCTGTCTAGCACTGTAGAATGGGCATGATATTTCCAGGTTGTATCGAATTCTGTATTATAGGTGATGAGTGAAAGTAGTGGTGAAAGTGAAGCTGTTCCGATGGATTCATTAGAAAGTTTGTTTATGCTATATACCTCAGGAAGTACTGGCAAACCTAAAGGTATCACCCACTCTCATGGTGGATACCTCACTTATGCTGCTGTTACTTTTAAGGTACAGTTCATTTGATTTGTGAATATATAAAACTGTCACTTTTAAGGTAACAAAAATGTATATTTATGCCTGATAGCCCAGCCTGGTCCCACATGTGTTTCATGCATCTTATAAATGCCCTTGTGATGTCAATTATTTTTGGCACCATTCATTTATAACAACTAAGTTGAGAAAATTTGTGCTCATTTTTGTTAAACAACATGTATTGTGTTGTCTGATTTTTTATGTTGAATATAGACTGCTTTATTTCCATTATCTGCTCAATATCAACAGTTGTTGTAATGCCAGAAAAACTTATTTTAATGTATTTTTTGGCACTGTAAGTATCCCCAACATGCAAAGCTAGAAAAAAACCTGTTTTGAATCAATTAACCACGAACTATGGGCACCTATATCAAAATCTGTATACAGCTGTCTGAAGATCACAGAGCGCGAATTTCAGGAGTCACAACCTGCTTCAAGTTCTATTTTTGATATTTCTAACAGCATATAAAATCTATTTGCAGCATGTATTTGACTATAAAGAAGAAGAGAGATTTGGGTGTCTAGCTGATATAGGTTGGATTACTGGACATAGTTATGTAGTATATGGACCACTGTTAAATGGTGCAACTACCGTGTTATTTTCTAGTACCCCAACTTACCCAGATCCGGGTGGGTAGAAAAATAAATAAAAAATTATAAAGGATGCACTCGATTGTTGGGTTATGAACAGATTCCGTCTGTTCCAATTCCAGTCTAAATCGATCGGACAGAACCAGATTATGCCAAATAGAAAACTTTCCCTTCTATTCCTTTCTCCACCATTTTGAAATCTGTCTGCATGTACTATTTTTTGGAACATGTGAAATATGTTCTGAACCCTGTTCCGACTTGTATTGATTAAAGTCTGGTTGATTTCATGAGCAAAACTCACCAATCAAGCAGCCTCATAGTTATTGAAAGTAAGCTGTAGAGTTCAGTGTTACACATGTCTGGGATTTGATCCCAGCAAAGGTTGAAATAGTTCCTGTAGATTATTCAACTGGTTTTTCTCAAACTGTTAATTCTGTTTGGCGGGGCAAACACATTGTAAGACAAATTGTGATAAATGCTCATTTCAAGTAATCATGGCAGTGTTAACATTTTTTCCAAATTTTTATTTGAAAAGTTATGATTCTTTTTTCAAAATTTAGGAAGATATTGGGAGACAGTTGAGAGATTGAAAATAAACCATCTATACATCGCACCAACAGCATTACGTTTATTACTGAAGGGAGGTGACTCCTGGGTTACTAAATACAACCGATCTTCGCTTAGAAAATTAGGCTGTGGTAGGTATTTTACTTAGAGCTTATCTGAACTGTTTACATTTGCTTTGGACATAAAGTTCTCATCAGGACAGCTGTTGCCGATCTTACCTATAATGGTCAAATTCATGATCCATATTTTCTTTGTTACACTATATTATTTTCTTTTATTTGTATGCTAGATAAATGGTTTGTGATATTAGTTATTTTTATTAACTATTTTTAAGTTGGTGAACCGTTGAATCACGAAGCGTTTGAATGGTATCGTGATGTAATAGGAGAAAAAAGATGTGATGTTATTGATACTTGGTGGCAGACGGGTGAGTTGATAACTTTTTTTAAAGTCTCAATCCAATAATATATTAGATATTAATAGAAATCAGAGTAGAAAAACGGAAGAACTTTGGAATCCACACATCTACCACCCCAACAATATGAATCTGTTCCATGACGTTATCAGCCCAAAATAAGAAATAATTTCTCAGTTTAATTATTTTGTAGAAACTGGAGGTATTTGTATAGCTCCCAGACCCTCTAATCCTGATGCCCCAATTTATCCTGCAATGCCAATGAGACCGTTTTTTGGCATCGACCCAGTTTTATTGGACAGTGCTGTAAGTATAGAGTATCATTAGGTAGATGATCATCTTTAATTTGGGTATTAATTTGACAATGTGTATTTATAGTATGAGAATGAATGTCATTTATTAGTGGATTGATGTTGAACATGATGTAAGGCAGAATATAAAGGGGCAATGGAAATTTCGAAAAAATTTAGCAAAAGTTCAAATCATGCACCAAAGATGACAATCCAACATACATTCTGTTAAATCAGGTTGAAATCTATTTGAAAAGTGGTTTAGTTAGAATAATTTGAGATCGGTTCAAAGCGGTTTAAGTGTGTCACGTTTATGTGCTCTAAGACTTTAAAGTCATTTATCTCTTGGACCAAGTAATGTAATACCTAGTTTATTCTGCCCCTTAGCGAATGTATTATCAATTATAGGGCCAAGTAATAGAAGAAGACAATGCATCAGGATCATTATGTATCAAACGACCTTGGCCAGGAATGGCTCAAACTATTTATGGTGATCATCAACGATATGTGGAAACTTATTATCAACCTTTCGCTGGTAGGTGGCCTACTTTAATTATACTTCAAACTGTTTCTTTGTCATCTGTCCACTATTAATTCTGTGGTCAACTGTGATATATAAAAACAACATTTGCATTGTCAAATAGCATCAAATATCAGGTAATCTTCCATGTAGTGGTTGATGACAAGGTCCTACCTATAGAGGTTTGACCTAGGACAAGCTGGTAGAGAGGGTTGTATAATAATTAACAAGAGGATAATGGGTATAAGAGGTATAAGAAAGAATCTATGAAGTTTGAACCATAATATATATATATTATTCAGGTTATTACTATACTGGAGATGGTGCTGTTCGTCATCCTGGAGGTTATTATCAGATTACAGGGCGTATGGATGATGTATTGAATGTCAGTGGTCACAGACTGGGAACTGGAGAAATAGAAGATGTCTTGGTATGTATTGAACCATTCGTTGTTCCAAGATTCTTTTTCAGTTGTCATCCTCACTGAGAATGCGAATGCGTATACTGCAATTCCTTATTTTATCAAGAAACAGGTTCTACATGACATGCTTTGATTGGTTGGACCTTGGGTAGAAAACTTGTTGGATTATAATTCAGTATAGAAATCTTTGAATGAAATCACCATGTGACATAAATAATGTAGAATTATCTCATTGTCTGCTATCTATTCAGGACGACCATCATGCCGTAGCAGAATCAGCTGTTGTTGGATTTCCACATGATATCAAAGGAGAAGGTATGATATACTAAATTAAATACATTAAACACTTACCTGTGTATTTTTGTATTTTACTTTTTTGCTAATTAATGAGTAAACTGGGGGCTATAAAAAACAAGGTGTTTTAAGTAAGCTCTTGTGTAAACAGTATGCAAATTAGATCATTATTTCTATTCCAAAAATATATGAATTCACAGTATGCTTTCATTATTTTATACCTCATTATGTATTAATTTGTGATGTATTTCCAGGAATCTATGCCTATGTTATATTAAAAGATGGTGTGTCAGAGAGTAGGGAAAATATAATATCAGAATTACGACAGATGACGAAAAAAAGACTGGCTTCTTATGCTCAGCCGGACATGATTCAGGTTAGTTCACTCATTAAATTTATATTTGGACCTAAAGACAATCACATTTTTCATATCAGAATCATTATTCATAAGTATGGAAGATAAAACCATAATATTTTGACCTCATAATTATACAGATATTCATTATCTATTGCAGTTCACACCTGGTTTACCTAAAACTCGATCTGGTAAAATAATGAGAAGGATTTTACGGAAAGTAGCAGCGAGTTCCTCCGATGACCTGGGTGATATTTCTACTCTAGCGGATCCATCGATCGTGGATGTCATAATTAAAAATCACGACAAAATAGTCTACAACAAATAAATTCACGACATTGGAAGCAGTGTGAGACCTATCACCCCTTAATCTCATTTAAACTTTTCTAATCATGACTATTATCAAATGATTGGAAGAGTTAAATTTGAGTATAAAGGAAATTTTTCACACTATTTCAAGGCTGTAAATCAACTAATGCAAGCCTGCCAAAATTTTATCAGGGATTATGTATGTTTATTATATTGTTGGCTTTAGTATACTTTAGGAAAGATATATTAGTGGATATCATGGAGCAATTGAAATCTTAAATACAAGCAGTTTACTTATTTTTAGACAGTGTAGGTTGTAATAAACAGAAGTTTGGCTCGTATTGCCTTAATAACCATTCTCAAAATTATGTGAACTGCTCATGTTCATGTTTGCTGATGTCCCTTGTGCACAAATATCTGTGCTCGTCCATATACAGAATTTCTTCTAACTAATTTTATGCGTCTGAGTGTTTGTGATATCACTTATTTGTTATGCAATTTGCCTTAGACATAAGAGGCAGCATAGTATTTTAAAATCAAATTAAGTCTGTTAATTCTTGTTAAATGCTTGTGTTGTTTGTGTCTCATTGTTACATTCTTTGTGGTGCTGGGCTTACTGCTTGTTGATATGTCAAAGGGAAAAGGTCATAGCAAGTAAAGCTAAATTTCATCTGACATCTGAAAATTTGGAAGAGAGGAGATGACGTCAGTAATTCTTTTAGCTAAATGGACGTTGACATTGTTTTTATTTTCTGGTGAACTCATCTTCTTGACCAATCATAATGCAGGGAATTTTATTTTTAGAAACTGGCCCTTGACCCAACTATCTGGTTGTTAGCCATTTTACCGTGGATTATTTTAATATATTTTTGCCTGATTTTGTCCTTTCATATTGCCCATATACATTACCATTGTTTTGCCCAATTTGCCTACAGCAACCCTACATAGATTCTGACTTGATTATATACTTACTTAGATTAGTCAAAATAGTATTAATAACTTAGATCTTATTGTATTCTTGTTAAAGAGTATTAATTGTTCATTTTATAATATTTACTTCTATAATTTTCAAAATTTGTATATGTTATTCTATTTTATAATAATTGTACAATAACTCTTTTTATACATCTATATGAATTACATTGTTTACTGTTCATAATTGATGAAGGGTTAAGTGATGTGAAAAAATTTATATAATATTTCTGAATCTTTTACATTAAATTTTATTTAAGCATAATGATGATCTAGCCCTATGTTTCTTAGAAAATCTGATGATTAAAATTTGTCGGGGTACAAACTTATCACAACAAAAATGGATTGTAAGATTTTTGAAAAATAGGGCACTAAGTTATATTCAACAAACTTTTGCTCAGAAATATATCTCAGTTATTTAGACATTTAATAAAGTAATTTTACAAAATATATATTTTTCATGTAAATATTGAATGAAAAGTTTGTTGATCTCTGACAAATACCCAGGAGCTCACAGCCTTCTTTTACCACAGAAGATAGAAGAATTTTAAGTCCCTATCCATCAATTCCAAATGTTTTGGGGGGGCTCAGTTCACTTCCAGCCCTGTAAAACTCTCCAACAACTTAACTGATCCAAAGTTTCCAATTATAAAGCACATTCCTGATCATTTTTGTGAAAAGATAAAAGCAAGTCTTCAAGGAGGATAGTTTTGTATCAAGTCTTCAATTTTTTATCTGCTGGTTCTTTAACATCCTCATCATCATCCTCCTCTTCCTCCTCCTCATCCTCATCAACTTCCATCTTGTCTGAAATAGAGGATTAAATATAATTCATATTTTGTAGACATGTAAAGGTTCGTAAAATCCAGACTCCAGCAAATCTGATGGACTGCAACATCTCCTTTTACAGTGGTCTGGTCAAAATAAATACATACTACATAGAGGCAGATGTTCAAGTTCCTTGTCTAAATTACCCAATTAAAAAAAATAAGAGTGTTCTGTCCAATGCAATCTACTAGTAGGCAATAAACATCGGCATGATTATCTTGGCAAGGCCAATATCACCAACAAATAGAAAACATACCTTTCAATAATTGTTCTGTGCTGTCCGTTAGCCTGGATTTTTCTTTGTCGATAACTTCAGTTAGCACCTTGTTACAATCTTCTTGTATCTTTCTCACAGAATTCTGTAACTGAATCAAGTCCACCGAGACGTCGCCATGCCCAACGGGTTGGGCAAACACCATAGTATTCCCATTTCTAAGATTAATGTCAATTTTTACTTGTGAACTCATAATTTCTATTTTAAAAAAATAGTCTCGCCTACTTTCAGTTTGCAAATATTTCTTCTAGAGTTATCCTCTCCTTTAGGCTCAGTCATAAAGGTCTTAGTTATCTAAATGTAGTAAATTAATTTCCTTTTTGATTAACAATTAAGATGGTACACGAATTCTTACGGCTCTTCAAATTAAATAAGACAATCAAACTTTCTAAAAAGATAGATCTATTTTGAAAATGATATACAATTTCGTTCAAATAAAGTCAATTTCTTAAGCTTTTCAACACGGATTAGTCTTACGAACTGATAGACAAAAGACTGGCTTGTTCGAAGCTAGTTTATTTACTGTTGGATGAAAATCATGTGAAGGTAATCAGAAAACCCAAAAATGTAACAATCTGACAGAAAACCCAAAAAATGTAACAATCTGAGCATATTATAGGGAATCTGTCAATATTGGTTTAAAAGCGAGTAAAAGGGGACTGAATTGATCAATAGTGGTTGAATAAAACCCACAAATCATTGGTTTAAAAGTTAACAATGATGGTATAAAACCAGAAGCCACCTTGCTGACTAAACCTATTTTAGGCCTAAATAAATTAACCCACTACTTAGGCCTATGAGCAAAGCTTGGTTACTTAGTACCTTAGTACATGCAAGGATTTGTTATACTAATACGTGAGCTGATAAGGTTAATGGTAGGAAAAATACTGTGATAAGCTCCTCACTTACCAATTTATCAATACTTCTAACTATCAATACTATCATTTCTTTCAGATTGTGCCAAATCAAATTTAAAACATTCCAAATGGTGTGATGGTATCTTCTAGTCAGCCAGTCCTCAACTTACGGAATATCATGTCCACTTCGTGTATAGAAAAGGAACAGCAATGTGTCCTGCACTGGTTTCAAGGCTGGAGTGCCATGCAGAAGTCAAACTTCTTAAAAGATATGCTGGATAAAGCAGTGCCAAACAATGTTGACGCCTTATTTGATGCCATGGACTGCATGAGTGTCAGAGATCGCCCGCCTTCCATATTTCAATGTCAGTTGAAATTATTTACTCAGTGGTTTGCTGCATGGTCTGAAGCTGAACGTAACCAGTTTTTGATTCAGTTACAAAGTATTGATCCTAATTTCGTCGCTCAATTTAACTTCGAAGTTCAACAGATGAATGGACAAAGATCTTAACAGATTAAAATGACAAACAAGCAAAAACCCCCAATTTTATAAATGAACTGTTAAAAGTAATCCTACTGCATGTCGAGAAAAATTCAATAAACGGACAAAGGTTCAGTGTGTGAACTACCAGTAGTTTAGATATTGACTTACCAGTACATCCTAATTATAGAAATCAACATACCTTATCCACTATATTCTAATGATGAAATCCTTGTTTGGGAGATCAAAGAGTTATCATGAAATGTATTATAATTTTTACATGATCTCATATTGACTTACAACTTTTACTTTTTAAAACTGGACATTTTATAAGGAAAGATTTCTGACAAATTATGAAAAAATTATGGCTCATTTTATTAAAAAAAATATTCCAAAGACCAAGTCATTGTCAGTACACATTTTGATGCTCCAGTCAGACATGACAGTTCTGGTTGACTAGCTGGTAGAAATTTTCCTTGCAAACTGAAGTCCTTTTGGTCCTGATGAACAGCTTTGGTCAAGGAGTTATCATTGTAAAATCTTTGTGAAGCTTGTAGACAGGATCCTCAAGAACCTGAAGTTATCCTTTTAAAATCATGACCATTTAGAGAGGGTCATCAAGAACCTTAGTTGTTGTCCTTGGAAAATCATTGCCCATACATCTGATCAAAGTTTGAAGACTTTAGATCCTCAAGAACGAAATTCTAATATTCAAGATATTTCTATCATTCTGGCCTGGACATGTTTTATCTAAAGCAGTGGTTCCCAACCTTTTTCAGCCTTCACACCCCTGGAGCAACCACATGGGCCTTTCAAACTTTTTTCATCCACATTTGTAGCTGCAGCATGTGATGATATGTGCTCTATAAACTCAAAACAAACTCTTCTCCTACACCAGTTAGCCACAGCCTTACACCCTAGTCCCACACCCCCAGGGGGATGAAAACACCCCAGGTTGGGAACCAGGATTCTAAAGAAAACAATGTCATTGGGTGTGCTTGTAGGATAAATAGACAAAACAACTGAAAACAACAATCGTATATTTCATTTAAATCACATTTGATATCAGATAGTAGTTATCTCATATTAATAACATTTTAAATTCATTCATTTTGGATTTTTCAAGTTTTAATACACACTGGCAATGATTTATTTTAAATTTCTGGTCTAAATCATCTACATAATTAGTTTATTTAGATTGATATATAAAATATGGATTTCCTTCATATTCTCAGGCTTTAAAAATTCAAATTTGTCAACTGGTCTGAAAATTTATATATATAAGTAACTAAAGTGCAAAACTTTTTGAAACATAAATATTCCTTTTTATTCTACTTAAATAAATAATGAGTACAATAATGAATGCCTTGCTTATGGTTGATTGGATCCAGATGTCCACAGTTACTCCAACAACCATGTAATATATTACTAATATTCAGCTGTAAACAAATAAAAACTATTATGACATCTTTATTTATTTGTTTAAAATATCATCTTTATTTATTTGAACGAAATGTTAACTAAGATTAAAAATCAAGATTTCAAGAACTTTTCAACATACCGATTGTTAATCAGATGACTGAAAAACTAAAGTCATCAACTTATTTTTCCTCAAAGAAACCAAAAAATACTTTTAATAAATAATACGTAACAAACATCACATGACAATTGTTTCCACAACCAATGAATTTATAAATAATTCTAAAATATAATTTAAATACAGTATACATAAAATCTCATCATTTAATGCCTCAAAACTGATAAAAGATATGGAGCACTATCAGCTTGTAAAGCAAATATTTAAAAGACTATATCTCTTTGAAATACAGTGGAGCCGCATTTATCCAGTTGCCGATAATATCTGCACATTTTTACTGGGAATGGAATATTTACTATTACCCATTACTCCATTAATTCGGTGTATATCATTTGTAAATGGTTTGATTAGTATATCTTTTACAAACATATATAGGTCTCCAAAATTTGTATGTCTGCACATAATAGGGTCATGCTTAAAATCTCAAACTCTAACAAAAACATTTTGATTTAAAAATTTTTGATATTTGATTATAACAATTCAATTTTCAAATTTATAAATGAGATATATAAACTTTTAAACCAGTTCTGGTCCCCTTTTATTTTACCAAATGTCAAGTGCGGCCAGGCTTGAGATGACTTAACATCCACATTTGCCTAGCTTAGTCTAAATATTAAAGAGCCTCCCCAAGTCAGTACCATAAACAAAAATGTTCAACCTTCTTACTTTTTGGATGAGAAGTCTCATAAAAGCACTGGCCGAGAACATAGTCTCATAAAAGCACTGGCCTGTTGTGTTTGCTTTATAATGAGAGATATAGGATAAGGTTGTCGTCACATGACTTTAGAGATTCCACATAATATATTGAATTCAACAATAAGTTACATTTTCAAAATGACTAGAGTAAATCACAATGGCACAAACCAAAATATTTCTAATACACTCTGATAACAAGAATACTTAGCATTATCAGTAATTATCTTATTCCGCAAATAATCAATTAATCAAAAAAGGTTTAAATATTAAAAATTTGCTGCACACATTAAAAAAATAGAATAAAATAGACAAGAATATAACCTGTTGTACAGTCTGATTTCATAACTAGGTTAAAAACATTTGGTGCTAAAATCATAAAAACTATAAAATAAAGGCCAGAAAAATATATTCCTAGATTTTTTGAAATTTAACTGACCATCAATTTCAATGCCAAACTATTTAAAAGATTTAAGTAAACTTTTTAAATCAATTAAGTTTTCAGTTGGTGTAAGGATTTAAGCTAAATAAACGCTAAGTTGTAGAGAAATATATCTCCTACGTAGTCGTATTTTAAAGGTTTCATTTAGATATTGATTGGTTATTAGGTCCAATACTAAAACTAGTTTCGACTGTTAATATTTAATCAACCTTTGTATAATGATAGTAATGTTTGTAAAACAACAAAAGAACTTATTCAATAAAAAATATAAATATTTTAATTAGCATCATGTTTAAGATCATATATATAACATTGTCAATAGACTCAATATAATAGCTTAAATATCAGACCTTTTTCATTTTGACAATAATGCTTGTTAACATCATAATAGAACTCCTTTTATAAATTTTAAAAATACTGATGAAGATAACTTTTCTTTTTTATAAATACTGTACATAACAATAATAATTTATAAATCAAATGAATAAAATATAATGTCCCTCACCAAAATATATCAATTTAAAATTACCTAAATTCAGGCATCAAATATAAAAATATTTTTAAATTGATAAAATATTGAGGACCTGTCCTATAATTTCCTTTAATAAACAATGTTAAATGTATTTAAATCAAAAAGTAAAAGCTTAAATTAATTAGAAATCACTAATAATAGATATTCAGATGGAATATTTGTCCATCAGATTTCCCCAAAAGCAATTCAATAGTTTTCAGTTTTCAAAAATTACTTCTGATTCATTGAACGCTGGAATGTTAAAATGTTTTACTAAAAATATGAAATAGAATTTTGATTTAAAATTTTGTTGTTGTTAGATTTGGAATGTTACAGTATTAATGCTTAAATGATGAACTGAATGTGACAATCTTTTTCATCTTCATTAGGCCATTACAAACTTTATCTTATACCTTGACTGCTATAGTTACCTTTGATCACAGAATTTAGCGGTTTGATTGGATTGTGCACTTGTGAATACAGCCAATCAAAGCAGACCTTTTGGCTTATTAGTTACAGACATTCTGGCCTCTGATTGGTTGGATTCCTTTGTGTACAATCCAATCAGATGACAGAGACACTTATAGCATCTATATACACCATTAATTCCCTGATACACACACAAAGGATAGAAAACCTAATTTGAATCCATAGTCAGAATTATTTCTGTTTTGAGAGGTTATTAAAACCATACAACTAAAAATCATCAATGTTATTTGCTATGAAAAAGGAATTCCACTAAGTTCTGATACCATGGCAAGTGCTTTTGAAAGTCAAACTCTCAAAAATAATTTTTTACTTAATTGACTGATTAATACAATAAAACTAGTGTCGTACTAAAGTGAGGAATTCTTCCCTAGTTTTGGGATCTTCTCTAAAAACACCCAACATGGTACTGGTCACTGTTTTACTGCTGATCTTCTGAACTCCTCTCATTACCATACACATATGACTGAAATCAGACAAGACTGGTTATTAGAAGGGATGTTGAATTTGTTTACTTTTCAGTCAATTTTAACTTCTGCTCAGATTTGACTGTATTTACCAGACATTGAGATAAGATTAGTTGCTAGCAAGGATGTTATTTTGACTTGACAGCCATTTTTGATTAGAAATTTTGATTCAACTATATTAACCAGTCATATTGTTGAAGACCGACTGTTAGCAAGTATGTTGTTTTGGTTGTATTTGACAGTTGATTCTGGTTATAAATCTGACTTTATTTACCAGTCATATTCAGACAAAACCTGTTGTTAATAGTGATAATGATATAATATTTTTCACAATCATGTCTGATAAAACATCCAAATGCTAGAGTGACACAGTTCTTAAATACATTCAGTTTGAAAGTTCAAATGAAAAAGTTAGTTTATAAAGTTGAAAAAGAACAAGATTCAGAATGTTGCAAGACCATGATAAAACAGATGTATCATTTTATAACAAAGGTATAAAAATGATAAAACTTGAAAATTGGGTCAGAAAGTCCAATATATTATAAATCAAACTTTTTTCAAGAAAAGAAAAAAATAAAGTTTTTTAGGTTCATTTCCTCTTGCTCCACCCATTCCTCTCAGTACAGTCTAGTTCAATCAGTTGAAAATTTAAAAACTCAAGTTTCTTTTTCAACCTTTCAAGGAAGTTACATATACAATACTAATATGTTCATAATATTTTCTAAAAAAAGTAATTTTATCATTTTCAATTTTTATTTGCAAACAAATAAAATAATTTAAAAATGTAATCACAAGGATGGACAATCATGTTTCTAAAATATCTTTTCATCAATATTCATTTTATTAAATGATAAAATAGGAAAGGAGAAAATTGTGAGATTCTATAGCACAGTCAGTTACAGCGTTAGTTATTTAAATGACATCATTTGCTTGGTAATGTTGAGCAAATGGTGGCTGTGGATTCCGATCTAGTTCAGTGTGTGAATGCAACATGACCTTGAATAAGTCATTTCCAGTCGACAAGTTGGACAATCAAACTGAATGCTGAAATACTATTTGTCTTGATTTGTATCAACCAGTTATCAATTTGAATATCATACTGTTACTTACGTGGCCTCTATAACTACACCCACACCACTAGGACAGATTGCCTCCGTTATTGCTACAGCTATCTGTTTGGTTAACCTTTCTTGTACTGAAACATAAACAATTGGTGGACATTTGTATCCTTAGAAGATTGACAGACATCATAAAGACAGAAATGTTACTGCACCGCAAACTTTCCTGTAAGCTGTTACTTCATTATCCAAATTCAAATGATTCCATTAGAATATCTTTAGATTAAAAGACCAAACATGAATGAATAAGTAGCAGACTGTCTTCAAGGACAAATGTTGAGGTTAATTTATCTACTTACTTTGAAGTCTTCTGCTAAATATCTCAACAATTCTGCAAAAAAAATATAATCGATCATCAAATATTTGGAAGGAGATTTATGTGTTTCCAATGTATTTCCAATACTTCTATCCAGTAGAAAAGAAAAACAATAATTCTGTTAATTAGTTTAATGTCAACTTAAAGACAAATACTGAAAAGAAAAATGGCCATTGTGTGTGATATTGAACTAACAGTCAGGAAAACGTCTACTACAGATTTACATATTAAGAACAAAACAAAAGGACTACTTGGTATATTGGTTGGTATATTGAATTTTGCCCATTTTAGTAAAATGAATCTGAATATAACATTTTTATCAACACAAAGTCATTCTCATATTAACATAACTATTTTGAAAATCCGTAAGATATGATATACCAACCATTTTGCGAAAACAGTAGGTTCATTTCATTTATGATAGTAAGTCTCAGGAGAAATATCAGCTACTCCATTAATCCTACTAATATATTTAAGATTTACATCTTAAGGCAACATCATAAACAATTTTGTATGATTTTATTATGTCTGTTCAGACAGGCTCAGATCACATTAGACTTTAGTGAAAACAAGTTTAAATTTAAATTTATTAAGAAAACATGTTAATCAAATCTATTCAGTGAATTTTCCATATCATATTCCAAAAAATTCTACTTCTAAAACGTATAAATTTCTTTGATTAATTAGAAATATTATGTGAAATGACTGGTAAAAAAAGATTGTAATACCAGTATCCTGTTATTGAATGAGAAAGAATTTCTATTACAGATTTCATAAAAATATATTTAGACTACTTGGTCACAAAATCATATCTTAAAGCAGCTATCTTTGATCCTTTGAAATGAAATTTTACTTCTTAATTTTTGATCAAATCATTAAAGAAAGGTTGAACCTATGTACAACAGGGCTTTTGTATTATCTGTATTTGCCAGTCATGTTTGATTGGTTGTCCAAAATGGCTGACTGCAATTTTGATCTATGCAGGTGTGCCAGATTTTAATGCATTTTTGATGAAATTTAGAATAAGATCTTAATAAGGTTCTTAAGTGTCTGATTGGGAGCTTTTAAAATCAACAGCCCTGATGTACAACAACCTTCATAACAGCATGAAAAGCGAAGTAATATTGTAAACATACTGATATATATGATAAAAGTCACGTAATTAATAATATTTTGTATTGTATTTTATAGTTGTTTTAGCACTTTATCTGGAATTAATGATCTTTAAGCATGCAATATTCAAATGTAAATTCATTTCCTTGTAAGCTTAAGCCTATATAACTTTTATATAAGTATAATTATATTCCTGAATTAATCAAAATAAAAAGACAGAAAAGGGATGCTGAGTTAATAAACTTAACTACCAAATAAACATTATTAGCTAAATGGGCTCTACAAACATACATACCAGAAAAAATTATTAGCTATGTGAACTCTTCAAAATTGACAAACCACACATAGGATTGTACCATGTGTTGCACCTTCTTCAAAACTTGTTTTTTACACACTTGCAATTAGAATTTTGTTTGTTAAATGCTCATATAATGATGTATAAACCTTTTTTTCACTTTTTAACCGTCTTTGAGTGGTTTACAACTGATATATTTAAAGGGACTGGTTGGCATTCATTTGATCAATCTCTGAAATCTTTGTCTCTGAAACAGGAATTTTTTTTTTTTTTTAGCTAAGCAATAATTGGTAAAAGTCGAAAATTTGAGTCTTGTGTCCAGAATTATTCGCTTTTGATATATATAGAAATGGAAAGTGAAATTTCTTGTTTCTTTTTTTATTGTATCTGTATCTATGTTATCCATCAACTCCAAACAGTAGGGCATTTTTATATTACATTCTTTTCATTTTTTTTCCAGCTCTTAAAAGCCTATCCTGTTATCCGATGGCTAAAAAAAAGGCAGGAATTTCATTTTATTTCATTATTTACCTTTCTATTTCCTGCTCTTAAAAGCCACTCCTGTTATCCAATAAATTAAACAGTGCAGTCTACCTCTGTACATTAAAACAGTTTGACGTCATGAGATATAGAAATGATAGTTTTTTAACTTGTATAATTTGTGCTCTATGATTTAATATGCACTAATATCGACTATTGATCTGACATTATTGATTATCACTTTGCCATATCCTTCATCTATTTAACGTTCAATATCCACAGGAAATGGAGATTTCATGTTAAGATCAACGCAATCTATATTTGGGACGTTCATCAATGAATTTAATGTATTGGAATGAAAAGAGGACAGCCTCCATTAGTGTGAAGTGTTGACATGTCTTTCAGACAGATTTCAAATAGAAATACCAGTCTGACTTTTGGTCCGATCTGTTTATCATTCTAAGATCGTAATCTTTCCTGGTTTTCTGGACTGTCTAAAATCTATCAAAACAATAAATAAATTTGTTAAATCCTCTAAGTGTGTCTTTGTAGAGCCCAATCCTTTATGTGACTACCTAAATTTGTCAGATGTTGTTGTCCAGTAGTTTATATTTTATGAGTGGTTTCTTGAAAAGGTTCATTAATTAACTTTGCTTTATATTCTAAACAGTTTTGTTTGTTTTGTTGCCTTCTTGATTAATAAAATCAAAAATAAAATAAGCTTCGGATAAAATCTTTCTCATCTGTCAGTTTCAGTTTCTCAATTTCTTGTTTTCCTTCTTTAAGTAATTACGTGATTTTTCTAAAATTACTTTAAATAGTTCAAAAAATGCATTTTAAGATTTTCAAAATGTTTAAAGATTAAAAAATGATAGAACAGATTATAATTTTATATTCTTGAGTCTTATTACTTAGTTTCATTTTATTTAAAAGGATCAAAAGATATTTAAAATAATCCTAGAAATAACTATGAACGATGTGAAATAGATTATGAGATCAAATGCAGATTGTACATGCGGCAATTCCATACACCAATATTCTGTAAACACAAATAGTACACATCTTAAATAATCAAAGAAGAGGTTCGGTTTTTAACAATTTATTTGCCTTCATTCGGTCAGTGGTTGTGCCAGCCTCCTGAGACTGGGGGTACCAACATAGGCAGATTGACCTAATGGCAACTGTCCAGGTTGCAATTTAAAAATAATGTGGCAGCTCTGTCACACCGCATCACCATAATTATTCCCACCAAATTTCATATAAATCCGAAGAAAACTGTAGTCTCTTATTGTGTTCACAAACAAATTTTGACGCGTTTATCATAAGTCAAGAATAACTTAAAAAAAACGTTCATCATAAGATCGTCAAATCAACTTGTCCAAGAGCTCATCAATATAAATGATCACACCAAATTTCATTAAATCAGATAGAAACTGTAGTCTCTATTGAGTTCACAAGCCAAATGTGAACTAATGGACGGACGGACAGATGGAGAGGGGCAACGACAATATACGACAACATTATAATGTGGGTGTATAAAAATCATATTCTGAATGCCCCTCTGCCCATATTAATTAAAATAATTATAACAGCTATTGAAAAGGTGTTCAATGGATTGGATACAACAAATAAAACTACTGATTTTTGCAATTTATAAACATAACATTTGCTATATATAGATTTACATCAATAAATTACAAAACTGATATATTTTTAGATTTGTATTTGAGTAATCATTGACAATGACATTTTAAAACAACATGTTTTTAACATGTTAGATCTATATCACCAAAGCTATAAAAGGAAACAGCAATCTGAGTGTTTCTATTTTTGATTTAAATTATTCTCAAGATCTTCGATGTGAAATAAAAACCTGATGCCATTGTTTGATACATGAGAACAGTTTTATAAGTATGTAGAAAATCTTATAGCATGAATAACCAAAACTTTTCACATGTTCTTGTGGACATCATTTTCAAGTGTTCCAACTTCACTACACTTTATAAATGCTGGAAATCTTGTCATTTTTTCATTCAGATATTGTTTTGTAATTGTTGTATAAGTCTAATTGTGTGGATGTATGATCTGAACTACAGTCAAACATGTATTAAGCAAGCGTTCAAGGGAAAGCTCAAAAGTGGGTGCTTACTGTGTGTTGGTGCACCTGGTGTACTTTTGAACTACATGACACTGATGCAATCATTTTCTAATGTTTTTTTCAGCCAAAACATTAGTACTTAAAGGTATACTAACTGGTTAAAATGAGTCTTTGTTCATTATTGGATTATCAGGTGTCATTACTAAAGTAAGCATTCATTAAACTAAATAATTTTCATATATGCTTGTTTCAATAATTATTTAGTTTAATGGATATATCGTCTTATATAGAGATTCTATTATTTTCTCATGGCACCTGGTAAATCCAACTGATGAATATATACACTGTCTTGTTGACCAAGTTTGAGACTTTAAATTTTATGATCCTTCGAATATGTAGTATCCTTTAAAGATCAATTTTCTATGAAGATTCTATAAAAAATCTTATTCATGATTTTTTTTCAAGCCAATATATCAAATCAAAAACACAGTGAAGAAAATCTGTGATAAAAATAAACACATAATTCCTACCTGGCTAATTTGCTTAAACCTAGAATCTTCTTATTAGGTAAATATCCTATTGATACCTGAAATATAGCACATCAAATCCTGATATAGTACACTTGATTAATATAACAAAATCCATGCAATACATGAAATATATAATTCAAAGTATATAGAATTGAGTGAGAGGCATCCTCACCATTCAAGAACACCTGATGCCATTTAGCTTAGAGCCAGGGTTTCATCCTGTTTTTTACCCCCTTATAATTAGCATGAAGAACATGTCCTCAGATATTGTTTTTGAAGCTAGGATTGGATATTAAGCGCATCTTAAGTAGGATGGAGTACAAAATGCTGCAAATAATTCTATGATTACTCAGAGACAATGTAGGCCGTATAGCATAGTCTATGAGTTGTTGCATGTATTGTAGTTTTTTCTATAGCTTGTGACACATCAAATGACCTCAAAGTCTAAGGCAAAGGGAAAGTAAATCAAGAATTAAATGTAACCTACTTTTCCCATAAAAGGCACTAAATGATGTTCACACATTGAAAACATTTCTATGTCTTTAACAATGACCATTTCATCATGATCTTCATCAAAAACAGCATTGTTTAATACATCTGAAATGATAGAGAGATATAGTTGGCAAAATGTTACCTTTAATTGTTTGCATTTGAGCCTCGTTGAGCCTTGCTAAAAATCAATGTTACCAACCAATTCAACACTCTAACCAACAGCGCTACAACCGTCCTTTTCTGTTATTACTATGAGGGATGTCAATTGTAAAAACTTTGACAGTAGAGGAGATCGGGGCTAGTTGTAACACAGGTAAGTTGTAAAAAGCCTTATAATTTCTAACACTCAAACTCTACAGTTCTATAGATTTATTTCTTCATAGATGATGGTGTACCTATTAACATATCTAAAAAATATGGTCTTGCTTCAAGAACTCGACTGTAAATGTAAATGAGGCATTGTTGGTATTGTCTTTTAACATTGCTTCTTTGATCAGATGGTGATCTGACGCTGTTCCACTACTAATAAATGAGGGCACGAGATTTGAAATGAACAGGTCGTTTGGGATAAATTGTGACATTCTTCGTGGGGTAAGTTGTAACTGTGTAAAGGTGTGCCAAAACATTTGTACTAACAGAGTGAATTTTGAGATTTGTACTTGTTTAAGGTTATAACCAGTTTCTGGTAGCTCTAATAGACACCATTTTTGAGATTACAAGTGGTTTATTGTAAAATGAAATGTTACAATTTACCCCGAACTCAGGGTAAGTGACAGTGACAGGTTTAAATAATAGATCTCTTTTTAATGATACAATACAGTATATCTCAATAAGCCAGTTAAGAACTTAAAAGTGCATGCACAACATGCCAAATCCCTACTTTCACCTCATTGTAAACAACAACTTACTATGGCAGCGATGTAAGATATAATATAAAGGGTTAACTACAGCTATTGATTTATCATTTAGAACGTTGTCGAAATCAGGTTCCCAGACAATATCACAAGTCTGAATGAGATCCTTTTGAATACCTATTTTGGATAACTTGGTACATTTGTTTTTATTGTTAATACAATGTATTGTACATACTGTTTTTATAGCTAACATATTGATAATGATCTCCCCTTATTTATCATTCCATGTTTATTATAATATAATCATTTAAGTATTAAATTTATTAGCTAATAGATAGTCATCTATTAATTTTAAACAACATGGTACATTTTTATCAATGGTTTATCTGAGACAAATTGTTATATTGTTTAATTAACACATAAGTTACCATCATTCATATCATAATTTATAAAAAAAATTTTTAGGGATGTAGTCAACTAAAAACTATTCCCTTTATTATCAGATAGAAATGTTCCCGGCTCTCATTTGACTGAAAGATAAACAATATCAGCTTGATAGTCAATAATTATTATCTTGTTCATTTTATTGATGAATTCAAAAACCTTGAAACCTTTCCATTTCGTTTTGTAGATAAATACAAAAACCTTGAAACCATTCCACTTCGTTTTGTAGATAAATACAAAAACCTTGAAACCATTTCACTTCGTTTTGTAGATAAATACAAAAGCCTTGAAACCATTCCACTTCGTTTTGTAGATAAATACAAAAACCTTGAAACCATTTCACTTCGTTTTGTAGATAAATACAAAAGCCTTGAAACCATTCCACTTCGTTTTGTAGATAAATACAAAAACCTTGAAACCATTCCACTTCGTTTTGTAGATAAATACAAAAACCTTGAAACCTTTCAACTTCGTTTTGTAGATAAATACAAAAACCTTGAAACCTTTCAACTTCGTTTTGTAGATAAATACAAAAACCTTGAAACCTTTCAACTTCGTTTTGTAGATAAATACAAAAACCTTGAAACCTATCCACTTTATTTTGTAGATAAATACAAAAACCTTGAAACCTTTCCACTTTATTTTGTAGATAAATACAAAAACCTTGAAACCTTTTCACTTTATTTTGTAGATAAATACAAAAACCTTGAAACCATTCCACTTCATTTTGTTGATGGCAGTAAAAAACCATTGTACCAACTATTTTTTTAAAAAGTCAATTAATATTTAAAACAGGGATGTTGATGAAGTTATCTGCCAATCATGTCTAATAGCCCAAAAAAAACAGATATATGTGTATCCCTTTTAATTCACATCTAATAAAAATTGGGAACATGTTCATCTTTGATTGTTTGTACTCAAACAATATGTGAGAAAGACTATCTGAAGGCTATGGTTCAACATTTTCAGGGGTTGGTTTGGTGCTTAAATATGTAAATAGTCTTCAGAACTACTAGAACTGCAAGAAAATCACATAATATCTTCAAATATACTTCAAACTAGAAAGTTCTTTTTCTATATATGTATTTTCTGAAAACTATCAAGAAAAGAAGAGTCGTCATTTTATCTATCATACGCGATAATTCTGGTCACACATGGATTTGAAGATAGGCAAACAACAGATGAACAGTACTCTATATAAATATCTTAAAATGAAAAATGGAAGAACTTTCAAGGTGACCAGCAGTTTACAAACATTACACCCTGAAGTCATTCTACCAAATTAACTCACATTCCATATTTGGTTTATTCCACAGTTGACATGTGGCTGAATCTAATTGGTTAATGAATAAAAGATTACCAAATCAGAAAAATAGAATAATAAACCAAGGGACAGCTGTTCTTGGCTTCATTAACAAGTACATCTCCTAAATTCTGACACTATTGATTTTTCCTTACATTTCTGTGGTTCCAATTTTTATCTCATATCTTTTTATTAACTCATATTTCCATTTTTTTCTTCACTCATTTGTATGATTGTGTCACAAATCTCCTCTCATTTCTTAATTTTCAATGGTGTATGTCTCAAACCCTTGATATCCTCACTCACTATTCAGAACGTTTTCACTATTCAGAACGTTTTCACTATATTACACTGCGTGTAGGGCTGCAACGATTCACCGATGAATCGCGATCCTTTCCTTCTTATTGATGCATTGCGTTGGATGAAAATAATCTTTAAAACTTTTAAATGTTATAAAGTGCTTAATAGTGACAAGCTTGTTAGTAATTTTACATATTTCTACTATTTTTTTTCTCTTTCCTTCTCTTAATCGCAACAAATCATATCGTTGGACGAGTATCGTTTAGTGTATCGAATCGCAACTTCAAGAATCGTTGCAGCCCAAACTGTGTGGCATTTTGTTGTTAAATGAACATAACTCATTGTCTAAAAAGATCACTTTTCAAACTTAACCACAAGCTCCAACTTGGCCACTTCTATATAATCAAGTCAGAGAAATTAAAATCCGAAAAAGCCATTTCAGAATTTGCAACCCACCATTGTTGTGAATTTCAGTTTTATTATTTTTTATTTTATGTGAATACAAACATATATACATGTTTTTCATAGATTGTTTTTCAATATTCAAAAATACTGTTTATGATTATGAGCATTTAACAAAAAAATCATGCAAAAAGACATTTTAGAATTTTCGTCTTAAAATATATTTTGTATGAATTTAAATTATCTCAGAATATCTTGGTCTCTAATCAAGACAATGTTATAAATATCGTCAATAATTAAAAGTCATAAAAGACATATTCCCTCCTACACTATCACATTTCTGATCGAGAACAAGGAATTACAAATGATCCTTCAATTACCATACATATTGAATCGGTTGGGAATCGGTTGGGAATCTGTTCCCATTCCATTAATTCACTGTTTATTCCGAATGACTGTCATGTTTGTTTAACAGATTGGAATCTCAATGAGACACTGTTTTTTCATGGTAGTTTATTGGTTCTTCATTATGTATTATATACTATGCAAAACTTTAGCTAATTTCAAAAATTGACAATTATTCAGACCATGGTTGATGATTAAAAGATATTAACCAGTCAGATCTGACAGGAGCTTCAAAATGTTTGACATCTCAATAGACAATATTTGTTTGTAAAATTACATTTTCCATATTATTAAACTTCAGATACCTAAAGAACTATTGCAAGCTGTCAATGGACTGTATTTACCAGTCATTTCTGAAAAGCTCTAGCTAGACTGTTGATTTGACAGAAATTTTTACCAATCATGTTGCAATAGAGCTTTAGGCTCTTGATTTGACTGTTTATACCAGTTATATCTGATTAAAACTATAGACTATTAATTGGACTTTATTTACCAATCATGTCCAACTTCACCTCTAGATTGTTGGTTTGACTGTATTTACCAGTCATGTCCAACTTCACCTCTAGATTGTTGGTATGACTGTATTTACCAGTCATGTCCAACTTCACCTCTAGATTGCTGATTACTGTATTTACCAGTCATGTCAAACTTCACCTCTAGATTGTTGATTTGACTGTATTTACTACTCATGTCCAACTTCACCTCTAGATTGTTGGTTTGACTGTATTTACCAGTCATGTCCAACTTCACCTCTAGATTGCTGATTACTGTATTTACCAGTCATGTCCAACTTCACCTCTAGATTGTTGATTTGACTGTATTTACCAGTCATGTCCAACTTCACCTCTAGATTGTTGGTATGACTGTATTTACCAGTCATGTCCAACTTCACCTCTAGATTGCTGATTACTGTATTTACCAGTCATGTCCAACTTCACCTCTAGATTGTTGATTTGACTGTATTTACCAGTCATGTCCAACTTCACCTCTAGATTGTTGATTTGACTGTATTTACCAGTCATGTCCAACTTCACCTCTAGATTGCTGATTTGACTGTATTTACCAGTCATGTCCAACTTCACCTCTAGATTGTTGATTTGACTGTATTTACCAGTCATGTCCAACTTCACCTCTAGATTGCTGATTTGACTGTATTTACCAGTCATGTCCAACTTCACCTCTAGATTGTTGATTTGACTGTATTTACCAGTCATGTCCAACTTCACCTCTAGATTGTTGATTTGACTGTATTTACCAGTCATGTCCAACTTCACCTCTAGATTGTTGATTTGACTGTATTTACCAGTCATGTCCAACTTCACCTCTAGATTGTTGGTATGACTGTATTTACCAGTCATGTCCAACTTCACCTCTAGATTGTTGATTTGACTGTATTTACCAGTCAAACAAAAGCTCTAGATTGTTGATTTGATTATATATACAAGATTTCCTGATAAAGGTTTCAAAATGTCAAGTCTGTATAACAGATGGGAATCTGTATGATTTTTCTTAGTATTTAATTCATTAGCTTTTTATTACATAATATTATTATTTACTTCTTCAAATTTGATAAATTTATAACTATCATTTAAACCAGGGTTAATGATTAGGCTGTAGTTGCCATGTCATGTTTGATTTGAGCTTTAAAATGTTCAATAGTCGCTCAACTTTAAATATTTCATGTCCATAAATATACAATGTAAAACTTTTTACAACATTGTTTCAATATGGTCTTTTCTTTTATAGATAACAATTTATCTTTATCATATTTTTATCAAAAAAAATATTCTAATATTTATAATCCTTGTCAGTTAACATGATTTTCATGGGTGTTATTATTTCAAAAGATATCAGAAAAAGTGTCATTGATAGAGGAAATTCAACTCAGCAAATATGATTGTATCCCTTTCAATTTTATACACTACTACTGACTACAATGATTTCTGAATCGAATTCTGGAAATCATTTTCGAACGATTTAAAAGTTTAATTACAAAAAACTACAGAGTCTTACATTGTCTTTGAGTTGATGAAAATGTTAAACATTGGAAATGTTTTTTGTAAACATGATTTTACATTGGGGAATTTTAAGTTCCAAAAGTATGTCATTTTCACATGAATTTTCTGGAAGGGAAGTGTGTCTATTTCAAATTTAAAATCACTGAACCTTAAATTTCTATGGACCCGAAGATATTCTGAGACCAATGGCATAAAGTTTAAAATTTAATTTTGAATATTTATGAAATGAGAGAAAAAATTCAATTCAAAGCTCAATGTAGTCCAAAACTAGATATTCATTTCATACAATAGGCCCTACTTCTGTTTAAAAAAATGTGTCAATTAATTACCCTCGTCCCAATAATGTAGGTTTATTACAATTAATTTCAAGAACATTTCATACATACCTTCTATATTCTCTGAATAACCTTTAGTAAAATACATCAAAGCTTTTGCCGCGCGCTCAGGTGTTTTTAATAATCCTTGCCTTTCTGGATCTTCACCGACTCCTTGTAAAATATGTTTAAAATGACTAGACACATAGGCGATGCGCTCCTCTTCTGTAATACTATCTTTCCTGTTTCCAGAACCATTTGCTACTTTCGATTGTTCTTTCTCACCTTTATCGTGGCCGTTATTATTTACCGAAGTAAGCACATGTGAACTGCCGTTTGTACTCGGCTGTTTTACCATTGTTAATTTTCTTAACTTTTCTTCTAATTCGGCGTTAGGATCGGCAACAAATTCGTTCACTGTACCATTCATTTTTAGCTTGTTTTTCGAGTTATGCTGTTTATAAATTTCAAGTTTAGCGAAATGTTCAACTGAGTAAATGACATCTGTTCTATTTACACACTGGCTGTCATCTTTTATAAAGCACAACCATATTATCATACTTCATTTTTATTGGTTAATATCTAGTCATGTGTTTCCAGTCATATACAGTTTCCCCACTATTCTAAAATTAACTATGTAGCCTTGGATGTCCAGTGTGTTTGTGGCTTCCTGATACAGTCAATTTGTTAATCTGTTAAAGGGATATAATCGTCAAATTTGAAAAGAAGAGAATCTGTAGCTTTAACAAAATGAAGAATCTGTTCCAAAGTTTGTCTACAACCAGACAAATACGAATCTATAATTTATATAATCGGGAACTGTACAGAACACTGAGCGCTTACGGATCCATTCTATTGGTTCGATAGTCATCAATTGTATATATGTTTTTATTGTCATATTATGTGGTATAGGTAATTAGCATTTACTACTGTATGGCTATCCCACGGGACAAAAACAATCGGTAACAATATTGGCTAAGGCAGGTGTTTTCTTTAGAGGTAGTTGGTGGTTTACGGTAAAGCCGCCGCGAGATTAGGTGTTAAGAGCTCCTTGACTGTGACGAAAACTCGTTCACTATAATACATTAACGACTAAAACGGTTGGAGGGTGTTTATAAATTGGGTGAAAAGAACCATTGTGGACCTGAACACTCACTAACAGGATAATTGTAGCAACCGAGATCAAACGCCCGTGTCCAATCAACGGATTAACATACCTTCACCAATTAACTGTTAAATTATAGGAAATGCCACTTCTGCCATTCCATGTCGGAAAAGTTGAGGTGGGGTGTCCGATGCTGCCAAAAATCTGCAAAACAAATAGAATGGAAGATTTCACATGAAATCCATTAACTACTCACACAATAAGAGAGCAAAGCCGCCACCACCTAACGCCAGCCCCTCGTAGAAACGTCATTGGTTAGATGGTTACAGGGCAAATGTGAATCACAATACTACTTTTTTATGGTCTCGATTGAATATGGATATGCAGTTCTTTATAATTACGGTCATTAAAAATTATGATGAAAATTCTTGCAAGAATTCTGTGTAATCTAGGCCTACCGTCTTAAAATGACAGTTTATTGGCTTTGGATATCTTACAATATTTGCACAGACTGAAACTATTTAACCGAGACACAGGAAACTCTACTTTCACTTTTATTGGCGGCAGCTTTGTGAAGAGTACCAGGTCTTGTTGAAACTGTTTCTTACCTTTGTCACGCCTTGAGTCTGATGTTGTTTTTTTGTAACATGATATTTTTTGAGTCTAGTAATAATTAAGACTATATCTTGGTATCTTTTTCTAGCGTGTGGATTTGGACCTGTAGCAAAAAAGTTTCAGGATATTTAATAGTGGTCTGATTCAATATTGGCGAGCCGAGTCCTAAATTGATATTAATTAAGAATGGATGCAAGTTTATAGTCTTGGCTGCCTGTATTGAAAGATTGTGCACAGAATTACTATTGTAAGAAGTTTTGAAGTCATATTAAAGAAAATTAGCGACATAAAAGTCAATTTTTTTTTATCAAATAATGTGCCAAGGGAAATAACTCAAGAATTTGACAAACTTGATCGAAAGATTTCATTAACAAATGTTTTAGGTATGTTTTTCAGGAAAAAGTGCATAAAATGATGTCACGTTTTCTAGTTCGTATTTTTTAGGGTTTTAGATAATTATCTTTGACGGAATATTACATGTTCTTTTTAAGGTATTATATTGTGATGAATATTAAACCAACATGTTAAATTTTGAAGAATTCCCTCTATTAATACCCCAAGATGATACAGGCAAAGTTTATGAAGGGTATTTAACCATGAAGGTAATTAGAACTTTCAGCAATCAAAAGACAGTCATTTTGTTTTGGAAAATATTTGTAGTTGTCTTTTGCACCTGCCTATCTGAACTTCTTTGTATGATAGACCACTAAAATTTGTACACAGAGAAATTTCTACAATTCTACAGAGTTCAATCTCACCTTCTCACCTTGACTTCTTGAAGTTCATAAAAAGAAATAACACAAGGCATTCATTCTGGGTTTTTGAACTTTTGTTTGTTTGTTTCTAGAATGAAGATTATAAAATAAAGATTAAAATCCAAGATGGAGGTGATCTCCGTCATACAGTGGTGGAGACGGAATGGAAAATACAAGTTATTATAAATCAATATTGGCCCATACTAAAAAAGGTATTTCTTAGACATTGGTATTTTCAGTTTGGATTTATCACTCTTAAAGGGAAACAGTAATTGTCTAAATATATATGTGCTTTGCCAGTAAGCTGTTAAGCTCTTTTAGTTGGTAAAGCAAACATATAGACCACTTTTCAGATAGCTGGAATTGAGTTCTATTTGCTCAATCAATAAAGCTTGCATAATTTGCTTAAAAAAATAAAAATCTGTACAAGCTAGACTATTCTGTTAACCAAAATCTTACCTGACCTGATGCAAGAAACAGATAATAATGATTTATAACCAATTCAACTGTTTTCCTTTTTCAGAGATTAGCCCAGTGTAATAATTTAGGAAGTTTTCTGAAAGATTTGGTTAATATTGTGGTAAGTGCTGTAATGTTTTCACCGGTATAAAAAGATAAAGTTTATATAACCACTTTCTTAGCTGATAGGATTTAATTTCAGCTATCTGTAACTATATTCATAATGAGGTTTGAATTTTTGGTTGATCTTCAATGCAATCCTTTAGCAAAGGATTATTATTCACATATAATCGTTGCGTGAACAATTTCATTTTCTCGTTATTAGAGACTAATAATCTCCCTTGGCAGACCATACGTCACCATTCGATATATCCAATCAGTAATCTCGTAATATTTGGAGTAAAAGGATGGTGATTGAAAATGGCGACTTTTATTGAATCATCAGAGACTGTTGCAGATTCGCACCAACCCACTTGTCGATCAGTAATTGATGTGAAACTGGACAGAAAGGTACTTACATGTGACCTAAATAATTATCAAATATTTCAGAAAATTCTAACTCTTCCTTCCATTATGAATTAACTTTCAATATTTTCGAGTGGGATTTTTCCGGATAACGACAAAATAAGAGGGGGCATAACTTACACATAATTTGTGTAGTCGTATTTGCTTTGTTGAGTCATTGATTCACAGGACATTTGGAATAAATGTGAACATTATTCGAAGAGGCGTAAAAATTATTGATTTGTAAACTCTCTACCAATCAAATTTAATTAAATGAAATGAATGGAGTTTTAAGTCCTACTTTTCTGCACCATGTGGGCTAATGAAGACGGCAATCAAATTTAATGACGAGAATATGGGATTGTGAGAGCAACGGCTAGATGATCATTATCATTGTACCATTGCTAAAGGAACATACAATGCTATGAAATTAGCAATCTCTAATTTTCGTTCTCTTATACAGAAATTACAAATATGACAATATTTGAAATAACTACAAGGTGGAATGGTTATTATGCTCTGAAATGCTTTTGCTTTCAGCTAGTTATTTAATTGGATTGTAGACAAACTACATTTTGATAAGTGTTACTATAGCTGAAATTGAGCTCTTTTCTAAATCAGACTCTAGTAATCCAGAAATGCGTTTATTAGATTGTAGAAGATCAACTAGAAGTTTGATATTCATTCTGAAAAAGGGAACAATACCTGAAATTGATCTTTATTATCAGTTAATCAAATATAAGGATATATAAAATATCGTCATTGCTTTTATTCAAAATCATTATTGATAGCGCCAGACAGTTGAAATCTGATACAAAACCATTTTTAGTTTGTTGACGTATATAAGATGAATTCTAATTGATTTATTGATTTCTTTACGGTTCTTTTTTATTATAAAAGCATTTCCATGTATCTCTGTTGCTACCATTATTTATGATGTTAAGTCAGTCATATATAAAAACAGTCTGCACAAACAGTGGGGGTGGACTACTAATAAGATTTTAATTACCTAATAGTTGTATTTCTAAGGAGGGATAGTCCAGAAATTTCATTATAATAAAACATAATATTGTTAAACACTTAGCAACTCAAAAAGATGCAGAACATCGCAAATCTTAGCTAAATTACATAACATTTTCAGTCGAAGAAATAACCATATTTGGTCATATTTCTTATATATATTTGTGGTTGTAATAAAGCCAAACTTGTTAAGTTTCTTGATTGATTAGACTGACTAAAAAATATGCTCACCTTTATAGAACACCTGTACCTGCAAACTGGGTTTGCCATCCCATCTAGAAATTAGACCGGTTCTTACCATTGAGTAATTTTTGTAGGAAAATGAACTGAAACAAGAAGATTTGTATTCTAACTGTAGTTTAATTCACTATTTAGTTCAACAATTACAAACTATAGGATGGAATAGGTCAGTAATTGAAATATTATATTTTCTGCTTTCTTTATCTTTAAATGGACAGATTCGACATCTATTTGACCAATAATATCTTGGTCTCAGAATTGGGAATTTTTTTTAGCCAAGCCAATCAGTAATAGTGTAAAGAGCTCAATGTCAAGCCTTCAAATCCATGTGTGTCTAGAATTATCCATGTTGGAAGTTGACTCATCTTTTCTGGAGATAACACCTTATACAGAAAAGTTATAAATAGAAATAGAAAGGGAAATTTATAGTTTGAGGTATATTTGATCATGCACTTTTGGTCATTCTGAAGGTTATGTACTTATATTCAAAACCCTAATCTACCTCCAAAAATGCTGACTGTTCACCCTAAAAGAGATCTGTTGAGTTAAGCATGAGATGTATGAGATGAGAGTTTTAATGGTAAGGCCATATGTAAGATCTCTTTGTCAAAGTTTCCTTGTCCACAGATAAAAAAAATGACATGCAAGTGTCCTTGATTTGTATTTTCAGGTTCAAAACCATGAACTTTAAGCCAGGTGTAACTGCTCTTTGATAACTCAGATGATGTTCAAGCTTCGTACAAATGTAATATGGATGTCTAAATCTGTTTGGTTATTTCAGACTAAAATCTATTGACACTAGTTTTGAGAAAGTGATATTAGTTATAAATGATTATAAAGATAGACAACATTTGTTAAAACTACACTTTAATTCTCAGGTAAATGTCATCTGTTTTTACATGTCCACATCTGTCTATTGCCAGCAACCATGTTTATCATGTTGTTTCTCTTCATTCAACACAAAGAGTGCTATCTAAATTAAAGAGAACATCATATTTTTTGCATTGATTTATGTTTTTTCAATCCAATCTTCTATTCGTTTACAGAATTTATCTGCCGAACCCAAATGTCAGAGTGATTTACCAAACAAATTTCTATATCATTGGAACAAACAGGTTAGTATAAAGTGTAGTTTGCCCCAATAAGGGACGGGATGTTTAAGAATATTTATATCAAAATCACAAGGTTTTTTTTCAGTTAAATTAGAATTAAACCAGAATTAAACCTAATGTTCGTTAATTTTTTTTAATTAGCTTTTATTTTTAATATATCCTATTTGTGTTAAGGTCTAACGACAGCCCTCTTGAACGTTCATCAAATTAACCTATCGACCTAACTTGATGATGTCTGCTTCAACCAATCAAATTTCTACCCTCTCCAGCAGTCACCTGTTTTCAGGTTAGGTCTAAAGATTAATTTGACAAATGTTCATGAGAGCTATTGTTAGACCCTAATTGAAGGCTATATTAAAAATAAAAGCCATAAAAAAACGGAACGCAAGTTCGGACTAATTTTAATTAGACTTTTTTTTTTGGTGTAAAAAATAAAACTACTAAATTTGATTTCAAAATGTATATTATTCAAAGCATTCAGTAGCTTTTTTTTCCTTTTTTTTTGCCCATAAAATCTTTTCTTACTAATTTTAGAATGGTTTGAAAAGTTTAGTCCATCAATTCGAAGAAAGTTTAAAACAATATGAAGAGTTCTGGGATGAAATGGAAGAAATTGATAGCAATACCTGGATTTTAGACCCAGAACAACCTAGATTTAATTGTGCTTATAGACGTATTGTCATTGGTAATATATCTTGTCTGTATGTTAGTGCTAAAACCAGCTCTGTATAGGAGAGAGATTACTCGTACATGAAAATTATGACGTATATTGTTATTGTCCATCCCTCCCATTTGCACAATGTCAAGCTATACGAAATCAGATTGTACAGTACCGAATACAGCCAATCTGTGCCCTGGACAGAAAAACATAAACAATTTGGCTGCGTGGGTAATCAAGGGCTATGATTGGTTGTATCATTTGGAAGACTTGACCTTTTTGGTCTCTATTGATTGACATAACTGCTGGCTTTTTAAAATTCAGTTATGTTTGGATTATGAGTTTGGAAATGTAATTTGGATACTCTACTTTTTAGGACCTAATGTATCAATACAAATCAATGTGGATGCTAAACAACCAAGAAATTTTCCAGAGTGTATTTTTTTAGGAGCAGATCAACTCATCAACCCTCTTAAAGAAAAACTGAATGAAAATTTACTACTATGGTAACTGAACTACTTTTTATCTGAACACACTAGATAGTAGATACTAGTGACTAGAGATTCACTTTTAATGGTTTTGAGTCTATTCCTTGTGATAAAAAAAGGTCCTTAAAACTTGGCTTGTGAACTATTATGGTTTTTCACAAAAACTCTCAATTTGACCATGCTACTTAGCTTACCTTCTGTGATTCTTACAATATGAGAGTTTAGATACAAGAGATGAAACCTGGTTTATGTGTTTTAGGGATTTAAATAAAAGTTTATTAAGTAATTTGGAAACAGTTTTGGACGTTACATTTCCATCACCCACCAATTCGAAAAAAGAAGTAAGTTTGTATAATGATTCCCCCCCTCCCCACCCTCTCATTGCCCTAATGGAGACACCTTCCTTACAATAGAACCCTATGCTGGACCCATCTTTAAACAGGGGATATTAAATTCTCAAACAAATTGATGCTTTTGAAACCACAAATGCTATAGTTAGTCTCCTTCCATGGACTTTTTTGACTGGAGCTAATTACTGGTCAAGTTCTGTCCATTCTGGCACAATCTATAACCAGAAATAACTGTTGCTGTCTTAGTTGTATTGCTAGACTGATTGCTCAAAAGTGAATATTGATGTTCCAGTTCCAGTATTAGATTTCAATTTGGATTCTTTTTTTTTTTTTAGGTCTCCATTGTAATCTAAAAAGACTTATACCAATGTCGCTTGCTTTTGACATTCATTGCAACCAATCATAGCCTGTCATGCAGAATCTGTGTCTATGAATAGTTGTATATTGAAACCCAAAGTAAAGAGAAATGAATTCTAATATGACGAATTATGATACTCGCTTGTAAAAGTGATTCTAAGCCTGGAGAGTGAGGTGTGATTGGCTGCTATAAATAGCTTGTAGCATCGTCAGTACCCGACCTTGGTATAAATCTAAATAGATGGAGACCAAATAAAATAGTAAACGAAACGGCCTGTGACAAGATATTTTGATATATGTTGTGATTGATGTTGCAGGATTTCAGTGTAGAATGTGGTATTTGTTATGCATATAAACTAGAGTTGTCCACTCCTGATATTGTGTGTGACGACAAGCGATGTTCCCAAGCTTTTCATCAACATTGTTTATACGAGGTTTGTCTTCTTACAGTATGAGGCCTCCAGAGTATCATAATCTATGATTACATTACTATCAATAAGAATATGTATGTGTATACAGTTCATTTATTGTAAAGGAAATTTAAGTGTATTCCAATCACTACTCTAATATTTAAGTTATGATGATTGAAGGGAGAAAACTACATTTTAAATATTTTTTCAGTGGCTAAGATCTTTACCATCCAGTAGACAAAGTTTTAATACAATATATGGTGAATGTCCATTCTGTAACAAGGTAAGATCAAATTTCATGAATTCCAGACAGTTGGTTTGATTGTATTTGCCTAAGATGACTTGGAAGCTTAAAATGTCGGAGAATAACATGGCCTTATATATATTCTTCCCATTTCTATTGAGTCATTTCATTCTATATTAAAAAATAATCACTGAATTGTTCCTGAATTATGTTTTTCATAATCTATGATTATAATACTAAGATTAGATCAACTAGCATGGAGCCAGATACGCCAGTTTATAGTGAATACCAATCAAGTCGTCAACAGAATTTTATCGGTCAAGTCGTTGACAGAATTTCATAAGTCAACTTGTCGACAGAAATTGACTGGACACCTTTATAGTCAAAGGAATTTGATTCTTACCATTTCAGGCAATAACAGTCAAGTTACCCATGACGTGATTGATGAGGATGTCCACAGAAAAAAACCTTGCTTATTTGGAATGGAAATTACTTGATTGAGGAACCACTCTGTTAAAAAATTGTAAAATTTTAATGCTTTGGCACAACAGTAAAACTGGGTTGGGAGTGTGTATACAAACCAAAAATGCCTTCTAAGGAATCTATACATATGCCAATTTGATTCTAATACAAATCTGGATGTTATCAATCATTTCATTTCATCTGTCAAAAATTATAATTAATAATTCATACTTCAATCATTAATACAAAAAAAAACTCTTGCTCTGTGTATGAAATAATTTGTAATACAACTTTCAACGAAAATGTGTAAGAACTAATTTAGAGATCAGGTGCTTATAAAAAAAAATGACTGCTGATTAAGTTAAATTTGCAATCCTTGTTTGATATATAATTTTCTACATTATTGACAATATATTACGGCACATCATTTGATGCTATAAACTAAGCCTTGAGAAGAGGTAAGAGTCATAGCCACCAACCATGCAACAAAATTAAAAGATTTTATATATTCAAATTTGTATTTTTTAATCAGTCAATGCCACTAAAGCTTCCACAAGATTTCCTTTATGTTTCCTCAATGTCTTTTCAGCCACAGTTCTAGGTATTTCCATTTCATTCACAATCAAATCCACGTCGTCCTTGTTTATTTTCACTTTTGTCAGTTCTTTTTCTTTGACTTGTCTTTCCGCCGCTTCCAATTTCTGCTGATCACTGACGGCTTTCATAGCGTCCCCGATGCTTTGAGAAGAAATATCAGCTTCCTCCACATAGTCAGTGACTTTTTCCAGATCAGCAGTTCCCGAATCATGCTTCTTACTCTTTGGTTCTTTCGTTGTTTCACCGTTTCTATCGATGTCAACATCCATGCTTTCTCCGTCGGTAGCCATTTTTGTGATTTGGAGTAACGTCCCTTTAGTCGTGAAAGTGCTCGTTTTTCCAGTTCGTCAATTCTAAACTGAGATAATGAAATTCCCACTTTGTGCCAATTTCAGTTTCGATTTTTTTCGGATAATCACAATCAAAAAGTTAATTACATTCCGTTTTGACTATTTGTTTTATCTTATTTTCATACGCAAAAATAGCGTCTGGGCGATGACGAGAGAAAGTTACCTTGATTAGTAAGGTCAAGGCCATAGATATCCTGTAAGGTGAAGGCCACATAATAATAATACACTTCCTCATTACTTCAATGACCGGCCAAATTTTGTGGCCGATGGATACATTAATTTTTTGGATTGATTGTGACAGTTGTAATTAAATAAAAAACGAAAATTTTGTATTTCAAATTAAACGTTTAAAAAGTCATCATTATCAAATTTGTGTGGACAGTGATGAGTGACGGTTAACCAATATGGCAGACGAGGGCCCCTACATGGCCAATTTTTTACGAGTCTACAGTAATGCGGGTGGAGCAGATTTTTGATGGAATTAGTACAAACCTAGTCACATGGTGCCTTCATACTCGTGAGTATCGCAAAACTATCAATGTAAATAAATAGTGGCATTTTCATGCCTAACTAACTGTGTTAATGACCAGTCTATGACGAAACCTTGCATGGCCAAGTCTGAAGACCTCATGTGATTGAGTTTGTTCCAATTCCATCCACAAATCTGCCCCATCCCCATCCTTATCTTAAGATGTGACATTCTAATGTACTATGAGAGATTTTATTGAATAGAAAAATTCGATTTTTGTCATATTATTTTAATTCATAATTTAATTCTTCCCTTTGTACACAGCCACTGGAAGACCATAAAAATTGACCATTGTCCACAAAATTTGGCAGAAAAATTAGGGACGTAGGCTTTACTCCAAATTTCACCAACGCAACCTTGCACTACTAAAACCGTTAAACTGGCAATTTTTTCAGTTATTTCATCAGATATTATCCTCTGTGGTAGTGGCGGTAGTTAGAGACCAGTGACTTACTTATACCAAGGCATATCCATTATAGTATTATTATTGACCATAATAATATCATATTAGCTTGTCGCATTAAATAACCAACTTGGCAGTGATAACATAGGCCTACTACTTAGTCTTTATTCGTGTGGATTAGGCCTAATGTGTGACAGTTTCGGATACAGATAGGGCTATCACTGATTACTGCTGAAACGTTAAAAATGGCTAACCATTTTAGTGCAGAATTGTCGAATGAAATCAGTAAATGGATGGAGTGGGATAAAAACGAGAAAACCAGGACCGAAATCCAACAACTTGTCGATGCCCATGACGCCCAGGAACTTAAAACAAGGATGATGTCACGGATTGAATTTGGAACTGCAGGAATGCGAGCTAGAATGGCTGCAGGAAATTCTGTGCTGAACGATCTGACAATCATCCAAGCGACTCAAGGCCTGACAAAACATTTACTGGCTAGTTGTGCAGGTGCCAAGAAGATGGGGGTTGTCGTGGGGTTTGATGCACGTTACAACAGTCAACGTTGGAGCGAACTAACAGCTGCTGTGTTAATCAGCCAGGGAGTTCCCGTCTTTCTCTACTCCCGAATCTGCCCTACGCCTTATGTCCCATTTGCTGTCAAACATTATGGAGCCGCCTGTGGCATCATGATCACCGCATCTCACAACCCAAAAGAGGATAATGGCTACAAGGTTTACTGGACAAACAGCGCTCAAATTATATCTCCAACGGATAAAGAAATTTCCAAAGCAATTCGAGAAAATCTCGCTCCTTGGGAGGACTCTTGGAACACCGAACTGGCGCAGACTAATTTACGGAAAGATCCTTACGCAGAAATTTACCAAAAGTATAACGAACGACTTTTGACAACCTGTATCAGCAAAGCCAGCAATAGCAGCGCACCAACTCTGACCTACACTGCCATGCACGGTGTAGGCTATCATTATATTCAAGAGGCTTTCAGAGTTGCGGGATTTGCTCAACCGATCCCAGTCAAAGAGCAAGTAGAACCTGATCCTGATTTTCCTACAGTCAAGTATCCGAATCCAGAGGAGGGCAAAGGAGCATTGTTGTTGTCCATGAAAACGGCAGAACAAAATGACAGCCGTGTAATCCTCGCAAATGATCCCGATGCCGACCGTTTAGCGATAGCCGAGCAACAACCCAATGGTGAATGGAAAATCTTTACTGGTAACGAAATTGGTGCTTTGCTAGGATGGTGGTGCTGGCAAAGATTTCGAAAGCAAAACCCAGACGTCCCTTCTTCTGATGTATACATGCTGGCAAGCACAGTTTCTTCTAAAATATTACGGTCAATCGGTGATGTGGAGGGTTTCAATTTTATAGAAACTTTGACTGGTTTTAAATGGATGGGCAACAAAGCTTTTGAATTGATGGGAAATGGAAAACATGTGCCATTCGCTTTTGAGGAAGCTATTGGTTTTATGGTTGGAACCGAAGTTTTGGACAAAGACGGGATATCAGCTGCTGTCAATGCAGGGGAGCTTGTGAACGAACTGTACAAAAATGGTTCCTCTTTAACCCAACAGTTAAAGGAGATTTATTCCAAATATGGCTATCATCTTTCCAGTAATTCCTATTTCATCTGTCATGATAAAAACACCATTAGAAAAATGTTTGAAAATATCCGAAACTCAGGCAAATATCCAACAAGCTGTGGACCTTATAAGATTCGACACGTGAGGGATCTAACAGACGAGGGTTACGACAGTTCTAAACCAGATTTCAAACCGGATCTTCCTACATCCAGTAGTCAAATGATTACCTTTACGTTTGAGAACGGGTGCGTTACGACTCTACGAACAAGTGGTACGGAACCTAAGATTAAGTACTACACCGAGCATGTTCCGGACAAGAGTAAAGGAATGGATAAAGAAGAAGCGACAAATGAACTCAATGATATCGTGGAAAATATTATCAAACATTTCTTCCAGCCGGAGAAAAATGGTCTTATCCCTAAATCGGATTAAACCGTTATCTTTCTGAGATCTTTTTGAACACAGTTCTAATCTAATGCTTGAAATAAAGATCATTTATTTTGGAGCTTTATATATATTTGTTTGTGCATATAAAGGAAACTTATAGTTATTTGTACTATCCCATTTAATAGTAACAAAACCGAAGAAGAAATGAAATAATGATAATTAGATTGTAGCGATTTTAAACTTGTAGATTTTGTTATGATAATAATTAATTTATAATATCATTGTTATGTATAAATGAATGTTCTGTATAATTTTGTTACGTCAGAAATTGGGAAAATAAACCATTGAATTCAAATATGACTGTAAAAAATATAAACCCCTGGAAAGTTTCCTCTTACAACACGACCCTTGGTTTCAATAGAAAAAAAGAAAGAGTTTTGTCTTGTTTTGCCTATATATATAGTACCATTTAGGCAGTCGATTTGTTTGCACATTCCTGGTGTTCTCTGGAGAATTGGGGGTGAAAACTACAGACACGTTGCACAGATTCGTTAACATTTGATTTTAATTTTAACCCGACCCGACATAGTTGCCAAACCTGACGATAATGGAATTGTGTTATCTTATTTCTTACATTTTTTGTTAAAGTATTTTAAATATATACGTCCGATTTGTAACCTAGATAATTATATACAATTATATGTACCTCGATTCGGAACAAAACCATTCATTAATTTATTCAAACTAATGATGAAAATGTAGATTGTTGAAAAGTAAAAGCAGAGCCTTCATAATTTGTATTGACTGCATGCCTCTTCGTGTGCAGGATGAGTCGTATGTTGAGGCACCATTGATTCCCATCATCCATTTAATATTAGCCCTCCAATTAATGTCAGCCATATGGTTCCTCCTTCACTGATAATAATCAAATATGCCCTCCCCATCACTGATAAGAAACATGATGGAAAAGCATCATGCCTTTTCATGTGTAGCATGATTCTATTCTTTATGAGTATGGATCGAAATAGTTATGTGGTGGGGTACCATAGATTCCCATCAGTCATCCAGTAGTCCTAACCATTACTGTCAGTCATTTGGTTCTTCCTCCCAATCACTGTCGTTTATCTGAGAGACCCTGCCTATCACCGTCAGTCATCTGAGAGCCCCTGCCCATCATAATCGGTCATCTGAGAGCCTGTGCCCATCACCTTCAGTGATCTGAAAACCCCTTCCCGTCACTGATAATAATCTGGAATCACTTTCAGATATTTGGTATGCCCTGCCTTCCCTTGTCATATGTTATCTTCTTGCTATCGCATACAAACTAGGTGTTATAAATCTGTTCTGTCTATGTAAGAAACAACACAAAATGCTGTATGTTTGCTTTCACTAATCAGAAGTCCAATCAAAAAATTGGTAAAACCTAGTCAAATTTGTCTTTCATTCTAATTATAAAAACACTTTTATATAGGTTTAGTAGAATTTATGTTCATTTGTACACTATTAACAACATAATAAGCTATTACACTAATGACCTGTCAGTCATCTGGTAGCCCCTCCCCATCGCTGCCCTCTTTATCCCAATCCTTCATTGTAGCTCCCATCATAAAGTCATCTCGTAAAATACTCCATTTAGGGTTTTCATCTTCTTCATTCCCATCAGAATTTTTCTTGGATTTACTTTTATCTGATTTTCTCTGAAAAAGAGAAGAAAATTAAAATTACTAGCTATGCGGACTCTTTGAAAGGGAAGCTTGACCAATACAGTTATCTGATTTTCTCTGAAAAAGAGAAGAAAATTAAAATTACTAGCTATGCGGACTCTCTGAAGGGGATTCTTGACCAATACAGTCACACAGTTCATCATTTAAGTTCTTAAAGAATGACAAAGCCAAAAACCAATCTAATAATAATAATCTGATTATAATTTCATTTCTATTTTTCTTATATTTCTCCCTACCATTGTAATCTCTCAAGTTTTCTTCTGCAGTCATGTTCTAATGATGTTTTTTTAACCAATCAAAGCAATTTATGTAGAGCTTGTTTCTTGATGACGATGATAAATTTTGAGATAGCAGAACCCAAAGTAGAGCAACATGAAAGCCTCTTTGGGTTTCCCAACTTCCATACAATAGGTCATCGTTATCAAGAAACTAGTCCTACATGACTCTCTTAGATTGGTAAGAAACAACCTCATCAGAATGGGTCTGCTGTACAAACAAAGGAAGTAAATAAATAGCCAATACTGTACCTTTTTAGATGATTTGGAAGAACTGTCTGCACTGCCTTTTAAAATATCTAAAAATTTATCTTTGGTCAATGATTCCACCACTTTATCTTTCCTCCTTTCTGATGACCCTGCTTCCATCAATTGGTCATCCAGAATCTTCTGTTGTTTACTAACAGCATTAAATAGCTGAACAACACCTCTAGAATATCAGTTTAATAGAGTTTAAAAATGATATCAACCAAGTATTTGGACAAGGTAACTTGATAAAGATTAAACATGATATATCATATTTCTGCTCATCTGTTATAAACATTGAAAAGATCAAAGATTATATATTATGTGGACTGCAATAGAGTTGACCCAAATACCATAACCTACCTAGTGGCTATTCTCTGTAAGATACGTTCAGCAGGTTTATCTAATGGATCTGGTTTGATTCTCCCTCTATTTTCCCATTCTTTTTTCTGAAATAATTAGAACAGCCCAAATGTACATATCACTATTAATATTCAAACCAAATTTGAAATAATGAAATATCACAGAAATAGTCACACTTCTCTCAATACACCTTCGCACTAAAAAAATTTGTTTTTTTAAACTTCAAAAATGATTCAGGTACAATGGACTTTTGATTTCAAAAATTAAAGATAACCTTAGCCTGTTTTGTTTGTTGATCAATATAAACTTTTTTAACTTCCGTCTCTTCTTGTCCTCCTTGCTCTTTTATTTTTCGTTTTCTTTCAATTTGTTTATCTGTCATAGCTTTCGCCATGATGACACCTTTCTTGCTTGGAACTTTCTTTCCCAAGATTCTAGCCATGGCATCAGCCATTCCAGATTTCTTATTTTCTTCACCTTCACTGCCATTTCCATCAGAACCTGAAAATTAAATGAAAAAAAAATAGGAACACTGATGAATTTTGATTATATCATAGATTTTTCTTTAAATAGTCATGTTTTAGTGTGGTACGCTCAATTGGAGCTGCAGAATGCAGTGTAAGAATACCCTGTCTCTTTAGCAGAAAAACATGACAGTTTTATTCATCACCTGAATTTTAGACAAATGCAATAACACCTTATTATTTTGACCAAAGTATAAAACTAAAAGTTGTCTGACATGAAATATTAATTTTTTGGCAATTTTGACTTTTTTGGCCGTTTTGATTAGTATGGCTATGGGCCAGATTGACTAAAACTAAACTATAAAAAAGCGTTGAATTGACGGCCAGAAACAGAATGGATTTCGCTTTGGATCAGAGAGATGGGAGAGAACAAAAGAGTACCTTCTGAATTCTCGCCTTCGCTTTCAACATCGGCTTCTGACCCTGAATCCAGATCAGAAACATTTTCTTCTTCAAACACGTGCACTTTCGACATTTTTGTTTACAAGCTGCGTACAAAATCTCAATAAGTTTTCTTTCACGAAACAAATCTTTTACATTCTCGAATATTGCGTTCACAAATGGCTACTGATATAGATCTAGATCTAATTATATGTGAGTATTTCCATAAGAAAACATTGATTATCAAAAATGATATGGACTATATCCTGTTTATAACAGTTTATCATTTCTGATCTTTTTATTTCGACATGCTTAAAATTCAAGGGCACGTCACTCTATTTGTTTACATTTCTTGCCAATTATTAATTTCTAGATAAATTTCATCTTTCCACTAAATTCACCGTGCTTTGTTGTTAAAGTAGCCTGTTCACTAATACCAAAAGAAAGTCTGTTAGTTTCGATTTTGAGAAATATTTTTAGGTCTTCTTACGCGTACATTTTTTATATTTATCAAATACTACAGACTACAAATATTTTAATGTTGCTCGAGTTACAATTGCTGATAAGACGTTGGGAATTGACATGATAAGAACAAGAATTACTATGCCATATGGATACTAAGGTAAGGAAAGTGGTTGGCACAAACAGAACTATTTAGTAAATAGACACCATTTTGAAAACATTCCTTTCCTATTTTGTATATTTCTTACACCCCCCTCCCCCACCCTCTAAAAAAAGCCTCTATTGAAGATAAAGCCACATGTGTGATATGGTACCTATGGGTGTTTTTGTAGGTTTGGTCATAATAACTTTATTTAAGTGATATGGATAGACACAACTCAAAGAAAAATAAAAGAAGAGAGTGTAGAAAGGATTCTTCAGACAATGATAGCAGTCACATGGATTCTCTGGCAAGCTCTTCAAGTTCTAGTAACAAAAGGGGCAGAAGAGGGAAACAGTCAGATCAACATACATCAACATCGAACCAGCTATTGAATTCAGAGATTGAAAATCCCAGGTCAAACAAGGGGAGCAGTAAAGGTGGCAAAAACCAATCTAGAAACAGACGAAATAGAAGCAAAAAGAGTTTCAACTCAGAACGTTCTGACCATTCTACAGAGCAGAGTGAGGATATCCTTTTAAAGTTCCTATCAAAATTACATAGGTTGAGCTTAAATTTAACTGTTGATAAAAGGACTAATTTTTTGAATTATAATTTAGTTTCCTTAACGAGCTTACATATTCCAGGGTTCTACTATGATCCAGATAAAAAACGATATTTCAAGATTATGGATAATGCTAACATCACTAGTGCTGTAACAAGGGAGACAATTGCCAAAGAAAAATCAGAAAAGAAAAGACTAGAAGCTTTACAGACACTTTCTACTACCCAAAAATGTGAATCTTTGTCGGATTTAACAAATCTTTTGTTTAATTCTCGACAGGGGGATATCAGCCATTTAAATTTTAGGAGAACCATGTTGTTGAATCATGCCAGGAATCTAAGACTAATAAAATCTCAACCATTTTTTGAAAATCCTGTCCACGGACATGAAAAGGTGGAACATATGATAAAAATGATATCAAGTCCTTCTCATGATAAACTGTTGTGTCTATGGTCCATGAAGGAGACCATAATGCAGCGTTTACAACTTGTGCAGTTATCAAGAAAAAAACGTGACAGTGAAAATCAGAGATTATCTTTGAATGTTCAACCACGTGGAACAACAGTTCTACAGTCGTGGAGTAAGATAACAAACGTGTGCTGGGCGCCATTTCCAAATTATCCAGAAAGACGAAATATTTTATACACTACAAATTGTCACAGTACAGGACAAGCACTAGCATTTATCAGAAACTTAGATGCCACTTCTCCACGAGACGTGGCCTTCTTTGATTTCAGTATTGGTAACCAAGCAACTTGGACTTGTGCATGGAATTATAACACTGAGAAGTTTTCTGTGGGTGCTGAAAAAACATGCTTATTAATAGATGTAGAGACTCGGAGACTCTGGGAGTTAAATACACTTAACAGTGATCCTTTAGCTCAGACTTTCTCTTCTTGTGTAAGCCAATATTAAAAAATCTTCTGTGATGAGTTGGCCTGTGCTTTATCAGTCCAATCAAGAAAAATAAGGCAGCTATAATTTTGATTTTTTAATATTTTATCACATATTTTGATTTTTTTCTCTCCAATATTTAGCATTTGCACCACTAAATGTCATCTCCCATAAATAATTGTCCAAATTCCTGTTCTTCCTTTGTAATTTTTCATTTTTGTTTTGTATATCAGCACCTACTGTACAGTGGTACGAAGAAAGGGCAAATTGTTACCCATGATTTACGGAGCAAGTCAGTCCGACCAATAAAATGTATTTCGCATAAATCCAGTATCTCTCACCTTCTACTTTCCACTGATGATAAATATTTATATGCTAGCGACTATTCTGGAAAGGTTTGTATTAGTTTTCTTACACCACTGATTTGTGTATACTATCTCACTGATTTGTGTAGGTATATGTGTTCCAAACTGTGCATGTTTTTTTTTATCTCAGTATTGTTATGTTTTGTGTAGGTACATGTGTTTTACAAACTTTTTGAAATTGACAAAAAGACTGGCATGAAAGTTTTGGCAAAATCATTCTTGAGATATAATGTTATAAAACAGACATTTGAGCGGGTTTACCAGTCATATCTAGAAATACTTTCAAATCAACAATCCTGCAAAACTTGTCTTTCTTGGCTCAATAAGATGCAGAACAGTAGGATTTAAAACTTCATTTTATTTTTGATTCAGATAAAAGTATGGGATATGAGAAAGAACAGTGTAGTTATGCAGTACGATGGTTTACATAATGAATATAAGAGAATCCCGTTTTATATTGACGAATCTAATACTCTTCTGTATGGAGGTGAGTTTTGTCATATATACTTCCAAAATTTATCATCATTTAGGCAACTTATTACTTTAATCTAGACTTTTGGCTTTTGTTTTTCTTCTTTTTGTTGGCATTCAGTTCAATCATCTTTTGCTTAAACAAATTTAAGAATTGCAGTTTGGAATATAAAAGGAACAGTCATGTATAATATGATTAATATGCACCATTTTACCTACATGTTAATCTGGAATAAATGATGGAATGTGTCTTTAAAATCTTGGCATTGGTCCTGAAAGCTTTTTCAGACCTACTTTCCTCAAGCACACCCTACTAAGATCAGTGGTTAAGGCTCAAGGGACACAGTGTACCATCAGTTCCTTTTAAATTTAATCCCACCATTGCCAAACATTTTGAAATATTTCATATTTAACATTTAATTAATAATTTTTCAATTTTGTTGTCTTTTAGCGGGTCAAGACGGCTATTCTAGGATTTGGTGCCTAAAAACTGGTCAATTGTTACTGAATCTTCCACCACCCTGTTCAACATCTTGGGACACTATACCCTCCTTACAATTTTCAGGATGTTGGGCTAAAGAACAGGGCAATTCAGGTTTATTGATGGGATTAGGTGATAAACTCTATCTATATTCAAGTTGAGCTTTGTTGCATATTTCATACATTCTGTATGTCAAATGGATGAAGATATGTGATTTGGACACAATAAATAAATTGATGTTCAAATTGTGATAAAACTACTATTGTTCAGCCCGGTCGTTAGTGTGTGGGGTCTAGGGGGGCTGGGCCACAGCAAGTGAGAATTACACACTTACTGAACTTACTTTAGTTCATCCGATATTGATTAATTCGCAATGTCTTTTTACAAACTACAGAGATGAACAATTTGATAAAATTTTTAGCAACTCAAAGCCTGGCCCTGCCTGCATCTTCTTGGTATATAATCTGAGCCCAGCTCCGTTTCATTCCGGGCGCTGGGGCTGAGTTTGTATAAACTTTGATTCTGTTATTGTTTGAAGTAAATACATCATGAACCAAATGATGTTGAATTTGTTTATACAGTATGCTAAGCATCTATTTTTATGCGTTGGTAAGGGGTTCTAACTGTGATATTTGTGAGCTAAGCTGAGCAAAGATATTTGAGCACCTTTGAGACTACTCAAAAACATTGGCCACTTTAATGTTCAGTTTAAACTCTGTACTGATACTGTTTTCCAAAAAAATTAACTAAATGGAAACATTTTCACTTTAATATAACTATATAAAGTTACCTGTACATGCTCACTTATTAAATCCTACCCAGATGCTCGCAATAAAATTCACTGGACTATGGTGTTATGTGTCAAGTATTAGACAAACACAAAAATAAAACAAAAATTGATATGAAACAAAAATTGTATTAAATAATGATTTATCTACAAGCAAATAATATTTACAAAATAAAATCTAAAAATAGCTGTTGACTAGATCTTTTTTAGAAAATATACATTGACAATTAATTATATATTATTTACAATCTAAGTACAAAAATACCTTTTTCATTGGATAAAAAATAATAGAGTTAGCTATTTAACATCATTATGGGATCATTTCAAACATAGTTTTTTATAAAATCTCCACTAATGCTTACAACAAGTGTTTTGGATACACAATCCCCATCAGGAAAGCTGCTCAACAGTCTCATGTGGGCTTCAATTTATGAAATTAGCATACTTGGAATTCTTAAACCAAGTAACAAAATACTTTTGGACAAAACCAGCATAAATTTCAATTTATCAGTCAACTAACCGACAATATGAATATCAAATGATGAAATAAAAACTATTGTGACCAGTTAATGTAATTGTAAGAGGTAAATTCTAGTAATTATGATAATTACTAACAGGTATGCTATGGAATCAACAGCATTTGTAAATATTTCTTCTTATAAAATTTTCTATCATGGCATTAAATAATTACTTGCATAGATCATTGAAATATAAATATATATGTCATCTAATAATAACTTGAATATATGATTGAAATACAAACGTCATCTAATAATTACTTGCACAGTTGATTGAAATATAAATATGACATCTAATAATAACTTGGATAGATGATTGAAATATAAATATGTCATCTAGTAATTACTTGAATAGATGATTGAAAATAGATGATTGAAATATAAATATGTCATCTAGTAATTACTTGAATAGATGATTGAAATATAAATATGTCATCTAGTAATTACTTGAATAGATGATTGAAATATAAATATGTCATCTAGTAATTACTTGAATAGATGATTGGAACATTATCAAACACTTTAATTTAACAATGGAATAAATGTCTTACAAATTATTGATCAATTGAAAATTTCTACAGTTTTCAATGATATCGTTCCAAAAAATAGCAGAACAAATTGTTGTGAGATACAATATTACACTGCACATTAATGATGAATTGATACAAACAAAATTTTAATAAAGGCTTCTCCAGGAAACATAGCATGAGAAACTAAAATAAATATCCGAGTTAGCACTCATGAGAAACTAAAATGAATCCCTGAGAAAGCCTAGGGTGATTTATTATTGGATAAAATTTAATGTTTTATATCAAAACTCATGAGAAATCACAATGAATGCCTGAGTAAGCCCAGGGTGATTAAACATAATGATGTATAAAAAGCACTATAAGATGTTGTTAATATGGAATTCATCATAAATGTGTATCTGTAAATACGGTTTGTTCTCGAGTGTAACTGTATGTTGGACCACTTATACTATCATCATCATACTGAAATTATAAAAATTCAACATTCTTCAAATACAAATTAACTTATAAACCTTGATATTATGATTGTAGACAGATGTTAAAGGAATATGTTATTTATGAATTTTCTAAATAATTTTTCTCTAAGAATGAACATGCTCTGAAAACATGAGAGGAAGATTGAAAACAAAGAAAATTTTGCTACACTTACCAATCCACTATCAAAATTTTTCTCCCAGAGAAAATCATCAGAATCATCATCAATATCTTTTCCTGATGGTTTATCAAAGGAGAGACGTCGTGAAGTGGTAAAAGCCGGATTGATTACCCCTTCTCCTGGTCCCTGTATCACATCCACATTTGGCAAGTTCTGCTGAAAAATACAGGAGGAATAATTATTTGTTTTGGGAAATCACCCATTCCCTAATCATATTTGGTAGTTTCTGTAGTGAAAGACATAGACTGATTGGTTAAAAGTCAATGTCCATAAACAACCTGTCATCTTCTTTCTCTTATTTTACACAAACTGCTTGTCAGAATAGGCATTCTAAAAAGTGATGCTGAAATTGAGATCTATTGGCTTGTTACAATACAATTACAATCCTTTAGTACTTTAGTATTTTAATCTTTACTAAAAACTTACTGTTTCATACACACTACCATTAGGATCAATCATATAGGTTAAAGGTGCTGGAGATTTGGGCTGTCGATTATACAGAGGGCGTCTTTCTCGTACATACGGCCTGTCTTTACCACAATATCGTACACAGAGAACAATCAAAATAAACAACAACAATAAACTCAGGATACAGACTAACACTATAAACCAAATTTCCTGGTAAAATGGAATCTCATCTGACTGTTTTTCTGTCACTGCTGGTGGCACTGTTGTGGTTCCTGAAAACAAATATAAACATTTGAATTTGGCCAGTGTCTAGAACATTGTTCCTGAAAAAATTCTGGTTAATTTTCCATGTGGAGGATGAGCTGAAAACAACACAAAACTGTCCCGGTAAAAGTATTACTTTATTGCCATCATATTGAAAAAATGGTTCACAGAGCTGAGGTGTTCCAAGCAAATATTATTATACTCTTGTAACATGCAAAAAATGTTGAGCATCTAACGAAGAATTATAAAAAGAAATTTTCAAATGAATATAAGAATAAAAGTAAAAAAAACAAGAATATCCAATCAATGATAAAATTCTTTACCTAAGTTGTCTGCTGCTCCAGGATCAAATATTACAGATGGTGTTTCAGCTTCTCCCACCTCTGTCACTGCCTGGATAAAAAATCTCATCACTGAAACCAAGAACAATGAAATCTTATTATCAATATCAAATGGGGCTTTACTGCAGAGTTGTTCTTAAATTTCCTCCTTATTTAAGTTGACAAGGCTTTTGATTAGAGTGAATAATCCAGGAAAAATGCCACATTACTCTACATTTTTATTCAGCATTGTATCCCTCTATTAAGGCAGGCAAAGTATATGCAATATGCATAGACGTAGAGTTTTCATCCAATTCTAGAAAACCAATTCAAAATGAGAAAACATGATAAAAGAAACAAAATGAAAAACAAACCTAAAGCTCCTCTTTATTAGTTCAGTGATCAGATACAATTTATGAAAACAAGAGAGTTGTAAACACATACCTTGAGTTTTAGTACGTCTCTCCTCACCATAAACAGTTGTTATACCTCGGAATTTTACCACACCGTCAACTGACAAAATATACTCTCGTAATTTACTGTTTAATATAAAACTTTCTGTCCAATCAATCACAGCTTTAGTGTCATTCTGTGTTAGTACTGGTATCTTCATATACTTAGGATCTGGAAGTGATACATTAAAAATAAATATACAATGTCAATGATTTGGCAGAAATATTTAAGGCAAGAATATTTAATCTCAAGCACATCTTGCAGATGTATTTAAGGTTTTAATTGTTGAGGATGCTGTCAACCAGCTGGTCCGTGGCCAAGACTTTGCAATGGTCATTCTTTGATTATCTACACCCTTTAACAGCTGGCTTCTCAATGAATACTGAATTCAACATAACTTTAATTGTCACTACATTGTTAGTTCAAATATATTTCGAAAACTGTGATGAGAATAGAAACTTACCAGAGGCAGCTGTTTCAACTCTAACCCAAGTTGGAAAGTCAACTCCACCAGCTTGATTTTCAGCCTGTAGTTGATATTCGTAAGCTGTGTATGGTTCTAATGAGGCTACTGTCGTCACTAACTCTTGTCCTTCATAAACTTTTCTAGAATCACCTGGTACACATGATTCTTCATACGGTTGAGCTGTCAGTGGACATGCTGTTCTCTCAAATACCAAATATCTGTTGATCATGGAAAAAATATACGTTTCATATTTCAAATTTATCATTTTCTTTTACAGTATCATTGGTTATGAGACATCAGTCAGTTGAAGGGGGATTTGACTCCTAAATGGCTTATGAAGGCCCTGACCTAACAAGTGGTCTGACAGGCTCAATAAGCCACCCAAATTTTCAAGCTTTAAGAAACTTAAAAAAATATCTTACCTTATTATTTGCCCATTAGGTTGGAGTGGTTGAGACCAGGTTAGTTTAACACTGGTACTGTTGAGAGAAGTTGCTACCAAAGGTTCTAGGCCGGAGGGTTTTGCTGTACCTGTTTTAGCTGTTACAGGACTGCTATCTGTACATCCTCCACCAGTACAGGCTCTGACTTTCAGAGAATAGGTAGTGAATGGTGACAAGGGTAGGACTGAACCAACTGAATGGGATAAAGATGGTGATGACGTTGCCTAGAAATTAAAAGTAAAAAAAATCGGTTTTTGGTCCAGCATTCTTCCACTCCTGTGTAGAGATTATACAAGAAATTTGCTTGACTGGCCATGTCATCAAAGGAATGAATGTTTAAGAGGCCAGTCTTTAGTCCCTAACTGATGTGGCTAAAATGAAAATAACTAATAAAAAAATATGAAAGTTTGATCTAATTTTAATCAGACTGAAAATCATAAGTCTATTCTTTTTCCATAATTTTACACAACTGACAGAGTTGACAATTTGGAGATATTTTATTAATCTAATTCAAATCATTCCCTAGACCTGAGCCCTCCCAAATTCCCTGCGGATAAATAAATACTGCTTACCACTGTACCATTAGCTACTATATTATACAATCTAATAATACCATTGGGTTGAGCTGGAGCCATGATGGTAACATCGATAGTCGTTGACGTTGTACCCTGAAATTATCAGATTGAAATTATCAATTCAATACTCCAAAGTGAAAGTGTTGTGAGATTCATATCTAGCACAACAAAATGCACATATCAATACCTTATTGGGGGTGGGTGAAATGGGAGGGGACAAAAGGATAGCCCGTTCTAGACACTTATTGTCCAATCCATTGTTGTAGTTCATTAAAGCACCCTGCGTCTGAGAATGAATGAAAACAAAGATCTTACTGTAACAGTTGGTGTCGGTACGAAAGTAGGTGGTGCCTCTTTAGTAGTGACAGATTCCCAGAGACTAGTGGCGCGACCAATACTGTTGAATGAAGAAACTAGATATTGGTACTCTGTGAAAGGAAGTAGGGAAGGACTTCTGTCAGTATGTTGGTTTGCTGTACCGTTATATACTAGCAACTCATCACCATAGATAACACCTAAAATTAAAAATTATTTAGTGACAAAATTATTAGATGGATCTCACTAGACCTGATTAACTTTTACCTTTTGATAATATCATACATTTGATATACAGTAGAGATGAGGTCTTGTAAATACTAGGATTAGATAGTTGATTATGTTTAATTGCTAGAACTTGTGTTATTTATTGGCTAAACTTCATAACTAAGCATAAAAGAATATAAAATTAGATCAATACCTGTTGAATCTCTAACAACCAGTCTTCTTTTAACATCGTATCTTTTAATAACACCATTTGGTTTCAATGGTGGATCCCATGTTATAAATACTCCATCAGATGCACCGTTTTCATCTGCTAGTGGTAGCAATGACGGCTTTCCCTGTTCTTCTGGTATAGCTTCTAATGTTCGTACAGTGGCATCTTCACTGAGTTCACAGCCTCGTACAGTACAAGCTTGTATTCTGAAAGTGTGCTCTGTCCAGTATTGAAGACCTGGTACGATGTATGACAACTTGTTGGGAGGTCCAGAATAGACTCTGTCGTTTCCTTGGAACAGTGTGTAATTTACAAGCACTCCATTAGGTCTGATGGGAGATTTCCAAGTTGCTTGAACGGATGTTGATGACAAAGCTACTAAAGATGGGGGATCAAGCCCACTAGGTGATGAAGCATAAGTTCGAGCTGTAGCTGGTGGACTGACAGCACTACCCTTTCTGTTTCTAGCAATAACAGTGTAGGTGTATTCTTCTCCTGGTAGAAGGGAGTAATCTGTATGGGATGTCTTCAGAGTTCCAGAAGAGCTTAAACTTTCTGTATAAATCAACTGATCTCCTCTACGAACGTCATAAGATGATATGATACCATTAGATCTCTGTGGGGGGCGCCATGAGACTTCTATGGACGTTGAACTCATAACTCTTAATGTTGGTGTCCTCATATCCTCTGGTTTAGAATCATCTGGACGTCCTGAAGTTTCGGTGCTTGAAGCACATCCACCATTGGTACAGGCTTGAAGATAAAATCTGTATAGATTATATGGTAACAGTCCACTCACAGTATGCTCAAGATTAAGACCTTCATAAATCTTGCTTCCATCCATATAGAGGACATATAATGTTATTGCCCCATTTGTAACTTGAGGTTTGGTCCATGTGACTTTGACAGCTGTTGAGTTGACTGCAGTGACATCTGGAGGAGAGACCTTCAGTGGAGCACTCTCTTTAGTTCTGATAAAGGTAGGATCACTTGGAGTGCATCCACCTCCAGAACAAGCAGTAAGAGTGTATTCATACCATGTGAACGGCTCTAGACCAGAGTCTGTGAAGCTACGTGCATCACTGGCTCCAAAACTGAAAGGAATGCTGCTGTTTCGCTTTATCTGATACCTTTGAATGACTCCATTTGGTTGAGCTGGTTCATCCCATTCCACTAACAGCATGTTGACACTCTGGCCAATGTGAGATACTCTAGGCGGTTGGACTCCATCTGGAGCAGCTTCCCCAGTAGACACTGATATCCACGGACTTGTTGTTGATCCTTTGGCATTAGTTGCCCTCACTTGGTATTCATAATTACTATTAGGCTTCAAGCCACTATCCATAAATTCGTATTCAGGCTTAGATGTATCCAATGTTTTGTAGACAATTTGGGGGTCAGATATATCCCTTTTTCTTCTGGTAACTGATTGCCTTCTAAGCACCTCATAGGACAGAATCTTTCCATTAGGGTTCACTGGTGGTACCCATTTCAACAGGACATGGGTGGCATTGACAAGACCTGTAGTTGGACTAGGTTGAATTGATGGGAGGGTCTCTGCAGTTCTAAATGTCTGCTGCTTACCCTTGGTGCAGCCAGTAGAAGTACAAGCTTCCAAACTAACAGTGTACTCTGTGTAGGGTTCCAGTCTACGAAATTCAAATTCTCTGTTCAGACCTTGATAAACAGGGTTTATGACACCATCTTCATAGATTTTATAATTACTGATAACGCCATTTGGTTTTAATGGAGGATTCCATCGCAGAATCAACGCTTGTCCAGAATCAATCTTCTCAATACTGAAATCCAATAAACCTGCAGGTGATGACTGCATAGTTTGAACTCGTACATTAATGGATGACACACCACCAGCTGAATTCACTGCCTCCACGCGGACATCATATTCCGAATATGGCTTCAGCCCACTCACTGAGGTAGAAGTAGTATTTACAGATACCATCATATAAGGTGACTGTATTGTTGGATCAGAGTTGATCTCTTTGTAATAAACATTGTACATAGTGATGATCCCGTTCGGTTTGGTTGGTGGATTCCATGATATTCTAAATCCATGAGCATCAGATGAGTCAATAGTAGGAGTAGAAAATCCTTCAGGGACTGCTTCCAATGTTCTCACTCTTGACCAATCACTGGAGACATCACCAACCCCATTATATGCCACAATTCTGTATTCATAAGTGGTGAAAGGCAAAAGATCTCGACCAGCATGAGTAAAGCTTAGATCAATGCCAGGAGATTCATTAACAATAATGTCTGACGTTTCGCCGAATTTTCTCTTGTATACCAAATACCTTTTAATCACCCCATTTGGCTGCTCTGGAACTTTCCACGAGACCAGTATGGAATCTGATGCTTTAGCTTCTAAAGCAGGTGCTGCCATTCCAAGGGGAGGAGCTTCAAAGGTTCGTACCTTGACACCTTGTCCAGTTCCACAACCATTGATCACTCCCATCAGACACACCTGAAGTCGAACATTGTATTCCGTATAAGGCTTGAGACCACTGATAGTTGTACTTGTATCAAGTCCAATGCTTCTGTCAATTGCCACAGTTGCTCCTTCTGTTAATAATACACGATACTGGTCCACAACCCCACTCACAGCTACTGGATCCCAGTCTATAAAAACTGCTGTGGAGCTCACTGCTGTTACATTCTTTGGTGGTGGGACATACGCTGGGGTTCGTTTAGGTGTAATAACTGATGTAAACCCACTTCGAATCTTCCCAGCTGAGTTCTCAGCCTCTACAGCATATTCATAGGTGGTTTCTGGAAGCAAAGCAAGATCCTGAGTGACCAACTCTGTTCCTCGATAAGCTACTGATTCGATTCCATCCTTTCGTCGGATCAGAATATATTTGATGATCAACCCATTCTCCGCTTGTGGTTTTGTCCAGTATACTTCCACTGCTGTTGAATCAATGATGATAGTTTTTGGAGCTGCCAGACCTAAAACAAAATTCAAGATTGGATAAAATAATTGCAGTGAATTTACTCATTCTAAATCTGCCAAAATCTTGTCATTGTGGAATTACAGCAACCGAATATGTGAAACAAGAATGACATAAATAAAAACTTTAAGTGTATCAAAGCTAGATACTCTTTTCTACAATATTCATGAATATTCACAATATTTCTGAAATCAATTTCTGTCAAAATCAGCTTAGAATAATGACTTACCTTGAGGTAGGGCTTCCAAAGTTTTAGCAGTCACATCATCAGTTTTGGTACATCCTGCAACAGTACATGCTTCCAAACTGACCTGGTATTCTTTATATGGTACCAAACCTAAGAAAGTTAAATATGACATGTAGAACAGAAAACATAAGTAGATAACAAGCTCTACACTACACAGCAGTATAACTTTTCTCCAACTCCAACCTCTGAGTATCGTGATCATTTTTAAGATTTTATACAGATTTTTATGGGGAAATATAAATGCTCATCAGGGTTCAATTCTAGATTTGGCAGAAATTTTCCATGAAAAATATACAATTTGATTTGATTGGCAGGCTATTGTGATAAATTTTTATTTTTGTCTTATCTAAAGAAATATTGGATCTCAAAAGTGGTCATTTCAACCTGTAAACTGATATCCAACTTATACAGAAGAATGATTATTGTGTAGAGTGTCTCTAACAGCACAGGAGCTCAAACTATGTCTTAAAAACTCACCTGTCACTAAATACTCCTGAACGTCTGCTCCAAATGTTGATCTCTTGCCATAAATAATAACAGTATAGCCTAACAATAAACCATTAGGTTTAGTTGGGGGTGACCAAGTGATTCGTATAGCTGTCGAATTAACAGGTTGTGGTACTGGTGCACTCAGACCTTCAGGTGCAGATTCTGCAGTGGCTACTTGAACCTAGAATTAGATAAATATGAAGTAAATAAAAACAATACAATAAACTAGGACCTGTTAGAAAGATCATGAATGATTCACCAATTAATAAAACAAATATATGAAAAGGATAGAGGACTTTACAATTTTGCCAGAAAAGAGACATGACCCTACCTACCCTTTTTTCTATTTTCTGTTGAGGGATCTAATATGCACAGCCTGTAGCACACAGGGCATCGGATTATTGTCTCATCAGAATGACTAGACGCTTTTTCCATGTCAGCCTCGCCAATATGCATCACTAACATGGGGAAACTGGGTTAAAAAATCCAAAGATATGATATCAATCTTTGCGGGGATTGAACACTGGCCCTTAACGTTAGTGAGCAAGCCACCGCGGCTCCAACCTGCTGGAGATTGAGGATAGTTACTTACAGAATTAGAGTCCGTACAACCTGCGATATTACACACAGTTAGTTTATAGGTATAGGTTTGATATGGTAATATATTATTATCATCTGTATACATCAATCTCGTACCACGATATAGCTCAACATTGTTTCTTCTCAGTAAATACTGGGTTATCTCCCCTGAAAAAGACCAACAGAAATTAAATGAAATGGAGTTTATATCTTTCATTCCTGCATTCCATTAAGACAGAGAATGCTATACAGCGTTGAATCCATCCACCCATTCCGAGACTCTGATATGCTTAGATTAAAGTTTCATCACTGTTGAGGTAGTGCAGCAGAAGTTCTAAAGCTATTAATTCCAAACTTTCAGAACACATGATGCCAGTGCGTTGTGATTGGGTTTGTTAACTCAGCACTACTTTCAAGAAGTTGACATATGGCTAATAATGTATATGTCGGTATGTAAGTTTTTCAACTATATAACCCTTTCGTAGAGTCCACATAGCTAATAATGCTTATTTGTAATATCTATTAAAGAACCTACCATTGGGTTTACCAGGTGTTTCCCAAGTTAGATAAACAGCATATAATTGCTCTGGATTGACACGAGTATTGGGTGGTTTAACATTTTCAGGTGGCGCTGGTAATGTCTTAATACCGACATATTCAGAACTGATACTGCCAGCATTATTAGATACAGTAACAGAATACTCATACCGGGTGAACGCAGTCAAATCAGTATCTGGAACCAAAAAAAATTATATGTTGAAGAAAACAAGCAAAAAATCAGTAAAATAGTTTCAGAATTGTTGGATATTTACAGATTTGTCATTTTCATTGAGATCACAAGCCCACTGCAAACTAACTAATACTAATCTAATGAAAAGAGACCTTGCAAATGTATTGAGATCCACACCCCTTGCATCTAATGTTTCATCCAAAATCCTAAGAATGTTAGTTACCCTACCAGTATAAGTAAGTTGTAAACCAGTAAAAACAGTTGATATATCCACTATACACATGTCGTCTGTACTGGGTATAGTTGGAGGTTGGTTGGTATAAAAGCCTGTGACAGCACCACACAATTGGGTAGCCGAATTAAAATCACATCGATTACAAACAGCTGTACTGGTCTGACTGATAGGACACACTGTACCAGTTCCACAACCTGTACAAATTATAAATATGATAAACTTTATCATAAGGAGTTTTACATCCTACTTCACTCTAACTTTCTGGACTAATGAAATAATATGTCCTATTTTTCAGTACCTTTCTGTACTGATGAGTTTTACACCTTAATTGTTCTGATCCTTGTTAAACTTATAAAATCAAACGTTTACAATGAAGACAGTCTAATGAGCATGAAAAAAAAACATCTGAAAATCATAACTATCCTCATTAAGCAATTGTTATATCATTACAGACTTGCATGCAAATTGTGCCAAATTGAAGACAATTCACAATACAGAGAATTTCTACCTAATGAACTGTTTTGTACCAACCTTGTAAAGTACTTGACTTATCAGAGCAGACTTGTGTAGCTGGATTATAACCCACATAATTACAGCAACTTAAACTTTGACCAATTCTCTCCATTCCACAACATTTTTCATTGGCTGTCGTTTTACTCAAAGCTGTATTATAATAGTGAACCTGAAATAGAACAAAATAGTTCAATTGCTTTGTTTGAGAAACACTAAAAACTTGCAAGTCTAAAGTTTCTATTTCAGGTTTATAAAATGGAGCCTGAGTTGAATAAATCATTGCTCTCAGGCTTACAGATTGACCATATTTGTTCTTACCTTAGTATGTTCAGTGTCACTGGTACAACACAAAGTGGTTTGTTGATCCACATATTTTCTTCCACAGCATGTTTTCTGTGATTGTGGTAAATAGACATCACCACTGGTATCATTACCACAACAAATGGCTGACTGACTTACAACCTGACCACCACAACATTGTTTATTATAGCCACCATAAAGAGTTCCTTGAATGTAAGTAAATGAACTAGATTTATATGCTTTATTAATGGAGCATATAATTAATTTGTCCGACATTGCTCCTACAGATTGAGCTAATGGAAATACACAAAGCTATGTAGTGTGCAATGGTAATTTTCTTTTTTAGAAGAGCAGAACTAACCTACTCCTTTACAATTTCCTCTGTTAAGGGCTCTTTAACATGCACAACATTTACCTGTTTTACTTACAATAAAGAAACCAATTTACAAAAAAACACCAACTTAGCAATTTAAATTGAAACAAGCTGCCAACACGTTTTGGATACAGAATATTCATCAGCAAATTTTCAAAGTTCAATCCAAAGGTGTCTGTGTTATGATGAGTGGAGAATTCCTGTATTGCTCCTGTTCAATGAGTGACCTTACCTGTACAACAGATTTGTGAGCCTGTAGTAGAATAGGGTACAGATCCACAACAAGAATCACCATAACCTATTGTTACTCTATCCTCTAGAGAATCACCACAGCAAATAGTCCCAGCTTCTACCAAAATATATCTGAAATAACAGGTTAATCTTTTGGTACAAATTGCAGCTATATAATTGAGCAGACTTTGACAGGTGACACCATGCAGTATGCAATGAGGTATCTTCAACGAGCACAGTCTATAGCACACAGGGCTTTGGTTTATTGTCCATGTCAGCCCTACTCAAAGGTTTTGGGGAGGGGGGGAGGGGGGGAAGGGATATTCTTTATACTAAGTTTAAGTTTATCAAAATATGAAGAGCATTTGCAAAAGTGATCAAAACAATCAAAAGTAATGACTGCTAAGTCATATCAATCCTTGGAGCCTGTAATCTGGACAACATAAAAGTTTGAATTAAATCCTTACCTTTTACCACAACATTTATAGTTGGGTAAGGGATTGTAGAATTTACCACCACAGCAAACAGCATCTACAGAAGGTTTGGGTACATACTGACTCTCGCAACATTCATATCCAAATATAGCATCATGGATTACCCCATTACAACATCTCTGTAACATAGTATATCAATAAACATCATTAACTATGTGGACTCTCTTAAACCAATGCCCAGTTGACAAACCCAATACCAGATAAATATTACATTCTATGGGGACTCTCAAAAGGCACAAAGCTGACAAAACCCATTACTATATATTATTAGCTATGTAAACTCAATGAAAGCAATACCCAGTTGATAAACCCAAATATTAAATATCAAATAAACATTATTAGCTATGTGGATTCTTTCCCAAATTGACAAACATAGTTGTACAGTTGGTAAGAGACATCAGATGTACTGTGTAGCTAACCATAAAAGTAAAATTAAATTTGGTTATGTCTGGTGCTTTCCGCATTACTAGGATCAAATTAACTTTAAGCTGTGTGGACTCTCTTAAATGAATGAGGAGTTGACAAACCAAATAAACATTATTAGGTATGTGGACTCTTTTACAACAGTTAAAAGTTGGTAAGAGACATCAGATGTACTGTGTAGCTAACCACAAATCTAAAATTAAGTTTAGAAATGTCGGGTGCTTTCCCTAACACTATATCTATATTAAACTCACCTTTTGACCTGTATAACATTTATTACCACAACGACTCTCTAAAATACTACATTCTATATATGTACATTTTGTAAGCTCTGGATTCACCTGCGGCTCTGATCTGGAATTAGAAAATGATTAGAGTTTAAAAACTTTTTGAACATCTTTCATATCTGCCTTAAGAAGGGAGAAATAGAGTAAAAAAAACTTAAAGCTGTTTTTGGCCTTTATGCCTGTGGCCCAATCAATGAGAGGATCAATATTTTTACATCAAAAATTGTGGTAGCGAGTTGGTCTTTATGTGACAGATTTGTAATTACAAAAGTCATCCTCGAATGACTGTAAATGGGTACAAATAATATTAGAAAGTTGGTAGACAGGATCCTAGAGTACTCAAATTGTCAAACTTTTATTTGAGATTTGATTGAAGCTAAGAAAACCAAGTAACTTACATTTCAGAACATTTTTTTAGAGTTTTTCTTGACAATTCATAATTTCTGATGATACCATTCTCTTGCTGTGGTTTAGCCCAGTTGATACGTACTGATGTGGGGCTCAATGCCTCTAGGGTAGGGTTAGCTAAACCTTGGGGTAAGGATTCAGATGTGGTACCCAATGTTGGGTCACTTGATGCACATTTAAATTGGGTACATGCTTCAACCTAAAACGCAAACCCAAAAAAACAAATTTACAAATAAAGACAAATAGTACATTTTATGAATGGGCTCATAGCAAACAAACAAAATCTATCAGTTTCTAGGAATATATGACCTGAGCTTAAAATGCTTTTAAAATTAATTTATAACTTTTTTTTTATCAAACAAGTTTCCTAACAATGTTAGTAAAGCTTTAAGTAACATCTCACGAAGAAAACCAATAATTTACCTTTATGCGATAAACAGTAAATGGCTGTAAATCATTGAGTATAATAGAGCCAGGAGTTGACATATTGGTAGAGCGTATATCATTATTAATATATATATTATAATTTACAATCTGCCCATTACTTTGACTAGGTTGACTCCATGAGACTCGGAGACTGGTGTCACTCAAAACTGTTAAAACTGGAGGTTCAATTCCCTCAGGGGCTGAAATACAAGTAATAAATTAGCATGTGACATAGTACTCTATGATGAATTGAACCGAAATCTTGTTGAATGTTTATTGGGGATAGAAATCAAATTACAGAAATGTATGATTATCAACAAAATAATAAACTGATATGGAATTTATTTCTAAATGTCCTGGCTCAATGAAGTTCTCCTTTTTCAATGACATTAATGATGAAGGCTAAAAGCAGGCATATTGTCATAACAACATTAGGCTCCTCACTGCTGTTTTCAAATGTAATCAAGACTAAATTTACCTCCATTCATAGTTCGAGCTGTAACAGGGTTGCTGGTAATAGATTCTCCACCGTAGATGGTCAATTTGACTGTTATACTGTATTCTGTATCAGGAGACAGGTTCTCTAGTATATAACTATTTGCATCTGGTGGTGGCTCGGCAGTTACATTCCCAGAGGTTGATCTCGCTACAATCCCAATCTTCTCCACCTCACCTTGTAGATCTACTGGGTCTAGAATGTAACAAATGAGATTAATTCAATTTTTATGTCAGTTTAAAACTCTGAGTTCTACGAATAATGTATGACACTAATCAGTGGAACAGACAGGCAGATTGTAGATAAAATTTGTTGCATCTAAACATTTTTGGGAAATTAGTGTTGAGTAATTAAAATACAAATTATTAAGAAGATAAGATAAAAGAAGGATGTAGGAGTACTGTACAAAATCCTGGTTGAAACCTGAATTTCAAACTCAAGTAATTTGAAAAATGAAATGAAATGAATGGAGTTTTACGTCCTACTCAAGTAATTTGAAAAGGAATCCTTTCCAGGAAGAGGATGATAAGCAAGGCTACTATGACATCTTGATTTTGTAGAAACAAACAGATCTCAATTCAAAAACATACCTGGAGTTTGCCAGTCTACTTTAATAGTCAGATGGCTGGTAGGAGTAGCGGCGACAACAGCAGGACGGCGTGGCAACCCTCCAAATGTTGTTACATTTTTAGATGAATCACTGGTAATCTGACCAATACCATTGAAGACTGTAACACGGTAGATATAAGTGGTAAACATAGTCAGTCCTCGATCTTCATAAAATAATCCTTTACCACTATAAACTCTACTCCATTCTCCTATATCTGTTACTGTCGCTGAAAAAATATTGAGATCAGTACCATATTGGAGTTTTACATTCTGCTGTTCTGTACCTTACTGGAGGTAATAAAATGGAGTTTATATCCTACTGTTCTGTACCTTACTGGAGGTAATAAAATGGAGTTTATATCCTACTGTTCTGTACCTTACTGAGCTAATGAAATGAAAAGTAGTTTATATCCTACTGTTCTGTACCTTACTGAGCTAATGAAATGAAATGGAGTTTTACATTCTACTGTGTTATAACTTGTTTAATAAAACTTTTAGGCCTATAACAAGGTCAAGATCAACTGAAAGCTTTTTTTTAAGATTTATGCCTTAATTTTCTTTCTTCTTGTGCACAAAAAATATCCTTATGTTTCTCGTTCTCTAATGTTGACAGTGTCTAAATTCAAAGAGATGTTGCACTGGCCATAAAATGACTTAAACTTGAAAAATTATAGGAAACTTACGATCAAGAGGTTGAGCTATCTTCTGTCTAGACAATTCATAAGCAATGATTTGTCCATTTGGTTGTGATGGTGGTTGCCAGGTGATGGATATTATTAACTGCGATACTGCTATAGGATTGGGTGCAGCAATTCCACCAGGGATGGCTGCTAGAGTCTTCACAGGAACTGCTACACTTTCACTACACCCTCCAGCTGAAATTAACCAATCAAAACGTAAAATCAGTTGATCTACAGTTTATTGTCAGGAATTGATTCAAATTAACTTCTAGAAATCTGATTGGTCAATAATGTTACTACAATAACATCAACCAATGAATGATGCCCTTGAAGACATATTAATAAATTATTGACCAATCAGTTAACTGGAACTCTTGTGTACACCATATAATTTTTGTGAAAAAAAACCCTGATAAACTTGACAAAAGCAACTTACAAGTACAGGCTGTGAGGGTAACAGAATAATCTGTGAATGGCGTCAGTCCACTAATAACAGTTTCTAACTGTGATGTATTCCGAATCTCAACTCTTGGTTCTGGTAGGCGTATGATATAAAACTCTAATAATCCATTGTCTTTAATAGGTGTTGTCCATTTGACAGTTATTGCTGTAGAGTTGATAACTTGAACTTCAGGGGCCATAACTCCTGATGGTCCTATAATAAGAATTGATGAAAGGGTAAGAGGACTGGTTATAAAAATTAAACTTTTATCCAAGCTGAAAATTTATATTGCAATAATAACAAAGTTTTGAAACATTATTATTCCTTGTTTTTCATCATTTTTCAGCCAGGATGAAACCATTTCATATAGTATTTGAACAATTTATATGTATATATATAATTTCAACTCTAAAGTTAATGGTAATTATTTTGGCTTAAAATTGCTTCCATAAAGTCATTTTTACACCATTCTCAGACCATTCAAGGTCGATCAATACTTTTCTGAAGCTGATATTTCCAGTGCATAATAAAAAGTAATTTAAATTCTTACTAGATGGTTTTGTAACAACTGTTGTCCAAGGACTGTAACCAGCTCCAGCAAAGTTTTCAGCAGCAACACGATAATCATAGCTAGTAAAGGGAGATAAAAATGGATCTTCATCGATGTAACTTAATACAGTGGCAGGCGTTGAAATCAAAACTGTACCAGCTTCACTACCATTTACTCTTCTTTCTACAGAGTACGAAGTGATCACACCGTTTGGTCTGATTGGTTCTTTCCACTTGATCTCAACAGACGCAGGAGTCAGCGATATAACAGTTGGACCTTCATCAAATTCAGGAGCTGAAATAAAACAGAGATTGATCTAGAGTTTAGTATTTTACCTAAAGAAAATACCGAAATAATTTCACATTGGCATTCTCGATATAAAATCCATCTTCAACACAGGTGATGTGAATAAGGAGATAAATTTTAACATTTGAACTCAGATTTATGAGATGGCATCAAGAAGTCGGTAGAAATCAACAAGCAATCAAGTGACCATGATAAGGACAGCTGGTTTAGAAAGATAAGACATACCTGCTTGTAAGGTTCGGACTCGAAGTGACTCATCACTTTTGGTACAGCCCCCAAGTGTACAGGCCTCTATTTTAAATATGTAGTAAGAGTAGGGTAGTAGATTGTCGATTCTCTCACTAGTTACATTGGCTTCCACCTGAAAGAAAAGCATTATTTTGAAATCATATGAAGAAACTGCAATCCATAAATCAAAGTTCACAAAACAAAAATGTTTAAAACAGATAAATATCTAGCTGACAAAAAATAGTGAATTAGACCAGAAGTGAGTCCAGCAAACTCAAGTAAAAGGCATATGAGTAAGTACAAATTCAATAGTCATGATTTGTAAATAGAGTTGAACAAACCATTAAACTTGTTCTTACCTTGGCACGTAGTTGAGAATTCTGGTAAATATTAAAATGCATGATGATACCGTTGGGAGAGAAGGGTTGTGACCATTTTAAATCTATATACCTCATGTTTATATTGACTATCTGTGGTGGGTTTACACCAACTGGACCTGAAAGATTTTAATTAGTTCAGCCTTATTACCAAAGGGTATTTTGTAGGGCCATATGATACTGTGGTCACTGATAGGCTTATGCACAATTTCGCTATTTCAAACAACACGTGGAATCATCTGCCATTTTTAGACAACACACAAAAAAGTCTGCCATATTTAGACAACACATGGAAACATCTGCCATTTTTAGACAACACACGGAAACATCTGCTATTTTTAGACAACCCACGGAAACATCTGCTATTTTTAGACAACCCACGGAAACACCTGCCATTTTTAGACAACACACAGAAACATCTGCCATTTTTAGACAACACACGGAAACATCTGCCATTTTAGACAACACACGGAAACAAGGAATATGATAAAACCTGAATGGACTTACGATCCTGCTTAGTGACTTGGCTAGCCCATTCAGATATAGTTGAACCTCTAGTGTTGGATGCTTTCACTCTAAATTGATAAGTTGTAAACGCCAACAGGTTTTCTTTTGTAAACAATAATGTTGATGTTGGTCCAAATATACTGAAATGAAATTAAATCTAGCATTACATTCTCCTTTTCTGCTATTGGTTGTACTTCCAAGCTCCTAATTTGGTTCAAGAATACGGGCAGTGAGCAATGGGGGGAATTCTTATGAGGAAGCTGACATTTAACATATCAAATTTTTTAAAAACATACTCCTGAATCATGGCATCTTGTCTGTCTTCTCTAAATTGTAGAATGTAAGATGGCTCTTCATCAGCATTAACTCTACCAACTGGCGGCCATTGTGCTTTGATTGAATTCGGGGTTTCTGACACAAGTTGAGGAGGGCTAACACCATCTGGAGCTAAAAACAAATAAAACTTCTATTAAATCAATAAACTAAGAAAAACAAATAAAATCAAATGGTGTTTTAAGTTCTGATCATCTATTCTGTACTGATCAAAAATGCTATACCCTGCAATGTGAAAATTTGGGAACATGACTACTACTATTCTTATAAGCTAAAATCAATTCCAACTGGAAAGTAATGTTAAACCTTCACAAGCTGTAGGGCACTGGAACTCATAATCTTGTAGATAAAATAATGATTTTGAGATCAAAGCCTTGAGCTATTTTGACTCCCGCACTATGCTTAGGGTGCCTCTATATAACTTTTCAAATTGCCAACCTTTTTTTTAATAAATCAATGAGGTAGATTATATCTTGATGCATTTTGACACTAACACAAGTGTGGCAGTGGAATAGTTCAGTCAGTAGCAAGTTGCATTGATATCTTCTAGGTGATTAGTTGCCATGGGTGAGTTCTCTTCAAGGTAAGAAAAATTTGGATGCTTTTGCTAGTGCTTCCGAGAGCTGGCCTGTTGTGGGCTCTCACCACCGAATACAAAGAAAAACTATGTATCCATCTATCAAAACTACAATGCAAAGGTATTTGACTTGAACATAACTGGACAACTTACTTCCAGGAGGTAAGGTAAATAGTACAACATTACTCAGTATAAAACCCTTGGTATTAGAAGCATTAACTTGTATAGAATACTGAGATAATGGTATTAGATTACTAATATTAAACCATTTATATGCCTCTTCTACTTGTAATAAACTCTTTCTTAGTGTATCTGTTCTATAATCCATTTTTTCTGCAAAAATTTACAAAAATCATAGTTTAAAACCCACTTTTCAGAAAACAGTGAAATGAAACATTAATATCACACTGATATTCGGATGTTTTTTTTATCCAACTCATTTTTTTCGAAGGTTAAAAAAAAAAATGCTAACCTGGATCTTTGTAATACAGTCCTTCAAAATACACATCATAAAATAAACGTCCATTTGTTTTAGCAGGAGCTGACCAACTAGTGTTGACGGCTCTGGAATTTATCCCAACCACTTCTAAAACTATAAGACCTTCAGGTGGCGCCTCCATAGTTCTTGCCTGTACCTCATTACTGAAACCACACCCTTTTATGGTACAGGCTGCCACGCGGAATTCGTGTAAACTATAAGGTTGAAGATTATCAATTCTGTACTCTCTAACCAAAGAACTGTGAACTATTTTTTTATTGTGATACAACTCATAGCGTAAAATTATACCTGAAATGTTCAAAATAGATTAGTCAGTTTTTAAAATAAATCAAAATATTCTGGAACTTATTGGAGTTTTACACGACTCACTGTTCTTTATTTTGTTGGATCTTGTGTTCTTTAAGCAAGCTAATTGGTATAGTTATTCCCTTTAAGGCTTTTCTTTTATTAAGTTAATTTATTGTCATACAGAATAAGTGAAAGATAATATGTTACCATTTGGTAAAGCTGGTATGCCCCATGATACTTCAAGTTCGGCCCAAGAAGGGGAGGTGACTACAGGATCTGGTATTCCATCTGGAGCGCTCTCTTCTGTTGTAGCATTGACAACATCACTGGTTGTACACCCACCACCTGTACAGGCCTGAAAATAGAAAAAATACTTAAAAAACACTCGCATAACATTATCTTAAAAGAATACAGAAGTTTAAATATTTACTTTGCCAGTTGATAATGCTATTTTTACATTTTTAGAATAAAAATCTGTTTCAAGACTTAAATCAATCATATTAAAAAATCTCACCGATAATCTGATAAAATATTGAGTTCCAGCAGTAAGATTTGTCAGAACCGTTGATAAAAATAGTTCTGTACTATTATACAGATCTGTGCCATCTTGACCTGCAATAGTCGACACCAATAAAACATATCTTTCCAAAGCACCATTAGCTTGATCTGGTGTCTTCCATCTTACATCAATTCTGTTGGTGCCTGAAAATTCATAGAAATGTAAATGAAAAGAACTGAACATCAAAATTTTTAGCTCTTACTTGAGTTAATGAATTATCATGCATTTTTACCAGTGGAAAATTTTCTAGATGTTTTTGTAAATCTTTAACAATTGCAGTTAGCTTCATTATTCCAGTCCATTCAGCTGTGAATTTGTAAAGATGATTTCGGGAAGAGATGGTTGGTCAAAGACGCTTTGGACTGGTTCGTCAAAGATGCTTGGGGCGGATTTTTCTCAGCCCCCTTAAAATCGAAACCAACCTTTTATAGGCTCAATAAAACTCATCTTGCAAAGAACAAAAGATTTTGAAAATATTCTTACCTAAAACTTGAAGAACAGGAGGTAGAACAGAGGTTGGTGGCAGCTGAGCTGTTGTCAAGGTTACAGTAGGACCAGACGTACACCCAGCACTAGTACAGGCTCGCACAAAAAATCTATATGATGTGTAAACCTGCAGAAAAAAACAAAAATAGCGATGGCCATCTCTTTCTTCTTTGATTTTCCCTTGGGTTCATCCTGATAATAAACAACTAAGTTTCTTCTAAATCAGTCAAGAATTTTGTTTTCTGAGACTTTTACGCGCTAAAGATTGAGCAATAACCCATATTAAATATTTTTCGATTTTTTGCTTTTAATAGTGTTCATCCTTGGGTGATTTCACCAAGTTTTGTTAAAATCTGTTGAGAATTGTGCCTTCAACGCAAAAAGAACAAGGGCAAAAATATTTCATTTCAACTGAAGCCTGATCTTAAAAACAAAAGCCAACGTACCTGCAGATTTTTCAACTCAAAGAAATTTTCCCCACCCTCATAGACTTTAACATCATCTTGAAAGAGATAATATCCAGAAATCAACCCATTTGGTCTCCCAGGCTCCTCCCATTTTACTATCATTGATGTGGTTTGTACGTCTGCTGTAGGAGCTGGAACTTGTTCCGGGGCTAAATCAGAAACAACATTCAAGTAAAATATGAAGTCATCAGACAAATGAGAGAATGAGAAATTCTTAGCAAAGAGATGAATGAAACAATAGTTATAGTCCAAATTGATTGGTTAAAAAAACTATCCATATCAAATCCATAACGAATTTAGCGATGTTACATTATATAAATCTTAAAATAGTAGATCTTTAAATAAGAGTCAAAATTGAACAATGTGTACATTTCCCATAAAATTTTCGAAAGTTCATTTAGGAGTTTGGGACTAACAACAATAATTCATCTGTGCTCAAAAGCTTTTCACTTGGTATTGATACTTTTAAGACCATAATAACCGAGACTAGATTATATAGATATAAAATATGTCTGACCTTCAGCTAGAGTTCTAACTAAAACTCCTTCCTCACTTTCAGTACACCCTCCTGCTGTACACGCTATAATCTTTACTAGATAGTCAGTGTAAGGTACACAGTTAGTTAGATTTCCTAAAATACAACACATTCATGAAATTTCACACAAAATATTAAAACACAAACATCTGTGGATTACAAAATAATAGTTACATGATGTAACTTGCAGCAGCAATTTTGTTGTTTTTTGTTCTTTTACAAATGAAGTGTTATTCAATCTATGAATTTAATCTAAGTTTTTTAATTTAACTTTTACATCTACAATTTAAAATAAAATATTTGGTGGCTGATATATAGAATCCATAAAGTAGGTTTATCTTAAAAACAACGCTCACAATTGACAATAATTAATGTCGGTATAATTCATGAGTGCTATGGATATGTGTTATGATGTGTTGTAATGCAATGAGCCGTCATACATCATATGTTATATGACCTGATACCTAAAAGAGTTAAAAGGAATACTATATCACATGATATGATATGATATATGAAATGTTATGATATGATATATGACGTGATATGATATGATATATGACGTGATATGATATTTGACGTGATATGATATTTGACGTGATATGATATTTGACGTGATATGATATTTGATGTGACATATGATATAAGAGTTGATATGAAGTGATACCATAAAAGAGGAGGTAAAAGGAAAACTATGCTATGCTATGCTATGCTATATGACATGATACCACAAAGAGGTAAAAGGAATAAGGTACCGAAAAATGGTAAGAAATCAACGGAAAACTAACCTAAATCCAAGAATCTTTTCTAGTATGAAATTTGTAAAATCAGGAAAATTGGAAAATCAAGATTACACCATGTATTTTCCATATATGACAGTCTCAAGAAAATCAGAAGCGTATAGTTCTGGACAAACATGGATTTGAAGGCTCCAATTTCAATTGTGAGCTGTGAACAATATTACTGATTAACTTAACTAAAATTTCTCGTTTCTGACGCTAAGGTATGATTGGTCAAATGTTGAACCTATCCCTTTAACAAAGTATCTTTCTTCATTTGGATAGATCTTCACTAAATCTTATTTTTAATAATGTATTGTCTTATGTCGCGACACCATTTTACAAAAAAAAAAAAAATTCAAATGAAACAAAGGGTGAGATGATTGTGACATACCAGCATTACTATTCTCATATTTACCAGTTCTTATTTTAGTATCAGTAAACTCTTGTGTGATTGGTTCAATACTGTCATTCTGACTGACATAGCCAATCAAAATGAACTTGGTTAATAAACCAGAAGTACTATCTGGTCGGTTCCACTCGGCTTGTATTGTATAACCTGACAAAGCTTTAGCTTCATACGGTTCATTAACCCCAACAGGAGCTGAAATAATAAAAACAATACTTGATTTAAACACACTGTTTTCTGCCTGAGGTACAAATACGCGTTTACGCCACCTGAAAGATAAGTGTCCAATGGTAAGGGTTTATGAGCTGTCAATAAGGTTGGGAAACTAAGATATACGCTTTTGAGTCTTTGTCCAAAACAGCCTATTCAAATGTTCACCAATTACATATGGGAACCTGGTTGAAAAATCTGAAGTAACAATTGCAGTTTATGGTAGGACTAGTACTAGGCAAAAATCAGGTGTATCTAAATAGTCAACATACCTCCTTCCTTAGTTCGACCGTATCCCCAAGCACTACTGCCTGATCCAACTTCATTGGTGGCTGTTACTCTATATATATAATCTGAAAATAATATTTCAAATCATTCAATCCAAATACATGTAGTTCACAAAATCTCATCAATGAAACAAACTCAGTGATCAGGAGTGAGTACTCAACAATGAGAAATCTTTGTGAATGGGTTTGTCAACTTGGCCTATTCATTTATTATTTCAAATATGACATCATAGGGTATCACTACGTAAAAAATAAAGAAAGTTAATACCAGCCTGTAAGGGACAGTGTAAACTACAACCAAATGTTTTTGTTCAATTGTTAGGAAACAGTAAGATGAATTTAATTCTGAAAAGTACTACAGATTGCTTAAAATGTGCTCTGGCATAGCAGGCCAGTGTAAACTCCAACAGCACTGAATTTTTTAAAAGACTACAGAAAGACAATCTACCTGTATAGGGTTGTAACCCGATATCAAATGTTTCTCGTTCCACCCCTTCATACACCTGGGTTATGAGATTATCTTTACAGGTATCATTAGGCAGAAAAAACGGGGCACACCCATCCATATTTACATTGACCACTTCTACAGCCTCTTTGTAGAACTCAAATAATTTAGTATTGACTAAAAAGAACGCGATACATCCACCAAAACCTGAAAATTTATCAAATTTGAGCTCATGAATAGTATTGTGAAAGGTACTGATAATCAAGCAAGATATGCTTATTATTTACAAACTTCTGCTGGAAAATTTAGTTTGAAACCCATCTAGACAGTCCAGATAGCTAATAATGTATATTTAGTATTTAGGTAACCTTACTAAATTGAACACCAAATTTGTAAATTAGTTCCCCTCATTCATCTGATACCCCTTGCCCTTTAGTGAACATTTAAACACATGCATGTCTTCTATGAGTATAATACAATAGTAATTTGTGTTCATTTATCAAATAAAACAATTATTGACCTTCATTTGGTAAATGTGACACACTCTTAGCCATAAATTGTTTGGCTTCTGATTGTTGTGGTATTCCACCAACGTACACACTGGAAGCTGTTGGTACGTCAAAACTAGTCTCTGCATCTCCACTCAATGTTGTGGCACCATTTTCAATGGTAATATTTGCCAGGAAGCCTGTCTTACGGAAGTAAACCTGTCGCCAATTTCCATCACAGAAATTTATATCAGGATCAGTGTATGTGACGCTTCCACGTTTCACTCCATTACTGAATTCAAAATAGAGGTCACCCTGGATCAATCCTGCGTACATATAAATGCCTGTACCACCATAGGTAAAGAAGAGAAGACCAGTATGTAGCGCTGTACGGAATTGAAACTGAACTTCAACTTCATCTCCCCCAATCACTGAGTTTTTATTGAATGGTAGAGTCACATGACCTGTGAAAATAAACAAAGAATAAACTCCATAATTCACATAGATTTTCAAAGAAAGATCATTGTCTGAACATTTGTCCAAGTATTATTTGGCTGATAGAATCCTGAAACCTGAAAAGTTGTTTGTAAAATATCCTATCATTGCATAATTTATTGTCTTGGTTCTTATTGTCCCTTTTACATGGTGAAGGACAAGCTGGTAGAGAGGATCCTTCTTAAGTTAACTAGACTATGTTATCACATCCTTCAAAAATTGAAAAAATCAACTTTTTCTATGATGCTTACCCTGTCCGAGAAAGTGAAGACCTTTGTCTAAATTAACAGGGCAACCTTCCCAATTCAAGAAAGCCAATTCATTAGCTTCTGCTGATTTCCAATCCAACTTCTTCCAAACCTCAAACGGTGATTCTTGTTGTAAAATTTCTATTCCACTCAGGCAGCCCTGGAAACCTGTTCTTTGGATCTAAAAACGGTGGGAATTATCAGTTAATTGAGGAAAAAAGAAGGGAAAAATCTAATACACATTTCTTTTTAAAATGTACCAAGTCATCAAGGAATCAATTAGTTTTGTCTCCAGATCAGAAGGTCAGGTGCAGTCAACTAAAATCATGAAACTTGTATCAATTCAAGAGCTTATTGATAGAGAGTAAAATATTGCATGTCAACAACCTTCAGATCTCATTTTTACTGACACAAACAATAATGAATAATTAAAATCCTCAAACAATCAAAGTCAATATAATGGTAAATAATTAAGCAGAAAGAAAAACCCACAGGAGCTGGTGCAATTCTTTTACTATGTAACACAGGCATCCGTAGTATCTGATTCATAATCAAAGGAAAATATCAATCTATTTTTTTTTCAATTTTAGTTTTCGTTGTTTTTGCTTATAAAAAGACTATTCGATAATGTATTAAATGTCAGTATTGGTTTTCAGAAAGGATTTTTCAAAGCAATACAGCAAACCTGCATGGTCTACCCTGAAATCACTCTGCATCTGTCACTTTGACATTTATTTCAGAGTCCACACAGCAAAAAATGTTTATCATGTATCATATCTATGGATAAAAAAAACTTTTCCTCTGTAAAATTAATAACTGGACACAATTATATGGATAACAATTACTTTAATAAATAACTTGTGACTTTTCGATGATGATACTTTCGTTTTTATCAAGCAATGCTGTAAATTTATTGGACCTTTGTAGAAGGATGTGGAATTATCAAATAAATATTAGTAGTCTTGAATATTCTCTGTAATGGATTCCATGTTTACAAGTTTAAATAGGGCCTACTAAATAAACAAATTTACCCATGTGGTGCACTCTCTGAAAATGATGCCAAGTTGTAAAAAACTTGTGTTAGATTATCAAATAGTCTGTTTATAAGACAGAGATATAATACGGTAGTTAGATTGAGCCTGTGTTAGATAGTACTGAATCTAGAGACATAATTAACATTATATCAAATCACTTTTAATCAACAACATTTCTTTATATATTTCCTATGATCAAGGAATCTCTTGATAAAATGTTCTAAAGGGATGGATTAGGAAACGCCTCAGTTTCTTTCCAAAAACTTGTCTATGTCTTGCCTCAATATTTCATCCCATCTGAATGATTCCACCCACCTGCATAGGGCAATGGAAAAATAGGCTTGAAAATTGAGGCCAATATTCGGACAAATTCCAGGATCAAATCCCAGACCTCAAGCTTAACGGACAAGCGCCTATTATTTCTTAATATAAGTGATTTGATAAATGTGTCTCTATGATAACATATTTTCGCGAATTTTTCTAATAATTACACTAGCTCTTCTGTCATTTCTTTTTATTACAAAATCTGGGGGCAGGCCTCCGACATAGATAGCTGTCGTCTGCCCAATTACGCTGGTTGACTGGCATCCTGTATCTCGAATCAAACTCTTCCCTGCAACAATAAAAAAACAGACAATATTGAAGTCAATTACAAGAAGGCAACATTTTATATTTTAGATGTAATTTTTTATTTGTGGTGTTGGGATGTATGAAATTAAGTTGAATAAATATTGAAACATTGATTTATATTTTTTTTATTTTTTTGAAATTAGGATTGAAAAGTAGGAAGAAAACAGAAAAAAAGCTTTTTAAAAGAAATCAGTTGAATTTCACCTCTCCACTTGGCGTCTATCAACATAGTACCGTGTATTCCAGAGCGCCTAATAGTCATATAGTACCAATCACCATTAGTATACCGTAACCCTTCATCATTGGTTGTGGTTATATATCCAATACTCTTACACCCTAGAGAGTTCACAGGCAAAAAAAGAAAGTTCTAAGTTTCTACTTTTCTACTAGGAGAAAGGCTAAGAGGAAAGCCTTGGTTAATCTCAAAGAAATTCCAAACTTATTTCTAAATTTTTTTCTTTCTAAAAATAATGAAAATATTATTTCATTTTTTGAACGCTATAATAATCTAGACTAAAGCTTGGAAATTTCTTATCTGAGTACAGATAACCCTTAGCCGATATATATTCTAAACTGAGTAACAGAAAATCAGGGAAATTTTGAAAGAAGTGGCAAATGCATTAATACAGACATAAGTTAATCTCTTGAACATTGAATAAAAATGTGAATAAAATAAAACATCATATACTCTGAAATCCAAGTAATATGATTTAAAGTGTATGACGTTTATGTTATGTGATGTCACTTAGTAATGGACGCTGTGAGTATATATCACAGTGGTTAGTTAACTGTTGTCTGTATGCCGGCAGTAATATATTTGATGTAAAAAATTAAACTCTATGTTTTTCTTACATAAAATATTTACAAAATTTTATAGGAAAGATAAAAAATCACACAAAGGAAGAACGCGCTAAAAGCAGCTAAGAAAAGTTAAAGAGCGCTAAGCTAGAGTCTGCTACCAGAATCTAAGAAGAAGCTTAAGACCGCTACCAGATGCTAATAGATGCAAGATGCAAGCAACAATGTCATAACCAAGTAAAATGCATATTCATGATTACAAAGTTCAAAGTTCATGAATTGCAATCTATGAAATGCTCATTCCTCAGTTACAATATGGCAGCCATTTACGCGCAGACTCAATGCAATTCAGACCTTGCTGGTAACCATCAACTGTCATGGTGGCTGCACCTCCAATACGTCGAAATTCAAAATCATGCCACATGTCCACTTCTGTGGTAACGTTTGTGTTTGTTTCATTGAATTCATATTCTTGCAAGCAGCCTGTTCAAAATTCAAGCAAATCATTATTACTTAGCAAGTAACGCCAAATATCAAAATTCAACACCATTTTCAAACCAGATCAGGATTTTTTTTAAATATGTTTATTTCAAAAGATGAGATAAAGTCAATCCTATGTGTTATTCTTTACTGAATAGTCACAAGTCAACCAACTATAAATCTCCATAATTTAATTATTTGTAACAGCAAACTTTTCATAAAGCTCACAGTATAAAGTGTATGTTTTTTGTCATTTGTATATTTAAACAAAATGCAGATCAAGAAAATGGACAATTTCTTTGATTAACTTTTTGCTTTCAAACTTAAGCACAAAATCTGCAAAACAAGCGCATCAAGTGAATATAATCCACTTACCCTGAGTGTCAAATAAAAATTTTGGTCTGCCCTCGTCAAACTGTATCGCGATGAATTCTTCTTGTGTTTCCGTAGCAGCAAATAACAGTAAACCACTTTGACTCTTCAGTCGGAAAGATAGTCTTATACCTTAAACAGAAATAGTCAATATTAAAATAAGTATATCAATTAATATTATATGCCCTTGTCCTATTTCGTACCATAAGAGTTTTGTCAAAGTTAAAATTTTGAGATCTAATTTTCATATTCTAAAATATCTTCACAAAAATTGGCTGCTTTTGCTTTAAAATCCAAAGGCAAATAATTCTTAGTTGTGAAAAAGTCTGAATCAATTTAGTATATTAATTTTACAAAAAAGTAACTCGGTACTTACCAGTAAAGGAAACACTCTGTGGAAGAACAGATGAAGGGAATATATAATAACCCCCTCCTGGGAAGCGAGTACCCTTATCAACTTGTGGAGGGTAACTCAATGCTATAGATGTTTTCTCTACCACGTAGTTTGGTGATGGTCCGTTCGGGAAGGTTGGTTCTGGCCAGCGAATGGACATCACCGTAGAATTATAGCCATCAGCAGTCGGCTTAACAACCCCTTCTGGTGCTGTAAGTGGTAGAAAATGTGGAGGTTAATGGCGGATGGTGTCAAATAATATGACATAACTGTTGCATATTCTGTTACATTTTAAATTAATTTCTGATTTATATTTTTTCCATTTTTCACATGCAAGGTCATTCATAAAGATATACAAACTCAAAACATTATAAAATATAAAATATTTGTATAGCTAAAAGTTCCAAGCTACTTTGAATCTTGTCAGACATTGGAATTGGTGAATAAAAATTTGGAAGGCCGAACAAATCAGTAGAATATTATGTTTAAGAGAATAATTATCCAAATGTTATTGTGACATTGATGATAGTTTATATCTAACGCTATTTAAAATCAGTATACCATCTTGAATTCATAAACAACCTAACATTGTAAAAACAGGTAGGACAAATTCATCTCTTTAATTATTACAAATATAATGAAAGTACTGAATGACTAGACCTACCTGCAGGTAACAAACGTCCACTGGCTGATGTTGAATTTACACAACCGACACTGTTACACGCACCGATTTTAAAATTATGTTGAGAATAGGGCGTTAGACCATCTATTAATGTACTATAAACACTTCCATTAGATGTAGACACAAGCTAGAGAAAATAATAAAATATAGATTCAAAAGATAAATATAAAAGCACTAAGAGTTGTGATTAGTTGATGAAATAGAGTTATAATTGACCAATTCTAGGCAATAATTTAGATACTGTGAAATCATTTATTTTATTGGCACCAATGTGGCACTAGATTTAAAGTTCTGAACAGGTTCTGTCTTTTTCAATTCTGGTCTCAATGGAACAGTACACATGCTGATGTGTCACATTCAAAATGTTCCCATCTATTTCTTTCTCCGCCATTTTGAATTCTGCCTAAACCTATTCTGAACCTTGCTTCAACTTAGTTTTTTCCGAAAATGCTTATTTGTGCTAACATACATCCCCTTTTTCAAAATGCTTCTTCTTACCTTCCATTGAAATGGTGGAGCAAATTGATCTTGAGTCAAATCAGTTTTAACAAAATGGTAGACATGGTATATCAATATAACTCCTCTGGCATCTTTAGGTGGGGGCTCTGTCCAGGATACTTTCAACTGGGAACTAGATAGTCCCTCTACTACTGGAGCTCCCATCGCATTAGGTACTGAAATGATATAAAATAATGTCTTTATAAGGGTTGATGATCAATGGTGAATCATTAAGTGAAGGGGAGTGAGGAGAGCAAGGGGGCTAACAGACAATTACCGCCTTATGTTTAATGATTAGAAAGCTGAAGGTCAGGCCAGCCATTCGAATCTCCCAGTAGAAATGCCACTGCTCCTGTTGTAAAATCATATATGTACTGCCCTGAAGAATCCCATTTAAGGTTTGTATTACAATCCTCAATGATGCTTCTCATCTTGTTCCCCCAGCAGTCCATTATCAAAGATGGTTTACTTACATGCTTCCCCAGTCCTACCAACAGTCCATGGACTAGCTGCTTTGCCAGCATCATTCTGGGCCAAAACTTGAAATTCATATTCTGTGAAGGGTTCCAGGTCTGTTACTGTGTAATTTGTGTCAGGAGGTGGAAGGGCATTTTCTTCTGGAGTGTCAACCACTCTTGGGTTGTACTGACCACTACTCACAAAGACTCTTTTACTTTCAGGATTTCTAATGCCATTCGGTCCTGGCATTCCTTGCATCCACAGCTCATAGAAAATGATTATTCCTACAAAGAAACATGCAATAATGACGTTACTAATCTAAATCATAAAATAATAGTTGACACACATTGCAGATGTTGATACAATAGTAAAGAATCACCCAGAAAAGGGTTAGTTGAGAACCTACCATTAAAATGAAAAAAAATACGAACTCACCATTTGGATTAATTGGATAGTCCCAGTTTATAAATAGAGCAGTGTTGTTGATAGCAGTGATATTTGGTGACCTTTGACCTTCAGGTACAGACGAGGGAGTGTTGACTAAAATTGGACTGCTTTTGGTACATCCTCCAGCTGTACATGCCTCAACAGACATGTTGTATTTTGTGAAAGGTATCAATGATGTCAGAGTTACTTCCCTTGATGTGCCTTCCCAATGAACCTTTTCCACATCTGATGCACCGCTTGTCTGAGATACTAACTTATATTTCAATAGTGGTCCATTCATTTCTGATGGTTCTGTCCATCTGAAGGATGCTGATTTAGGTTTGATGTCAAAAACTTGCAGAACTGCATCTGAAGATGGAAATCCTTCCAATGTTCTGAATATGACAGGAGTACTTCTAACGGAACCAAAGGCATTGATAGCCTCAATCTGGTAGGTGTACGATGTGTAGGGAAGTAATCCAGTATCATTGAAGGCAGAAACTGAAAATAAATTTGTAAGATGTACGAAAATGACTATTAAGTTAATGAATTCTTATGGAGATCATAAGGCCTGAAGTTTGATAACGCCACAAATTTTCAATGTAAGTGAATGTTAACTCCCACAAAACCAAATCTTATGGAACACTTCATTTCAATCAGTGTTTGAGTTGGTCCTCTCAGCACAACCTTCTTTGTAAAAAGACATCCTTTCAAGAGTTAACAACCTTCTGCTATAATAGCTAATTGAGTATTCGGAAGTGATTATTGGTTATATATCATATATATCTAAAGTGATATACAAGAAAGCATGGGTAGGAAAACTTCGCTGGGAGATATAAGCTTGGAGTAAGCAGGGTAAGGTATAGCTCAAAGTTCAAACATTGAGTTGGTTATTGACAGGTATTAGCATACATCATACTCGCTATATGGTACGCTCTGTGGAAGGGCCCTGAATTTTGTGAGCATGCAGTAATTATTAGTATATAAGGAGACAATAATCACACTTGAATGACTGTGTTTACATTTCTCTTTATATCAATTCTAATTCTTGATTTCATTTCAGTTTCATTGATCAACATTTAAAACAAAACCTCTTTTTGTAATTAATCACAAGCTGTTACAATTTGGCAAGATTTGCTATCAATTCGAAACTAACACTGAAATCACTGAACCCATCAAGACAAATTATTAACTGGCAGGACTTAGGAGCAATAGCCATGATGTTTGTAGAAACTCACAACTGACTGTTCTACCAGTCTTAGTGTTAAGCAATAAAGTGTTTTGTCCATCCAATCCCCTTCAGGATGTAAACACAGTCTCTTACCTTCTGTATAATTGAACTCATCAGTCAGAATAAATGGTCCTAAAATTTGACAAGTCTTTGACAGAAACAAGAATGAAAAGGAGAAATAAAGAGAATGGAATGAAGAGGTATCAGTTTATCTTAGAAGTTGAGTTGAGATGTTAAGTTGTCAAGGATCCTTTTTACCAATAATTTTCTTGGCATGTGTTTCTTATTCTTTATAGAGATATCAATATTTGACAAGGGCAGCATAGATTCTCAAGGATCCTGTCAACAATCCTTTGCCAATCCTCTTGACATTGATCTTTCAAGATGATGCAAGGTCTCTAGAGAACTCATGACCCAGAGAAACATTAACAGATTACGATACAGATATGAAAAGGAAAAGAGTTCGAAACTACAGCCAGAAAAAATTACTAAAAAACTATTTAAAAATTCTGGATAATTTTGTAAAAGACGAAAATGGGAAAATCAAAAGTGTTAAAAGGTGTGAAGACTTACCATTTGGAGATACAAATCCAATAGCTACACCATCACGTATTACATTATATTGATAAATTACACCATTAGGATAGTCTGGGGGTCCCCACTCTAATAATAACTCAGTAGAACTCAATGCTACGTGAGTTGGTGGTGGTTGCTGGGACGGGGCTGAAACAAATACCAATCAAACAATGTAAAAAAATCTTTACAAAATTATTAATGTTCAACAAATGCTTTTTTGACAGCCAAAAGACTTTTTCTAAACAGATAAGCTAATTTTGTTTGTTTCAATTTTAAAAAAGTTTGTTCCTTTCATAAATTTACAAAACTTACATTTGCTACAACCAAAGGGGTTGCTCATCTCCAGTTTACTTGAACCTTGAACACAAATATCGCACTGGCGGCCCGTTACAAATTCTTTACAATAACACTGTCCACTAATGCTCTGACACGTCTGATTAACACTTCCGGCCTCTAAACATAGACATTTTGAACACCTGAAATATTACGAAAAAGTGCATAATTCATTTATATTCATGGACGATCACATAAGTTGAGCAAAACTTAAATTCATATCTCTAAACAGGCTTGTTTTGACTGGGACACATATGAAGAGCAGCATCAAATTTTTCGAAGGTGTAAGCCCTGCCTGATGTACCACTTCTTGCCACAATTTTTGAGGACATCAAAAACGATAACTTTGGACTTGGAGCAGTCTTATACGCCATCAGTGTAGAGATTAAAACTAATAAGTTGAAGAAAGATGTTAAGGAGAGTCTTCACCAAGCAAATTGTGTAAATATTAATAATTTACTTACTCTCCTTGTTTCTCATCGAAACCATAAAAACCATTCTCGCATTCTGAACATGTTCTACCTGTCAGGCCTCGACCTCTATAGCATTCACACTGTCCATTTGTTGTATTACACATTGTACCAGGCAGAGTTCCCTTCTCTTGACATCCACATGGCTCACAACCACCACCAGGTGTCTCTGAGTTGAAATACCCTGAAAAGTAGTGCAAATGAATGAGGAAAACTTTGTCAGGATAGCAGGAGTAGTCTTCAACCGATATGTTGAGGGTAGCACTTAGGACAACAGTTGACATGCAGTTTTTGAACTGTTGTTACTTATGTTTGAAAAGAATTTCACTGACCTGTAACACACTGTTCACATTGTCTTCCAAATCTATTGGCTAAACAACTACACTGTCCATTTTTATTATTGCAGGCAAGTGTATCAGGGGACGTAGTCTCACCGAGTTTGGTTCCTGTCGGATCACAATTGCACAGTTCACAACCGAGAGGGTTTGTTTCATTTAAACCCCATGTATTCCCATCACATCGATTACACATTCGTCCTATTACCCTCTCTTTACATTTACAACTTCCTGTTTCAAAGTCACATGATGCCTCATCTCCCTCAATGCCAGCAAGGTTACACGTACAAATCTCACACCCAGTGTTTGGCGAACTGCCGAAACCGTATGCTCCTTCTTTACAAGTATTACACTGACGACCTCCTACTTGTTGTTTGCAGACACATTGTCCTGTTACATGATCACACACAGATCCAGGTTCAATACCATCCTTATTACAATTACACGGAATGCATCCGAGGCTAAAATTGTAAAAATTATCAGCACAGCGGTCACACTTCAAACCAATGATGTTCTCCTTACATTGACACTGTCCTGAGTCAGGATCGCAGTAAATACTCTGTGACCCCATAGGGTTACACTGACACGGTTGACAGCCAAATTCATTTTCTGACGTCAAATTATAGAAACCATATTCACATTCATCACAATTTCGATCTAAAAACGAACAAAAAATAAATATCAGTTGGATAATCATAAAATAAGATAGATGATAATATTGTACTTTAAATGGTTATTATTTGTGCAGATCTTTATATGTTTCCAAATTTAAACATAAACAAGGCACAAGATAGATACTTACTTCTTACGTTACGTTTACAATTACATTGTCCTGTTTCAATGTCACATGACTTGTCAGCATTGATAGTAGCATCAACATTACACCCGCATTCCTCACATCCGACTGGGTTGGTTGGTTGTATGTTATAAAACCCATCTAAACAAACACTACAATCTCTTCCAGATACTTTTTCTTTACACGGACACTGACCTCCAATCTGTATCAAAAATAATTTAAGATTTTTCAGTGAATATTTTGCAAATTACAAAATAATAATGTTGTTAACATGTTGTATGAAATAAAATTGAATTATTGCCTTAGTAATTAAGGCATCACATTAGATATAAATTTATGATTTTGATGGACATAAAATGATATTTGATGTCCAACTGTTACTAAACGTCAGACATTTTTTCTTTCATATCAGACAAGTATGGTAAATAGATCTAAATCAAGCCCCTAGCATCCCTGTATGTGTGAATTCTTGTTCCTGTCTCTCAAAAATCATACAACACTAAGGGTACTCTGACAGGTTTCAGAGACAATTTTCAATAATATAAATATCAGCAGAAGATTAAGATATATATTATAAATTATGAACAATGCACAACTTTTGGTCAAAATGCAACTTATCTTACCTTTTCACATTGTTGAGTTTCAGAAACCATTCCAGTTGCATTACAATTACAATTCTGGCAGACATCAGCATCATAAAGACTTTTACCGATTGGTCGAAAATATGTCAATTTACATACATCACACATCTGTCCTTCTGTGTTGTGTTGACAGTCAACACAGACTCCGCCCCCTCCACGATCATGATCAGTCGGGAACGAATCATATGAAGCGTTGTAATAACAACTGGTAGCGTGGTTATAACATTGACATAATTGACAGTTATAATCCTTTGTTTGGTCTCCAACACGGAATGGTTTGTTGTTATATAATGGCAGACATTTTTCACACTGAAAACCACAATAAAACGCAAAATATTAGTTTAAGCCCTACATTTTTAGGGATATGGTAAAACATGAAGTAAGATAGAATATTAAAATCATTTGTTTCTTTCTTAATTCTTCTTTGATCTTAATATTAAATATTTTAATGACAAATCATCAGATTTGGGGTTAGTAAAATGATTGAAGTTTCATTCTTTACTAAATATTTGCTCATATAATTCAAATTTTTTTTTACAGAAGAAAGAGCTTCCTGATGTGATTCTACAAGGCATTCTGACACTTTATCCATTTAAATTTAAATTTAAATAATTTAGCTATCAAAATCAGAAAGTTTTACAGTTTTCAAAACTACCTGTCCTGATGAGGATTATGTATCCAAACCATATACCTACCTGGTTGCCCTGTGTATTAGAGGCTGGTAAACAGTTACATTTATAAGGTAGAGTTGACATATCACAAGTTTCACTATGGCCATGACAGTTACACCTAGAAAGTACATTAATTACATATTACGCAAAATCTTACCAGAAGAAAGCATATATTTGGGGCCTTCTTATTTCTGACATTTTACAATGTTTTGTCAAGTAATAGTTGCGACCTGAAAACAGTCCTAGCTTAAGAGCCATTGAGGAATAACGCATACATTTTCTGCTTCTCTTGTCTGTTTTTTGTCCAATCATTTTGTCAAAACCCAACACTAATCCAACATTTTTTAATATTCAATGTCACTCACCTTGCACTAACAGCATATTCAAAAACACCAAAATATTCATGTCGAATGTTTGTCACAAAGTAATGATCTTCAAATCGGACTCGTATACGAGAGGCTTTAACAAATTCATGTAATTCTAGTGTGTTATAAAAATCATTATATCCAGGTCTTGGGACTGGTTCAGATGACAAGATATTAAAGGTTATATTTCCTCTAGAATATGGTGTCTGTAAATTATTGCTGAAATATACAAGAAGAGAATCATGGAATAACTGTAAAGTAAATATGAATATTGAATTTTACCATCTTTTATTAACTGTATGTAAACTGCTATGAGATATTTTGGGGGTTAGATACTTACGTTCCAAATTGCAAACAATTAACGGACAAAGATGTCGCAGTTTCACCGTTGTTGACCTGACCAGTAAAATATTTTGGGCAATCTTGAGCGTAATATTGCCATGGTTCCCAAACGTCTGATTGGTTTATCTGTCGTTCGATTGTAACAGCTTTCGGTAGAGGACTGTAGAATTGTATGACTACATAAAATACCTAGAAAATAATATAGACATCATGTGTTTGATTTATAAATACCTATTTACAGTCAAGTAAAGTTTGATAATTAAGAAGATATTTGCAGATACTACACTTGGATTTGTAGATAGAACTAATTTCATAATTTTAGTGATGGACCAATCAGTTAAATAAAGCACAGTCCAGGGTCACACATGAATGACAGTTATAAACCTGATATATAAACTTACTTGAAATTCATCTCCAAGGTCAACAGTAACATCAACCTTATCTTGAAACTTAGAAATCCAGACGGTATTACTATCCCCGTCGTTAGCGAACTCTAGTGGATGAGCTTCATCATTAATTCGTAATGTTTCCACCCCTGAGTTGTCTGGGACACCATTAGGAATACAGTAGTGTGTCTGTTGAGGTTTGACTCGTGGATGAGTGGGGGGACATCGGCAATCTGTCTGTATTCTGGCTTCTGGAAATGTTCCAGAAAACAGCTCTGCTATTTCTCTGAAAAAAAAAGAGAAAGCAATTAGACTATAAGCAATGATACACTGACCCCATCAGCCTCTGAATGAAATGAAAGAACACGGAACATAAATAGCCATATTGTTATTAGTATATCCCCAGCATGGTAATAATTAGGGCTGGGTAGCGATTATCAAATTGAGATTGATTATCAATGGCAGACTACCAATCAATAATTGATTAATAATTCCTAGCGATGATAATCAATATTTTGATCACTTTACCAGAATTAGGTTCAAGAAAGGGTACAAGAATAGTCTTGAAATCTTGAAATAGCCAGTTTTGAAAAAGCCAGTTTTGAAATAGCCAGTTTTGAAATAGCCAGTCTTGAAATAGCCAGTCTTGAAATAGCCAGTCTTGAAATAGCCAGTTTTGAAATAGCCAGTCTTGAAATAGCCAGTCTTGAAATAGCCAGTCTTAAAATAGCCAGTTTTGAAATAGCCAGTCTTGAAATAGCCAGTTTTGAAATAGCCAGTTTTGAAATAGCCAGTCTTGAAATAGCCAGTCTTGAAATAGCCAGTCTTGAAATAGCCAGTCTTGAAATAGCCAGTCTTGAAATAGCCAGTCTTGAAATAGCCAGTCTTGAAATAGCCAGTTTTGAAAAAGCCAGTCTTGAAATAGCCAATGATAAACTCTATATCTAATAATGAACAGTGTCAGGGAATAGTTTGAAAGTTGATAATGATGTATTACCTGTTGGTGAGTAATTCTTGATAAAATTGAAAATCTTGAAGTCGACCTTTAAAGGGAGCTAATCCTGTCAAAAAAATATTCACAAAATATTTCATCATTTTGAAAGCAATTGAACTTAAATAACATAAGTAGGTATTCGAACTATCTGTTAGGAATGCTGAGTCAACAAAACTAAAAACCAAATAGACATCTTTGACTATGAGGAATCTCTGTAAGGGATCTAACGGTAACAATCCAAAATATCAATAAAACATTACACGATAATAAGTTTTGTGCACTCTCTGAAAGGGATGCCAAGTTGACAAGCCTATATACCAAATAAGCACTTCTGGGTAAAAAATTGGTCTGACCGGTATAAAGAAAAATTTCAGTACTTTAAATAGCAAGAAAGGTCTGAGTTAGTTAAAACCAGAAAAGAATCTCTGTACCTTCAGCAGTTTGGCCAATTCTATAAGAACCTACAGAGTCTTGTATGACACTACCTAACTCTGTAGTAGACAGGGAGGATAAGCCAACTCTGGGTCCATTTAAAAAGAAACTTATAGTAGTTCTGTACACCTGAAATAACAAGCTCAATAAGTATACTATATAAACATTATAACCTTAATGAACACTCTTTAGGGGTGTCGAAACTTCCAATATCAAATAAACATTATTAGTAATGAAGACTCAATCTGAAAGAGTTGACAAAAAAAAACTACAATGCTAGATATCCCTCGCAAATGAAGACTCTTTCGCTTTAAGTCAAATGTTTAAAATGATTATGGAAGTGTTAAATAATCAGGTATATAAATCTTATTTTCATTTAAAATTATCACACTTTGTTCAGTACATTAACACCTTTTAAAACAACATTTTTTAAAAAATAGTTTAATGAAATAATCAGCCAAGCATGAACACACCTTAAACTCTCAAATAATAGACCAAATATAATGTTCACTCAGACACATTAAGTATTCATTGTTCATGAACAAATCGTTTATTATCACTTGAATCATAATTCAATACCGGTACACAACCTTGACTTTTCTAAAATATACTCAGGTGGTTGGGAGTTGAAATAAGGCTGACTCTCAATAGCACTGGCTATGGCATCAGTCTTTGTACTGCCTTGAAGGTCATTCAAACATACAGACCCGAATAGGTGCTAGTCTCCTTTACTGTATATTTATATAAATAGTGGGCCTCTTAAAATGGCATGCCTAACTTTGGGTGTGCACTAGAGACAATGAAAATTTTTTTGTGTAATTTTTCTGAATTTCTATAAAATTATTTTTCTGAAAAAGAACATTGCTATGTGATTGATTCAAATATTGATGTTTACGGAATTTCACACAAATTTAATTTGAAGGAATTTAAAAGTTCTTTCTTAGACTTTAGAAAACTAACTTTAGTCTAAATTTCTTTCAAATCAAATCAGAAAGTAAATTGTGAAGTAAAGGATTTTCAATGATTTACAGTCTTAATAATTAATTTATTGGTATCTTGGGACTAACAAGATGGAGATGACTTAAATAATTAATTAGATTATCTCTATATTCTTAATTAAAATGAATCCTGACTTCCTTCTATATTCTACTATAATCAAGTTAGGGATGGGTAGTTCTAAGATCATTCTTCAACATATTGAAATATAGATCAATGAATAAAATGATAACAATACTCTACCTGAATTGCTAAATGATGCCATTTTTTCAATGCCACTGTATCTTTAACTGAGACTGATAATGGACGAACTGACAATGAACTTAAATATAAAAATTCTATTCCGTTTTCTCCAACACGAACATCAAATATCAATTTGTTGTCTGCACTCCTTTTCTCTAATATTGTCCTGAAACAGAAAGAATGGTTTTACTGAGTTGTTAGCTCTCAGAAATCTGTCATACTAGTCAGTGACAAAAGTGTTAACTGACATTGGTTAACTATGAAGACAATTTGCTTTGCTGAAAGTCTAAGCCTACAACTGCCACAATGATTACAGAATCACATTTTGCCCATAATTTTTGTATTATTAGTATTAAAATACTAGGCCTCAGTCCTGAGAGTCTAAGACTGTCTTTGGGATTGATGAAGATGTCAGCTACTGAAAGCATCAATATATGTAGATACAATTTTACTGAGGGGAATTTACAGAGGGGAATTTCAGAGAGGAAAGTCTGTTTATTTCAAATGTAATGATGGAATCGTGGACAACTAATTCCATATTAAGTTATGGTAGGCCTACAAATTTTTAGTAAAATAGTTTGTAATTTGATGGCAGCACATGCCAAATTAGTTGATTAGAAGAAAGAGATCTTCATGAAATGTTAGTTCTAACTTTTTATAAAGAGGAAAGTACCACATATGCCATTTTTAATGCCAAGTAATTGGTTTATAACTCTTTTTTAATCAAAAAATATAAATAATCTGTTTTCTACTCCTTTAAATCATCCGCCATTTTGTTATCACGTGATAGCATACACAGAAAGACCCCGCCCCTAGTTTAGCCCCGCCTACAAGGTAAAGGGACATAATCTTAAAACTAGGATTGACCGGGATCCAAAAAACAAGTTCTCAGATTAGTTTTACGGATGATCTTTTATCCAAATCTATCTGTATAAACCACGGTGCTGTCTCCCCTTATCAAACCAAGAGTTGTATAAGATCGATTTGATACATGAATACTTTATGACAAGCACTAATTAACTTAAATTATGTATCAATCAACATACCCTGTTTTTAATTAGTCAAACTGCAAGGCAATACGATACAGAACATATGGATTGGCTACTAGCTTCATCCCAGTGTAACAAGATCTGGTATGAGGAGGAAGACCCCCAACACCCCTCCCCCTAAATTGCTAAAGATTAGTTATACAGTCATCACAAACCGTGTGAAAAACTTCAACTTTTTTTTAAAGTCAATCGCAAAATATCGTTTCGTTGTTCATCTTAATTAGTCTACGCAAATGTATTTCCATCCTGACACATCCACTAGGCCATCTTCTTTAGCACAATCATTTTTACGTCCGTTAAACTAATTTTCACTTCATTTGCAGTTACATTAAGCATAGTACGGCGTGGTAGGGTGTAAAACTCCATTTCACTTGTAAGTGGTTAATGTTATGCAACTACACATCAAGCCAACAATCCATATATATGAGTATATAGTGAAAGTTGTTAATATTAGTATAAATATATCATTCTATTAATCTAACATATTTATTAAAAACTCTAGGTTAGTATATACATGTACAGGCTATACACAAGTGCAAGAAGCTGTGAAATTTTCAAAGCATTGCCTAATATTTATAACAAAATCTACCAAAACATACATTCAATATCATTTTCTTAATACATTGTCATAAAATTGTTCATTCGGACTTGCAGAAAGTCTGCATGAGTTTGGACCCTCAAAACGATGATTTTCGTTAGGCTTTGTAATTTAAAACAATAGAATATTAAACAGATTGTTCAACTATTGAAGGGATACAGTTGTCTAAATATCTACATAACAGCTCATCAATCAATAACAGTGACCCATATCACTTTTCAGAATAGAAAATAATGCCCGGTTTTATTGTTATCAAATAAACATATACGGTGCCATTCTAAAGTGTCGTTTTGAAAAGTCAGAATGAATTTGCAAATACGTAGATGAAAATGTCCCTTTAAACGTTTCTGAATGGTATGTTTTGGTAGATTTGGTTGACTGAGTTAGTGATTAAGGATTACGGCAAGCCTTTTCTTAAAGCTATCATGAAATGTCAAGAATGAAATTAATTTAATGTATATAATATAATCCAACCATAATATGTAGCAATGAATATATTTCAACAACAATATAAGTTATAATGCCCTCGTTTTTTAGATCAAGGTTTATGTTCGTTTTTCCTTTTCTATGCACGTTGACAGAACACATTGAAATATTAAAACTTTAACCAAAGATGAAATGTCATCTTTTCTATCCTAAACAACAATGGTTGTATCATTCTTAAACTTTAGCGTTACTAATACCAATAAATATAATTTATGCATTGTTTTTTGTTATTGTGGCCAATATCCAATATATAAAATTATTTTGTGATGAAGATTTCCTTTTTTGACACTTCATGATAGCTTTAAGCTCTGATTATAATATTCACTTCAACAATTAAAACTGTTCTCACCTTGTTATATTAGGGGACTCTGACCTGATTTTATATAAATAGGAAATAAATAATAATAGAATAAAAAACACAACCATGCACAGACAAGATTTAGATTTAAGATATCATTGTGAAAAAATTTCGACTAAACTACGACAAATCGTCGTTGTCTCTTAATTTTGTTGATAAAATATGATCAAAAAAAAACTTAGATCATCTATGTGAACCCTCTAAAATACGTATAGACCCAAACATATCCTATTAAAGACAATTCGTAAAAAAATTATCAAGAAAATAAGTGACAGAATGCTTAAAAGACATGTAGAAAAAGCATTCCAAGATACAAAATTTTGAAAAGTAAAAAATGTGTGAATGGACATCGATCAAAACGTATTAAATGGTTAAAAAATTCGGTTGCTTTTGGGTGCGTCTTAAAACTCATCGCGGCTGTAAAATGTAAGATATCTTAGATTTAAAATAAAATTGAATTTTTAAAAAGTATTCTTACCCTGTATCTGGCGAATCTAACCAAAACCACACAGAAATTGTAAACTTCTCTCCTAAAGACGGTTTTAACCGAGGCACTAAGTAACATTTGCTGACCGTGTCTAGAATGGACGTGGAAAATGCACCGGGGGCACTATTAGGGCGAACATTGATAGTGTCAGTCACAATACAACTTCCAAAACCAGTGCTGTCTGCCACCAATAGATCGATGTGTCCGACAGTGTTAGTACGACCAGGACACACTTGAATACAAAAATCCTGTACACACCTCTGGACGGAATCGCCGATTATGGAACTTTTGCAATAAGCATTACGAGTGGGAATCCCACATGTGCTGTCCGACGGATTTGTTAAGATAGGTTTGTCTTTTGCTGCGTTGAATAATGGTGGAAAAACCCTTTGAGCATTAATTTGTGAATGATTTAGTAAAAAAGAAAGTAAAAAATAAGAAGTCCATTTGTGAAAAGATTTGTAAGAGTAGTATAAAAGCGTCATGGTTGTCCAACAGGCCGAAACAACCACGAATTATTGTATTGAATATCACAGATCGGTAGGCTTATACACAATTATTCGACTCAGAATGAGTCTTCCATACTCCAAAATCTGCACCTCGATATATATATTCCAAATCGAAACACAATATGTTATTTTCTTGTACAAATCGATGAAACTGAACTCAAGCTTTTAAATAGACCGACTGCAGTATATAACAAAACTGTTTTATATGCGTCATATAACACAGTAAATTCTTTTAAAGCTTATACAGTTATTTACTTGTTAATAGTATAGTAATCGAATGATCATAAGTATATGAATTGAAAAGGTTCAGTTATCCTCTTGTTAGGTTGATCTAATAGTGAAATGACTCACGTTATGCGATGCACCGGTAAAAACAAGGAAATATTCAAAGTGATATTTATCTTTTGATATAAGGTTCTGAAGTTATCTTGGTAGATGTGGAAAATACGAGTATATCCATTGAATGATGATTCTTATTCTCACTTTCAATGATTGACGCGTTCAGAGTTGTCGGACGTTCAAAAGATAAACATATTATATCAAAATGTACCGATATCATTCAATTTGCTGGTAAAATTTTTATAAGTAGACATCCATTGAAAACCTCATCACATGTCGACGACGTCAACTTCACAGTTATCGAATATTCACAGATAAAAATATTTAAAAAGTAGATACTATAATGTACACGCATTCAGATATCCTTCGATATTCAGGTAAATATTCAGTCATATCCTTTGAAGACCAGGTAGACTAAATGCAAACCTTCACGTGTTGACTATATACCATGAACCTGTATGAGTGAATCGATCCCAACAATAGTAAGATATGGGTATGTATTGGTAGACAGTATGACTGACTATTGATTGGTGAAAGCAATATTAGTAATTCACCGATACGCCCAACCATCTGTTACACTCCTGAAAAACAGTCGCACATAACGGCGCTTTAATCATTCCCAATCAAATCTAACTTCTGTCACCTTTTTAACACATTATCGTGTATAACGGGACTTGAATCAAACCTGATGCTTCAACGCCTCTATCGATTAATTAACGTAACTTCTGTCACTGGTTTAACACAGAGTCGTACATTGTGAGGCTTCAACAAAATCAGTAACACATTAGTCAATCCGAAATAACCGTACTTGACTTTAAACACAACCCGTAACATCCTTCATTTCCTCGACAAAATACATCACCTTTCTCGATCAATGAAAGAAAAATCTGCAGAAAATACTTTAAGGGTTTGTAATGTTTATCATAGACACTGGTAGTATCAATTTGCACCATAATAATTTTCAGGCAGACGCCACGATCTTGCAATTCCATTATAGGCTAATTCATTTAACGATATCGTTTAATTTTGATAACTTCTTAAAATGAGCCACTACTGGGTTTTCATTAAAGCCGATCAAACCTGATGCAACAAGACAAACATTGATCATTTTTTAAAACGTCATCTGTCGCCTTTTGAGAAATATTCGTGCAGTATGTGAATTTAAGTGAAAGACAATACAGTAACACTTTAATGTCTTTTGGACTAATTACAGCAACTTCTGTTATAATTTCACCATTTGATTTGTCAATTGGTTTGTCTTTTGATGGTGTTAATTTGTTGCAATCAAGAACTTAATAGACATGAAGATTGATCAGTTTTCATGACACAAACAATCCAAGCTATTTTCATAAGGTATAAGGGACATCTTCTCAATCCTATGGGCATTATTGGGGTGAAGCTTTGTAATGAAGGTGCTCACCCGCCTGAATGTTATGCAAATGAATTAATTAATTCATTCAGTACTGTCCCCCTCCGCCCCTAAAATTAGTCTAAAATTAAGACTAAAATGTCTCTCCGTCTTCATCACCCAGACCTCAAGCCTACACCTCCTCTCTTTGAATATCTGTATAAACAATTCTTTATGAAATCAATCTAATGTCTGTCAACTGTGTAGATCTATGCAGTGATATATGTTTTAATATGTTTATGTTTTATGTCATATTGGCTGTTAGAAGGAAAGAGAACACAGCTGGTGGGAGAGATATAATATTTATTTACATTCCGATCGATTCCTTCTTTATCAACACTGTATCAACATAAATATGAATAAATTCTTATTGGTAATTACAATAGTGAATCAATGTATTTAAATCTGTAACAAGCGAGAGGAGAAGTATAGAAATAGTTATTGCCCTTGTCCTTTATAGTTTTAGTTATCGTCCTTGTCCTTTCTGGCTCTAATACTATGCTCTAACTGCTGTCCTTGTCCCTGTTTGTTTAAGTTACTGCCTATGTCATTCGTGACTTTAGATACTATACCCTTGACTTTGCTGGCTTTAATTACTCTCCTTGTGTTTGCTGGCTTCAGTTACTGCCTTTGTTCTTGCTGGCTTAAGTCACTGCTCTTGTCCTTGCTTGGTTTCATTACCGCTCTTGTCATTGCTGATTTTAGTTACTGCCCGTGTCCTTGTTCGCTTTAGTTAAAGTCCTTGTCCCTGCTATTTATTGCTAGTTATGGTTATTATCACTTACATGTCATATAATATAGAGCCGAACAGACCTTGAATAAGGCCGAACAGACCCTGACTAAGGGCGAACAGACTCTGACCAAGGGACGAACGGATCCGATGCCTATAGTTATCAGTTATTCCTTACATGAGTTTAGTTAATGCCCATGACCTTTATGCCTTAGTAACTGCAATTGTCATAGTTGGCTTTAGTTACTACTTTGTCCTAGCTGACTTAAGTTACTGCCCCTGTCCTTGTTGATTTTAGTTACTGCCTCTGTCATTGTTTGCTTTAGTTACAGCCCTTATCCTTGATGGCTTCAGTTATTGCCCTTGCCCTTGCTGGCTTTACTTACTTCCCTTGTCTTTGCTGACTTTAGTTGCTGTCCTTGTCCTTGCTGGCATAAGTTACCATCCTTGTCCTTACTTACTTTCCTTGTCTTTGCTGGCTTTAGTTGCCGTCCTTGTCCTTACTGGCTTTAATTATTGTCCTTGTCCTTACTGGCTTTAGTTACAGTCCTTGTCCTTACTGGCTTTAGTTACATTGCTAGTTCTTACTGACTTAAGTTACAGTCCTTGTCCTTACTGGCTTTATTTATTGTCCTTGTCCTTACTGGCTTTAGTTACAGTCCTTGTCCTTACTGGCTTTGGCTATTGTGCTTGTCATTGCTTGCTTAAGATAATGACTTTGTCTTTGCTGATTTAAGTAACTGCCCTTGTCTATAGTGGCTTTAGTTATAAAGTTGACGTGCAGAAGAGAATATTTTACTGTGGACTGAATTAAATAGTATTAACCTCCCTTTACAAAATATTTTCATGAATAAGTTTTCAGACGGATAATGATAACCAGATTCGAAATGGATTTCTTAGGCAAATGGAAATAATATTTTGCAACATAATGATAATATTCCATAAACTTATTAAACCCATTTATCAAAATCGGATCAGCCAAAACCAAGGTATATTCGGAAAGAAGAATATTATTTTTAATTGAGTCATACCATCATTATCTCTCTATACCATTTATGTAACGTCTGTGCTTCCATCAAAGTATCTTTTTTTTACAAAAGTAATCACTTGACGGACAATTAAGACTGCATGTGCACCAAAAAGTTCAATGGTCACATTGTCACGTTATATAAACAAAACAGAAGTAACGAAACTGTAATGATTCGGATTATTTGAAATAATTTCCACCTTTTTTTTGCCGGTCACAGCATTCTAGGCCACGGCAAAAACCACAATCGTTGTATTCATCCATGCATTGTAATCTGATTGTGACGGAATTTAACTCAAACCTTTACGTCATAATAGTTCAATATTTCCCATTGTTCAACAAAAAGTCTCGAGGAAGTTATCTTTGGAAACAGACAGGCTTATCCTAATGCCTCCGGTGGAACTTTTCTATATAGTTCCAAAACCAATTTTACTGAGTTCTGTGTATAACGTCAAGATGCCATATCCCGTAAAATGGGTGAGTTTGAAATTTGGGAAATTTTTAAGACGGGGTGGAGCTACCCAGGTGAGCCTGTTTTGTACTGTCAGTGTTTTCTATACAATTTTAGTGATTGACCAATCAGATTACAAGAACTCTAATATCCTTTAAGGGGGCTAAAGTTAAAGGGATTCGCAAATTTTGGAATCTTGAATATATGTAAATATTCTTCAGAAGTATTAGCGGTGTACGAAAACAGTTAAGGATCCTCTCCTTCCATTTACAACTGGGTCGACTGGTTATTATGAGTGAAGATGACTTTTCCGAAAGTTCATTGTGTAACGTCAAGATGCCATATCTCATAAAATGGATGAGTTTGAAGTCGTAATCCAAATTCAAAAAAAGTCTGGATGGACTATACCCAGGTGATGCCTTGCAAACTGGTCATCGGATAACTTACTAAAACCACAGTAGCCTATTACATTTGATTTCTTCTTTTTCTTTTCCTTCTTTTTTGTATTACCTTGAGAATTAATTGGTTGTCTTCATTATCAGGACATTGCCCATAGTCTGAGTTTACAAAAATAATACAAACAAAATAATAACCGTTTTTAATATCAAATAATGATAACATATTTCCATGGAATCTAATTTACACGGGGTGAATCAATAATTTCTCCTTCTTAATGTTAAGATTTTCTCGGTACAATAATCAGATCAAAAATAAACTTAAGACTGCATGTTGTCAAGTTTTCAATAAAAGATTTTTGATTTTTAATCACCATTCAATTTAATTCCATTCAATTTAATTCCATACAATGCTACTGTTTACTCCGTGGGTTTGAATGTAATTTATAGGAGATTTCATCGGATTTGATATTTTTGTAACCTCACACAGATCGGAAGTTTTGGAATTAACGGAAGCACCATTGCCTTTCTCTCCGCTAGCTAATCAACGGGCGATGAATAATACCACTCAAGATCAAACTACAATGGAACACCCCAATTTACACAATTCTTTCCAAGAAAAGACTACCATGGACCACCCTATACTAAACAATTTATCAGAAGGACAAGCCATGACAGATCATTCCAAGATTCTACCCAAGACCATGTTACCATGGACAATTCCAACCTTAACAATCTTACCCAAGACCAAGCTACCATGGCCTACCAATCCAACGTTTATAATTCTACCAAAGAACAAGCCATCATGGACCATTCCAACGTAAATAATTCTACCAAAGAACAAGCCATCATGGACCATTCCAACGTAAATAATTCTACCAAAGAACAAGCCATCATGGACCAATCCAACGTTTATAATTCTACCAAAAAACAAGCCATCATGGACCATTCCAACGTAAATAATTCTACCAAAGAACAAGCCATCATGGACCATTCCAACGTAAATAATTCTACCAAAGAACAAGCCATCATGGACCATTCCAACGTAAATAATTCTACCAAAGAACAAGCTATCATGGACCATTCCAACGTAAATAATTCTACCTAAGAACAAGCCATCATGGACCATTCCAACGTAAATAATTCTAGCAAAGAACAAGCCATCATGGACCATTCCAACGTAAATAATTCTTCCAAAGAACAAGCTATCATGGATCATTCCAACGTAAATAATTCTACCAATGACCAAGCTATCATGGATCATTCCAATGTTAATAATTCTACCAAAGAACAAGCTATCATGGACCATTCCAACATAAACAATTCTACCAAAACAACAAGCTATCATGGACCATTCCAACGTAAATAATTCTACCAAAAAAACAAGCTATCATGGACCATTCCAACATAAATAATTCTAGTAAAGAACAAGCTATCATGGACCATTCCAACATAAATGATTCTACCAAAAAAAGAAGCTATCATGGACCATTCCAACATAAATAATTCTACCAAAAAACAAGCCGTCGAGGGCCATTCCAACTTAAATAATTCTACCAATGACCAAGCTATCATGGATCATTCCAGCGTTAATAATTCTACCAAAGAACAAGCTATCATGGACCATTCCAACATAAATAATTCTACCAAAAAAAGAAGCTATCATGGACCATTCCAACATAAATAATTCTACCAAAGAACAAGCTATCATGGGCCATTCGAACGTAAATAGCTCTAACAATGACCAAGCTATGGACCAATCCAACGTAACTAATTCTACCAATGACCAAGCGACGGACCAATCCAACATAAATAATTCTACCAATGACCAAGCGACGGACCAATCCAACGTAACTAATTCTACCAATGACCAAGCGACGGACCAATCCAACATAAATAATTCTACCAATGACCAAGCCATGGGCCATTCCGACGCAACTAATTCTACTAATGACCAAGCCATGGTTGATGCTGTTTTAAACGTCCTTGCTTTCCTCATTAGTATTATCGGTCTGATCTTCAGTTGTATATCAGCGATGGTGTTTTCCAGAAGAGCAATGCGATGTCCTGCGACAGTCTTTTTGCTGACGTTAAATCTAATGGAAGTTGCAAATATCACTATGGATCTAATGCGATGGTCTTTAGGATCATATTATGGACACGACTTAGACAAAATGAAACTGTGCTGTTATTTCAAGCTTTATGGAAATCTTTTCTTCAACATCAGTGTTAAGCGACTCAGTTTCTGTCTCATCTTTGTCATGACATTGGAAAGATTCTTGGCGATTAAGTTCCCAATCAAGTATCGATATTTCAAATTAGTTAAAAGACCTTTTGTTGTTTTCCTCGTGCTCGCCACACTAGTACAAGGCATTCATTCTGACGTATTGTTCAGCCACGAGGTTTACGAAAAACCAGGAACGAGTGACTGGAAAGTAGGACCGAAGTTTACCACAGCCTTTCTGTCAAAGTTCCACGTAATGATGGCTTTATTCAGAACGATTCTCTTCGTGTTTACTCCATTACTTGGCAGTATCTTTCTAAACATCGGTACTGTGTTAACAGTTCGTAAAAGTATTCGTCGTAGGAAACAGCTTGCGGTAAGCGTCACATCTGCTCGTGAACATCAGACGACTAAAACCATCATCATCTCGTCGTCGCTGTTTTTGTTGTTTGTTCTACCGGTGAGCATCCTGCATATAGTCACCAACCTCTGTTATACTGATAGTTTCAAAGCTGGCGAAGCTCCAAAAAAACCGATGGAGTTCTAATTAGGGCTGTCAAGATTTGTGGACATTTCAACAATTGCATTTGTCTGATTTGTTACCTGATAGTTAGTTCCCGCTTTAGGAAAACACTTTTGTCTTTGTTTACGTTTAATACAAGAAATTGATGTATACATGTAATTATAAACCAAGTTTTTGTTTTCTTGTCTAATTTTTGTTCATTAGAGTGCACCTTCTATTATTAAAGGAATTGTAAAGAGGTTTTCTAAACTTTTTTTGTGTATCGGGGACACTGATATCACTATGCCAATTATCAACCAGGCATCTGTGTCTCTTGTAAATTCACTAAAACCAAGTTTTTGATGACGTCACTAATCACGAAGTGCTTTATAATGTGATAATGTGTCATCAAACACTAGGTTATTGTGGAATTTGGAACTTTTTGGTTGAAATTTCTGAGAGAAAAGTCAAGTCTGTGTATATTCAATGTTAACTTGTAAAAATCTTTAAATTTTATCCACGCAAAATCAGTCGAAGATTAGTGCTATCCTATACTATTTTTAAGCTGATATTCAAATTAACCTTTAAAAAAATCGGCTAATTTCGATTTACCAACGAAGGAGTATAGACAGTGGGATCTGCGTTATTTTAAAACATTTGTAAATCATTAGGGGCAGTTTGAAAAGGTTTTGTGATTATTTTAGGAGATTTGTCGTTTTAAAGTGCCGATCATTCCGTCTATGCAACTGTGCAGGCTATTCCTTGTCAAACAGCAGGTACTACTTGCGGTTTGTCAATTTCCATTTCCAGGTTTCTGTGCCTGACGGTAGAAATCAATTTGGGTTCTCTGTGAAGTGATAGAAGTTGTTTTGGTTTCTCTGTGAAATAGTAGAAATAATTTCCGATCTCTCTGGAATGGGCGAGGTGATTTCCTCGTTCTCAATGGAGTGGAATAGATCACCTTCGGTTCCATTATCAAGTTATACTCGTATTTAAGGTCTCAGAGATCATTACTATTATCCTATTCCGGAAAGATGTGTGTATAACCTTAATTCGCCGTCTCATCAACAAGCCCGGTAAACGATGTAACGCCATTTCTAATCAACACCTTAAACACATTAATAATGCATGAATACGGGCAATCTCTCTCGTATGAAAGAGGTCGTTTGATTGGTTAAAATTCATCGACCTAAACGAAAATACAGTTAAAAGTAAACCATTTTTCTTTCAAAGGTGGCTGAAATCATGTATAGGACAAAGAATTGGATGGAAATATTTATTAGTTTACTTATTCATTGTTATATTTTAGATCTGGAATTTAAAAATTATGTTTTTATTCTTTAATGTTTTCTTTTGTTCTTACATTTTACATTTCGAACAAGATGAAGCTAATCTCTATATGGCTACGATTATTTTCTTTTACAAATTACCTACAATTCATTTATTTCTCCTTTTATTTCTCCATTTTAGATTCGGAACAAGATGCGGGAGGTGAAATTAAAGCGTGCAGAAAAACGAGAGAAATATTCTCAAGAAAGTTTCGAGAATCAACCGGGAAAACGGTGGTACCATCACCTTGTATGTTTTACTATGTACGTTTCTACTGCAGATGACTTCGGGAACGATGAGCCGGAAAGTGAGTGGAAAATGAGTGAGTGAATGAATGAATGAAATTTTTACGGTTAGATTATTATATATACGAAAATGAGGCGAAAGATGGCAGTCATCATATAGTGTAGTTGAGTTTGCCTTCAAACGCGATCGTCGCTGTCAACCCCTTAAAGGCAATTTTGGGAGGTTGATTTGAGTCTTGAATAAATTTAAATACTATTACTAAGGTGCGATCAGTGAAACTGATGGGGAAACTGTGATAAAAAAAGTGATTTCTTGCTAATTTTTAGGACCACCAACTATTTCTGAAAGATACAACATTTCAGAGTTATTCAGTGCTGGTGATAAACGGGGAGCCAATCCAGGTGAGTAAACTTTAATCTTGAGGCATATAGGGAAAAAGGGGGAAGGGAGGGAGGGGGGTCCTTAATTTGCTTTAATTCAAAAGTAATTTTACATGCGAAATATCTAGCATCAATAAGGTCTCCGTTTGTGTTGTAGAAGAGGTAGCGTTATCTAAGACAGCTGGTATGGGAATTTTAAAATTCCACCTCAAGGTATGTTTTCCAGTTTCAGAAACGAAGATAAAAGATGACGAGTTTATGGTCATTTCGCTTCAGAGATCAGAGCCTGTGGTTACTAACGAAGCTCTCAATGTTAACGAAGTTATGGTCAATGTGTAACCTTTTTTATTCTGGACCTGGTTCGTACCAAATCAAATTGTCGGGGCTTCTTGAGTGGGGTTCGGGAAATTACCGGTTGAAGACTTTTGGAACCCCAGACAGAACCGTTAATTGTTAGAATTTTGAATTTTGTCTTATTAAAAAATGTTCTGGATTGGATTCTACAATTGATAAGAAACGTTAATGTTGGGGTTGACAGCTATTTTGTTTTGTTTTTATTTAATTATTTAACAAGCTTGTTTTTGATATTTGAATCTAAATGAATTAATAATTGAATGAATGAATGAATGAATGAATTGTTTTATAAATATAAATAATTGTTATTGATATATAGTGGTGTTATAGTATTAGAGCTAGTCAACATTATCAGAAATACCAACATTGTAGTATTTTGGAAGGAATTTTGGGATTTTCGTACATTTCTAGTACTTCTGAAGACTGTTTACATATCATATTCAAGACCAGAATCAATTCTCCAAAATGGCGAAGCTGTCGTTTTAAGTGCTGTGGAATATCATTTTGCAACTTTCGCCAATAATCGTTAGTTTCCGTATCCCGAAGTTGATGCGAGTGGGGAAGTGGTGGGTTATAGTCAACGGCACTGCATCTTATTTGCCTAATGAAATTAAATGGATTAAATGTCATAGTTGTCTGCATAATAGTCTTTGAAAAAGAAATAAAATTGCGATTATGCCATACTTTTCTACATATTTATAGTTTATAAGAGTTTTATGCCACATTCCTAATTTATATTTGTACCTGATTGAGCTAATGAACTATAATTTAAACCTATTAAGAAATAACAGTTTTATGGATATTAACTTCCATTTATTATTGAAACACAGCGTTTTATTACACATACAGGTAACGTTCTCAAGTGATGGTAAACCATAAAAAACTATAACTCCTTATGTAGGCCTTTAACAGGAAAAAAACTTCATATAACTCGGAGTTATAGTTTTATGGTTAATCTGCACTTGAGAAAGTTGAGAACGCTGTGTTTAAATAACAGAAGTCAATATCCATAAAACTGTTATTTCTTAATGTGCTGTGATACTTCTTTAAATGCATTACAATTAGGATAACTAATTTAAACCCATGTAAAGAGTTTTGCACTTACGCGTATTTGAAAACAGATAAAAAAAATACGAGTTCTAATTTGCTTCGGAACTCTGATACATAAATTAGCAAAAAGCCCATCCAGCTAAAATTCTATAGTCTGTGTGAGAGAGTAGTGTTTTACCCGTATAAAAATCGTTAAAGTCATATTTCGCGGTTGGTTTATCAACTTAACATGCGGCGTTGTTATTAGCAACTGATTTTGTTTACCTGTAAGTAATTACAGGTAAACTATAGTCTCGATTATTACAACGTCTTATTGAGACTCTATTACACTAGTTGTTCGTGGCTCCATTAAACTAGGTCAGACTTAAAAATAAACTATAGTAGGTAACTACGCCGCCATTTTGATCACAATTTGACGACTCAGAGGTAAAATGAGGGACAAAATGCCAAAAGATTTCGAATTTGCAGAAATTCCTGCGACTGGTGCCGTATTTATGTTTGGTAAAAGTCATTTAGCGGAAACCTTACCGAACCAATTCTGGGTGAATAACGATAAGGTTGTGGATATTTCATGTGGAGACCAGCACACAGTTTTGGCCGCGGCCAGCGGTCGAGTTTTTGTATTCGGGAGTAACGCCCATGGTCAGCTTGGTCTAGGACACTCTAATACAATGAGCAAACCGACTTGTATCAAATCATTAAAAGGAGAAAAAGTCAAGCTGGTGGCTTGTGGAAGATCCCACACTGTGTTCAGTACAGAATCGGGATCGGTTTACTCGTGTGGAAATAATACGGAGGGACAACTGGGATATAAAGGGAGTAGAGATGTTCTCGATCCACAGCAAATCAAAGGTTTGGATCAACAGCAAATTAAAATGTTATCTTGTGGAACCGATCATACAGTCGTTTTAAATGGTAAGTAATGACATTTCGTGATGAATAATTGTGTAATACTAATGTGTAGTCCTAGCCTACTAAACCTAGTACCTATTTACTAAAGCCATTACTAATTACCTAGAACATATAGGGCCTCGGCATAGAACTATTACAGTTCTATGGAAAATGCTACTAATATTAATAGTACTACATACTATAATAGTCGTATTGCCATTTTGATATGGGCGAAGAGGACTAAACTCTACCACGACTGATTTTTAGTGTAGAATAAATATATGTTGGTGTGACTTTATTATAGTGATAGCCTTCAGTCAACTAAAAGTGTATCCGAGGAAGTGACTCGGACATTGAGTGGCGAAGAAACGATTCGCTTCCATTTGCTATGCTACTAGCCTATCGATAAATTTGTACAGGATCCCCCGGTCCGTACTGGATTAATTTATAGTATCTCATCTATTGTTACCTCAACTCAAGTCAAATACTGGTCGGAAGACCAACCCTTCCAAACAGTCGACTTTACTTAGCCCTAATCTTATTACTTTGTATAAGCTTAGAAGTTAGATTTGAAGGAATGATTAATGAGTTACATGTACATTTTTATTTCAGAGGAAGGCAGTGTGTATGTGTGGGGAAGTGGTGACGATGGGAAACTCGGATTGGGTGGAGAAGAGAGTTGTTTGGGTCCTACAGAATTAAAACTGGACGAGACCGTTTCCTGCATATCCTGCGGTTACTACCATACGGCGTTGGTTACGGCCAGTGGGAAGTTGTACACGTTTGGTGAGATGGATGACGGAAAATTAGGCTTAGAGCGAACCGTGGAAGAAGCTTTAAAGCCCGAAATGGTGTCCATTCCAGAGAAAGTAATACAGGTATCGTGCGGTGGATCGCATACAGCGGTTCTTACGGAAAACGGCCTGGTATATACGTTTGGAGACGGGGCCCACGGTCAACTAGGACATGGCACGCATACGTTACAGTCGACCTCGCCATTGCGTTTGGAATTAGATTTCAAAGCGACGTCTATTAGCTGTGGAGAGAATTTTACTGCCATTATTTCAGACGCAGGATATTTGTATACGTGTGGTAATGGCCGGCATGGGCGACTGGCTCAAGGAGTTGACAGTTATTCAAATCAGTTCAAGCCACGACGAGTTGATGGATTCCAAAACTATTTAGTCCACAAAGTGGCCTGTGGTGGTTGCCATATGGTTGTTTTGGCTCAGAAACGAAGTGAGAAAGAAATAAGAAGAAGACGTTTGGAGAAAACAAAAAACAATAACGTAAATGAAATATCAGCTGCTAGGAGTCGCCGCCATCGATTCCTAGAAAGTAACACATCTTTAAATCGCACCATGCCTGAACTTGCTTTACAGAAATTGATTCCAGCCAATCTAAATATAACCATGCCCAATCCAGTTTCCAGGAAGCCCCACAGAAGACCACGGAAAACGAAAGAAATACAGGAACTTTAGTTCACAGTGCTTGGTGAATGTCGACGTGCCATTATTTATGCTCTATATGTCTACGATTTAATGTACCGTCCGAATGTTTTTTTGTCAAGTTTATTACTTAAGCTAACTTATTATTAGTAGCATGTGATATTGTCCTTATTGTTAACTCCTATGATAGGCTATATAGAATTTTTAAATATTAAAATCTTACTCTTGAAATATCTGTTCTAGAAAAAGTCATATATACCATGTCGATTTCAGTTCCAGTCTGATTAGGACTAAATTTATTTTAAAAAGGCCATTGACAGTTTTCTGTTAAAGGGACAGTTTCGACATCCGTTTGATCAGTCGTACCTTAGTTTCAGCAACAGTTATTTTGTAACTCAGCTAATCAGTAATATTTTTCACGACTCACTGTCGAAATTTAGCGTTTAAATCTATAATGTGTCCCGAATCATCTGCGTTTGTAAGTTTGAATGACGACTGATCTTTTCTTGAGACTCCGGCGTATATATATAAATTTTAGTTTAGGTAGGCCTATATGTATTTAAAATATACGATTTTCATGCCGTTCTAGTACCTCTGACGACTATTTACATAATATATTCAAGACCCAAATTAACCATGGTTATATTTCATGAGATAAATCCATGACCTCTGGATGATGAAAGAAAAAGGGTCATTGAAACAGTTAATATTTTAGATGAATTTATTATACACGAACAGTTACATATTTTCCGTTACTATCGACATTAAATGATTGTTTTAAATCGGTCCTCTCTTTACCATCGTAAAAAACTTTCAGTTCGTAATCACCATGGAAACCATCCACTGTAAACCTAGTTCCGGCTTGACCTACATTTTGTGTAGTCTTGGTCATCCAGTCATTTTCAAGAAGATGTAAAACTCTCTTTCCTGCCGCATTGATCTGGAAAAAATGCAATGTACATTAGCAATATTTTATTTAGCTGATAAAGCTCAATAATAGCTTTCCATAGAAACTTTCAGAATCAAAATCCAACTACCGGTTCTTCCTCTGGACATATAGTCTAATTTAAAATTATACCAAATTTTCGATGGATTTTTCATAGATTTTATTTTTAATTTAGCCACTACAGTCGGACGTCAAGTTGATTTTCGGGTGCATGACGCCATTGATGATCCTGAAAGCTGTTTAGACCAGAGGAATCGTCCTCAAATCGAAAATAAGCAGAAAGGCGAAATTCCTGGCTTCTTTTAGACGTGGAAATGTTTCTTCATTATTTCACAGGGATTTTGACATTGGATAGAAGTCGCTTACCCTGAATTCATCTCCAGTGACGATAGTTGCCGGAACCCCAGCATAGTGTCTCTTACTCCAGAACCCCCAGAGCATAATCCCCTCTACAGCTGGGTGACCGTACAGAGCCCGTAACGCTATTTCATACCAGTCAGCCCGTAAATTCTCATCTTGGGTGTACACATCGAGTTCTGTGACCCAGATCGGTAAGCCAGCTTTCGCAAGGATATCTAAATGTTTCTGTAATTCAAGAGAGATTGACAAAGAAGAAGAATACTGAGTTCTCAGTAGGCCGACCACCTGTAAGACCGGACCATTTAGACCGTGTCAGGACCGCAGCCCTAACCGAGCTAGAACTAGCCGTTAGGTAATTTCAGATTACTCATCAAAGTAGTTTTCCCAAAAGGTCCAGAAGATGGTTATAGCGCGGTAGAGTGCAATAAGACACAGGATCTCTCTTACCCTTACCAAGGCGGAAATCATATCATCAGACTGGTATCCTCAGCCCAAATATTGGTCTTGGGATAACTATTTGTAAGTAACACAATAACAATCAGACCATAGCAGTTCCGGAGCCCTAGTCCAAGTACTAGAAATTCGACGATTTCAGGACTCTCGCCTCTCATACCCTTTATATTACCTTAATAAGGGTAGGATTAGGGGGCACGTCATGTGCCATGTGACACTGAACACCAATTCCATAGATTCCACTGTTACCATTCTTAAACTTCAAAGCTTGTTCTAGGTAGGACTGGAAAATATATAAAATCATAAGACAGGTAGTTCAGAATTTTTGAGCGAGATCGCTTGGGAAACACCACCTGTTCTTTGTCACTACTGGATACATACTTACACCCCCCCCCCCCCCCTTCCATCTTTTACGCACGCAAGTTCTTAACGGTTCTTAAAGCCAGAACTTTAGTAACAGTAGCGTTCTAGAAGCATACAGTCGTGATGTCGACGATAAAACTGATATTACAGACTTCTTACCTCAGTAAAGCTTCCGGAGGAAACAACAGAGTAATCATTTAAAAATAATTTGATATTAGGACCTGCTCGATGAGCTTCTCTAAATATTTCTAGATTGTAGTCTCGATCATTCACAGCTCTCTGGTAATACTGACCGTGGATATTCTCATTATTCACATCCCAGTGTTCCACGCTAGCCAAAAAAACAAACAAAACAAACAATAGTAGTCAATAAGAATAAATGCTGATTCAATAAACAATTCAGCAAAACTGCGGCAAATATGGCCGTGATCAAACAATTTATGGAATGATCACCCAAACAACAGTTCAGACTTCAGAGAAACATAATCCGAAAACGTTTACTCACTAATTTTTGGTATCGTTCACAACCCATTTTATTCTTTTAGAAACTTCAGCTTTCAGTTGATTGGGGCTTAAAGCCTTCAGCCAACCTTGGACATATTTCGGCATTGACCAGACTATATTGTGGGCTCGTATTTTGATGCTAAGGAAGACAAATATTACAAATTACATCTGTACATTGGTTGCCAAGTTATTCCGGTTTATAATGTGAATAAGCGACAATTCTTTATTTTGTTGTGCACCATCTATAACTGTCATTCAAACATAATATCAATTTTTTCCGAATTCACAGGAACCACAAAAGGTATGGAAAAATGTCGATCATTTGAGATAAGTCTTGGAACGTAACAAATAGATTTTGCCTTATTCAAGCTGGTGTTATAGCATTATAAGGAAATTACGAACCCATTAGCTTTTAATTTCTTTAAAGATTGTATAGCTACGTCCTTGACAATTACACCCTGGCAAAATAAAAACATGAAAATTCAGTCGGAACAATATACAATTTGATTCTGGTAGCCAACAACTCAACTGTTGAAGTGTTTAGGATATGGAACCTTCATTAGGACAGGACTTTTAAAGTTAAGACCCTTGGCGAAGGGGCTAGATAATAATATAGACTCCTACCCGATTTCGCTCCATCAAGTCCCATTTTAACGCATTTTCAGTGACTGCCCAGTTGAAATGTTTGTTGATGAAATCTTGGTATCGTTTATCACCGTGTACATATTCATCACAAGCTATAGCTGTTCCAAAAGCAAAACTTTTCTTCAGTTGGTGTATCTTTATTTTTTAAAAATAAATGATACAGTAAATCATATACAATCATATATATCCGGTGGCGGTTAAAGATATCAGAATTATGCGAACGACATGGCATGCGGGTTTCAGATCAAAATTCGACCAAAACACTTTCATCATCTCTCTTTTTCCCTATGAGAGGTAGACACGTGTCGAGGTTAGGCATACCAATACTGATTTTAAATTTAATTATGGGATAGGATTTCATTCAGCAGGCTGTTTTCGTTTACAGAAATAATCCTTTACATGATCAGGTCTAAAGATATCACGAGCAACCTTACCTGTATAGACAACTTATTATGATCTAAACTTCCAGGATGAACTCTGAAAAACAACGTCACCAATATTCATGTCATGCCTAGATTCTTTTTCACTTTACAATCTCACGATAGTAATTTTACCAGTTTCAGAATCGTAGCAAATGGGTCTATACTTCGACACGTCCGAAACTGTACGGATGTGCGTTTTGAACGAAGATGCTGGAGCTCATATTGATTATTGTATTATGGCAATGATGGGTATTATTATGACGATGAAGTGCCGGCGACATTGTTCGAAATCGGTGCTCTTGTTGAAGATCATTTATGATTATATCTATGATTAACCAATGCTGATGATGTTGCTGAATGATCAATACTGATTTGTCAATGATGCTTATGCTGACAACTATGTTTGATATGGTTATATTATAATGACGATGATGATAATGATGATGATGATGATGATATCGACAACGAAAATCACACGAAGGAGAATGCGTACGTTACGGTTATGCCATTTTTTCGTACTGTGTCAATTACAGTATCAGAATCAACTCTCCAATCTTTGTCAACCGCTATTGGTTTAATGAAGATAGAGTCCACGATGAATTCCTGTCCACCGACCGGACCTTGGAAGTATACTGACGCACTGTTAAAAACTGAAAAAAAGGCAAGAATATGGAAATTACAAGAAAATACATAAGTTGGGCGATCCAACTGGTGTGTTCATGGGAGCACAACTTTATTCTGATCAGTAAGAACGTGTATTCACTAAGGTAAGGATTATGAACTCGAATGGAATAGACAATATGAAACGGTCCACCAAACGACAGTGTTTCACTATATTGGAGTTGCAGGATATAAGGAAAACTACTACTGAAATTGTAGCATGCTAATTTTATTCTGGCCACAGTACCCACATTCATCAATTCCTTACCTTTTGACGGAGTAGCAAAATCTCCATGTAATTTAACGAAACCATCTTTGTTCAATATCATTGGTCGACCAGCAACATCGATATACGATTTACTTCCATCTGGAATATATTAAATAAGAATTATTACTAAATACCTAATATCATGCTATTACAATTTGGATTGTACGCCAGCGAATACTATGGCGCTGTATTTGGTTCAAAAAAGGATCCAGATCTGATTGTATAAATTCTTAAAATCGTGTGGTCATTTCTTAGGTAGAAATGACTAATCTTATAAAATTGACGTATTTTTACGTGTTTTATCCCATAGAATACAGCCAACCATTTCCCTCAAAAGACCAGCTGTGATTTGTGTTCACAGACTTTCTGCCAAAGCCTCTGTATTTGCTGTATATTGGCTGTATTCGCTAGCGTTCAATCCAATCGAATCTTCGGTGATACAAAAAGGGTGATTATTGCAATTAAAGCATACGTACGAAGTAAGTAAAAGTACGTAATAGCTTGACATTGTGAAAATTCAGAAATAGATGCCTGAGTTGATAAAACTCACTACTAAATATACATTAATGGTTATGAGTTCTCATTTATATGACAATTCAAAATAACAAATAAACATGTTTAGCTATGTGGACTATTTGAAATGGATGCTGTGTTTATAAACCTAATCGTAGTGTAGCATATCAGGAACGAGTGAACATATGATTAAAATTTGATTTGATCGCCTACCTGCGAAATTAAAAACTACTTCCATAAAAACAATCTGTCCGACCACATCCCCAGGTAGGTCTGTTGCCATTTTAACGTAACTCCCTATCTCATACTGACTGTTTAACTGTAATCCATTTATGTTCTGAGATGGGCCTTGATAATACTGAGTTCTGAAGGGATACAAAAAACCGTAAAATCATTGTGCACTTCCTATGAGGAATGCAGGCCTGGCAATCTAAATATTTAATAAGCGAACACTTCGAAAGACTTACCAAAGTTGACCTAATAAACCTTATAAGCTTTCTGTACTCTCGGGAAGGGATACTGATTTCTCAGAAACAGTTGCGTAGTTGTCAAGCCTAGTTGCTTCAAGTTTAGATTTCCCAAGCAGAAGGTAATGGTATCACAGATAACTTTACCATGAAAGTGGGAATTGGCATGACTTCATAATATTGATCTTCCACGACACAATGTTCCTTCTATAGTCTATGAATAAATTCATTTTCTATGGAATGCAGAAAAATTGTTCATAGAAATTTGGAATAAAGCACTAGGACCGAATTTACTTTGTGATCAATTTATGGTGACTTATATATACTAGGTGACCCAGTAGCGGTTCTGTGTATTCTCACCTCTTTGAAACTTTTAGAGCGTGTCCACCTTCATGTGCATCAGTCACAACATCACACTTAAAGCCATAACAGGCCCAACCATTAGACCCAGATTCGAAGCCACCATTGACCAAAAACAGGCCAGACGTTTGGGTGTTGGAAGATGTTTTAAGTTTCATTGAATCCACTAAAAATTCCTGTCCTGGCATCGGTCCTTGGAAATAAAACATCGCATCCACAAAGTCTGTAAAAGTAAAGAATCACAAGACCTCTAATTTGGCCAGTCAAGGCTTGGTATGGTGCGTGTATGAGAAGAAAGTGTAGACAGGGTGGGGATGGGGTGTAGAGTTTTGGCTTTTCACATAAATTTTGTCTGGTTTGTAATTAATGTCTCCCTTTACTTCAATTTACGGTGTACGGTGATATTCAAACCCAAACCTCTATTTGGTGTTAGGAATCCACCATCAATGTTAACGTAACCATCTTTAACCAGCAACCCAGATTTACTTGCTGCCGTTACATACTGTTTGGTATTATCTGAAATAGAGTAATAAATTAAATTAAATTTACATACGATAATATATAAGGGTTGTCTGATATTATACGTTATATCCCGTGTGTATCGTAGTTTCGTACATGTGTTCATAGTTACAAAACAAAACCTAAAACATAGAAACTTCATTGCCAGTTTGAAAGTCACATGACGTCATGAATATTCATTTTCTCGCTCCTTAAAGGAGATCAGCCTGCAAATTAAGAACCACGGTTGAAATAGTTTCGGATAAGTGACGTCTGTTATATTTGTGGATATCTGATGATACAAATTGATGTGTGTCTGTGGTGCACGTACAAAAGCTATAAAGCATCCTTTGAACCAATTTTAATTAAACGTATACGCACCAGGAAAAGAGAATGCAATTTCTAATTCTATTTTCTGACCATTCGGACTGTTTGGTTGATCTGTTAACATTTTAACGAACCCTGACGCATCATACCGGGTATTCTTCTTCAATCCTTTCACACTTTGTGTTGGCCCTTGGTAGAATTGAGTTCTGAGAGAAAAGTTAAAAAAAAGAAACAGAAAATGCTGAGATATTTTCCGTATGCTACCCTGCAACATGGATTCAGTTTTACAGAAACTACCAAGAAAGTTCTGCAAGGATTTAACTTTACTACCAAGAGAGTTGCCGAATGTCGTTTTACAATATGGATTCACATTTACGGCAACCACTGAGAGAGTTTCGTGATATATTAAAGAGTTACCTCGAAGAGGCCTTCACTGCATGGCTTCCGGTATGAGAATCAGACACTATGTCACATTTAAATCCCCAACAATTCCAACCAGAAATTCCCGTCTCAAAATCAGCATTATGGAACAGGTTTTGTCCTGAACAGACAGTAACCACCAACAGTAATATTAATACTCTGACTTCCATGATGTGGATAGTTCTGTAAAAATAGGAAAAACAATATCCTGATTTAAGGGCATTATCGCCATCTAATTGGAGTATTTACAGTGATCAAGCCACGAACCAGGAGTGTATCTTGAAAATGCTCGGGGTGTGGGGGACAAAAACGGGCGTGATCTGGGAGCTGCTAAAGGCACCCATAAGCCAACGGATGTCAGATGGCCCGAGATAAATTTGAAGCAATAAAAGGGTTTAATTTTCACTTCGAAATAAGACCTATGACCCACCTTTAAAACTGCCACTGCTTCGAACCAGCCCTGAATAAGGAGGTGTTAATCTTACCCGGGACTAGATGGATGGATATCTTCCAATCTCTCGCCGTAAACTAAAATCTTCATATCATATTTGCCAGAATAATTCATTGAATTTTTATCAGATAATCGTGGGAACGTCACATCTGCTTTTTTTTACGTTTTGTTAATTTGCCTTCACTGTCAGACGGTACTCTTATCGAATTCTGAACACATAGAGCTACGTTTGAACAAAGCATAGTTCCCAACAGCTTTGAACATACTTAGACCAAACCCACTGGGCATAATTTCACCAATTCCCGATGCTTAGAGGATCCTGTCTACCGGTTGATCCTTCACCAAATTCTTTCAAGGTCTTCAACGACTTTCGAACTCTTTTCAAAAAGTTGTCCTTGACCAAACCTTTTTGAAGTGATTCTGCAAGCTAGGGGGTCCTGGGAATAGGGGGAATACTAGCTGATTCTTAGCAAACCATCGGCATTGAACTTTCTATTATACACGTACCCAAAGATTGATTCGAAATGTGAGAGAATGACCACTTCAATTCTGCTTTTTCTGCACATCGCATTTTAAGATACGTTGCGATATCTTGCAGTGTGCAATGAGTGCAAATTTGTCAAGGCATCAATCAATTTGAATCAATATACTCTTTTCCGATTTTTAATATTGTGCAGAGACTGTAGTACATCCGGTTTCGGTTTTTTGTTCTGAGCAGGGTGAATTATTCAAGGTAACCAGGATTTGCAATAAGGCAAATCCAAACATTTTTTAAAAATTTATAACAACAATTTTGTTTTTCTCTACAGATAGGTTTATTTCTTTTACAAATTGACAATTAACACAAACATACTAAATTAAAATACAAATCTGAATTGAAAACATCTTTACATTGTCACTGATTTAACTGTATTTGCCAGTCATGTCTGAATTGGAGCTTCAATAGGATTGTATGATTATGTGTTTCATAAAATATATTGGTAATCAAAAAGCAACTTGTTGAGGTAATAAAATGAAATGAAGTTTATGTAGTCATAATTGTGATATTGAACCAGAGCAGAGTTATAGATGCTAATATTCTGTTCCATTTTGAGCTAATGATATGAAATATAGTTTATATCCTTCTGTTTACATGCTAATATTCTGTTCCATTTGGAGCTAATAACTTCCTATTGACCTAATGAAATGAAATGTTTTACACAATTAATATTCAGTATCTTTTTGAGCTTTTTGAAATGAAAGTTTACCCTTCTACTGATCTGTACCTTATTGGGTGAATAAAATGAAATGGGGGTGTACATTATACTGTTAATGAAATAGATGTTAATAAATTAGGAGAATAGTTATTATATACAGATGAATACAAAACCAGAGCTAGGTAATATCCAATGTGAGCCATTAGATAAACTCACTGATCGCACAATTTTTTGAGAATCTGGCCCTAGGCTATACTCTGGTATTACAATAGATGTAATATTGTATAAAAATGTAAGCTCTGAAACAAGACACAACATCTAGTAGCACCCTAATAGATTATAATACATAATACATACTTTCACACATTAATTAAGTAACATGGCCAAGTTTTTTTTATTTGTTCATATCTTCACAATGTCAAGCTATTTTGAAATTTGTCTTATACCTTGACTGCAAAAGCCACCTTCCTTGTATAACAGGTTTGTAAATGCAGTACTTGGTTTGGATTGTACATTAGCAAATACAGCTAATCATAGTCCTTGCCAGAAAGTCTTAACAATACACTTTAGTGTCTTTAGGTCAAAAGCTCTGATTGGCTGTATTCGACAGCGTTCAAATCAATCAAATCACTGCAATAACAAACTTCTGTTAAACAAGAAAGGTGGCTATTGCAGTCAAGGTACAGTTTTTGTTTTCTCATAGACATAGGTTTGAGATGCATAGCTTCAGCTTTATCAACTAATAACGTATTATTTAAACAACAATATCCCTGTAACATTTTCAAAACCACCGAATACTAAAGTTTGTTCTGATGTCTAGTATCTGAAGATAAAAAAGTTTGCAACATCATCAATTAAATTTGAAATACAACAGTAAAACTTGTAATTAGTTGATGTTATTCCAACAAGATTAACACATAAACCAACAAGCCCTTTGTTCAGTTGGCAAAATATTATAAAGATTCTTGTCTTTTTCTAATGAATGAGTCAAGAGGTTTCTGAAAAATTCCTTGCAAAGCAAATAAAATGTAAGGTTCTTGTAAACGACTTGTTCAGTAGTAAAATGCTAAATGATACGTAACATTTTGCTAATTGAGTGGAAGACAAATAACTGTACGCAAGGCAAAAAGGAAAACTTTTGGATAAACTTTATAACAGAAGGTTAATTACAAGCTTTCTGACAACATCCCAAACTGAGTTAACTCTTCCTCTTGTCTCTTTCAGCTCACTTCATCACCTTTTACTAAATTATAGATCATTCTGTAAAATAGAAAAATATCATTCACTCATTCACCATTTTCTGTTGACACATGTGTTTCAGACCTAAAATCTCCATCAGACTGCTTGTTCTCAAGTTCCAATATTTTGACAGTTATGTAAAGACAGTGAATTCAATTCATCTTATGCAGTAGGTAAAAAATCATCATTAGGACAACTGCTTTGCAAAAGGGCCAAATTCTAATATTTAGACTTACTCATAAACACTTGCTGAACAGGAGCAAGAGGCCAATAATGGGAATGTTTACAGCAATGACATTTTGATACTTTATAATCTGACTGATAAGAGATCAGCACATCTTTTAAACTTCGTTTGGAATCATCAAGTTATTATTGGGACTAAACCAAAAGTCTGATTTTCATTCTTATAAGTGATACAAATTGCTGAAATTAAGTCCAAACTGCCTGTCCTGATGACAAGGCTAAAACAAGACTGAAAAAGTTTTGATAACAGTATTTGAAATAAAAAAAACAGGAATACTTACAAATAAAGAAAAACAAAAAAGAAAAATAAATGAGTTCCTAAACGAATTAAACTTTCTCTCATATAGAGTTTCAGTTGTTGTCGATTATGTATTTCTGTGGGATCAAACATCCCAATATTACCACTGGGTTTCGTTGCCATCCTGTAAAAAAAAAAAAAAATAATTTGAATATACTAGGACTTAAATTATTAACTTATACAAGTCAGATTCAGGTCTATTTCACCAAATTACAATAGACTTGTCTAACTTCTCGACCACAGGGACAAACAGACTGTTTGTATTACAAAATAAGAATGAGACCCTTTAATAAAAGATCAAAAGTAATGTCTTACTCAAATGAAATTGTCACAGGTCTGCCATCAGAGCTTAACACATCTGTCGAAAGTTTAAATTGAATCCTGGACTATCAACAATGAACTAGTTCCAAAATAGAACTTCTACTTTCAATTCAAATGTAAAACTACAAATCTGACTTACTTGAAAGTGAGCCATGCTCCTAGTGGGGTGTAGAGTAAAAACAGTATCCAATGACCAGTAATTAAAAATAAAATACTGGGTAAAAATTGACCGATTATTTCTGGTAACATCCACTGAAAGGAACAAATATTTAAATGAGAGAGATCAGGATATAAAATTCCTTTAGTTTTCAAAATGCTGTGTAAATAAATGGCACCGTTTCATGAAAAACTAATTAATCTTTGAAAGAAAAAAGAAAAGATGTTAAGAAAAAAAGAAAAATAAATTCTACTTACTAAGTTGAGTTTATCACAACAAGTTGTAGCATTTAAATAATCACTTTCTAAATCTGATAATGTTATAACCTGATAAATACTTTAAGGAACAATGGAAGAAATCAAAACATATCATTATAAAAATCCTTCTCTTCCAATCAGTAGGCTACCCATGACTTCATGTACAAGGTGCTTTATAACTGAGTTACCATGTTCTAAGAAAGCCAAAGAAAGAAACAACCATCTTTCACAATGATAAACAATTAGGTTCGCTAAGGATTTCTTCTACCAGTTGATCTTTGGCCATACCTCTTGCTTGGCGTTGATCTTTCACAGATTATCCGTACCCATTTACAGGTGGGTCAACTGCAACAATGAGGAATGATGACATATTCAAAGTCAACAGACTTCCACATGCCAACCAAACTTAGAACCCATGACCACCAAGCAAATGACGTCCAGTTTTTATTTGACTGATAGAAAGACGGCTACCCGGTCCCTCAAAAGCGTATATCAAGTGAACAGTTATTTCAAAACACCAAATAGGTATGAAAGTGTAACAATTACAAGACGACTTATCTAACAGAATAAGACCACTAATATTTGACTTGTGGGACGTTACACGTTACACGTTCTAGTACAGTATTCAATATATTGATTTGAGTTAGCATTTTACAGACACCAGTCTGACCCTGTGGCTTTTTACACTTTAACTGGACAAGGAGCATAGTTCAAGTAAAAAAAAACAATATTCGAAAAAGAAAGGTGGAATGTTAGTTTTCAAGGATACGAAATAAACCGAAAGAAATAAAAGTGCTCCTTCGTCTAAAAGGGCGAAAATGAAAAGCATCGCGTCGGTTCCCATTTTGCCAATGTTGTTATTATTTTGAACACATTGAAGTTTACTTCTCTAAATTTTTAGATCTTCGATATTCGAATGTATAAATATTGCCAAGTTCCTCCCCGTTACTTCCGATTGAATCTACTTTACTGTATTTCAGTTTAGTGCTTTCAATCATTTAAAATTGTCAAACCAAATTTTGATTAGATTATTTTTTATTAAATGGATATTTTTTTCTTAAAAAAAAAAGTTCGAATAAAAATACGTTATGTATAAAATTCTGTTTAGTTCAGCTTGACTGTTTTTTTTGACTCCATAATTGAAAATACAATTAACAAGGGAGGTGACTCATAAATCATCCTTTAATTGGTGCTAAGAAAAAAGAGTTATTGAGAAAATTGCTCTGAAATTTTTTTGGTGAAGTAGTAGAATATGAAAATTCCACACAAAGCTAAAGGTTAATTTACATATAGATATATAATGATTTTTTGGCAACTCATCGAAGACACTGCGTGCGTCTGGACATTCGCGTCAAACATAGAAGAATCCACGGAAAGATAACTCTGTGAAGTAGACAAATTCCTTAGGAGTCGGTTTCAAGTTGATAACTTTTAATTTTTAGAGAAAAAACATCTTTAATGGTAAAATGGACCCCATGTTTTTAGCCTACAGTTACTTTAGAAGACGAAAATACCAAAAATGTGAAGAAATCTGCTCCCAGTTATTGGAGAAAAACCCTTATGATCAGGTAAATTCTACTTCGGTTTCATTTATTCCACTCTAATTCCTGTCCTCTGAACCTCTGTCTGATTTCTCACATTTACCTTTGTACTACAAAATTTGTAAGTGGTTTAGAAGCAAACCCTTGCAAAATCTAATATTCTGATACTGCTGATATTCCTGTCATTATGATATAATCAAGCTGTAGCTCAAGAAAATGTATGTCTGATTACTGGAAAACAACTCACCAAAACTCATTTTAAAATAAAAGTGTTTGGTATAAGCCTATTAGAGATGGGCTATAATATTGTGATACACACTGGCTAATTGATTTGCCTCAATGTTTACTAGGGAGCATGGTCACTGAAGACAAGAGCCTTAACTGGGCAGGTCTACGTGGATGAAGTGGATGTTGATGAAGAAGGTATAGCAGAGATGGTGATGGATGATAATGCTATAGCAACAGTAGCTCGTCCTGGAACATCTTTGAGAAAACCTGGCACTGGTCAAGGAATGCCTAGTCAGGGAGTTAGGTAAGTTATATGTACCAATACCCAATTAGAAAGAAAGCTGGGTCAACTGGATTAATTAATTAATGATAATTCACACAGTGTCACCAGACTTTGGCTCTCATATTATACTTCATAAATTTCAGGCCAATGACAAACTCTGGAAGACCTGTCAGTGGGTTTGTTCGTCCTGGGACTCAGTCAGGCCGCCCTGGAACCATGGAACAAGCTATTAAAACACCACGTACATCCCATACAGCCCGTCCTGTAACCAGTGCTTCAGGCAGATATGTTAGACTTGGAACGGTAAGCTTTTTAATATGTTTTTATCATGTATTTTTCCTGGGATACTATCTTCAAATCTCAATATGCATTTCATATGATTTCTTTTTAATCAGTGGTAGCGTCTGCCTCTTGAACCTGGTGGTTAAATAGGGTCAGACTGACTAATAGGATTTACAACTGTCGAGGTGTAATTCAAATTGTGGCAGCGCAGTGGAAAATGTAGTGTCTCCTCTTAGGAAATTTTGAAAATTGAATTGATTTGGTGTGTTCTGACACATTTTGGGCAATAAGTTTGATAATGAAGTAGGGGTACAATTGGGGAAACAAACCACTTTTCTAGTGAGGCAAATGTCATGAATAATGTCTCAGATTCATCATTCAATTTGAAATCTTGCTCAATGTATCTGGACTGTATTTTGGTAATTTAAAATGGTTTAATTTCAGGCCTCAATGTTATCCAGCCCAGATGGACCATTTATTAACCTAGCTCGGCTGAATTTTTCAAAATATGCCTCCAGACCTAATTTAGCCAAAGCTTTATTTGAATATATTTTTCATCATGAAAATGATGTGAGAAATGTAAGTGTTATAATTTATAAGATAGAGTGAAAAAGACAGGGAAGAATCACCCATATTTTCAAGGAATAAAACTTGGGTTGCTTGTCAAAATGAAATTATATGGCTAACAATTTAGGTTAGTTGGTTTACTAGTCCTTGGACATGACTTTAGTAATTGGTTTTACCTCAATACCTAGGTGGCTTTTTCAAAATCAAAGATAAGAGGAAAGTGTGGGCTCTTTGATTGAAAACTGATTCTGAATGAATGGTTTAGATTTTATTTGAATTTGTAACTGACATTGCAAGCTACAGAACATTATGAATGATCTTATTATCTCTATTATTTAAAGGCATTGGAACTGGCATCGCAAGCTACTGAACAGTGTAAATTTGATGACTGGTGGTGGAAAGTGCAGCTAGCTAAATGTTATTATAGGTAGGAATTTCATTTTGATAAGTTTGAGTTGGGGGAATTATATCTGAAAATATTTACTAAATGTGTTATTTACATCTACTTGATCAAACTGAATATATTTTGATAGAGTTAATTACTAATTTAAAAAGATTTGAATTAAAAAATTTTTTTTACTATTTGTGCCTGATTTTTTTGACCAATGAAAAAATCATTCTGCCCCTTTTAACCTGTCTTTTGTTCGGGTTACATGGAATTTTCCTCAAGTTACTTCGTTATAGACAATCTTGTTGCATCATAACAATAGGTTGGTCATTTATTAATTGTTTTTATGATATTTTATTGAGAACTGAACACAACCTCTAAAAAAAAGTCAGTTTTTAGTTAATGTCATTTATTGTTTCAGATTAGGTATGTTTCGTGAAGCCGAAAAACAACTGAAGTCGGCCATAAAACAACAAGAAATGGTGGACTCATTCCTGTATTTAGGAAAAGTTTATGTCAGACTAGACCAGCCCCTGACAGCTGTAGAAATATATAAACAGGGCCTGGAAAAATTCCCTGGTGAAACTACTTTACTTACTGGTATAGCTAGAATACATGAGGTTAGTAAGGGACTTCATGTGATTGCTTGTGATATACCCCGTATATTCTGAGCAGCTTTTAACTTTTAAAATTCAGAAGAGATTCAGATGTTATAAAGATTCAGAGAAGTAAATATTGTATTGTCAAAAGACAAGATTTAGATTATTTAACAGACCAGAAAAAAAACAATGTAAATGATTTCAGTGAACAGGGACATGTTGTTTGACTATTTCAGGGTTTAAATGAACTAGATGATGCAGTAAAATTCTATAAAGATGTATTACATTATGACAATATGCATGTTGAAGCTATAGCCTGTATCGCAACACATCATTTTTATACTGACCAGCCAGAAATAGCACTCAAATTTTACAGGCAAGTACATATTGTCTTTTTTCATACAAGATTAACAAAAAAGAAGATGATCCAGTCATCTGATTGTCAACTAATTATTTCTTAATCTGTTTTAAGATGCAAGAATGTATTATCTTGAGATAGTGGTTAGATGGAAGAAATAATTGTTGTCTGAATTATATGTATAGTAAAACAGGAGTTATTTCCCTTTGTATGTATGGATTTGTATGACTGAATATTAGATGGCTGAATGTCTAATGGAGTAGTTTTATAATAACTTTTGTTTGAGAAATTTGAAAATGTTGTCTACTGGATAAAGAGGAACTCAAGGTTTGAATCCCACTCAAAGACAATAAAACTCAAGAAAAGATATGGCTTGTGCTTTTTTGCTCATCTATGCTGTATCTTTGTATGAAATCTCATTTCATTCTATCCTGTAAAATAATTATAAGCCCTACATTTGATGTATTGAGCACTATATCAACAGTATAAATATTTTGTTATTATAATTATAGGCCTATATTAATTTATACCAGAAGTTGAGATTTGGCTCAAGGCTAATATTATAATTAATGTTGATATAGTTTAACTTGCTAGTTATGTTTTAAGTTGTATTTTGAGCTTGTTACTTGTCTTAGTTTTTTCATTCTAATAAGTTAAAACATGTCATCTAAAATGATAAGAGTCAGCTAGTTTTGGCCAATCTCTGTTAATATAGTTCAACATGTCATTAAGTTTTTTAATTGTGGGAAGAGACTGTAACAGGGCTTGTTTTTTTTGGACTCTTGCAAGTTGACAAGTGTCAAGATATCCATTAGAGATCAGATAAAGAATTAACTAGTTGCAGTCTAGGTCATAATCCTTGCTTTTTAACCAATTCTTGATGGATTTTGACAAAACTTGACATTAGGGGGTTAAAGCTGACACTGAAACGACACTTACAGGCCTAGGCATCAGAATTTTTCTTACCTCATTTTAGCCTTGAGTAAATGTTAACTATCTTGCCTGTTTACAATATACAAAATTCAATTGTTATGTTCTGAGAACTCTAGCCAGTAAATCAGTCTGTCATCTCTGATATTTTTATTATTTTATTAAAGTTCTGTTCTTGTCAACATATATTACTGAACTTGTCATCTATAAAATAGTTTTCATGTTCAGATTAAAATGCTTTATTATATTTTTATTTACTTTTGTTTTATGGCAAAAAGTTGATGTGTGAAAATAAGTCTGACATAACTTGAGGCCGAGGTTTTCTTCCAGCAATAGTTTCAGATTTAGAATTTATCTTGATATCTAATAGGAGATTTATCTGAGCAAAATGTCGTTTATGTAAGTAGATTTATGAAGATGTACTTCTAGGAAATTTGGAATTTGATTTGGGAGCAGTAGCGGTTCACTGAGTTAGATGCTTGCATGCTTATCTGGTGTTGTGTATGGTTAATAAACTTCAATAGTTTACAATCAAAAAGAGCTGGCTAATCCTACTGTCTTGATAATTTTTAGCCATGCAAACTTCTTGACTTCACATATTTGCAAATTTAATTGTAAGATTTAAAATGGATCCACAATCTTGTCCCTTTAAGATAGAGTGTAGTCAACACGTAAATAGCTACTGTTTGAATTACCTACTTATGTTGAAGATAGGTCTACTTTGTAAGATTTATATGGTCAGTAACTAGCCAATGGTCTTAGTCTACTATTGTCCATCCTTGTGTGGAAGATAGATATCTTCTGTATGATTTAAGAACAGAGTGTTGGAATTTAGACATCATTTTCTAGGTTTTGAAGAGATGATGGTTGTGGATTATAATCTCAGTCCACGTGTTAAGGTCTATTAACCATGATAGATCCTCATCTTTCCTCATTATCCCAACTGTAAACTGTAAGCTTATAGATAGTCTAGGAAAGATCAATAGCAAGAGATTTGACCAAAGACCTCGAGAACCTAAGTTGTTATCCTTGTAAGATTTATGGCTGTCACTAACAAGCTATTGGTCATTATGTCCACCTGTGTCCAATCTTGTGGTTGTTATCAATATATCATATGAGTGTCCAGTGACAATGTTGTAATTGATACAGGGTCTATTTGCCACTCTTATCTTTATTAAAGTGGCTGTGTGGGCTGGCATGAAAATAACAAATCCTTTCTCCAAATGAACAGTTTTTTGGTAATGATATGCTCTTATTTATGATTTGTTTTTTTTTAATTTCCATTCCCCAGGTATTACACAATATTATATTGTTAAAAGCAACAGTTTTAAATATAACCTGATTAACCTGCACAACTACATTTATAAACAATAAAATACATTTCATAATTCATCTTAACTCAACTTTGTCTTATATCTTGACTGTATCACATAATGCAGCAATTTGATTGGATTGTAAACAAGCGAATACAGCCAATTAAAAGCCTTTATAGACAATCATTACGACTTATTGTTTACAGTTTTTCTATCGAGGACTATGATTGGCTGTCCTCGTAAACTTCTGTGTTACAGGTGGTTACCTCTGTACAGTTATTTACTTATGAAGATGAACAACTCATTTAATATTACATTATATAACCTACAATTCAACATCATATATTAATGAAGGTAGCCAACACCATGCAGTGTTCCTATATTTTTTCATCTAAATAATTTATATATTACAGGAGATTGTTACAGATGGGAGTTTATAATACAGAATTATTTAACAACCTTGGACTCTGTTGTTTTTATGCTCAGCAATACGACATGACCTTGACATGTTTTGAGAGGGCGCTGTCCATGGCTGATGATCAGACCTTAGCTGACGTTTGGTTCAATATTGGACATGTTGCTTTGGTAAGTTTTTGCTATTCTTTAATCTGCAAATGTTTAACAAAAAATCTGTAAAGCAGGAGCTGACTTAAGATTACAAGCGATCCTTGGAAAATAAAAGCCTGTAGTGTGATATTTGGGATGATAGAATGAGATGGTAGAGACAAAAAGAAAAGATATCTCTTTCCTAAAAATCTCCATTCTTTACTGTGTCTTCTTTGATTTTACATGGATACACAGGATAGGAATTTTTTTTTGTGTTTCTGAGACTAAAGTACAATTGGTCAAATTGATGGAGAACCTATCCCTATATGGCCAACTACCCTTTTCCTGTTGGCTCACAGCATCAACACCAATTTTGTGAGGGTTTGACCAATGTTGTAGTATTACCAGCATTTGAACACTGAATGATATACCATTATTTTGATGTGGGTTTTCATGATAAGATAAGTGGGCTGATATTGAGAATGAAGCTGTCATTGTGTCAATAATTTGATAAGAGTTAGGATTCTAAAGATTAGTATATTGATATTGAAATAGTTGTAACTGACATACCTCAGGAAATAACCCTCACTCTTCCTTCCCTTTACATTCAGAATATATCTACTCTTTTCTTGTGGATTGATCTTGAGTATAATGTCTGTCTGTCATTCTGTCAGTTATTAATAGAGTTAGATTAACATTTAGGAAATAAGGACAGGAAGTTACCCCCATCTTCCTTCCCAAGCTAGATATGATATGATATTAATCTCTTAGAATTATCAACCTTTTCCTGTCCGTAGTTAACCAATGCAATCAGGGCTCAACTTACAAACCCCCATCTTCCTTTTTTTATATTAACCCTTTTCCTGCTGGATTTACAGAAATGTGATTTAATGCATAAAGATATACACATGATCTTGGTGTTGGGGTGTATTGAGACGAGTCTCAATGAAAGCACTGGCCTAGATCACAGAGCAATAGATAAACTTATTAATTATGTGAAAATTAGTTAGCCATTAGTATGATTTTAGTTGAAAAGACACACACACAAACATACACTGCATGTTATGTAATATACTGTATATAGCAATGGCACCAGTCCTGAAATAAGTATTCCCTGAAATCTAACTTGGTGGCACTCTGACTCAAACTTATGTGATGTGACATAGCAACTCAAATTTGTAAGATCAGATCTAACATTGTGCCATGAGGGAAATTTTGTCTAGAGTAGGTTTATGCCACTGGCAGCCTTCATTAGCCCATTAGTGACAACAAGTAGGAGTCTCTTATTGATTTTAATGCATCCTGTAACCTGTAGACTTTCAGATATTTCAATGAAATTTCTCTTTGGTCACAGGAGCTGTGGCTCTCAAGTTGATATTTAACATAGAACATCCTGGTTTCCCCTATCAGTGATACAGGTCCTTGTCACTGAAATTACATTACGATATATGTAATAGTATGAATATACACATACAACTAAGATTCCAAGACTTGCTCCTTTAATTCCTGCTGAAACCATGTGTTATGTGTAGTAAAGTTGAGATAGTTTGAAGTGAGGAAATTTATTAGATGGACTATCTCCTTTAATCCCCTATAAAACCATGTGTTATGTGTAGTAAAGTTGAGATAGTTTGAAGTAAGGATAATTTATTAGTATTATTATAAACAGGAAATAAACAGTTTTAATAACCTAATTTAGTCAATTATAACCTAGTTTAATCTGTTACAGTCAATCTGGTCTGTTATCATAAACCACAAATATTTCTCTTAATCAATTAGACTTCAATGTGGAACAAAATGGTTAGTGGTACGAATGGAGGTGGTGGGTTCTTATATTGGCCGATGTGTGAAAGTCCCTCATTATTTCAAACAACCCAGCTGTAAAGGGTATGGATAATCCAGGAAAGATCAATGTCGAAGAGCTGTCCAAGGACAATGGGACATGTTGGTAAACAGGATGCTCTTAAAACTTATTTTGCTCATGAACAACTATTACAATAGTAAAAAATGGTTTGTTTCTTTCTTTAATTGCATGCATTAAGCTTATACTGACATATAGCTATCCGAATCACACTCCATTGGACACCATCCAAGAATCTGGAAAATCTCCTCTTCAACCTCCATCAACTATTGAAAAAAAATCTATGACTGGTCAATACAGCCCAATCAGCATCCCTGATGTATTAAATACCAGTGAAGGATACAGGTTATTATTTATAAACCACAGTGTTATTAAAGATAATTATATAGAATTAAGATAAACATTATAATGTTGATGTAAATACCACAGCCTATCTGGTAATACTTCTACAAACTTAACCTTACTTACTCATTTGGACTGGTTTAATAACTTTTAAATGAAGTGGATTTTTACTTCATTCTTCTCTACAAGCCAATAAAAACAGCCAACATCATGCAGTGTGCAATGAAGGATGTTTTTCCAGAACAGGAGCATTAGCCAATTCTTCTATTCCCAAATGTCAATAGATCTTATAAATGCACAGCCTGAAGCAGACATGGCCTCACTTTTTTTTAGCTAAATGTTTAATCAACTTCCAAACCATTTTTTAAAAATGAAATGAATCAAGTCAGAGACAAGCATGGCCAATCAGCTCCTATCTAGACTATGCACTGAATCCCTTTTAAGAAGCTAACATAATTTATTTGGTATATACCTATCAGTATTGAATCCCATTTTTTATGGAAAAAATTTCATTGAAGTCCACGTATCCAGTGATATTTTCTACAAGAAAGATTCAATATATTTTGGGAGAAGCCCATTCAGGTAGTGACATAACTTGGTATTTTAGAGAACAGATTCCATATATTTTGTGAAAATTCCTTATTAGTGAGTCATCTAATTTGGATGATTACATTCAGAGAGTTATAAAATTTGGTATTTTGTACTCTGCATGATTAACTATTGGTCAAGATGAAGGATATTAATTTACAAATTGTAACCTAGAAACCTTTAGGATGTAGGTAACCTAATTTATACAAAAAATGTCACATAAATATCATTAACTATATTATTTATTTATCCTAATTTCATTCTAGTTGGAATGCTAAAAAAGAGAGAGGGGGTGGTTATTAATGTGGTGCACCCAATTTATAGAAATAATTTAACATATCAGGATTGATATCAATCATGGGAAGGTATTAAAGTTTTGGGGCTGTGGAAGTTAGAATAGATGCTTGACCTCTAATCTGAATGTCCAGGTTTCAATCCCGACATAGCGACATTACCTTTAGATCTTTTCTCCTATCAATGATTCAGATACAAATTCTCTGAGAAATTAAAAATTTGTTATATTTTATATTTCTAGGGTATAGGAGATATGAACCTAGCCTATCAGTGTTTCCGAATGTCACTGGCCAGTAACAACGACCATGCAGACGCGTATAATAATCTGGGAGTTTTAGAGTTACGAAGAGGACATATAGAGGAGGTAGGTCAAAGTGTGAAACTAAACACTAATCTAAGTCACTATGGTTAATTTCTTTTTCAATGTTGATGCTTTGGCGGTTGGAATGGGGTAGCTAAATGTATAGGTGACCCCACAATAAAAAGAATCCTTGCTTCATGGCATAATAGAAGGGATTTTTTTATCTGCCATTTGAAAATGTAAATCTCTTTCACCACTTTTGTCATACTGGTAATTTTCTATCTAGTGCTTAAGTTTTTTTTTTTTTTTTTTTGGATAACAATGGATTATGGTAATTATATAACATCATTAGCTATTTGGACTTTCTGAAATGGATGACAAACTCAATCACAGAGTGATATCAGGTTTTTTGGAAAAGAGAGCAATGTCTTACAAGATAATATTTTAATATTTTGCCTTGTGGGTGTATTCTTTTGAAAACGAGCTTGTTCTCCCTGTGACTTGATCTGATTGCTAAATCATTCAGTTATTAGTAGTGATGAATATTACTGTCCAATAAGGTCGAGTAGAATCATCATTAGTCTGTGATTCATCAGGAATTTGACACTCTATGACAATCAGGAAGCCATTTACAGTCCAAGGAATCAATCAAATGAAGCCTCATCAATATAGAGTAGAAAATTGATAACTGTTGTAATTAGAAAGAATTCATTGTGAAGTAGAGGATAGAGTTGCTGAATTATTCTCTTCATTGTTCTTAATCATTTCTTTCTATAGTTTGAAAGACACAAGACTTTGACAATGACTGAAATTGGTGAAGGGCAATTCTTATAACTATTTTAATTCACTCAAATTAACTACACAATTTTTGTTTTGTTTTGAACAGTGTAACAGGTTTAAAATATTTTGATAAAAACAATTGTTTAAGGGCTATTCTTCTATAACCTAATTTGAGTTTTGGTCTCTTTTTTCTTTCCTCCTTTGTTTCCTACACAGTTACCTTTATATATGGAAGGTGTTTACGTTTTGAGAATGTGTTTCAATTGCGCTTACAGACACATGTAATCCCAGCTTTAGTTTTGAACTAAATGTCAACCATAAGTAGCCTAGTAATAATAGATAATATGTATGGTCAGTTGTAATAATCTGTAGTCGAGGAAGTGACCTCAAGTGACCGCGATTGACCAATTGTCATTATCAGTAAACATCTATAAATATTCATATAGATATATCCTCCAGATGAATAACATTTTCAATTTATTGATATGAGGTTCCGAGGGGGCATGGAAAAGTTTCTAAAGAATATATAGCCAACTGTATTGTTGCTTTCCCAGTTGATACATCTCACACTAAGTTGTCTATATCACTATTAACATTATAATCTGAGATATGATTCATCTACAATGAAACAAAAAATTTTTGGAGGAAGAGACTATATAATATTCTCTTGTCAGATAGAACTGAAGATGTCATGATATCTGCATGTGGAAACTGTTGTCATTCTGTCTAATTTCTTGTAGACAAACCATATGCCAGGTTTGAATTCTGAAGAGTGATATATGTAAACAGTTGTTAACAGTTTTGTAGTCAACCCTCATATTATTAGAATATCTGAAACAGCCTAGGGATATTAGTATAGTTATTATGTATATTCAAATAAGATTGGTTTATATTAATTTATTAGGAGTGATGTATAGAATTCTGATAGAATCAATTACTTACTGACTGACCCTAACCTTAGGCTATTTAGTGCTATAGGTTGGGATTCTTGTCAAGACTGGAGGTAATTTCCATAACATCATTTGAATCTGTATTATCTTGATGTCATATTTCCAGCCATGTTCCCTTATGTTGAAATTAATCAGAATATTCAAAACATAATTTTACGATCAAAACACCTGAAGTATTACCTTTTTGCACTGAAATTTTAAAAATATTAGGTCTGTTAATGTCAAGGACAAACTTAGACGTGCATGACACGCTTCTGATTTTACATGATTAATTTGCTCTTTTAAAGGGATGTAGTCTTGAAAAATTGAAATTAAATATTCTTGTGTTTCCAGACTTCTTTTCAAAAGGAAAATGCCAATTTTCTGTGATTAGAATTCTGCAAGGTGGAAAAGAAAGATTCATATAGATTTTTCAGTTGAAAGTTTCTATAAAAAGCAGCTAGGAAAAAATGTTTTGAGAGTACGAGCTATTGAAATAATAAATGTCAGGTTTTCATTTTAAAAAGTGATACAGACAACTGAATAAACAGGTGAATATTAAAGGATGAAGCTTAACAAGGTAACAAACTGAGTGACAAAGTGAATAATTCGCTAACAGTATCCCTTGAGAATGAAATATGGAGTATCTGTACAATGTTTTGTTAATTTTACAATGAGTAATTTAATATAGTGACTTTTTGACAGTGTTTTGAAATAAGGGATAATTAAAAATAACTCCTGTTCTGTGAAGTGAAACTAAATTTATTAAAATACAAAGTTTAGTTGTGGGTATGGATGTCTGTCTTTTGGACCAGATCCACCTACACAAAAACTTAATGAATTAGAAGATAGGAACATCAGAACCTTACTAATATACCCTTGTAAAATAAAGATCTAATTTCTTCTGCATAGAAATACCAGAACAAAGAAGGTTCTCAGAAGTACAGTTTTTAAGTTTCTATCTTTTGAAAACTTATCTTTTAAGGACCAGATGAAACAAAAATTCCTTCAATGTACATAGAAAGTAGATCAAAAATATCATATTAGTTTTGTTGTATGATGTTTTAGGAAAGGGAGGATTGCATTTAGATTTTTCCTTCTCATATTATCATAATTATAGACATAACTCATCAAAATTCAGACATATCTGAAAATCTTGTGGTTTCCTAAACAATGAAGTTTGACTCTAGATACCCTTCCTTTGAGCTGAGATGAAATTTGAGACTGAAAAAAGTTGGTGATTGGAGACAATGACTTTCTTTAATATTTGTTAATTTTACATAAAGATATCTTATTGTCAGCTACCTGTCAGTGTAATATCTAGGTAATCTGGACTACATAAACTTAATAGTTTAATAAATACTTTTCATGACCAAAATTGAATTTAATTATTTTCCTCGAAAGAAATGTTCAGTGTAGTTTACTTAAAGACACCCAGATCCCAGAATGTTCTGATCATTTCAATGAACAGTATGTATAGATCATGTATTACCAAAAGAAATGAAATGAACTGTTCATCAAGTTATAACAGACTATGCCTAAAACATCTTAGTTATTAATTTTTTGCTACAATGACTTTTGCTAAAGTAGGAGATTCAAAATCTTATTCATGCTCATAAAATTGAGCAAAAGATGACTATCACTTTAACTGCTTTAGTTTATTACTGTGGAACTGTCTTTAATAGACAGTAATATTGATATAGTTAATTATCTTATCAGTACTTTATTATAGTTATAAACTACCACATTTCCTGTTAGTATCAGGTACCGATAATATCTCTAGATAGATAGAGACCTTGAACATGTTTTCATAACACTTTATGATTATTAAATACAGTACACTCCATCAATCATTTAAATAGTCCAATATCATATACTATTCATTTGCTTTATCATTTAATACGGTATGTATCATCTAACTCAGGGTTCCCAAAACCAATATTGAATTTTTCTCAATTGCACATTACATAGTTTTGCTTTTCTTTGATCATGCCATAATTCAAGAATAAGGTTTGAGAAGAATAAAGAGTTCTATTATTCCAGGCTGTTGTTGGTATATAGAAATTAATGTTTATCTTTCTGCTATGGAATCCATTTTGATTCATACCAAAATATTTATACTAGACCATATTGTACTTATTTTTTCAAACGCTAAAGTGTTTATATTTTTCATCGGTCATTTCAAGAATATATTCATTTTGTATGTTAATGTAAGCAAGCATCTATCAATTTAAAGACTGTTGTTACTATTTTACTTTGTCTATCTACTTTAAAATTTATCTCATTGCATACTGCATGGCATTCCATGTCTTCATTAGCTAAAACAAGAAACAAGTAAGATTTAGCCTATAGCCATATAGGTATTGATCTAAAATCAAAGTTTAATTTGAGAATCATCATTTAAAATTGATGTGGCCACCAGACTGTATCATAATAAGCCACTGTAGACTGTTGATAATTTTTTTTGGGGTTTCATTAGTTATTATATAAGGATTGATTTAAATTCATTTAAGTTTAAAAACTCATCATTTAAGATTTATACAGCAGCCATAGAAACATAGTTTCAATCAATTTACACGAACATGTTCCATATTGATTTGCAGATGACTTGAAAAATTTCAACATTTGCCATACGTGATGTAAAATACAAGGTAATTTGATTACATCATTATCATTAATTTTCAAGTATCCTTGCCTGCCATTTTCTGACTAAAAAATCATTATTGGCTTTTTATTGTGAATGGGTTGAAATTTGATGATTAATTTGAGTCTAATGAGAATGACATGTGGTTTGATAACGAGGAAAATTCCAAACATTTAATAATTATCTATCAATTAGTAGCTTTAGATAGAATGAGCATGCTGTTGGCAATTTTCAGAGAATTTCTGTATTATATAACAATTTTGCCTCAAATGATTTGTGAAAAAGTATACGTGCTTAAATGTCTGATTGGAAATTGCTTTTGATTTATTTTGGCTACAGGTCTCTTTGTGTGAGCTTGTTGACTGCAAGTTTCAGATAATATTTGCACTATGTACCAACTTTGCCTTAATCAATTTGTAAATTATAATTAATGCCATTAACATTACCTTTGAGACATGGTCATGTCATCTGCAAATTTTAAGTATTATTTTAACTATGTACAGGTTAAAATAGCATACAGTCTGCCAGAATATATAATCTTGGATATTTAATATTTAGTATTATGAAACATTTTGTATTTTATTAAATGGTTGGAATTGATATACTAAATAAAACATTATTAGCTATGTTGACTTTATAGATTGAGCCATACCCTGAAATGAACACATGTCCTAAGTTCTGATGAAATGAACATGTCGTCTGCAGATGTTAAAATATTTCAATGTTACATAATCAATAGACGGCTGTTTCATTTAGTAATTGCATGAGATATGGAATGTCAGGTTCACATTTTATATTTGATCAATGCTGATAAAGATAATATTCTCGTAATGGAGTGAGTTAGTCTGAAACCATTTCTTTGTGAATAAAAAATCACATTGCACACAGCATAGTGTTACTTATAGTCCAGTTAATTGTAAAATAGTGGAATATAAAACTCCTTGCATTTGCCCAATCAGATGCATTTTAGTCCATTGTATTTTTACTATAAAATTGAGCACTATCAACTGTCTTCATTGCATTTTGATTTCTAACATGATAGATGTTGTCCAGATAGAAAAGTCCAAAAACTCAATTTATTACTGTCATAAAAGTTCTGGATTAAATTCAGCAAGTTTCGGACTAAAAGTTAGTGAATAGCATGTCAGACATATAAAATTGATTTTTCTCAAGTAGATGATGTAATGTGGCTTCCATCATGAAATAAAATATTATGTTTATGATTATAGCTGTCTGACATGAGATCAAAATAAAATATAATCAATCTAACTTTTACACATCACTAAGCAAAAGAGTAATAAAAACATTTCTTTTGTCAAAATCTTCATAGAAATAAAAAACTGAAGTACTAACGATCTGAACTGCAAAAATAAACTTGAAAACAGAAATAACACTTTGGCAATACATCAGTATCAACTAATAAACTATTCATATGAGGATTTATATCAATTACAAAGGAAGAAATATTTCATTATGAAAAATGATATCAGGTGTCTAAAAGAGTAAACATACCCTGTCTGGTGCCAATGCACAATATGAAGACAGTGAACATAGATGTTTTGAGTACAATTGTTACAGCTTTTATAACAAAATTCCCTTCAGTGCACACTGTATGGTGCTGTAAGTTTCTATTAGAAGGCACCTAGACAGGTCGTAAATTCCATTTCATTACAATTTTCAATCATGCTAGATGTCATTAACTTGTTAGTTATCCCCAGGAGAGGAAGTCGTCTGCTTGGATCTTGTCATCTATTGTTGTCATGTATCTAATGGTTACGTGTCTGTTGGCTTAATTTTAAATCAATCATGACCACATACTAACAACTACAAATAATATTCTACATCAAAATTCTTCTAGGAGACTTCAGTTTGACATCCTGATGCTTAAACTAAACTGTTGCTTTACAGGCAATTTAGAGGAATATTTCAATTGCTGATTACATTTAAGTCATTGAGACCCAAGATTAAGGACTCTTCTATTTAGGAGATTCCTTTCTCAGTTGTAAATTATTGATGAATACTATCTGTTGTCAGTTAAGAGACATCAATTGAAAGACTTTATTATATGGACATTCTTAAGACAGATTCATGAGCCTTCATAATGATTATTTTTATCTTGCTTTATCTTAAAAGCACATGAATGACTTTTAAATATTTTCATTGTCTTTTACGACACAGACACCAGCTTAAAGACTTTATTATAAAGACATTGTTTAAACAAATTTCTGATTCTTTTTAACATTGCTAAGACTTCTATTGTCTGATGCTTACTTTACCAGAATACTTGAGGCCACTGCTCATCGAATCTGAATCCAAGTTTGAAAAATGACTTCATTGAAAAGCTAATTTTTACTTTTTTTTTTTTTTTATTATTTCAGGCTAGAGCCTTTTTCCAGGCAGCGTTTGTGTTGGCACCACACATGTATGAACCACATTATAATTTTGCTGCCCTAGCAGACCAGGTTAGTATCATTTTACTTGTAAAAATGTTATAATATTGAAAGAATACTCTGCTAAAAATGCAGGATTTAAGCCTTTTATTTTACAAAAATATTTCTTCCCGACCCTCGTCTGGAATGAATTCAAAGATAATTAGGCGTTGGCCTCTCAATCAAAAGTTCTGTAGCCCCCAAATGATACAGTTTAATTTGTAAAGATTTTGAGGTAATATTTCAAGTTTTAGCAGGTTTCAGGATATATTTTGACATTTCTCTTCTCATGTAAAGCAATTCATTTGGTATCTCAGTAAGAGTTACGTAATACAAAGTCAACCATTACATAATATATCATCATCAGTTGAAGTACATTTATTGATTTTACCAAAGAATCTATCAACCAGGAAACATCAATGGTGTATTTTCTTTTATGTCTTCCGTTTACAATTTATCGATGTTTATTACAATATGTTAACATAACACTCTGAAGAAGGCTACAATAATTGCAGCTCATCTCATACTACGAACAATTGTTTTGGAAACACAATCCTCAACAGTATAGCTAGTTATAGGTGTTATAGAATATACTCTCCTATAGAAGCACTGGCCTAGGTCACAAGTAGAGACTATGGATTTCAACATGAAAACTATTTCAACTCAAACAGAAAATGTTTTACTGAAGATTATTCATAGATTATTACTTCTGGAGAAATTACAAGAAAAAATATATTCAACTCAAATTCTAGTGGTGAAAATGGTGGTTAACTCTCTAATATTGTACTCAAGGCATATGAACATTTGTGATTGGCAAAAACAACAAATTAACCTCCAATGGGCCACTGTACACCAACAGAACTGCATGACCATTAATCAGATTTTTATTCTTCCATCAGTTATAAAATACCTCAGTCTTGATAGTCATTACCCAGAAATAATTACCCTAGTCTAACAGGTGTGTTCTAGACCGTCTGGCCGACTGCTCTTTATTTACCACAGTCTGTCTGACCAATCTATAATCTGGTAGCAGAAATAAAATGTGGTCAATTCCACTCATCTGCCACATTGCTATTTTATTCTTATCTGTCAAATCTTAATAACATTTACAGGGTTTATATTCTGAGGTTTGGAATATGTTATTGACTGAATTAAGCTTGAAAATGTCCACCTGTAAATGTGTTCTGTAGGACACTTTATAGAAGAATGAGCTAGTTTATGAATTTGTTTTTGTTCAAGATTAAGTTTGACCCAAACTTTAGTTGATGAATCAGTCAAATCTTGAGAATATTAACAGGATTTACATTCTGAGGTTTGGAAGAAAGCTCACTTTAAAGGAGGGGATAATCTAAAATATATTTTTTACTTTGATACCAAAGTCTCAGTACATTTGTGAGGTTAAACTCTTTGAACAGGATTGAGAAATCAACATGTTCTAAATCTTTTTCAGAACTGTCTTTTGATGAAAAAAATCAATGAAACTTTTTCACGTTCTATAGTTTACCATTTCTGATTCCATTTTTGTTCATTTCTATAAGAAATTTATTTCTATTCAATAAACTTGTTTCTTCTTATCATATATACATATATATTGATTTTCCTTGGCAGACCATCAACTGGTGTTTTTACCTTTTCAGACCTGTATCTGATTTAGTTATGTTAAAACTGTTGGAAATGTTTTAGTTTGCTGTTGTTATAATTAGCTGATCTTTTGCTGAGTCAGACTGAAAGTTCTGTGCTCTTTTCTTATTTGAATTCATGTTATTCTTTCTTCATCCTCTTCACAAATCAGAACCTGATTGAATGTGTTACTGCCATTTATTTGAAATGACAAAATGAAAATAATTAATTACCATAAACTAGTCAGGCTTAATAAACCTTCTATGTGCCAAACACATCACTGGACAAAGTGATGTCTAGTTCAACACATCACCTCAGTATCACACTCAATATAGGGGACAGAATCATTAACAATAAGATGCCTTGGGAAAATGAAATAACATTGTCCTTCTGCCAGACTTAGATTAGTTACAATAAACAAGAAATAAAACTTCTCTGAAGCTACAAACTTTTTGTGTAAAATTGGTTACTAATGCAAAGCGTTCTCTTGTCTTTATCTGTGACGTTGACTTAATGCCTTGATCTTGTGTAATTTATTGAATGAGACGTATATGAAGTTATGATAAATTGATTTTCCTTATATGGTTTAAGAGTTGAGACTACAACTGATTTTAATCTTCCTTCCATATATCAATAGATGGAAATCATGTTTGTATTTTACGAGGAAATATTTATATTAAACAGAAACCTTGGGTTATTTTAATCTAGGTGCTAGGTTCGTGATATTAATATTTCACTAGAGAGGTCGAGATATATTGAAATACATCGCATATAGAGATAGCTGATTGATTCTTGTTTTTAAAACCATAAGTACAAACCCTGATAATTAATCAAAATTCATTTTGATCAAGCACAAACTTATGATGATCATTTAATTTTCATTGTCTTGTAATTTTTGCAACCTCAGACATTGAATGGGAAATTGGTATTGCTGAAAGTACCCAAGATTGATAGAGTCACAAGGCAGGCTAGAAAACCTCTTTTAAATCCAGTTATATCAAAATTTTAATTATTAAACATTTCATCTAAACTGTATAGATTGCAATGTAGTGGAATCTATACCCTCTCACTCCTTAACCTAATTTACAATTTTCTAAACTAAACTGTTTGAAGACAGAGGTTTCATTAAGTTCCTGCTTCCTCTTTGTGAAATTTCCTTTTACCATCCTAAACACAATTAAAATATTTCACCACAAGCTGGGCATGACCTTTAACCTTTTACTAATTGAAACCCTCCCAAATGTACTTGAAGCTTTGACCAATTTACTATAGTATATCAGATGTTAGCATTAAAATAGGGAAATGTCAGATCCTTGTTCTACAAAGTTGGTCTTCATGAGTTCAGTGGTTTAAAAAATTTTCTGACTAGCCTGAAAAGCCCCTCCCTTACCCTCGACTAGGTTGTTTTCAGGGAGTTTACAATTGGTACCCTGTCAGTAATGACCCTCTGATCTGGCTCTGATATTTACACTCTACACAACCCCTCCCTCTACCCTATCAGTTGTATTAATTAAAAGATTGGGAAATTAGAATTCTGTTAATTAGAACTGTTAATTATGAACAGAAGAGATAACGAAGATTGTAAATATGTCAGGTTAATTAGCACAAGATAGGGGGTGAATATTAAATTGATTTTGACAAAAATATTTAAAATTGTGAAGGAACTAAATGGGGGCTGGGGGATATAAACCAATGGGTGTCCTGATCTAGAATGTGCTTTCAATAAATTGTGATTGTAATTCTTCAATCAGACATGGCTGGTAAATAAAGCCAAAGACAGCCTAGAGCTCTAATCAGACTTGGCTTGTAAATACAGCTAAAAGACAACCTAGAGCTCAGACACAACTGGTATACCAAATCAACAGTCTAGATCTCGAGTCAGACAATAGACATTATAGTTTATACAACCAACTCAACAGTTTTGAGCTCTACTTACACATGACTGGTATATACAGACAAATAAACAGTCTAGAGCTCTAGTCACACAAAAGACATGACTATTAAATACAGCCCAACCAACAGATTAGAGCTATAGTCAGATATGACAGATAAATACAACCAAATCAACAGATTAGAGCTATAGTCAGATATGACAGGTAAATACAACCAAATCAACAGATTAGAGCTATAGTCAGATATGACGGGTAAATACAACCAAATCAACAGATTAGAGCTATAGTCAGATATGACAGGTAAATACAACCAAATCAACAGATTAGAGCTCTAGTCAGACATGACATTAAATTGTAGAGCTGTAGCTATACATGAATAGTAACTACAACCTTATCAACAGTATAGATACTGAGGGTTATTCTGCCAACCTGACAGCTGACTCTGGGCGTATTACTATCAGGGTGTGGTTTGTTGACTAGTTGTATTGATATAACTATCTTAATAACAATCAAACATACAATATTCTCATCTCATATTTCTCTTATCGTCCTGCTGGTACAAATAGATACAGCATAAAGTGCAATGTGAGATTATCGATACAGTTGAAAATAAATAGAGCGTATATGCAACAAGATGTGACATTTCTCGTCTCTTCTATTTTCTGCTTTATCAATAATTGATATTTTGTTATTTAAGTTGAAATTGCAATTAAAAACTTTACTAGATTGCTCATGGGAATGTGATTTGTGGCATATAAGAATAATAGAAAATAATATTTAGTCCATGACACACATGGAAAAATTTCAGATTTGGTGGTTGTTTTCTACCTTGAACAAAACTTTTGGACCATGATTGTACATGATAGCATGTTAGGTTGTCTAATATTTAACCTCATGAGGACTGTATATCAGGAGGTAATAGTCATTGTTGTTAATCATTGGATTTTGATTTTGAAGCAGTTGAGCAGCCTGTTAAGAAATCAAGTTTGCATTCATGATTAGTTTCTATTAAAGTGATAAAGATCAATCATTCAATCATTCAACTGATGTTTAATTTCTGTACCTTCACTAATTCACAGCACATGGTAGACATGAGTCATTTAATAACAGATTAAAGGGATACAGTCCTCCTAAATATTCAAGATTTCTTGTAGATGATCTACAGTTTAAAGGGATACAGTTGTATGAATAATCAAGCCCTAAGTTGGACTTCTAGTTAGCCTTCAACTTATAGATAAAAGATAAATAGAATTTATATTTGACTTTCAGAATGAAAGTTTGACTTCAGGAACAAGCTGAATTTTTACTACATGCTGAGCATCAAAGGGAGAAAGTCATCTGTATCCTTTACCAACAGATATAATTCATTTTCAGTGATCTGTATCACTTATCAGAATGAGAACCGTTACTGATGAGTTGTTTTGAGATCTATCAGCTGGTGACAGAAATTATTTAAATGACAATATCCCTTTAATTTGAGTTTTAATGATCAGATAATAAAAAGATATACCTAAATTAAATTTGAGAACTATGGTATATCCCTTTAAATTAAACCTTATCATTGTTTCATTGAAATAATACAAATTTTGAAGACTACATCCCTTTAATAAAGTGAAGTGTGCCAGGGGCCAGTTGAAATAATCTCATATCAATGATTGAAGCTAGCTAATCAAGTGTAACGGAGCTTTGTTTTACTTGTTTTAAAGTTTAGCCTGTGGATATTATTAAAGTGACAGATGACCCAGTCGACTTGTTAGCAGTCAGAGGCCATCTTTTGTCCCGTTTGTTGTTTTTAAGGATGGCTAATATTCTAAATGTTATGCCAAAACTAAGGAAGACAATGTCATGCAATGTACAGTGAGGGGAAATTTATGATCAAGCTGGAACACCAAACTAAAACTTTTATATTTTTGAATATTTTATCACAAGGGCAATAGGCAAATCACACAAACATATTTTTTTAATTCTTTCCTCGTTAATAAAAACACTAATTATGATAATTTGATGATTTTTTCACTTCCTGGTTTTCTAGTAGATATTTGATGTAAAAAGATAAATTTGACTTCCTAAATCATCTTGTTTATATTATCAATATTATAGACTAACCTATAGTCGTTAGTAATTTTTCAATTCTGATGTACTAACAACTGGACTGGACAAATTTGGGATAAATAGATTCTTAGACTGGTTTATAGTCAGTAGCTATGCATAGAGTCTTGGTTCATCAAACACAACAATATTGACTCAAATTGTGGAATGTATAAAAACATGAAATGATATAGTAGTAAATTTAAATGGTGCCTAAATATGCCCTCACAGCATAGCAATAACCAGTTGAGTATGGTTGCAAATGATTAAAGTGGTTATGAATACTGAACACAGCTAGCAACTAAGTTGTGTCTGAAGCTCATGACCGCAATTCTTTTAAGCATTCATATTCATTGGTGATTACAATTGTGTGAGGGCCCCTTTAGACAGACTAAAGATAACATTGAATTTTATTCCTATTCAGTTCCAGTCCATTTGATTTCAGCTCTATAAAGTTTCTATCAGCTGATACAGTTAATAGTTTAATGACTATCTCTCTTTAATAAACCAAGGTCTTGTTTGTTTATGATTTATGTTTTAATTATAGTCAGATGATTTATAATGAAAGTCCTAGTAATTTATTGACAGAGTAAAGAGCCTTCCAGATGGTGCCTCTTAAGACTGTCATTTCTTGTACTTGTGGACCCTCTAGAAGTCATTTGTGCCACTCATAGCACCTAATTCAGTCCTCAGCCTTTCCTATTTGGACTTATCATCAACTCTGGACTTTTTCAACGATTTGTGTCTTAGCCAATAATTTAATCTCGTAATTCAAATTCCAACAAAAAACCTGTCTCATCTCCTTTGTATGTTCACTTAAAAACTACTCAAATAATTTTAATATTTTATTGGTCCCTCTTGACTTTCATTTGTGTCACTTCAGCCCCCTTTTTAAGTGACCACTTCTACACTTGTTACAGATAATTCTTCTTTTCTATTTAAAAACTCCACTCAATTGTGAGTATTTCATTTTTTACACTTGTCCAATGGAATGGAGTTATGCTTTGAAAGAAGGTCAAATACAACATTTCAAGGTCATTAAAGGAGTGGCTTCAACCCCCCTCCCCCTCCCCCCTTTTTTTTATAAAAAAATAAATAAATTTAATATTCTGATACATTACATTCTTTTATCTGAATATCTCTCTAATATATTTATAAGTGAATTGCCAAAAGTCATAATGCCGTGATAAATGATCAATTTTAAAATCAGAAGATTTTTCTTGGAATATTAACTGAAGAATGTAAGATTGATGAAATTCTGAAGTAGTTGATTAATAACTCTCTATCATAATTCTGATTATAATAACCACTCTAATACTATTAACCCTGAACTCACCAACTTTTTATATAACTCTTCTCTCAAGTAGAATTCAAACTGTCAAAAGACCTAATTAATCTCACTTGTTTTAACCCTAGCTTCCCTTTTCCATTTAGTCTCCACACTTCAAGGACCATTGAAGAAGGTCTGTGATCTATGAGGGGTTAAATTAGCCATGAAAATTTCCAGTCTGCTCTCATTATTGTATCACCTTTTGATGCCTCAAATTACATTGGAAAGTTTAGAATTCTTTTTAATCAACAGGTTTCTCTTTCCAAGGCAATTGTATCTCAAAAAACAGAAAATTAAAATCTATAGCAATTTAGTAGGAAGAAAAAAATAGCTGTTTCTTTCTCAAGGGTTTAATCGAATAATAAAGTCATCTGTCATCACATTGAAAGGGTTAACTAGTATCAAGCTGCTTCTAGCAGATAGTTTGTAACCTAATAGAAATTATTGTTTATAGTTCACTGTTTTACCAATTACTGATAGTGTTCATAATTCATTGATTGACAAGTGCCTTTCAATTCATAAAATATGTGCAAAAGTCTGGGAACAGAGGACTGCTAGAAGCTAGAATATCTCTTATAAATCTTAACATTTAAAGGGTCAGTTGTTAAAATTCAACTGTGACCAACAGTGACTGAGATGAAGTTGTTTGTGGAAAGGAGGGGTTGTGAATGTATTTCAGGTAGGGGGAGGGGAATTCATCAGTAAAGCTGTAAGGTGAGGGTAAGCTGTAATCTTATACATATCATCAAGTTTTATCACATCTCAATAACAACGATTAAAAATTAATTTTACAATTGGTGTCAGTCCTGTTAGGTATGTATCAAAAAGAGGGAGGGGGTGATAAGGGCAGGGATTTTACAGAATAGGGGAGGGCAATTTGTAACCCGATATGAGGTCATGTAGTAAAATATCAATTACTTTGATTACAGATTAAATTTGAGTTTGGTGTCAGATAGCCACAGTTGATGTATGTCTCAAATAAGTGTAAAGGGGGGGGTCTGTAATCCAATATATGGTCAACAGGTAAATTCAAATCATGATTTTTATAACAAATTAATTGATGATTTGGTCACTACTGCTGTGAAACATTTAGTATAGTATAACCAGATCATACTTATAGTCTAGCTTCCAGGTAGTTCTTACATTATTGCAGGGCATTAGATAATAATCAAATTCTTAATTTGATTGAAATATTAAATTCCAATTGTATGCATGCGCATAACCAACTATCTCATTTCTTTTCCAAATTTCCTCAAACTATTATATCAAAAAGACAATTTCTGGATTTCAGAGATAAATTGGAATTTGTGTAGTGCACATGCGACTGCGTTGCCTTAATCCGTCCACCCTTGTATGTACCTGTTGGTCGTTATGTGCCCTGCATTAGTACTGTTAAGGGAACAGTTCTAGTTTTTGTTGTGTTTGGAGTTGAAGGCTGAAATTCTGGAATGGTTAGAAAATGATATGATAATTTCCATATCATTTAAATGGTGTTAGATAGGCTAACCTACTCCCTGTGCTCTGAATTAACTGAAGACCACAGGTTGCTATTTACAAAGGATAATTTGTATAAATCTGATAAAGATCAAGTTAATCTCCATCCTGTAATATTGATGTATTGTGAAGACCTGGAGAAGCTGAGGGATAAGAATTAGGATTAGTCTAGTTACAGATTAACAAGTGTCAAGTTGTGAAGATCAATGCATTAAATCAGGTTTATTTCATTCTAATGAGGTTGAAGAATAAAGGGTTAATGATCTTACACTTTATTTGAAATATTTAAACAGAGTGACTTAGATCTTTTGCCAATAATAACTAATATTTTATAAATTGTTTATATTTTTCAGTTGGGAGATCTACAGAGTAGTTATAATGCTGTGAAACGAGCAGTAGATGCTTATGATGGTCACATAGATTCTAAGGAATTACTTCAACAATTAAAACAACATTTTTCACTTCTATAGTTTTATCAAAGGCACCATTGTATGAAAACTGTTCAAATTCAAACTCATCCCAATTAAAAAAGCTTGATATTACTTTTTTTATTTGTATGTAAAGGACAGCAACTGCTGTCCTCTTTATGGGAAAAAATCGAATTTTAAACTTTTCCACACAACAGAAAAAACAAGATCTTACACTTCTTTATAGTATCAAAGACAAGGACAGTAACTCTAGGACTCTTTGAATGTGTCTGATCAAGATTATAAACACCTAGACAATCAGAGCCTTTGACAGAAAGAGTGTAAACATTACGGCTTATCGTTTACAGACTTTCTGTCAAGAGCTCTGATTGACTGTATTTGCAACATACAAGCCAATCAAATTCCTATATTTTCAATCTTCTGTGATACAAGAATAGTAGCTATTGTGGTCAAGGTATAAAAAGAAGCTCGTAATACCTTGACCATTGTGAAGCTGGATTATAAATGAGTAAATGTGGAAGAAAATATCCATCTGTTACTCTTTCTAGAAATATTTAATTAATGAAACTATTTTGCTTGTTTCAATCCATTTCGATACAAATTCTATTCACAAAAGTCATTAAATTGTTTTATGTAGGAGAAAACTGTTACAATTCTTGCAAAGAAATACAAGGACGCTATAAGTCAAAGAAGATGTCAGTTATATAGAGATTCTCATTTATCAATTACACATTCCGTCCTATTGTTGTGATATTTTCATTATTTATTTGTTGACACTGTAGAATTTATGTTGTTATTGTGTCTATATTAGAAATTAAAAACTTTATTTATGTCTAAAACGTTTGTGTTATTTTATGGATTCTTTGAAAAGGCTCTGAACTATTCTCTAGCAGTAATTTTGACAATGATTAGCCTATCTATGAGAAGCAGTCAACATGTTACTGTGCATATTATGTAACAAAATATTTCCATGATTTTACAAGGATATCAACTTTCAAGAATACTGACTTGATGCCAAGTGATCATTTACTAAACTCTAGGCAGTGGGTTTTCAAGTGGGCACATTTGCACTTTTGTTACTTTTTATTTTTATGTTTTTCTTCTGGGGACATATTTTTCACACAACTGCAATTTCGAGACATAGAAAAACTGGTTGAAAATCACTGCTCATGGCCATGATTTTACAAGGATAACAACTTACTAGAGTCTCTAGGATTCTGTCTACCAGTTGGTCCTGGATCCAACCTCTTACCAACATTTATAGATGGTTAGCAACTTCATGGTCAAACATCTTTTTAACGATAACAATTAAGGTTCTAAAAGATCTTTAAACAAATCTCTTCATTCCAGTTGAGACAATCATAATATTTAGTCATTATAAAAGACACCTAGCCACGTATTCTCGAAACAATCTTAGCGCTAGGATGTCCTAGAATCAATCTTTAGTGCTAAGATCGTTCCGAGAATACGTAGCCTGTATATCAATCTGAGATCCCAGTCCTAACATTCTGCGATCTTATGCAGATCCAATAGTTTATCAGCCTGCAGAATTGGGTCATAATTTATATTCTATGAAGAAGGTAGGCTACTCATGCTACAATGTGTTCAAAATCAGAACAGATGATATGCAATCCAAAACTTGAGCATTCTAGCCCATTCTGAAATAGAGTCTACTGGAAAATTGTATTCCAGAAAAAATTAATCAAAAATCACATCATTGATGAAAGTTGACACTTATTATTTGGGTTTTATTCTATCCCAATCTTGGTATTTCAATCACGGTGTTCAAAGGGTTAATGCTGAAATTGTGGGAGGGAATTCCTCATGACGTAACACATAAAGGTGTTTCCCATTCATAACATTGATACGATTGGTCAAGATAATGGTAGCTATTTACGTGGAATTTCTCGCTTTTTACTACAAATCTATTAATTTGCACGTTGGCTGTTTAATTGGGTGAAATTTAATACCAATATCGAATAAATCAGACATGTTTTATTAAGAAAAGACGGCGAACAAAAGAGATTTTGTGAAGAAAAGACTATTATTGACAAGAGTAGCTATTTTTATCAACCAATGAAAAAGGTTGAAAGAAATCGACTGCGTGTTGAAAGTGGCTCTTCCTAATAGGGGCATGGTGGATTGACTCACAGCAACATTGCCACTTTCCTCAAGAAGAAAAACGTTAAATGTACCGTTAAGAGGCTACCGCACCTAATATTAGACTTGAATTGGATTATTTTTGTGTTCATGCTTGTGACAGAATTGATTTATCCAGGAAATTAACATCGTTGGCGGGATAAAGTCTACTTATTGTACCGTCTGTTGATGGGATAGTATTATACAGTGACCCAAATCTATGTAAAAAGTTAACAACTTCAGTCAGAACCATTTATTGTCGTTTGGTGAAGGAGCTGTTTTGTGGTATGTAAAGTGGATATTGGTGTGCTATCATCAACTTAATTACCTTTTTGCCAACTTACCTAAGGATTTGTTCATGTTTTCGTTTAACTAATGGCATGGGCCAATGTAAAGAAACCTGATATTCTATTCTGAAACTATACAGTCAGTCAACATTTAGGAAAGTTTAAACCAGGCCTATGTTGGCTTAATGTTTTCATCGTGAAAAAGGATTACTATTTGGAGTACTAAGCAAATTGAAAATGGCTTTTATAGCTGATAGTGGTCGTGTGGACGGATCTTGGACCTTAAATATAACTGTGACAGACCTACAAGTGGAAAAATTATTGCGAGTTAAAGGCGATGATCATGTTGGTGGGGTGATGCTAAGGCTTGTTGAAGCACTAGGTAGGTGATTAAAGTAAAAATTGTTAATTCATTACACTGTAGCAAAACGAAGCACACACTTGAAAAAAAGACACTTATTATGAAGTCTGTCGTTAAACATCCAGTTCTAGTGTGTCAAATGTATTAGTACGTAGTGAAGATCATGTATCGTAGTGTTACACAAACTGTAGCAAAACACAAACAGTGTGCAAGCTTTGTAATGCACTGTACAAACTGAACAAAATATAGCACAAACTTTGCAAAACAAGTACAAACATTGTAAAACACAGCTCACAAACCTTCTTTAAAACACAGGGCAAATTTCTGAACAGTACCTTTCTAGTGGAAAAATGATTCCAAACAATGATAACTACACTTTACAAAAAAAATTGAATAATTTAGAAGAAGCTAGATGGATTGTCACACAGCTATAACCAGAAAATACAATTTTACTGGACCATAGTAAGTCACAGACGATACAAATTATTTGTTTGTAAGAAATAAATCATTGTCAACTGTCAGGATAATAATGTCATCAGTTTACAAGATTTCATATAATAACAACTCACATTCCTTGGTTATAATTGAAACCTAGACTCACTTAAAAGGATGTCAAGTTGACAAACCCAAATACCCCATATATTACAGGTGGACTCTCTGAATAGAATGCCTAGCTGACAAACCCAAATACCAAAATATCATTACCGTAGCTATGTGGAATGTCAGTTAAGGGACTTTACATGCTTTACATATATTAACTAATGTCAAATATGATCTCTTCAAATTTCAGTGAGTTAAATACGATCATGAAATGCTCCCTATAAATGAATTTGTCTAGCCTAGCAAATTTGAAAAAGATTTGAGAGTTTCATTGAAAGGATATGATTGTTGCTGGCTGAATGACCAGGATAAATGAACTTATGATTTGTTATTGTGTTGGATAATAACAGTCGTGTCGTGTGGCCTCAATTATTTTGTTTATCATTTGTATAAACCTTTTATCGAGCCCTTTTCATATCTTAAACTGCACAGATTTTTTGATTGACCTATCTTTTTCATTTTTTACATTTAATTTGCATAAGCAGCTGTTACTGTTTCTTCATATTGGAATTCTCACCTTATCATCAAAAGTAAAGTTTTTCTTTTGAAGTTTTCTTCATATTTTAAGACTATATATTTTATTGACATATCTTGTTCAATGTGAGTTAAATTCTTTTACAATGAATGAACAGCTGTTCATCTCTGTACAAATGGGAACATTTATGATACTGTCATCGATATGATTATTAATTTGTAATGCTAGTAGACCTTATGCTTCTCTATTTTCAAAAATTGTAAACTTAAAATACGTCTTAAATTGTGAAATGCGTTTTTTGTGATTTTCAATCTATGAAAACACAACTGAGCTACACAAAAGGACATGAGAAAACCTGTCTAAGTTAAAAATTTGAATGGACAGCTGTTCAGAAATCTTTTGATATAATGATTGTAGAAGATCGTTTAATATCGTTTGACTGTAGAGTGAAAATAACAAGGAATAGGATGTCTCATTCTTCTACTCCAGATTGAGCAAATGAAAACAGAGAGCGTTTAAGCAGGAGAGTGGCCTGGACCTCTTCTTTTTCAGTTTGTAGCAATCAAAATACGGGTCAAGTTTTTCAAAAGCCCTTCATCTGGCAGTGAGGTTTTATCATGTGTTCTGTAGAAGGAGGTTAGGTGGGATGAAAACACAGTCTGATAAGAACACTGGCCTTCGTCACAAAAAGAAAATTTGAGGGTTAAGTTAAGGGTTAGATGTGTTGTCATTCCCTGTGAAATATTATCTCCAGTATAAAAAAAAACACCCTCAACCTCAATAATATCAAAGGAAAGATTTGAACTCTTTCGATTATCCTACATTGACCCCCTACTAAATACTTAATAGAGATTTAACTAGGGTATTATCAGAGGTTTATTATAAAAAGGTGTTACCCAAGTGTTTTTCTACAGGAAATCTTTCAATAACTAATGACCCCTGATTGATTAGATTACAAACCCCTCATCAAATCTTCACACTTCTCATTAGCACCCAAACAGATCCTCCTTTGACACTTCTCTATTGGGGCTTTTCCTGGTTTAAACTGTGTCTAATTATATTGACGAGGATTTGATAGGGTTGTTTTTTCTCATCAGTGATTTGAAGATTTATTATTTAGAAAGCAAGATGGGCCAAAAAATATCAGTTCTGTTGGGCCTGACATGATTTTGATGAAATTTGACAGTGTTATCATTATGTTCAATAGGTTAATAAAGGGATAAATCAAGTAGGCCTTTTTAAATTTAACAATCAGCAAATCAGTTAGTCAGGAAACCATGAATAACAAATTCAAGAACTAAGTAAGATATTTGAACCTAATTGCCCTTCAGTTTATTCAAGACTTGGTCACATACTTAGCATAAAACGGTCAAACACACACTGCACTCAGTTCTTTTGTTAACTGTCAAGCTTGAACTGACCAGTTATGTGAGAGAAAAAAAGAGGTTTCTTTGATTTGTTTGTAGCGTTATAGTGATAATGAGGGTTGGTGGAAATTGCCAAAAGCACCTTATTGTCCAAAATGTCTTGGAAATACTGAAATTTGTCAGTTGAAATGCACTATGTTTTAGGCCAAAAAAAATTGATTTGGAGAGATGTGAGAGCTGAGCATTCTATTCTGTTTCTAATTTCTGTTGCAAGTGATTAGACTGAAATGAAGTCTCGCAAGACTATTCCATGTGCAATAGGGGAAATTTTCTCAAGACAGCTTCATTTGCCAATAATTTTATTTCCAATGGCTTATTGGCCTTGGATTATTGTACATTACAAATATTGGTGACCTCAGGAATTTTGGCCATTGGAGAAACATTCAACTCTCACTGGGTTAAGTTACCCTCCCGTAAGATTGGAAAAAATTGATGCCACAGTTTGTGATTTCAAGAATTTCTATAATTATTATCATACTGTGTTAAATAACTTGCTTGATTTGTCTGTTGTTGTATCCTTGTCAAAGGTGAGAAAGATCCTTACAGCATGTCCAGTGTTTTTGAGATTTAGCCTGGTGTTAGTTTTTTAACCCCTTTCATCAATAGTATTAAGATTAATTGATGGTTGTTAAAGTGTTAAATTATGTGAAACTATTGTCATTGATTTGTTTAATGTGAGAACTCATTTCTTCACCTGACCTTATCAAGGGTTACACCTCATTAAACTCATCATTTAGGGGAGACTTAAACCCTTCTGAAGCTAATTATTTAGTTATAATAGGGTTAAGGGTGGGAGTAAAAGTCAAGATATTAGGGACATCAGGCCGAGTCAAATATGCTGAATTACTAAACCTCTAAACATTTGATTTGGTTGTATTGACCTGTCATGATATTAGTATTAATATGTATGTAATCATTTATATTGATTTTTTAGTGTAACAAAGATGCTCTGCCATGATCTTTTCTTGTGGATTTATTGTGGTTTGGACAAAGAGATAGATTTTGATCTCCTACACAACCGTATACCTGTGCAGCTAAAAACTTGTTATTACTTTTGACTTGATATGTTTCACAAACTGACTGAATCATCAAAGAAAATGTTTTTTTAAGTTTTACTAATTATTGGTCTGGTGCCAACTTTCATGACGTAAACTGCTGGCAAAAATCTCCAAACAAATGCTTTGAAATGTCTGTAATACCTGGTCTGTTACAGTTTCTGTAATAATAGTTTCAGTCTGCTGGTTTGACCTTCAATTTAAATGTTTTTTAGAGATAGGCCTATAAGCTTACATTGTTAAAAAAGCCTAGGTCACGATGATAATATTCAACTGTTTTCACTTATGTGGGGTGGGGAGGGTGTCTCACTTTTTTTTAGAATCTCACAACTTCAGAATATATTCGTACAGGTAGCTAAAATTAAATACCAATACTATCTATTTGAGTGAGTACTTTCACTGCTTCACAATTCTCATGAAATTTTTCTTTGAACTGAAGCTTGAATACTAAATCATGACGTTTGTAGTGACCTTCAAACCTTCACCTTTGACATTTACAATAAAGTTGAAGTGTTTAGATTTTAAACCTCAACCCCCCCAAATCTTTTACCTGTGTTAAATGTACTGGTATGTCAATAGAGTTGTGTTTAAACAGAGAAAAATGTTTGATTATTCAACAAAACTGGCCAAATAAAATCCTTAATATGTTACAGAATGTTTCAATTGAATGATTTAGAAGGAAAAAAAAGTTAAATGGTATAAGATAACATTGCCTCATATGATTCACTTTGCTCTATATGTATGCTTATCCTTACTCATCGTAGCCATAGTATGAAGCCATCTTGTGCTGTGACTCCATTCATGGATGGAAAAGAGTGAAAACCTCAGTCATTTGTATACAAAAAATTTTGGGAACTTTTGCCCCTGCATTACTTCATGTAGTAGAACTATTCAGGAAGGAAATATGTAAAGGAAAGAATAAATGGCATGACATCATTCATTTAGTTTCCTGTTATATTTTATAATGGTCTGAAATGATTGGGATTGGTTTAAAGCATTCCAGAACGTTGATTATCTTAGTTAAAAACCAAAATAGATTCTGTGTTGATAGAAGTCATAATTATAATGGTGATAGATATAACATCTTACCTCTAAATGGAATCTTTATCTTAAACCATCCTGAAGATTGTAGACTGAACTATTTAAAACAAAATTCAGGACAAAATTTGTTCCGTTGACAAAAGCTCATCTCATGTTGCAGTATGTTACTGATGTAAATTCTTGTCAGGAGAGATATTATTAAAAGGGAGTTGACTTTCAGTGAAATAAACAAAGTGAACATTGTACTCATTGATTAGAAACATCCTATGTATGTGCATCTGGAAGGATCAGAACAGATTGGAATTGATAAGGGAATTTAAAATGTAATTCATCCAATTTAAACAATATTTTATTCATTGATTAAATATATTTTACTAAGTATAAATAGGGTTTCGGAAACAATCAGAAGCTTATGTTAATCAG